ATATGCTCTTAATTCTTATTCACAAAGAATGATATTTCAATAGAAGAATTGAGAGATCGTTTAGCTTCACTTCCAGAAACAGAAGAAGAATTAACAGAAAAGATTGATTTTTATTTAAATGAAGCAGAAAAGATAACAGCTAATGCTTCAGTTTTAGATGAATATGCTAAAAGATTACGTGAAATTGAAGAAAAGGAAAATCAAATTAAAGAATTAGAAAATGCCTCTGAAACAATAGCAGGAATAGTTGAAGAATTGAAAGAGAAATGGTTAAAACCATTAAGAGAATGTGTTACAAAAATTAATGATACATTTACAGAATATTGTAAACATGTTGGTATTGCAGGAGAAGTAACACTAGTTGGAGATGAAAATAATTTTAAATCATTTCAAATTGATATTAAGGTTAAATTTAGAGATTCTGAAAAATTAACATCACTTTCAGCACAACGTCAATCAGGTGGTGAAAGATCAGTTACAACAATTTTATATTTATTATCACTTCAACAATTGAACAAATCACCTTTTAGAGTTGTTGATGAAATTAATCAAGGTATGGATCCACAAAATGAGAGAAAGATTTTTTATCAAATGTTAGATTCAAGTCAAGGTGAAGATATTCCTCAATCATTTTTAATTACTCCTAAATTATTACCTGATTTGGTACCTAATAACGCTAACAATATTACTGTAATTTTCGTTTTTAATGGTCCTGCTAATATTTCACAAGATGAATTTGCCAAGTTTTTCCAACCTTTTGATAAAAGTATGGAAATCAAAGGTGAATCATCAAGAAAAAGTGTAAATTAAAATGTAAATAGAAACAGTTTGTCTGTTTTTTAATTGATTTATTCAATTCCATAAAATAATATTATTTAATAATATAAATATATTTGTTAAGAAGTTTTAATTGATTTATTTATTCAATTCATCAATTTTTGTTATATATTTGAGTTTGTATGTACACATTGTGTTCATGAAAGTTAAAATTGAGAAAAAATTAATTTTTTGGAACAAGACCACCACTTGATACACCAGTAGAACCAAATCCACCAGCACCTCTCGATGTATCATCCAAATCATCAACCTCAACAATTTGTGGTAATGCAATCTTTTCAATAATGAATTGAGCAACTCTATCACCACGTTTAATGACAAAATCTTCCTTTCCATGATTGAATAAAACAACACCTAAATTTCCTCTATAATCAGAATCAACAACACCTGCACCAGTGTCAATAAAATTCTTCAAGGCTAATCCAGAACGAGGTGCAACACGTCCATAATAACCATGTGGAACAGCTACGGCCAAGTCAGTCTTGACAAGTAATTTATCATGGGCTGGAACAATGTAATCATAGGCTGATGCCAAGTCATATCCTGCTGCAAATTCTGATGATCTCACAGGGAGAATGGCATGTTCCGAAAGTTTCTTTACACGAAGTTCTGTTGGTTCTGGGAATGAAGTCATTTTTTTTGAATTTAACTTGTGAATTTAATTTTCAAAGTTTAACGATTTTTGGAGGCAAATTTTGGCGCCATGTCAACCATGAAAAGAATGAGACAATATAAATTGTTAATGTTTAATTTATTAATAAACATTAATACCAACCTAACTGGTTATTGTCGTTCAATCTAGATTGTTCTTCAACTCTTGAGATTTATCAAGCATTTGGTTTTATCCAAAATTAAATCACTTGCAAATTTGTTTGACAATATAATTCAATATATCATCAAATCTATTGAGTAGTGTTATTGTTGTTTGAATCTTTTCTCAATAATTTTGTAACATTGGCAGCAACAAAAACTTCTTGTGCCTTATTAGTTCTACCTTGTTTAGAGAGAATGGTAATCTTTTGAGCCATTGGTGGTGGTGGTGATGATGATGATGTATTTGTACTATCATGTTGAGCATGTTGAGCATGTTGAGTGTGTTGAATGTGTTGTTGGTGATGATGATGATGTGCTGGTTGTTGATGATGAATTATTTTAGGTGTAATAGCTTGTGTCATCATTTCTTGTGGTTTTGAAATCAATGTACCCATCTTGACAATATTATTATTGGTCAAGTATTTTCTCTCATTAATACTTTGATTAATCATTTCCATTAATTCCTTATCCAATTCACCTCCATCATCATCTTTATGTGTTGATGATTTAGAGTTGTTTTGAGAATCTTCAGTTTCATCTTGAACAACATCTTCCTCTTCAGCAGCAGCAGTTGCAGAAAGTTCATCCTCATGATCATTAATTGGCCATAGTGAAAGTGGATCATTGGATTTACTTTGACCTGGAAGTGGAATTGGTTTCTTTTGTTCAATATAATCAATTTTATCAACAACTTCCTTCAAATTCTTTGGCCATTTCAATTTAGGTCTAACTGTATCCAAAGTATCTGCTAACATATTTTCCATATCGACTGGTAAACGATACTGTTTACTTAAAACATATCTCTGCAAATATAATAAAAATCTATCTAATTTCTTTCTATCGGCAGATGTTTCAAAATAAGGACCACATGTATCTAGAAGAGTACAAACTAATCTCAATCTAAAAGTATCTTGTTTGTGTGGAAGTAGTGGTGTTGGATATAAAATTAATGTGTACAATACATCCATAATGACATTAATATCTAATAATTGATAATTATAAAATTCACCCAAGAATTTGATATCAATAATTCTTTTTTGTTCAGATCTTAATCTAGATGGTATATATTCAGCATTTTGATTAATACCCAATTCAATATTATCAATATATTCTTGTTGAAGTGAATATCTAATTTCCTCTAATAAAAGATCAATAATAACAACACCAATTTCTTCATGATATCTTGATAAACCTCCTAAAACACTTGCCATTAAATGAATAGTACCAAATGCACATTCTCTTATATGTGATAGAATACTCTTGATAATATTTTTAATTCTATCAAAATCATCGTATGGAAGTTTTCTCAATTGTTTTAAAACAGTATTAATATTATACTTGTTCAATTCTGATAAAAGTAAATGTAAAACATATTGTGTTAATTCATCATCTTCACCAAATACTGTTCTTGGTTTTTCAACTTCTTGATCAACATTTACAACTGTATTATAATAGGCACTATCAATCATGGTATTATATTTTACATCTAGTACTTTAATATCTTTAATTCTCATCATTTTAGAAATTAATTCAACCATTAATAAATGTGATGTAGATTGTGCATATAAATATCTTCCACAAACTTCAAGAAAATGACATGCAACATCAATATTATGATGATGAAATTGTGAAAGACATTTCTTTAAAAATTCAATACCAGTCTCTTCTGGACATATTTTAAATAAAATTAATTCACCCAAGAATCTAATATTTTTAACTTTGGTTTCAATTTTGATTTGATCTTGTTCTTCAAATAATTTGTTAAATTCTTCTTCTAATGATTGAACAAGTGATTTACCAACATCTTTAAAAAGTGGATTCAATATAGCAATTAATCTACTATAATATGGTAATAATTCTAAACTTGTTCTATTAACACTAAACATCTTTTTAACTAATTTAGTTCTATTACCTTTTTGATTAAGATATTTTATAGCCAATGTTGTTGCTAATTTATCAATAGGTGGTCTTTTAGGTAATTTATCTAATAAATCTTCCATAGAAACTATATTTTCTAATTCATTCTTATCATTAATTAATGTATTAATATCAGGTATTTCTTCATAGAATTGTCTTGTTCTTTCATTTACAAATTTATCAATATTATCTGTGAGAATATCTTTTTTATCTTGTTGTTCTTTTTTAGCTGATAAATCTTCAACTTTAAGTAAAGCATCTTCAATATCTGATGGTATCTTGGATTGAAGAATGTCAGCAGCTCTTTATCAAAATAAAAATGTTAAAAATAATAACAATGTAAACATACTCTTTTGCTAAATCGTATTGTTTCTTCCATTGTTTCAACTTTTTCTTTTCCTTATCAAGATTTTCAGTATTTCCATCATCAATATTTGTTGTAGCTGCTTGTTCATCTTCATTAATTTCCTTTTGTTTAGATCTTAAACGTTCACAAAGTGTTTCAAAGAATGACAAGAATTGTTCATTAATAAGTTTGTGTTCTGGTTCAGTGATAAAACATTTAGTAGCATCATAGGATTTTCCAATTAAAAAGTCATGTTGGAATTCTGTTAAAAAAGGCATTAAAATTGATGATTGTGAAGTTTTCTTATTGATTGTAATCTAATTAGTCCGAAAGAAGTTCAATTTTGAATATTTACACACATAGTATTATTATTATTATTATTATTATTATTAACATAATTAACAAACTATAGAAAATGATAAAAACATACAAATCCCTTTAAAACAGTTCCTACAATTGTAAAATTATCGTGCATCCTAGTTATGAATAATTTAGTAATAATTAATAATACAACGTGTAATCTAGGTAGGTTAGGTTCCTTCTTGTCAGAATCTTTACATGATTTTACAAGTGATGTAACAAAACTTTCAGAAAATTCAGCATATAATTGATGAAGTGATGATGCAATTTCTACAATAATATCTACATCTTCCAATTTTAATGGCATTTCTAAAAAGCCTTGAACAATTTCACTAATAAATCTACGAAGATTTAATTTTTGAATCTAATATTGATTATTAGTATGAAGATGATGATTAATACTACAACAACAACAATAAAACATACATCAGGTACAATTGATACTTTTTGATCAGGAGTTAATTCATGTAATGATTTAATTTTCTTTACAAAAGCACTATTCTTCTTAATAGAAGCATCCAATGATTTAAAGAAAGAAGCATCGGGTCTTTTTCCTTTCAAGGCCTGTTCATTCTTTGCTCGGAGTTCAGCCTTCTTTTCTTCATTCATTTTTTCATTATTTTTTTTAATTTTATTTATTTACTGATTATCTTTTGAAGGCTTTACTACTCAACATGTTGATAATTCATATTTTGTAATTGATTAAACTACTTGATGATAATCCACAGAAGACTCAACTTGATAAAGGTGAACTATGAAGATGCAATTTAAAAAAAATGGAATCATCATCCAATTCTTCTTCATCCAAGGATGATAACAATAATAATAACAACATGATGATGAACATTGGAAATGATGACAATATGACTATTCAATTATTTAATATTCCATCATCATCAACAACAACATCAACAACATCCACCATATTAACTAATAATAATAATTCTATTGAATGTATAATATGTACAAATAAACCATGTATTAATCCATCCATGACACTTCCATGTTTTCATTATAATTTTTGTACACATTGTATTGCAACATGGTTACAATGTAGTGAGAAATGTCCACTGTGTAATACTATTGTTACTAATTTAGTACATGATATATTTAGTACAATACATTTTCAAGTTACTAATTTAGGAAATGAAAATAGAATTGAATCTTTACCTCAACATACTTTTAGACATTTAATTTATTATTCAAATGATCCTATTTATACAATTTATAATTTAAATATTCATAAAAAAAAAATTATTAATGAAAATTTAAATTTAGAAAATAGAATTAAATTATTTCTAAAAAGGGAATTAGAAACTATAACAAGATCATTTAATATTAATATTTTAAAATTACATATTGAAAGTTTATTATCATCTAAACAATTTCATTTTACAAAATTAATTAATGATTGGTCACCCAAAGATGGTAATTACCAATTTAATAATTTAATTTTATTATTTCAAAAAGAAATTGAAAAATATTTAAAACAATATACAAATCATTTTATTCATGAATTATTATTATTTATAATGTCAAATATTTCACATCCAGATCGTTATGATACACTTGTTGAATATAAACGATTTTCCTATCTATTTAAATAATTTGTAACATATATTGTAATAGTATTTAAATAATAATTCAATTCATTAATATTGTGAAAAGAATAAAAAGAAGCAGAAATATGAGAGAAACAAATTGATGCTACACAAAAGATGCCTCTTTAAACAGAGTACATACTTGAATATCTTCAGTACAATTTAATATCCTTTAGTTAGCCAATTCTTTTATTTCAATAACAAGGTTATTTAATATTATTAATATTTTAAAATTACAATGACAGATATTTTTCAAAAATTCTTGTGCGATGAGGAAATGTCAAATCAAAAAAAAAAATGGAAGAAGAACGTGAAGCAACATTAGATTCCGAACCAACAACACGTGTTGTTGTAATTCTAATTGATCACATTAAAAATACTGATGATCAAACAACAACAGCATCGAGATGTGAATTATTAATGACAAGTAAATTTTCAGAAACAAGGCTTGATTTTCTCTACAAGGAAACTCTTATATATTTAGCTAAAAGATTTGATAGGAAGGATTTTATTTCATTATATCACAATGATAGAAAGTTTGTTCTAGCACTATTAAAGAGTGATTGTATTGATGCTGATATTTTACCTCAATTATTAGAATATTTTGCTAGTTTGATGAAATTAACATCGGAGGATGAAGAAATTATTGCACTCCTAATGATCAAAAACCATTTATCACAAAATCAAGTGAATGGAATGGCACATCTATTAGAACATAATACAAGATTTCTACATCAAGTTGCTTCTTATGGTTTTTTTCTTGATAAATTAACTGATAGAGATTTTGTAATTGATCTAGTAATGGAGAAACCAAAGAGATACAAATCTTTGAGTTCAGATTTGAAAAATGATAGAGAGGTTGCAAAGGCTGCCTTTTCAAAAAGAGGATCTTTGATTACCAATGAATTCTACAATGATAGAGAATTACTGCTCATTGCATTGACTAATGATGGTTCAGTCTATTACAACCTTGATGAAGAACTAAAAAATGATTTGGAAATTATTAACATTGCTGTCAAAACTTGTCCTGAATTGTTGAGCGAATTGGATTGTTCCTTCTTCAATGATGTTGAATTTTCAGAGAGGGCTGTAAAATTATTGCCAAATGTTTTAAAATTTGTTCCACAAATATTAGAGGATTTGGAATTAGTTAAAAGGGTTTTTAGTGCTGAAGTTCTTCCTTATTTAAAGTCTATTCACTTGCAAGATGATGAAATTAGATCACAAGTTGAGAACCTTGTAAAGGAATGTAAAGAGAATTATACGAGAGCTAGTAGTGATTTGAGAATGGATAAAAAACTTGCACTTTTAGCTTTAGAAAATGGTGTAAAATTATCCTATATATTAATTCAAGATTATGACTGTTACAAATTGGCTATTACCAAAAATCCTCAAACCATTTTTTTTTGTGACCCTGAATTCTTAAAAAGTCATTTTGATTTGGTAGATTTGGCATTCTCATTACATGGTCCAATGCTTTATTATGATTTGCCATCAAATATTAAGCATGATCCAATTTGTGTAATGAAAATAATTGAGAAAGAACCATCTGTATTCTCAAGTCTTGAAAAGGAATTGAAACAAGATGAACAGGTTTTAAGTTTATATTATAGTTTGCTTGATACTTCAAAAGAAACTGTTAAATTGGTGGAAGGAAAGAAATTATATATGAATACTTCTTTTCAAACCAAACCATTTTATGATTTTACACCATCTGATTTTTCCAATATCAAACCATTCTCACTTGATACAAGTAATAGTGCTTTTAAATTTGGATTATCAAATACATCAAATACTGCTACTACAAGTACAAGTACAACAACCACCAACAATGGTGAATTAGTGAATCCATTTGCCAATAAGAATCCATTCTCCCTCACTTCATTCACAATAGTTCATCAACTAATACCATGAATCCATTCTCAAAACCAGTCATTTCAAAAACTCTTACTTTACAAGAAGAGATTCATTTATCAAATGATAAGAATTTTCTTAAACAAGTTTTTGAAAAGGATGCATTCTTATTTAGATATTGTAATGAAAATTTAAAAAAGGATCAGGAATTTATTCTTGAATTAATGACCAAGCATACAGGAGCAATTTTCCAATTTGCTGATAATTCTTTGAAAGAAGATAAGGATTTTGTTTTAAAGGCCATTCCTATTTCTGTTACAGTTTCCAAATTTATTTCTCCCAATTTGAAAGAAGATAAGGAAATTATTTTGAAAGCATTGAAAACATCACCTGTTGCCTATGCATTCTTTGATAATTCTGTTCTATTTTGTGGAGATCAGGATATTGCTTATAGGGCTGTTAAATCAAATCTCCATATTCTTAAAACTATTAGTATTGATTATTTTAAGGATCGTAAATTTGTCTCTCAATTATTCAAGTTAATGTTTAGAAAGAAAAAGTACAAGAAGAAGAAGAATGGAAATAATCAAAAAACAACAACAACTAATAGTACTACTACTAATTAGTACTAGCAACTACTGCAACTACTAGTATTGTATTATAAAGATGATAATCATCTATTTCTCCGTGTTAATAGTTTAGTATTTCAATATTATTATTAAGAGATACCTGATATCTTTTATAAAATTAATTTAAACCTATTGTGATAAATTAGCAGTTTACCTTCCATAACCGGAGGTAGACCTCCGATCGTTTTCGTGTTGACACACGTGTGAAAGAAAGATTTCAATATTCATTAAAAAATGAAACTATTTACTATTGTGCTGCTTGTTATCTTTGCATCTTTGTGTTATTGTGAAGAGTTATCCATTCATCATCATCATCATCACTACTCAACATCTACATCAACAATGTATAGTACTATTGATGGAGATATCTCTTCAACTACTAGTACTACTAATCTAACTATTTGGGAAAGAAAATACTATGAAATAGACCCTTCGAATTATGTTTACTTTCCTTCACTTTATATGAAAGCATACATGTGGAAGGATAATCCCAAATTACAATCACTATTACAATCAACATTTAGAAATATAACTAACAAGGATGATTTTATTAGTGTGTTAAAAGACCAATCATTGAATAATGGTCAAGAATCAACTTTAAAAATAGGAGCAATTCTATATAATAATGAAGATGATAGAGCTTTCTATAAACGATTCATTCGTGATTTTCTAAAATTTCACAATATTTCACATGTACAACCATTGATTAGTTATACTACTTATAATTTAGGTACATGTCAACCTAATGTATTTGATGTATTTGACATTGTCATTTCTACCAATTTCATGTTTTATCAATTAATAAGAGTTCATAGAAGTGGTGATAGAAAATCTCAAGGTTTTTATTCAATTTCTGATTTTTCATCCATTTACTTGGAACCCTTAGTAATATTTCAAGGTAATAGAAAAGAATTGACACTTTCAGATTTTAATTCTTACAAATCTCGAGGTCAATTCTATGAAAGACCTAATTGTCTCAATCAAAATACTTTAAATATTGTTGCTAATTATGAATCTTCTGTAGAATATGATTTGAGAATTTTGAGTGGAGAAAATGGGACATTCTTTCATTCATCAGAATTGAAATTTTTAAATCAATTCAATAAGGAAGTTCTACAATTAGTTCCTCAGAATGTTTCAAATTCATGGATGAAACAAATTATTCAATTTTATAATATTAATGATAATGATATTACTAGTAATAATACATTAATCTATCAATCATTTCTCATTCCAGAATGTGCTGTTTGTAAGGCAGATTTTTGTGAGGATTTTAATTTTTATGAAGTTGATTATTGGATTATTCCAATGACACTTTTAGTAATTATACATTATATTGTATTATTTACATCTAAGGCATTTATGACACCAGCTCTGAAAATTCGATTATTGGTTCCTTATATGCCTATTTTTGCTTTATATTTTGAGGTTCAATCAATTTTAGTATTTGGAAGGAGTTGTGCTGCTGCTAGGTTTATAGTTGTTGGTTATTTAATTACATGGTATTTACTAACATATTCTTTTACCATATTTAGAGTTTACTATTTGAGAAATTTGTATCACTTTATTAGTAGTTCTGGAAAAAGTCTAGAAGATTCAAAACAAAGAATTAGATTTCAAAGAAAAATAGTCAATCCATGGGTTGGTGCCTTAATTACTTGTGGAGCAGCCTTGCTATTTGCCTTAATTCTTGGAAGTCCATTCTTACTCATTATTAGTTATGTTGATGACATTTTTAGAAATAGAGTACTTATTATTAATGCACTCATTGGATTCTATTTTGGACTTGGTTGTTTAATTGGAGGTATTGCAATTATAATTGACTTGATTATTAATCGTCAAAAATTGAAAGAAAAAGGATTGAGACACATTTTATTCTTTGATGATCCATTCTTAATTAGATTGGAAGTTATTTTACTTTCACTTGTTATCATTTTTATTATTTTAATTACAATTTTCACAGGTGCTGGCAATGGACATGTGGAGAGAGCCTTTAGATTTGTAATTTATGTTATTGTCATTCTCAACTCGGGATTATTGACTAGTTTTAAACATATTATTACTCAATTTTCTAATAGAAAATCACACAATGAAGCATCTAAATTGGAAGTTTATTTGAGAAATGATGCTTTTAAAATTTTAATGAGGGAATATTGTGTGAAGGAAATGTCAGTTGAGAATTATAATTGTTACATCTTTTTGGAACAGATAAGAGAGCGGAAGGATCAAACTATTGATTTGGAAACAATTAAAGAGTTTGAGAGGAATTTCATTTCAGTGAATTCTATTTACGAGTTGAATATTCCATCACAAGTAAGAAAATCATTTCATCAATTATTGAAACAAGTTGAAGATTTGGGTAAAAACAATAATAATTCACCTCCGCCAAAATATTCAGATCTATTGGAGACACTTCTCTTTAGTATTCTCACTAATTTGGGAGATACTCACAATAGATTGGAATCAACTAAGGAATATAAGGTTTGGCAGGAAGTCTACGAAATCCAAGCTAAATCATCAATACATTAAGCACTCTTAAAGTTAGTCCACCATTAGTGTTATCAAATATAGTTTGCCATATTATGAACTCGATTAATCGTTGGATAGAAAAATGTTAGAGGCTTTGATAATAATTTCTCCATCGCGAATACTCTTCACCTCTGTAATCTACGTGGCCTTAATTAAATTTCTTCATCAAAAAAAATGGCCATCTCTCAATTCTATATTCTCTCCACTAGAGGTGATAAAATTATTGCAAGGGATTGTACGTAATTTTGAATGAATCAATTACTTATATATGAAAAGATCGTTATGATATTGTAAAGGGATCTGAGGAAATTTTCTTCAGAAAGATAAAGAGTATGGATAGTGAAGGGTTCCCTGTATTTGTAAGTTATCAAGGCTTGTTTTTAATCATGATGAAATTATTGAAGGAAGTACAAGGAATTCAATTTGTTTCCCTCAAAAAGAGTAACATGTATTTTGTAATTACTACTAGAAATAACGTTTCCGCCATCACTTATATTCAATTCCTTGCCAGAATATCAAACCTTATTAGAGATTTTTGTGGTACTTTGAATGAAGAGAGTGTGAGGCAAAACTTTACATTAATCTATGAAATTCTTGATGAAATTATAGATAACGGTTTCATTCAGGACTGTAACACCAAATTACTTAAAAGCTTTATATCTAATGAACCTGTTGAAGTTGAACAACAATCATCAATTCTTCAAACTTTATCAAACACCTTCTCAGTAAGTATTCTACTATTTACCATTGATATTCAATAACAATCTTTCCAGTTAACCGAACAAAGAACAGTTAATAGTACCGCTGCAGCAAGACCTATTCAAGGCGGACAAAATAAGAAGAGTGAATTGTTTCTTGATGTTCTTGAAAAGATTAATGTTACATTTTCATCAGCAGGCAATGTTTTGAATTCGGAAATAGTTGGATCTATTATAATGAAATCTTTCATTCCAGGTGATCCACTCATCAAGTTGGGATTAACTGAAGGATTAGTAATTTCATCTGAAGAGAATAGACCTTATGGTACTGTTGTTCTGGATTATGTTAAATTCAGTGAATATGTTGACTTGAGAGAATTTGAACAATCTCGTGTTTTGAGTCTTTATCCTCCTGATGGAGAATTTAGTGTTATGGATTATAGAGTTTCAAAAGAGTATAATGTACCATTTAGAATTACACCTTATGTTACTAAGGAATCTCAATTCAAAGTTAAATTATTGGTAACATTGAGAAATGAACTCCCAGCAACTAAACAAGCAACAAATGTAGTGGTTAGAATTCCAGTTCCAAAGGATACTGCCACTGTTAGTGTTGAATTTGGTGTTGGTCAACAAAACAGTTATGAATATAATGCAGCTGATCAAGTAGTTTTGTGGGGAATTAAGAAATTCCCAGGTTCATTGGAACAAGTTATTAAGATTAATGTTGTAACAAATAGTGCCATCACATATGCCTTGTCACCACAAATGGGACCAGTTGGTATGAGATTTGAAATTCCAATGCACAATTGTAGTGGTCTTGAAGTTAAATATCTTAAGGTTGTTACCCCAACCTCTTTGGCTACTCCAAAGAAGTCAACTGAACGTAAGTTTCATTTAATTTTAAAATATTTACCATTTTTAAAAGCTTCTCGTTATGTGAGATGTATAACACAAGCTGGAAGTTATCTTTGTAGAGTAAATTGCGATTAAGAATTTTGTGTATTAAAGTAAAATATTATTGAAAATTAAATCTTTGAAAAAACTTTTGAAATATCTCTTTCGTTTCTAATAAATTCATCAGTTTGTAATAAGTGTTGAGTTTGAGCTTGTTGCTCTAATACTCGTTTCATGACATTACTCAAATCATCGGTTTGTGTCTTGATAAATTGTAATTGTTCCATAATATCTTTAGAAATTAATTGAGGAACAATATTAGGATTATTCAAATCAATCTCACTATGGAAGAGACATTTTTCTAATTCAATATTCTTCTCTAATCTATTTAGAATGTTGTTAGTATAATTAATTATTATTACTTACACTTTCCCAATCATTAAATTCAATTCTAATTTTAATGCATGAATCTCCTTTTTAGTTTCATTAATAGTATGTCGTAGAGCTTCCGATAAATTTTGAGTTTTTAAAGGAGCTATATTCGAGTAATGAGTGAAATATTGATATTGACAGTACTTACAATTCGAAATAAAATTCTGAAAATCATTTGATAAAATTGAATTCAAATCTGAATGTATCGAGTAGAGTGATGACGATACATCCTCCGAATTTGATAATTCTTCTTGTTGCTTATCAATCAACTGAATTTCACTCAATCTCTGATAATGGTATAATCTAGTTTCAAATCCTTGTAAAATTTCATTTAATTCAATTATTATACAGTTAATTAATAAATAGTCCTTATAAATATTTGTATATTCCATATTAAAACATTCGTTTAACAACCTTAGAGTTGAATATCTTGTCAGTACATGATTAACTATCATGTTTAATTCTTCATTTCTTTTTTGTTCAAAATCTATTTTCTTAATATAATCTTGATTAATTACATTTACAGAATTCAATTCTGTTAAATCCTTTACCAGAATAGGTATATCATTTGTTATATATTGTAAAACAATTGATTTCAAATTAGCTACCTGTTTCTTAGTCTTTTCAATATTCTCAATTATTGTAGAAATATCCAAATGTTGATAATTATGTAAATGTTCTTTTTGATTATTTGCACTTTCTAATGATGCCTGTAACTTTTTATATGACGTTAAACTTGTTAAATATTGTTCCTCCGTTGTTTTATATCTATATTAATGTGGTTAATATGATGATTGTTGATTATTATTGAATGAATACTCACATGGATGATAATCTGTTCAATTCCTTGGAGTGCTTTTCTAAATTATCCTCACCAGCATCATTTTCATTAAATTTATCCATTAATTGTTTCAGATTTTCTTCAACCATTCCATCATTTTCTAAATTCAATTCAGTTAAATTTAAGAGAGAATGATTAGAAAGCGCCTTCACATATTCTTCAACACTATTCTTAACTTGAGTCAGTATTCTAGTAAATTCCAAATTTTTCATTGAAATAGATTGAACATTCTTTAATTGTTTTTCTCCCAACTTTTCAAAATAATGTTTTAATTTATCTTTTTGAATTTTTTTCTTTTCTAATTGATTTTCCAGTATATCCAATTCTTCATTCAATAATTCCAACTCCTTCTCTAAATCTTCAATAGGAGTTTCATCTTTATTTCTATAAAAATCATCACCCAATTCAAGTGCTTGTTCCAAATCATGTCCATGTAATATTCTTCCTTGTTTTTCCAATTCTTCAAACTCTTTAATTTCATTCTCTGTCAAGATCATGGATTCTGATTTAATAATATTACATAATTTTAATATAAAACTTGTTGATGTTTCATTGCAATGAAAAATCCAATCAAGAACACTCGGGTCCACTGGTAAATTAAAGCCTTCTTCCTTTGATGAAGGATATGTTTCCAAATCACCATAATTCAACTTTCGTAATAAGAGATGAAGTAATTTCCCTTCCGAAGATGATGATGAAGATCCACTACCACCACTACCACTATTATGATCAATAGCACCTCGACGAGACATTGAAGAAGAATTAAACTTTAACATTTTTTTGTTGGTGGAAATTGAATTAAATTTTGGCGGGAAAGTCAAAGATGAAATATTGAATCAACCTAATATAATATTAGAAGAGTATCTTCATGCAATGTTAAATTCATTACAATCTTTAAATTTCCTTCGAAATGTCCTCTTTTTATATTTCTAATTGAAACCAACAGCATCAAGTTGATAATAAATTTCAAAGCCTAAAAAAATGTCAACCGTAGAAAGATCGTTATCATCATCATCGGAACATGTGGATCCTATTCTACAAATAATTATTATGGAATTTACTCCATTGGTTGATGAATCGATTATTAGAGATTTATATTTGGAGAATGGATGTGATTTTGATAAAACTATCAATGAAGTATGTTTTTTAATATTTTAATTATTATTCATCATTAAATATTGATGAATATGTTCATGATCATCAACATTCATACGCCAATTATAATGTCATCAACATTCATAACAATTTAATGATCATCATTTAGTTATATTTCATCTTGTCATCTAATGATCCTTCTATTTCGGATATAGAATCCAATGCAGATTCTCTAAATAATATTTCTAATGTGGCAACATTTAGTGATAGTGATAATTATCAAGATTTTTCACTTCATTCACCAATTAATAGAGATGATGAAAACAATGTATTACTACTTTACCATATGTTTAAAGATATTAAAAGTGGAGATGAAGATTTAATTGAAAAGGATTTTATTCAATTTTTATATGAAGAGAATGACAAGGATTTATTTCAAACTATGGAAGTATTACGTAGAGCATTATGTAGTCAATATGATGATATTTCTATTCCAGAAACTAGTGTAAATAATAATCAAAAACAACCTTCATCGTTATTTGCTGCAATTGAACGAAATAAGCCACTTAGTGAAATGGCACGAGAATTACCAGTGTATTTTATAGTAGAAGATGAACAAGAAAAGAAAAAGAAACAAAAACAAAAGCAAAAACAGAAAACAAGCGAAAAGAAAAAGAAGGTTGAAATGGAAACTAAGGACAAACAACAAAAAATGAAACAATTATGTGAAATATTCCCAAATATTGACAGATCCATGATAGAATCTCAGTTAATTGCTAGTAATTTCAGTGTTGAAGAAGCTACCTTGTATATTTTAAATCAAACCACTAAATCATCTGGTAATAATCAAAAGAAGAAACCTAGTAATAATGGTAGAGGTGTTGTAAGAAACGATTTACTTGTTGGTGGGTCTAGATGGAGTACTAATAGTGGCTCTATTTCTCCAACCTCTACTCCTAAGTCAAACCTCAGTTTGCAAATGAAAAAACAAAAATTATCCGATCTTATCAAAGGAAAGGGTGTATCTCTCGAGTTTGCAACTGAAATTTTTGCTCAATGCAATGAAAACTTGACCAATACCATTGAAACACTTGCAGAAATGTATCCTAATCAATTTAAGAATCAATCATCTAGTGAAGATTTACTAATCAAGCCAACTAGTCAAGAAGTTATCTATGGTACCACTATTGGTCCACAATCAGCTGTTTTACCATCCAATATTGTAAATGTTAATGAGAATAATTCTAGAAATCAATCAAGAATTGCATTGGATGAGCTTATGCAAAAGAGAAAGCATTTCCAACTACCTGACTTGGTTGACACTGAATCTAGTTATTTGCAAGCATCTAATCAATATACAAAATTAAGAGATAAGTTTATGGAGCTTGCTGTCAGAGCACAACAAAATGGAAATTATGGATTGGCGACAAACTACATGTCTAAAGCAAGACAATACTCAATAATTGTTGAAAATTGTCATGATAGAGCAAATGAAATTTCAGTAAGAGAGCAAACAGGAGGAAAGATGATAACAAGGCCAAGAAATCTCGATTTGCATGGTTTGGTTTTACAAGATGCCTTGGAAACATTAGAAGAATTCCTTAACAAGATGAGAAATTCATGTGAGAAGGTTAATATTATTACAGGTTCAGGAAAACACTCCAAGAACAACCAGCCTGTTTTGTTACCTGCAGTTAATCAATACTTGTTAGAAAATGGATATGATTTTAAACAGCTAGGAAAAGGTGTGTTCCAAGTTAAATTCAGATAGTAGTAAATGGAATTTTAATTTTTCTAACAGCCATTTTCAAGTGAATCTCTGAATTATTACGGAAACATTACACAAGTTAATGGATGGATTCAAGTTTTTTGATGAGCTCAGAGGCATTTTGGATTCTCTCTTTAGGATTAGAGCATAACATTTTAACAAATACGTCTTTCAATTTTGCATTCTCAATAATATCCAACAATTCCATAATCTTCTCTACTTGAGCATGATCTTTCATCCAAGAAACTCAAACATGACAAACCTAAAGAAAATATATCAGCGGCAGTGCTTGCATACGGTATTTCAGACTTTTTGGAGAGAAAATTGTCATATTATGGAGGATGAAAACCTTTAGTGCTTCCCAGAATTGTACAAAATTCAAAATCTATTAACACCACATCACCATCCTTAATCAACAAATGTTGTGGCTTAATATCTCCATGAACAATATCTTCATCATGCAGTTTCTTTAAAGCACATGCAGCAGAATGCAACAAATCAAATAATTGTTCCTTCTTAATTGTATTCAAGTTTTTGGCAACAGACATGATCAAAGTGTTCATTCCATTTCCCCAACGTGAATTGTTAATAACTAAGGAGTTTAGAGATTGTTCCATGTTGAATGGTTTTAAGTTAGTATATTGTTTGACAACTTCGTGATCTTTCCTATTATTGTCACTTTCTCTAATTTGAACCAAGTAAACAATTGATCTTTCATTCTTTGACTTGTATCGAATATTAGACGAAACCATTAAATAGGCTAACATACAAATAGCTTGAAACGGTACTTGAAACAAGACATATCTGGAATTTCAATTTGTTCAAGTATTTTCTAATTACAATATTTGGCGAATCTAAAATCGTCACCTCAGAGTTTACTATTTCCAATAATTTCAAGATATATCTCGAACAATACATTGAATAGAACATTAAATTATCAACTTCTTGGTTTCAACAAAAAACCCACGAGCTCTGGTTCCATGAATAGTTATGGGATTACTTCCAGCACAAAACAACGAGTTGTCAATGGCAATTAGTTGCTTTCTTAAGAATTTTGGGAAAAACTCTTTTAAACAAGTAATTTTGTTCTGAATAGTTTCTTCTTCAGATGAGCTTGCAGACTCACTTTCAAAAGAATCCTGACTTCTCTCGTCTGATCCAACTAAAGCATCACTTTCTTCATCCTTTTCTTTTTTAATTTGTTTCAAACATATACTTTCAATTGTGTAACAATATCTGAAATATTCAAAGTATTGACAGTAAATTCAAATGGTACTTTGCCATCCTTAAATCTCAAGTAATAGTGTAACGATGAAGGAAGGAAAGAAGTTAAGGAAAATCTATTGCTGGGTTTCCTTATGCAACTTATCCATCAATTGAAGGGATTGTCTTGCAAGCATTTTCAGAATATTAATAATTGAACTTCTTAAAGGACTTACAAGTCTTTGGAGAGGTCGTTAAAGCAATGAAACCTACAGTCCAAATTGAATCTTTTCAACTCAACATTAAAAAATACTTTCGAATATTTCATTTAGGTGAGTCTACAAGTAGTAACCTAATAACCTAATTAATTTAAATGAAACTGTATAATAAAAGAAGATGGATAACATTATATTTCAACATTTATCATTTAGGAAATTTACAATAAAACGTCAAAGTTATTCGAATATTGTTCTTGTCGAGACATTAAAATAAACTAAAAAAAAATGTCATCATACAACAACAATATAAATTCACCACCTCAAACACCAGGTGATCTAAATAGTTCCTTTATTGAAGATTATGATGAAATTGAAGAATTTCATGAAGAAATTAATGTTCAATCATTTTCACCTGCCATCCTTCAAACGTCACCTTCATTTAAAACTCCTAAACAAGTTTTAATATCATTAAATAATTTAAATGATGATCAAAAACCAATCATTGATGAATTTATTGAAATGAATAAGAAATTAAAATATCACAAATTTGATCAATTTGAATTGGGTGATGAATATGGTGGAATGAAATTATCACTTCCAACCAATATTTATAAACCTATTTTTACAAATGAAAAGACAGGTGCTGTTAAAGTATTAGGTATGTTATATTCTATATTGTAATGAATATTTAATATTTAATAATATTGTAATTAATATTTAAAAATATTGTAATGATGGGTAATGAAAAAAAATACATAAAAAATAGGAAAAGGATCATTTGGTGTTGTGATTGAATGTTTAGATATTGAAAGAAATGAAAAAGTAGCCGTAAAGAAATGTATCAATGCTCTAAATATTGCACCGTGGAATATTATAAGAGAAATTGAATGTATGAAACATTTACGTGGACATCCAAATGTCATTGAACTCATTGATGTATATATTGATTATAATAGTTTTGATAATGAGAATTCAGATATTTATGTTGTAACTGAATTGTGTGGAAAGACAATGTGGGAATATTTGAATGAAAAAACATTTCCCGCCAATTTTATTACAGAACAAGAAATTAAGAATTTAATGTCACAATTGTTATCTGTTTGTGTTTTTATGCATAGTGCTGATATTTTACATAGGTATGTTTAATATTTATTCAAATATTTACAAAAATTATAATATTGTAAAATTATAATATTGTTGTAAAATATTTAGAGATATTAAACCAGAAAATATTTTAATGAAAGGTGATAGAATTAAATTAATTGATTTTGGATCTGCAACTAAATGTAGAGAACAACAACAAGTTGAACATATGGAATCAGTTTATGTTGTCACTAAATATTATAGACCTCCAGAAGTAGTTTTAACTTCTGATCAACAATCTCCTGCCATTGATTTATGGTCAATTGGTTGTGTATTTGCTGTAAGTAGTACTACTTGATTGAATAATTGCGAACACTGTTTTGAATGGTGTTTGTTACTCATTCATTCTTTAAAAATAATAATAATAGGAATTACTCTTTTTACTTGAAGATCCACCATGTAGACAACCATTATTCTTTGTTAAAAACTCTGGAATGTTAAGTGTTAAAGAACACTTGATGAAAATTATTGCAATTTGTGGTAAACCAGCTCCAAATGAAATTATTGCAAGTGAACGTGGAATGGAATTCTTCCAAAGTTTATTAACAAAAACCAATCAACCAAAAGTACCACTTGAAGCAATCTTTGTAAATGCATCACATGAAGCTCTAGATTTATTGAGTAAATTATTAACATGGAGTCCTAAGAGACGTATTACACCTGAAGCTGCTCTTCGTCATCCTTACTTGAAGAATAACCCATTCATAGACACTAATAATGCAGATGAAGAATTCCAAATCAATTTGGTGTTGAACTCTGTCAAAATTACAGATCGAACTGAATCAAATAATTGGAAATTAACTCAATGGAAGAGATGTTTAAAGGAATTACTAATTGAATGGAATAACTAGGCAAATAAAACCAAATGCATCAATTTTTCTCCGTATTGTTCTTCAAATTTTACAATTTCTCTCTGTACATCATTTTCCCAATCTTCACTTTCATTCAAACGTTTAGCAAACTCTGCAATATATTTGGCATTTCTTTCAGCTTCCTCAGGTGTATCCTTTACGTTAATGTTGATGATGTGTGTTGGTCTATCATACATGGTTTGATTGGCAATCATACTTTCAATAACAGCATCAAACACTCTATCTTCGAAAGTAATAACAACATCAAAGTGATTAATATTTTCTTGCCACTTCTCTGGTGCTGTCTTAATTTGAGCATTTCTTGTTAACATCTTTAACAAACCAAGTCTTGTATAACTAATTTTAAAGAGAAGTTCCAATATTGTTGTTGTTGTGAATAGTTCCACACCATTATCATCAATATTAAATAATATTAAATAATAGAAATACATAAAACCAAATAACAAATACATACTATTCTTCATCTTGTGATTTCAAATCGTTGAAAATGTCTTGATAGGAAGTACCAAAATCGTAAATATTTGGAGAGTCTCTTGATTTACCAGGTAATTTGACTGATGAACCTGTACCAAAACTGCTAACGTTCATTCTATACTTCTTTTGCAACAAATAGTGAGCAGACATGGATCTGTTCTGATTGGAAGCACAAACAACAGCAAAGGAAATCTTTTGTACAACAGCTTCCTCACCACTATTACTCAATTGTTGTGATGATTGTGATCCGCTTCCATATTCTCCTTTAAAATTGTCATAGCCTTGATCTTGTTGTTGTTGTCTGTGATAATTTCTATTATCATTTCTATTATTACGAGTATTGTAGTAGTCATTACCACCTCCACCACCACCACGACCTCCACGTGAATATCCACCTCCACCACCACCTCCTTGATCATTATAGGCTTGGAATTCAGAAATACCACCTCCTCGTGAACCTCCTCCTTGATATCTTTGACTCATTTTTTTGTATTTAAATATTTAATTTAAAAAATTTATTGATAATAATAATTGATTAGTGAACAGGTTTCTATCTAATACCCAGACTGTGAATTTAAATGTAAGGATTCATAATTTTGCAAATATTAAAAAAGAATCTTGTTATTTTTCTATTTTTAAAGTTTTTATTATTTAAAAAATGAAAGAAAGCCTTTCAACTAACACATCAATGGTGGTGCCATCTGATCGGAAGAGATTATTCAAGAGTGGAAGTAGAAGCAGTTATTATATTGCTGCTATTAGTTTGATATTTATAGTTAGTGGATATAAGAATTACGTAGAGGCAACATCATCAACAACAACAACAACAAATACATCTTCATCGTATGGTGTTGTAGATTTTATAATTGACTTGGGAATGGTGTTTGCACCAACTATTGGTTATTTTGATCAAATTCGTTTGATGATCAAGAATAATGATTCAAAGGCTTTCTCTAGATTTATCAGTTTAATTTTACTTTCATCTAATTTATTGAGAATTTTCTTCTGGTATTTGAAACAATTTTCTATGGTTATGCTTTTTCAATCAATTGTTATGATTTTATGTCAATTAGTTACGCTCTTTGTGGCTGTTAAATATGGAAAGGAAAAGAAGCGACAAGAAAATGAAAGAAACGATAATGAAAATCCTTCTGCATTGATGGATAGAGAAAATCCTAGAGATTTTACATCATTAATTCAAATTGATACAAATCAATTTTTAGATCGTTTTTGGAAATGGGATGATTTCTCTTACTATTTGTGGACTAATCTTTTTTTTATAATTTTTGTGCTAGTTATTTCATTATTCTTTTATCCAATTTTCCCTGTGACTTATACTGAACTACTTGGAATGTTGAGTGTTACTATTGAAGCATTACTGGCAGTTCCTCAAGTAATTACTAATTTCCAAAATGGATCAACTGAAGGATTGTCACTTGTATTAATCGCTACTTTTGTTCTTGGTGATACACTCAAGACAGCTTATTTTGTTTTCAAACAATTACCATATCAATTTGTTTTTTGTGGAGCCTTCCAAATATTTGTTGATATGATCATGGTAATACAAATGATTTACTATAACTTTGTGACTAGGGGTAGTGCTTATGCCAACAAGTTCCAAGAAGTTGACAGTATTGGTGAGTTGGAGGATGAAGAAGAAGAAGAAGAGGAAATCAATCTTGAGAGCGTTTCTGAGAGCAAAGACCAAATTGCTGAACAAATAGAAAACCTTGAGGAACCTATTAAAACAGAACTAGCAACCCAGGAGAAAACTGAATCTAGCAATAATAAGGAAAGTGAATCTGTATAAATTGTAAATAGCTCAGTAAATTATTATAAATTAAGTTTCAATTTATCGTTTGGTTTTTGATTGTGAGGCACTTCTAAACATCAAGCTTTGAGTTCCACCAACTGTGGCCGTAAAGTTTTGACTCATCATCGAACCCGAATCCATCATCTTATCAAGTGGGGGAAGTTTGGAAGTAGAAGTTTTCTTTTGTGGTGGTTGGATTGTTGCTGTATTGGTTGGTTGAGGTTGTTTGGCTGCTAAAGGGTTAATAACTCCAACATTTGGCTGTCTACCGAATGTCTTATTGTATGTTTCTTCTCTATTTACCAATTCCATCTTGTAGTACTTCATATCACGTACAGTCTTTTGAAGAAGAGCTTCCTTATCAGCTAGAGTCTGTTGAAGAACCTTAATTGTTTCAACATCTTCAGGTCTACTCTCTCTGTTTTGGTATTTGAGTTCCCATTCTCTAATTTTCTGTTCCAATAAAGTGTTTCTTTCTTCCATAATATTTTGAGCTCGAGTAAATTCAGTTTGAAGATTCTTGGTTTCTTGTATGTGTTCTTCTATCATGTCATTGATTCGTCTCTTATGATCATCAATAAGCATTTTCTCTCTTTTCTTCCAATCTTCGTTCATTTGCACTTGAAGATCTGCATAATCTTTGGCTGCTCTCTTTTTAAGCTCTTCATATTCTGTTTTACTTTTATCCAATTGGTCTAACAACTGGGCACGTTCAGCCAAGAATTGATTTTTAAGTGATTCCTCAGTTTGATACAGTTTTTCGTTTGACACTCGAATGAGTTCATCTATTTTAGCTCTTTGTTCCTTGATTAACTCTTCAGTATTGTGCTTATCCTTCAGTCTGGCAGCCTCCATTTCCTGTTGATGTTTGGCTTCTAGACTTTGAACATATGCTTGTTGATCTTCTTTCAATTTCTCCATTTGTCTCAAAAGGGCTTCTTCTCTACCTAGGCCATCTTTTATACTATTATTAAGCATATTAATTTGATTCAAATGTTGTTGAATTTCTCGTTCACGATTTTCAATTTCTCTTTTAAGGGCTGCAATCTTAGAATCATATGTCTCTATTATATCCTTCTTTTCTTTTTCCTTTTGTCTATCTAGGGTCTTTAGAGATTCCTGTTTATCTATTTCACATTTCTCCATGGATGTGTTGTGATTTGAAAGAATCAGTTGTATCTCTTCCATTTTCTTGGTGAGCTCATTTTCAAGGTTTGCTATTTTTCTTAACAGTTGATTCTTTTCATTCTCCAGATTATCAACTCTCAACTTCCATGATTTTTCCACAGTATTTCTCTCAGACTGCCCGTTTTCTTGAAGTTCTCTGATAAGTCTTTGTCTTTCTGAATTAAATGATTCGGTCAGTTCCATCTTGAGTTTTTTAAGCTCTTCCATGAGCCTTTGATCGAATTGTCTTTCCATTTGCAGTTTCATTTCACCCATTTCTCTAACCTTATTGCTAGCAGCAATTCTAAGCTCTTCTTTTCCCTTTTCCACAGTTAATGCGAGTCTGTTTTCGAGATCCTTTAGATCTTTTTGCAAGTTGTCTCCTCTTGCTTTTTCATCTAAGGTTTTCAATTTCTGAGCCTCGAGTCGTTGATTCAATGAAGTCTCCCTCTTCAATGCTTCTTGAAGTTTTCCGTGAAGGTCCTCCATTGATGAATTACTATCTCTGTTGAGTTGGTTAATTTGGTTCTTGAGAATATTAATCTCTGAATCTCTTTCGTCTATTATTGTTGTAAGATCTTTCTTCAATTGATTATACCCAGCCTGAGAGCTTGATTTGAGCTCTTCTATTTGCTTTTGAATTAATCCCAAATCATGCTTAGACTTATTAGCAAGATCTTCCAATTCCTTCTTCTTCTGCTCGATAACCGACTGGAGTTGCTTTCTTTCAATATCAAATTCATCTAATAACTTTTGCTTGAGATCTGTGAGCTGTTTGTTGGAGTTCTTAGCAAGTGTATCCACAGAATTTTCTTGGTCTCTTTTGAATTTTTCCATCTTTTCATCATAGACTTTCTTAAGTTTATCCATTTCCTCTGCAAACCTAGCTTCCATCAATGACTTTTCCTTCTCCCTCTCTATCTTAAAATTTTCAATGTCATGCAACAAATTCTGTTCTCGTTTCAGCATATCCGAAAGTTGCTTTTCCTTTTCTGCAAGTTGTTTTTGTAAAGATTGAACCATTTTGTCTTTTTCATCAATAGTTAAAGAATTTTGTGTGAGTGATTGTCTTAAGGATGCAATTTGTTGTTCTAGAGATTTGATTTCTGATTGTTTTTGTTTGAGCTGTCTTTCTACGTCTTCCAATTTTGTAGTCATCATTGTTTCTGAAGAACCGTGTGAATCCTTAACTTCTTGAATCATTTTCCTAAGCTCATCCAACTCAGCTTCTAGTTTCTTTAAATATTCATCCTTATTGGATAACTCCAGTTTCATTGAAACAACATTCCTTTCACTCTCTTCCAACTTCGAATCCAGTAATTGTCTTCCTTTCAAAATTTTCTGAACAGTTTCTTCCTTTTCTTGTACTTCTTGACCCAGCTTTGAAACACGATTATTGAGAGAAGACTCTGATTGCTTCAGAGTTTCAATATCCTTATTCAAACGATTAATAACATCGCTCGTTGAGCCTGCCCTTTTGTCAAACTCATCTTTTTGTTGCTCTAGAGCCTTCAGCCGTTTTTGGGCTTCTTCTTCGAGTAATGCTGCAATTCTTGCCTTTTCTTCGGCCTTCAGTTGCTCAACTTTATCGTTTTGTCGTTTCTCATAATCCACTCTTAATTGTTCTTGCTCATTTAGCATTCTCGTCAACATATCATTATACTTTTTGTTATATACTAGGACTAGATCTTCTAGTTCCTTGTTATGTTGATTCCGTAAATTAGCATCTCCTCGATTTTTGCTCTTCTCTAATTCTTCTGATATTGATGTAAATTTTGCTAAACGTTGCGTAAATTCATCTTTAGCAGACTGTAATGACCTAGTTAGTTCCTTAATCTTATCATCGGACTCTCTCTTCAGTAAATCTTCTCTCTCCTTAGCTTTTCTTTTAAAATCCTCGAACTCTTCCAAAGCCTTTTGCCTCTCCTGATTATGTTTCAGGGTTAAGGTTTTTACTATGTCCGTTATTTTGTTTTCATTATTCTTCTTTTCTATTTGTTCTCGAAATAAGGCTATTTTAGCTGTTGTATCTTTAATTATCTATTTAAAATCATCATCATAATAATAATAATTTAGAAAATGTAAAGAAAATGATCCGACGTACATCTTCAATCTCTGATTCATACGCATCAGCTAACGAATTTAATTGAAATTCATGGTCATCATTTTTAGTGTTTAAATGATAAATAACTTTCGTCAGCTGAGCAATCTTTTTGCTCATCTTGTGATGAAAATCAGGAAATCCATTGGCAATTTTATTTGCACTAATGCTGCTATTTACATTGTCCTTACTCTTGGACTGTTTCATTTTTTACAAATTGTTTTTTATTCAACCACTACAGGCGGGAACAGTTTTTGGCGCCAACCGACTCTAAACGTTATCTCATGAAGAACACATAAAAGAACAGACAAAAACTCTTCCTCTTAATGATGTATTGTTAAAGTGGACCATTCTTACAAGCATTCCTTATTGTTCTCTATTATTCCTTGGATAATAAATAGCCTCTTTTCATTCCGCCATCCCTACACTCTAAATAGATCACGTCAGTAAATTCAAAATTAAAAAATAGGCTGATGAGCAATTAATACATTCTGATCAACCCACTGAGTAGATGCCATTCAAACATTATTTTCCAATAGTGTTATCTTTTGATGATACACTTTTTCAAATTGGTGATCAATTTGAAATTCAATTATACCATGTTTTGTATACAATCAAAATGTTGTGGTATGTCCACACGGCTCTTGTAGCTTATGAACACAAATCCGAAGCTAGAAATTTACGACACCATATTACATTGTTTTTAATTTTCTTCTTTGTTTCATCAGAGGGAGGAGGTGCTATTAATGAATTAATTCTTGGATTCAAAAATTCATTCATTGGAAATAATTACAAATTTGCAAGTGCATTATCCATTTGGGTTTTGTGTCATGAGGTTTTATTTACAACAGAAAAATTGAAAAAGAAGTTTTGTGCATATTTTGAAAAGGGTTGGACGAAATATGTATTGGAAATTCCAAATCAATTTCGTTTAGGATTGGGTTTATGCTATGAATGCATTTACTATGACGTTTATTTGAGGAGGAGAAAGTTTAAGAATTTTCATCACGAGGATTATCATTACAAGTATATGATATTATCGAATCCTATTGAATTTGTTGGACATTTTGTTAGTGTAATTACATTGGTCATGATTTCAATGTCAATAAGGTTAGTTTCGTATTATTTCATTTCAGTAATTTTAATTTCAATAATAGTTGTTTCATTGCTCCATATTTGGCAGATAAGTTTATCAAAGGTGAAAAGTCTTCCCTCTCCTCAGTTATTTCAAAATTTAGTGCAGACACTTGGTTTTATATCAAATTATGTCTTATTGCCTCAACAATTCTCATTATTTCACAAGATTTTCTCGTAGTTACCAATACCATCTCATTTGGAGATTTCTCCCTCCCTATTATTTATATTTTCCAAATCATTACAATTCTAATCTTTATTCTCTACCCAATAATTATTAATGATCTTGGTTATTTCCGTTCCAAATCTCCAAATCCTCCACAACAACAGCAAATTATCAAAAAGAAACAAAAAGAAAACATTTTAAAAATGCTCTAGGTTAAAATAATAAACATCATGTTCAATTACATTGAAAACAACTAAGCCAGTAGGACTAACTCTTGAAAGTTTACAAAACCTCAAAAAAAAACTTAAAAATAGAAGAGCCATGAGAGGAAGAAGATCCTTCTTTACCAGAGCCTTGTTAGATGATAACAACTCGGATAGTAGTAGCAATAGTGATGATTCACCATCAGAAGAACCTAGTAGTAATACAATATTTGATCCGAATAGTGATGAAAAATTATCCTTTACACAGGACGATGATCAGGAAATGGTAACAAATACATCTTCTTCTAATGCAACACAATCACTCAGTGCCTTTAATCAAAGCTATTCAAAATTAAAACAATTATCATCACCTTCGTGTTTTAATATTTTGGATAAATCAGCCTTTGTTAGAGTTGAAAGAGATTTACTAACCGTAAAGTATATCGGAAATGTTCATCAGGAAATTGGAGTATGTTATTTAATATTATTTGTTATTGATTTAATTTCATAGACTGTAAGATCAAACATTCCATTCTCTGGTGAAAAATTGATTGACTACTTTGAGATTCAAATCAATTCCCTTAACGAAAGAGCATGTTCGGTTGTGATCGGTTTGACCGATGAGAAAGCTGATTTTGTCCCTACTAGATATCCAGGATTTGAATATAATTCATTTGGTTTGAATGGAATGGATGGTAAGATATACAAGTAAGTTTTATTATGATAGAGTTCATTCTTACAATTTCTTAAAATAGTAATGGAAAAGGAATCAAACAAATTACAACAAGATTCTTGGAAGGGGATGTTATTGGTTGTGGAATTAATTATAATCAGAAAGAAATATTCTTCACAAAGAATGGTACACTTGTAGGTGCTGGATTTTCAAACGTAATTTCAAATGGAAAGTTTTATCCTACAGTCTCCCTTCATTCAAAAAAAGAGGAGATTAAGGGAATATTCTCTTCATTTACTTTTAATTTGGAATCGATGAATGCATTGGAAGAAAAAATTATCAATCAAAATCTAGAAAGAGTTGCACTCTTTGACGAGGAAAAATCAGATGGAAATGAGCTGAACAACCTTATAAGAGATTACTTATTTTATATGGGTTACAGTGAGACTCTAAAAACATTTGAGCAATCTGCTACTTTGGAACAATGTAATAATGAATTTTGTGAATATAGAAAGAAAATTTGTAAATTAATTGAGCTAGGAAACTCTCAAGCTGCATATACTTTAATTTGTGAGCAAAACCCAAACTGCTTTGAGAAGCATGAAGATGTAAAAATAAGAATCCTATGTCAAATTGTAACAGAATTACTTCAACAAAACAAATTGCTTGAGGCTCTTCAATTTTCAAGAGATAATCTGTCACAATTTTTGATTCCAAATAACTCTCAGAAAAAGCCACTCAATGAGAAAATTCAATCTCTTATCATGGAAACCCTTGGATTATTTGCTTTTTCAGATCTTTCTTCTTGCTCATTTTCACATCTTTTGGAACAAGAAAAGAGAAATGAATTAGCTTTTGAAGTGAATCAAATGTTATTGAAAGAATCAGGATATCAGAAGAAATATTCTTCTATTGAGACCTGTTATAGACAATTAAGTGCTGTAAGAAATACTCTTTTAAATACTGGATCGGGAAAACTCTTCAACTTCTAATAAACTTGTAAATATATTGTAATTTGTTATTTCTTCTTTGGTCGAGTAAATAAAAATTCTGAAATATTGGTAACATCATTTGGAATTATTAACAAATTTCCACTATTTGAAGAAATACTTCTTATTATTGGAATGTTATCTTTTGTGTAGGGATTATATTCTAGAGAGTGATTTTTCTTTTGTTTCTTTTTCTTTTTTGAATCTCCACTCATAGATGCTGATTCTACTCTTTTCAATACCTTTTTAATTGCTTCATCAGCTTTATCTCTCCTTTTTCTTTTCTTTGGTAGATCTGTGCCCTGTCCATTTTGTTGTTGATTTAATACTGTGTTTCGTTCTTCGATAACTTCATCTTGATTATTTGCATTCCCTTCTTGATTAATAGCTTCTCCATTTTCTTCCTCATCGTCATCAGTTTCTGATTCCTCCTCCGCTGATAAATCTTCATTATTAATTTTTTCTTCTTCCGATTCCTCGTTAATATTTTCTTCAAAAGTTTCCTCCTCTTCTTCTGCCATTTTTTTGTAAAATATTAACTTTTTGTAAAATAGGTTACCTATGATGTTTTAATTATTTAATATGCATGCTCTACTTGCCTGAAATGAAATTGGATTGCATCCAAGCTTCATACTATTGACATCCATTGACAAATCCAAAAGCAGATTAGTATTAGCGCCGCTATTGTTGCGCTTAGTAAACTTGAGATGCAACATGTGACATTCAATTTCTTTTAGGATTTATTAATTTCAATCGTAAACATCGTTCATATTTTGCGTTGAAAGAGTTTCCTATTCGGTGCAAGTGGTAATTGGGCCAAAACGTTCTATGGAGAACAAACAAAATTCCACAAGGTACTGCTTATTTTGAATTGTGCATGTAACATCTCTGCATGATGTTGTTTAAACAACATGTTCAAATTATTCCTTGAAGATAGATTCTGGGTTCATCATCATTTCTTTCCAGTCTGAATAATCGTCAGTGAGGATAAACCTAGAGAATGTGTCTCTCAAATTCATGACAACTTCTTTTCTTAGACGAATCAACAATTCGTTGGCTGTTTCAAGATCAATCACCTTAGAGTTTGCTATCGATTTTATCAATTGTCTAGAACGACCAGATACATTTACTTGTTGAACACTTTCACCTGAAAAATACTTTCTTTGAAGAGCTTTGCATGACTCTCTTCTCTTCTTTCCATTCATTCTGGTAATCTTATTTTGTAGTGTTTGTATATCTTGTAAACATTGACAATTTTCAGCACTTTTTGCATGTTAGATGTTCAAATAAAACTATTCGAAACTTACCTATATTCTTTCGTACAAAATTCGTAGAAGAGATTCCAACCAATTTCATCCTTTAAAAGCATCATCAATTCGTTGGCTTCAATGCCAATACTATCATGAGCTAAATAGGTTGTATTTGTGGCTGTTGTACTTGTAGTGTTGGTTGTGATATTAGTATGGGTTGTTGATGTTGTTATTGTGGAAAGGGCCGTTGAAACATCCATACCATTTTCTCCAGGAGAAGTTACAGAAGATGGACTTCCATTACTTCTCTTTAAACTCTGCACAAGTCTCTTTAATTTTCCTCTCTTTGAAAGAGGTTCCAATTCTGGTGAGGATAATGAAACTTTATCATGTTTAGTAGATTTTTTGGATGAAGGTACATAGATACTCGCTGATGATGTTGAATATTGATCAAACGAATGACCTCTATGATTGCGATGAACATTGATGTTTCCCATATTTCACGCGTTTTCTTGTTGTTGTTGTAATATTCCAAATGAGAATGAGAGAGAAGACGCAAAGTTGTGTGCTGTTGAAGATAAAAAGTTGCGGCAACGTAAGACTTGTTGTAGTTTTTTTTTTGTTGACTTCTTTTTTAAGCCTATTAACGTGCCAATGTCATTTTTTGAGGTGGAACTTGGCTTGCAGACAATTGATTGAAGAAAAGTTATTAATTGGCAATTTTATTAATTCGTGACTTCCTTATTGAAAGGGGCACTGAAGAACGCACACTCAGTTAATGACCATTATTATTCGATGCAACAAAGTTTTGCTGGAAGAATCTGAATGAAGTATCTGTTGTTAGTGAAATACTATGAAGTGCCAGATGTTCCTATGTTTTTCAGAGATAAATTATGAAGGGATTATCAGTGATTAGAAGAACATTAAGTTTTTAACGATTCTATTTTCTGTATCGAATAAATAGTTGGATAGATGTTGTTTATCCTAATCTCATTTCTTCGAGGCAAAATTGTTGGTTAGGTTGACGTACGTACAAGGATATGGGAACCACTTATTCAAAATTGATTGTTCTAATTGGAACGGAATGGGTTTACAAAACAAGAAGAAATATTACAATACAATAGATTGTAATCAGATTTTTAATGACCTGTCAAAATAGTTGTTAATACAAAAACATGAATTTGTTCATGAAATAAACGTCAAAATAAATAAAGAAACAATGTGTCTTTATATCTGAAGCTCAGAGACATCTTGACTGAACAGGTTTTGAAGATTGCTGTTGATGATTTCTAGAGATTTGAGATTTTCATTTGTGGTTTCTACATTTTCATTATAGGAAATAATCTCACCAAATTGTAGTTTTACATTATTCAATACAAATAAACTTTCTTTAGATGTTTCAGTTTGAGATAATTCCTCAACAGTATTGACTTGCTTCAAATTCTCAATGTTTACATATCTGGAATAATGATATTCAATATGCCAAGTAAAAACACATAAATCTTCATTTTGTAATGTTTCTGAATTTCTTCCTAAAAACTTTTCTAAACGAATATGCTTGACAACAACTGTTTGTTGGAATCCTTCAGTATTTACAGTCATTTCAATTCTCCATTTCTTTCCATCATACTATTAGAGTGAGAAAATTTTAAAGTTGAAAGGTATACCTACATAATCTTGTCCAAATAATTCTCTAGATTTAAATTTCATATAAATAATTGGTTGACTGACACCATCTTGTGTCATACATCTAAATATTTGAATTACTATTCAAAATGATAATATATTTTGAATAATTATTGCTACACACATACCTGGACTATTCACACCAAAAGTATCTACAACAAAATTAGTAAATGTTGAATGAATTTCAAAATTGACATCATTTTCCAATTTATCCTCAATTTCTTTAAAGAGATTATTTGAATTTAGTAATAGAATATTAGAGCAAACTCCACATAGAAATTGAGACATTCTCTTCTTCCTCTCAGAAATGATCTTTTCCACTTCAATTATTGATGATGATAAAACTCCTTCCACTTCTTTATATTCCTCTCCATCCAAAGTGATCCTATGCAATAGACGAGGAATATCCTTTCCTATTGTTGTTATTTGTTCCAAATCTTCAATCTTACCACAAACAATTTCTTTCAGATTGTTTATCATTGTTTCAATACTCATAATTTTAGATGATTGTTGTGTTGTTTGATTAATTGATTCCGATGTTCTATTCATACGTGATGTGTTATTGTAATTATGTCCCATCAAGGCTTCATCTGTATCTTCTTCCTCACTACCACTGATAGAGGTGAACCAAAACTTGAAGGGTTTCATTTTTTTTATTGTTTGTGATTTAACGTTGAAATGTATCCTGAAAAGATTGTCATGCTACTTCTTGATTTCTCTCTCTACTTGTCAAGTGTAGTATCATAATTGTTAAGTACTATCTTTCTTTGCTATCAATGAAACCCCTTTTGAATTCAAATCATATGATGTGATAGTAAAAATTAAATCAAATTGGTAACTTTTATATTAAACAAAGAGGAAAAGCAATAGAGCTAACATTTACAATATTCAATATTTACAGTTTTTCAAGCTTGAATAAAACTCATTGCTATGAATAAACATTCAATCAATTTGAAAATGTATTTTTGTTTTTTGTTATTCAAATAAAAAAATGGCTCCACAACGTTCCATGTATGACCTTCAAGGTCCTCCAATTAATAATCCATATATTAAACAGGGAGTTAGTAGTACTACAATTGATAATATTTCATCATCGGGAAGTGGTGGCGGAATTAAATCAATTTTTCAAACGCTAACACAATTATCATCAAATCCCGATAAGGCTATTAAAGTTATTTCAGCTGTGTTATTAGTAATTGGAGGTGGTTCATTAATTAAAATACTTTTCGGAGGGTCAAAGCCTGTCAAAGTTGTAGAAAAGGAAGTAAATGGATTTTCAAAGAAGAGTACAGGAAAGATTGTTCCTCAACGATATGCAGGACTAAGAAATGAAGGAGCAACTTGTTAGTAAGTGTTTTTAGAATGTAAATATTTGAATTGACAATTTAAATAGTTTAAATTCACTTCTTCAAACATTGTTCCACATTCCACTCTTTAGAAAGAGTGTTTTTAAAATGATGGAAGACAAACAAGAAAGTATTGATTCTATCTCTAAAGCAATTGTTAGAGTTTTTTATAATTTACAAAAAGTACAAGAACCAAACGAAGATGGGAAAACATATTCTGGAAGTGTGTCGACAAGATGTTTAATTGAAAGTTTTGGTTGGTCAGGAAGTGAAGTTTTTGAACAACATGATATTCAAGAAGTCACAAGAATTCTTTTGGATGATTTACAAGAGAAAATGAGAGACACTTCAGTTTCGAGTGTAATTCCTAATTTACTGGCAGGTATTGTGGAGAGTGGAATTGAATGTATCAATGTTGAATATAATAGTTTCAAACAAGATTTAGTTTATGATATACAATTGGATGTTAAAGGTTGTAGAGACATTTATGCCTCCTTTGATAAGTATATCAAACCAGAATTATTAACTGGTGATAACAAATATCACGCAGAAGGACATGGATTACAAGATGCAAAGAAGTATTCCATGTTTACAGTCTTACCTAAAGTTTTAATGTTACATTTGAAGAGATTTGACTATACTCCATTTGGAACATTACAAAAAGTTTCAGATATTCATCAATTCTATGATGAAATTGATTTGACAAAATATGTCAAACAAAAAGCAAAGAAAAACAAGAAGGAATACAAATATCATTTACATGCTGTTCTCATTCATAAAGGCTCAACTGTGAACAGTGGACACTATGTTGTGGCAGTTAATGTAAGTGATGATGTTACTAAGAAAGAGTGGTATTTGTTTGATGACGAAAGAGCAACCAAGATTTCTCCTCTTGATGCTATTGAGGCAAACTTTGGAGGTGCTTATAATACTGCCTACATGTTGGCATACGTTAGACATGATGCTGTTCAAGAGGTTTTGAGCCCAATGAACAGAGAGGATATTCCAGATATTCTCAGAAGTACATTCAAAAATGATGAATCTGGTTGTTCAATAATGTAAATAATTTATTATTCGAATTCTCTACACTTGGTCTGAATTCTTTGGTTCGTTTGTTGGATAATTTACACCATCTGATGTAGATTTTTGTAAATTTGGAAGGAGAAGAGTTTTAGCCCAAATTAACTTTGACTCTTCAGGTACAACAGCACCATAGACTTGTTGAATATTGTCCTTAACACCAATATCATAAATATTTCCAACTTTCTTTGTTGTTGCACCTGGTTCCATTAATTTCATCTTATTAAATTGGAATTCAATTGTTGTTTGATTGGTCAAAACAAGATAAATATGCCATGAAGTGAAGGTTGTCATGGTTACACCCATAGCACCTGAAAGAACCATTACAAAAGTCAACCAACCATTCCATTTAGCATATAAAATTGGATCAGGAGAATATAATCCAAAAACACCAAAAGAAATCATTAAAAAGTTATAAAGAGCAGCAAGAGCTAAAAATCCAATAAAACCAACAAAGTGTTTGTGATTATTGAGACCAACACAATTATTCAACCATGGGCAATGGTGATCCATTCTCAAAATACAAACATCACAAATATGACAATGGTGGGCTCTTGGAGGTTTTGGTTGTTGACATCTGCCACACCACTTACTAAATTTCTTTCCTGGAAGTGATTTAGTATCAGATTTTAAGGATTCAGTATCAGAAACTGAATCTAACCATTCTTTTGGAGTGTTTCCAGGGTTTAAGCGGACGCATTGGAAATAGTTAAATGTGATTGATCCTGCTATGTAAATACCAAGAATTAAATGTAAAGTAAAAGTCCACATTTGAGTATTCATCATTGGAAGTGTAACTGTAAAGTAGAAATAATAATTTAAAGAAAGTAAAACAATTGCAAGAAGAACCATCACTAATCCAAAAATTCTCATGCAATATTTGGCAAAGTTAATAAAGAAAAATCCAGCTTTTGATTCATATAAAGCATCCAATGGAGACATGCTAATTTTCTTATCTTCTAATTTATCAAAAAAGCCTGAACCTGGCTTTTGTGCAATAACTACATTTGATGATGGTGAAGTATTTTGTTGGTCACTGTTTGATTCGGATAAGAGTGGTTGTTTTTGTTCCACTTGATCAAATCTCTTATTCAACCTAGAAGATAATCCATACGAATTGGCTGTATAGTCGTCCTCCTCTTCGATGTGTGGTTCGTTGTTGATGGATTGGATTATAATCCCCTCCTCTGTAGCAGAAGAATTAGACATTTTTTTCTGTTGTTTCTATCCAATTTCCATTCTCATAGATTCTCGCAAAGGCTGTTACTCATCTAAATACTTCATTGTAAGGGAATTTATTAAATAGTAGTATTCAACAATTATTTGATCAATCGGTTGTGTTGACAGTAGTATTCTCTTCCTCATCACACCAACAATATTTCATGATCATCACAGAAGAAAGAATTAAAAAATGAGCACATCGAACCAATCAGACTCTGAGAATGAAAATAATAATCAGAGCATACAACCATCATCATCAACAGATGTTGCTCAACCTTCCTCCTCATCAGATGCCTCGACAATAGATTATTTTAAACCTGTTGGTGTTAATGAAGAGGGTAAACCAATGTATGATAGAACAGGCATTACTTTACACGGAATGAAAAAACATGAGAAGGATGGAAAACAACTTTGTGGTTTTGGTGGAAATGTTTGTACACAAAGACCAATGAAGACTTTTGATTTTTGTGTAAAACACATTCTTCAAGATCCGACAGCTCCTTTTAAAAGATGTGAATATGTTGCCAAGGGAAAACATTGTGGAAATCCTGTAAAATTAGATGTTGGAGAAGATATCAGATATTGCAACATTCATAAACAAAAGATGGGCATTACTCCAAAGACAAAGAAGAAGAAATCGGAAGAGAAAACACCATCCAAGAGAGGAAGAAAAAAGGAAAAGAAGGAAGAAAGTGAAACAACACCAGAAAGTAAAGAAGTTAAAGAAGAAAAATCAACACCAGATGTTCCTCCACCTTCATCTTCTGTAGAAACAACTACAATACCAACAACAACAACATCATCAACAATAACTAGCACCACAATACCAACACCTTTAATTTCTACTCTTTCAACTTCTGTTGAGCCAATACTACCATATCCAATCAATTGTGTAAACAATAATAATGAAGATACTGACTCTGATGATTATACAGGAGTAAATAAGCCAATCGACACAAGAAAGGAACAAAAACCACCTAAGAAATCTCCTCCACAAAAAAGAAAGAGAAAATTCAATAAGAAACCACAACAAACTGTACTTTTTTCAGGATCTGACACAGAATCCGATGTACCAACAGATGATGATGAATGCATGGAGGAAACATACTTGTATCCTCCTTATTCTGCTCAAGAAAATGGTTCTCAATGTTTAACAGAAATGGAATTTTTGAGGATTAGAAAACATCATATTGAATCTTTGTTAAAATTGTATCGAGGAAGGCATAAGAAGATGAGGAACGAATTGGAACGAAAGTATACAGAATTTTTAATCCAAAGAGAGATGGCAGCTAATATTATTCTCAATGAACAAACAACTATCAATTCTGATATCAAGATACGTCTTAAGAAGGTCAACTATAACAATTATTATAACCCTAAGAATAGAATGAACGATACAGACTCTGTTGTTTTACCTACTGTCAATTTCCCACCTGAAAATCAACAAGTTTATCATTGTTCCAAAGTTGAAAAGTATCATGAATCTACTAAGGAGCCATTATGTTGTCATCCAAATTGTTTCAGTAAGAGATTACTTGGAGTAGAGTTTTGTTTACAACATATAATCTATGATGAAAAACAAAGACTTTATGTACCATCAACAGGATCCACACCACTTTATGCTTCAAGCTCTGATGTAAATACTAAAATACCTAAGGAAGCAACACTTGGTGAAAGAACTGTAGTTGTAATTGAAAATGCAAACAAATTAACTTTACCAAAATGGCAAATTAATTCAGAACAAGATAAGCATGTTCAAAATCTTCTCAAAAAACTCAAAGGAGAAGATGATCCAATGCAAATTGACAATGTTCCAATTTCTGAAGATCTTTCCAAATAAACCTTATTAGACCGTTACGGATAGCTGATGGTGGATACGTGTTTTTCAAAAACAACAGAAAAAAAATGAAAAAACTTGACTGCTCTGTGCAAAATTATTCCTGGGGAAGAAAAGGAAGCGAAAGTACAGTTGGAATTTTGTACGCCAACACAATAGTGGAAGGAAAAATTGATGAACAAAAACCCTATGCAGAATTATGGATGGGAACTCATCCAAGTGGCCCATCTAAAGTAAAATTAGATGATCAGTCAGGTTCGGAATTACTTTCTGAATTTTTAAAACGAAATGTAGAACAATACTTTTCAAAAGAGGAAGTGAATGAATTCTTTGAAAAGAAGGGATATGAATTTGCTTCATTACCTTATCTTTTCAAAATTTTATCTGTAAATCAAGCCCTTTCCATTCAGGCCCATCCTGATCAGACACTCGCTCAAAAATTGTTCAAAAACGACCCAGAACACTATAAGGATCCTTACCACAAACCAGAACTATGTTGTGCATTGACAAAGTTTGAGGCTCTTTGTGCATTTCAAAATTTGGAATCAATTGTGGAAAATATCAAAAATATTGAATCGCTCCAATCACTTTTGAGAGCTCAAAATAATGAATTAATTGACTCTATTCTAAGTAATGATGTAAAGGATTCATCTCAAGATGATAGAAAGATTATTTTGAAGAGTTTATTTAAAAGTTTGATGACATCACCAAAATCTCTCGTAGAAGCCCATCTTCCAAACCTTGTAAAGAACCTCCAAAATTCTACCTCATCCAGAGATCAATTAATTCTTAGACTTTACAAAGATTATGGAAATGATATTGGATGTTTCTCAGTTTATTTCCTTAACCATGTTGAGTTACAACCTGGGGAAGGATTATTCTTAGGTCCAAACGAACCTCACTCTTATCTTTATGGAGATTGTGTGGAGTGTATGGCATCATCTGACAATGTTGTTAGAGCAGGTTTGACACCAAAATTCATTGATACTGAAACACTTATTGAAATGTTGACGTACGACGATCATGCATTAGAAAAGATGAAGATGGGTGGTGAAAAAGTCAACCAATTTGAAACTTTATATACCACACCTGTTTCAGAATTCAAGGTTCAAAAAATTGTCTTGTCTAAAGGGGATAAGTACACTCTTACTCCAAATGCTATTACTATTGCTATTGTTATCAATGGAAGTGGTTTAGTGAATGGTGAAAACTCCAAGAAAGGAGATGTACTTCTTTTCCCTTTTAATTCCAAAACAGATCTTGAAAATTCTCATGAGGAATCTATGGAAATATTTGCTGCTACAACTAATATTCAAGCTAATTAGTCATATTCGAAAAAATCTGTGTTTGGCATTTCTGGCAAGCTTTCAGGTGCTTCATCATATGTTTCTTTTTTGATTTGAGTAAAGTTATTTGTGAATGTTAGAAATTTGTTGGATTGAACAGTTTTCTGATCCTCATGTTTTACTTTCTTTAACAGTTCATCAGTGCTTAATTGATTAACTGGAAAGTAAGAAATACACTTTTGTAGAAAGTGGGGCAAAGGCTTTCCACAACAAATGCAAAAGGAAGTAGATAACTGAGCTAAATACTGGAAGAATTGATGCTCATTCTCTTTCCACGTTTGAAATTTTATATCTTCTCCTATCTTGAAATTTTTAAAGTAGTTCAAAGTCTTTTCAATATCTTCCAAGTATTTGAGATCATAGTTTGATGTGTTCATATTTGGAGAGTTTAAAAATGTTGAAAAGTTTTCAATATCTGAAATATAGGTTAAAAGAAATTTCTTCAAATTAAGTAAATGTTGAATTCTATCTAGCCTTTTCATTTCGCTTTCCTCTGTTTTAACTTGGACTGAAGATAGCAATAATTCTTGTATTTGAGATACTAGACTTCTGAAGAATTGTTCAATCTTAGGTATCAGTAATTGACTAGCCAATAATTCACTTCGTTTTTTGTAAATAAATTCCAATCTTTGAATTTCTTCACTACTGTTATTGTTTAATGTATTCGGTAGACTGTCTTTGCTTTTTTGTTTAATAAAATGAAATGTAAATGGTTTGATGAATGAGGCATTAGAATAAAGAAAACTAGGGCTTTCAACTTTGGGGGAAGAAATGTTTTGGCTTCTCGAGTATGATGAAGATATAAATGGTTGGGGAAGGAGATTGCATGTTGAGACAGAAAAGTTAGATGTCTTATCAACAAAAGGAGGTAGGATAAAGCTGTTTAGGGATGGAGAATGATTTTGGGATGGAGAGTATCTTACAGGAGTAATATTAGATTCTGATAACTGTTTGTAGTTACCATTGTTTTGTGGTTTAGCTTTAAGGGCAGTAGATTGTTGGGAAACAACATTACTGAAAGAGTTGGTTTTGAAATGAATTTGGAGAAGTGAGCGAGGTTGAGAGGGAGGAAGGTGTCGAATAAGAGCAGAATTAGGTGTTGTAGGAGTGTTTGGGTTAATCATTTTCGATGACGATGATGGAGAGGTAAAACTGGAAATGTTGTTGTCATCTCGTGGAGGAATGAGTACTTGTAATTTCTTTTCCTCCAGAAATGAAGCAGAAAGTTTTTGTTTTTGATAGCTCCCTACTGTATTTTCAGTCAATTTCTTATCAGGACTTGTGTTATTCGTGAATAAGTCCCCTCCGCTCGCATGCATGTTACTGTCCACTTCACTGCAATCATTAAATTCTAACATCTTCTTCCAAGATGTGATTGATCCACTATCTGTTGATGACTTATCATAAAACTGATTGTTGGGCGAATTACTTTCCGTAGATGTGTATGGATTGTACATTCCTTCTCAATGATCATATTGTGAGAGTATTTCAACAAGGTGTGTTACTTTGATTTTGATCCGAGTTGATATACAAGTAAATTTCAATACTTGTGCAATGGAAATATTAATTGATCAAATTAAATATTAATTTCGGTTAAAAGGTTTTCTTGTTGAAAATCCACTTCTAAACAATAAACTATTGCAATAGATGTTAATTCTCTTTTCAAATATAATATTTGCACTAGATGAAAACAATAATAACTTGGAAGATGATCTGATCAGAAGAACTCTCACAACAACAATACTGTCAAAAAACAACAATTGGGTCACAGAGTAAGAAAACTTCTCAGATCTTATCTAGAAAACAGTAACTAACTACAAACAAGAAACTATTACAACAACAAGAGAATGAACACTCTTCACAGGGAGTTTAATGGTTTTTTTTAAGCGGAATGAACAAAGGCCTTTGTACGGTTCCTCCTTTCAATCTCTTCTTTTTGTGTCTGACAAAGATCACAAACAAGGCTCTCTGAAAGAGCGAAAATTAAATTGATACTGTGTTGGTTAGATATTAAAATGAATGAGAGTACCCTGTTGTAGTTCAAATGTTGGAAGGATACTTTTCTTACGATCTTACTTTGTCGATCTGTTGGATATCAAACAAAGATTGAGATCTTAATGTTATCAGTGTTTGAAAATTTGTAAATCTAGATCAAAAGATATGTGAAGAAAGATTTGTTGGTCTCTTGATAGATCAAAATACAAAGCCCTAATTAGTGCGTTATCAACGTTGCCAATCATTTCTCTATGTTTGTACCTAAGGGTTTTATCTTGATTGGGTAATTTGAGGGTAATCTGAGATTTTGTATCTTTTCTTTAAATTTCATTGTAATCAATAGAACGAACATTAAGAACCAATTAATTTAAGTGAGCTCTATATTTTTCCAACTATTGAATTATTGTTCCAAAACATTGGAAAGAGCTTTGAATGGCATTTTTCTTACATAAACCAATATCAATTATCATATTCTGCTTTGGTTCTGTATAAGTTGTAAAGTAGGCATTCGTTTTAGGGGATTTCTCTAACTTGTATATTACAAGAGGAGTCGGAGCTTCATTATCAACAATTGAATTGCATGGAATCTCTGAGAATGAAGCTAACATCCTTAATTGACCATATTTTGCTACCTCGTTTGTAATTACTGATAAATATGTTTTGTTTACATCTTTCATCATGTCCACATATTCCTCCAACAATAAATTGGTATTATTTGTTAAAGTCTTACTTAATGACTCCAATGTTTTGGTAACTAAATCCAACTCGTTTGATAGATCCAAAATGGATAGTACAGATGGATCATATTTTATCCTTTCCTTGAAATACTGAGCTAACAAAAATTCCGTTAATCCTCCTCCAGGTAGAACATACGGATTGGAAACAAAGAGTTTGAGACTCGTTTGGAGACCTTTCATCACTTCTTCCAATTCTTGCGTTATCAGTGGAGAGTTCGAGCACAGTACAACAGAGTATACGTCCGACATTTCATTGCTCACATGAATACAGCTTGAGTGGTTTAAATGATAAATTATAATAATAAAAATCTTACCTTCTACCTCCAATTTCCACTTCAGATACAGATGTCAAAGAACCAATCTCAGAATTGGTCAACTCGGTAAATATTGAGGACAAAGGGGTGCAGCCAGAGATTTTCTTGAAATTTTCAAAATTGAATACTGAAATTCTTTCTAAACAGAGAATACCCTCATTTGCTAGAATTAATTGAACACTTTTTTCAATTACTTTTTGAGAAACGACAAGTTGAATTCCCAACTTTTTCCATTCCTTGATACAATCTCTTAGTTTGGAAATAAATTCCTTAGAAGTTGTTTTTTGAGGAACCAACTTAACTGTTGCTCCTATATTACTCTCACTATATTCTTCCATTTTCTTTGCTTCTATATATACAGATTCCTTTAAAAGTACAACTTTGACATTGGTTAAATCTTGTTTTTTTCTCGATTTTATGATGTGTGGGAATGGCATGTTAAAGTAAAGACCATTCACTACTCGGCTATCTGAAACCCTTACATTATCTCCATTGATATGATGATAAATGAAATCATTTCTCGCTCCAAATCTATTCTTACTCATTTTAGGTAGAATATCACATAATAATTTAAGGGACAACATTGTCATGTGCTCCACTTCATATTGAGATAGATCCAAAAGTTTATCACTTCTCCATTTCAATATAGATAATTGTTTTAAATTATTAAAATCCACGTCTACCACTAATTTGTGACTTTCAACAAATTCCTCAATCCACTGAGGAATAATATTCTGCAATAGATAAGTCAATTTAAATAAAGAATAATTTCCGGTCTTGTAATTAATAAATAAATTCAATATCAAGTAACCAAAACAACTTCCATAACTTCCACATTGTATGAGATGAGACTTGAGAAAACTTTTAATAATCTTCATCACAACCAATTCTTCATCATTAAATTCAGTCCTATCAAATAATTCAAATTTTAATAATCCCGAAGAACAATTTGTCATACAAATATCAGAATCTCTTTTTAATTCTTTTCCAATAATTGTAATACATCCATTAGGTCCACAATTAGTAAAAAGTCGAAGTGTTTCATAGAATACAGAAAGGGGAGAACCTTTGTATTTTGATCGACTTGTTGAGGGTGGAGTTGTATTATTGAGCATTTTTTTAAATTGTATTCAAATTGTTTATTCCTTCTTTGGATACTTGAGCCCAGTCAATGAAGGTTTAATATAAATTGGACAAGTAAGAACAGCATCCGCACCAAAACCCACAGCACATGTAACTACAATATTGTAGCTAACTTGAATGAGTTTAGAGTTATTGATAGATGCCATCCAAAAAGCTCTATTTTCAAAATTATCATATTGTTCAGAGTTTTCAGCTTTTGACTCTATAGAACGATAGGATGGAATTTCAAAAGTAATCTTGGTTTCATAATTTTCTTCAGATAAAACAATCTTATCAATTTGTTTCTCAAACATTACAATATTTTCTTTTTCCTCAGCTGGTTTGCTCTCGAAAAACTTTAATCCACCTTCTTCCTTTTCCTCAGTTTCAATATGTCTAAATTCTTGAATAAGAGCAACATGGATGCTGTTCACAGTCTTGGTTGATTGATTATTAACTTGAAGACTGAAAACGATATCATCGTCATACATTCTGAAAGTATTTCTAGCAAAATTACATCCAACCTTCAGCTTTTTTGCACTAAATAAATACTTTTTAGATGTTTCAAAGTGCATGGTTGATTTTCCAGAAACTCCTTCAATAGTAGGATAGAGTTCACTCACAAAGAGAATGCATGATTTTTCAATCTTACAAGTATGCAAAGATTGTTCATTACTAACAACTTTCTTTTCCTTTGGATGATGAGCAGCAACAACTGATGTATGTGCATTGTGTTCATGGTGCTGATGATTAACTTTAATTTCGTGTTGTTCCGTAACTAAGAAGGCTTTAAATTTGTAACAAATAGAATATTGTGTATCGTGTCTTTCGTGGAATGTGCTAGTAGGAATTCTATCTGGGAGAGTATAGGAGAATGGATACGAATGTTGTCCAATATCTAAATCTTCATTCATAAAGTCTTTAATTAACATATAATCCACAAAGTAGACATGTTCTTTTACAACTTCATATTCATTGCTTTCATTCTTTTTCGAATGTCTTTCAAAAGCTTTACATCTCAAAACAAGTTTTTTAGATACAGATGAATCCAAAGTACTTGTTAATTTTACATCAATAAATCCGGATACACAATCATGTTCCTTGATAAATTTCTTGTCATTATTTGAAACTCTGATACGAATAGAACCTCCGGAAGTAATTGTATTCTTAAATTTAAAACGTTCCAGAGTAGATTGAGGAATTATTGATGATGGTGTGATGGGAACATCTTCAACTGTAACAAGAATATTATCTGGTGGTGGAGAGTGTCCAAGATCAAAGCCATTGTTGACGATGTGCTCATCCGATGCAGAGTTCATTTTTTATGATTGGTAAATAACTAATCTTTATTTGTTTGTTAAATAATACTTCTCGTCATAATACCATGCGTATAATATTATATTTTTCGCAGCAGTAATCGAATTGAAAATCCATCAATCATCCCACAATCAAAGATGTTAAATCATCTCAAAAGTTTTGCTGTTTTCGAGGTAATAATGAAGTAATAAGGAAACAAATCTAGAGCTTTAATGTGAAATATTAAACTTTTATTGGAGCCTTAGTTTCCTGTTCTCTTTGTAAACCTCTGAACATTTTACCGAATGGTTTGTTAGGAATGAATCTTCCACTTCCTGCTTCCACATTTAATTGACCATTTTCCCAGACAACTTTACCATTAGAGATTGTCACTTCAACAACTCCTGTTACTTGTCTTCCTTCATAGACATTATAGTCAATGTTTTGATGATGTGTTTTAGCACTGATGATTCTTGTAGCATTTGGATTCAAAATGATAATGTCAGCATCAGATCCAACTTGAATAGCTCCTTTTTGTGGGTAAATGTTAAAGATTTGAGCAGCTTCAGTGCTGGTAACTCTAACAAAATCACTTGGAGATAATTCACCACTTGCTACGAGTTTATCAAAGAGAACTGACATTCTATCTTCTAAGCCATTGACACCATTTGGAATCTTTCTAAAATCACCAAGACCCATCTTTTTTTGCTCACTATCGAAAGTGCAGTGGTCAGTTCCTGTTAAATCAAGAATTCTATTCTTAAGACCTGCAATAAGCGCCTTTTGATCCTCAATTCCTCTAATTGGAGGTGACATGACAAATCTTGCTCTATCCATCCAACTGCCCTTATAATATACACTGTCATCAAGTGATAAACCAGCAGCGATTGGCTCACCAACAATTCTATAGCCCTTTGCTTTAGCATGAGCAACTTCTTCCATTGCTTCCTTACTCATGACATGAACAATATCTGCCAATTAATTAGTTGTTCAAGTTCAAATAAGGTAAAATAACTTACATAATGGAGCATTACCAACAGAGTAGGCAATTTCAGAGGCACGTCGAACAGCCTCAGCTTCAACATTTGAAGGTCTGCTTTGTGGATGGCCCTCAGGTCCTGTAATATTAAATTCATTGAACAACCTTGTTTGGCCTTTTACTACCAAATCACCATTCTCTGCATGCACTTGAGAAATGGCTCCAATACTCATGGCAGTCTTGAATCCATTATATAATTCCTCATCATTGACTTGGAAAACTCCCTTATAAGCCATGAAGAATTTAAAACTATTAATTCCATGATTTTCCACAAGTTCTTTCATTTGTTGAGCAGTATTTTCATTAAATCCTGTAATTCCAACATGGAATGAATAATCTGCACAAGCCAATTTTTCTCCTCTCCTCTTATATTCATTGACAATATCAAGATAAGTTTCTCCTTTAGCTGGAATTGCACTTTATCAACATCTTTCCAATTGACTAGTAAATTATAAACAACTTACAAATCCATAATCATGGTGGTTCCTCCTGCAAGTGCAGCTCTTGTTCCGTGATAAAAGTCATCCTTACTAATTGTTCCCACTTTTGGATAATTGTGTGTGATTAAACTATTAAATATAACATAATTACATACTAAATTTAAGTGCCAAATGGACATGAGGATCAATACCTCCAGGCATTACATATCTGTTAGAAGCATCAATTAATCTGACTTGACGATCCTCCTTCTCTTCTTGTTTTAGAATGTGATCGTAACTTTGATCATCATGAAGCACATTAACAATTTTTCCATCTTTAATAACTACTGTTCCTTTGAATTCAAGATCGTGCGTTACGATGGTACCTCCATGGATTACTATTGTGATTGGTGCATATCGTATGGTAACAAGTTGTGGTTCATCTTGATGTTGTGCCAACACTACACAAAGAAACAGAGAAATGATCAATGTGGTGATCAAAAGAAATGTTGTTCGCCCTTGCATTGTTTGTTGGATTTTTCTTTTTTCTTGTGGTATGCACTTTACAATGCTGTTTGAGTCATTTGCGTCTTTTTGGAATAGCTTTTCTCTTTTGGTTTGCCTGATGAACAAGCAAAATTTCAGTAGGGCGGAGAAACATGGGCAAGAGCTTTTTTTGCACCTTTAAGGATGTTTCATTTAAGAACTGTACAATTTATTTTACATTTTATTTGGGCATTGAATTTAGACGGAGAACTTCCAGGTCTTACACATGAAATCTTCACCACCAGAAACAAATGTTTCACTATCAATGAATGCACAAGTGGAAACACCCAAATGGTGAGCCATGTCAGTCTTAACTCTCTTACCAGCAGCAAGATCCCAAACAATCAAGTTCTTATCAAGTGAACAAGTAAGCATATACTTGCTATCATCAGACCAATCGACATCAACAACAGCAGATGAGTGATAAGTCATGTTGGAATACTTTGGTTTCCATGATGCAGTATCAAAAATAACAACATCATAAGCACTATCAGCTGAAGCTAAAAGAGCACCATCTGGAGAGTAAGAAACCTTTTGAATCTTGGCTGTGTTTTCAGCAAGTTCAGTGGCACCGTCAACAATCTTTTGACCAGCAACCTTATAAACACGAATCTTCTTATCCTTACAACCAACAGCAATTTCACTACCATCAGGCTTAATTGAGATAGATTGTGGATCCTTATCAATCTTGACTTCAGACAAAATCTTACCATCAGCAGAGAGCAAAGTAGCACCAACGTGAGTTGAGATGGCAACCAAATTTCCATCAGCAGAGACAGAAACATCATTTGGAGAACCGAGCAAAGTAGTGGCATCACCAACATATGTGAAATCTGAAAGATTGACCAAACGAACTTCGTTATTTTGAGCAGCAGTAATCAACTTGTCACCAGCAATAGCCATAGTATTAATAGTAACATCTTGGTGCCCATTTCCTTGAACCTTAGCAACACTACCAACACCAACTTCCCATTTAATCAATTGACCACCAGTTGAACAAGTGTAGAAGAATTTACCACCAGATTTCTTATCAACAACAATCTTGTTGACACGAGCATTGTGACCCAAAATCTTTCTTTCAACACGAGTACAATCCTTAGAGAGAACGTTCAAATCACCGTTCAAAGAAATTGAAACAGGAACACCAGCAATTACTGAAACACCAACTTGAATATCATTGGTAGAATCTCCAATAACAGTGGTAGCAACACATTCCTTAGTATCAATATTCCACAATTTGACAGACTTATCACCAGAAGCAGTGACAATATGCTTGTTGTCCAAATAGGACAAACCATAGATTGAGAGCTTGTGACCATTGGTTTGAGACAATTCACCAAGTTTTTCACCAGTCTTTCCTTCAAAGAAAATAACCTTCTTATCAGATGAGCAAGAAGCAAAAGTACTTCCGTCTGGTGAATAACGAATACAGTTAATGAAACGTTCGTGATCCTTGTTTGAGTGAGAGAACTTGAATGGAGGACCAGTGAAAAAGTTCAAAGACAAATCAGCACCACCAGTGGCAATTCTGAATGGTCTTTCTGGACGAGAATCACAAGTGAGAACTTCCTTTGAGTGAGCAGAAATTTCACCAGTATTAGTACCCATATCATAAGCAAAAACAGCTCCGTATTCTTGTTTACCATCACCAACAGCAACAACACGTTGGGAATCACCAGTCCAAGCCAAATCACGAACACTCTTTGACAAGACACGCTTTTCCAATTTGATGGTCTTGTCAGCATTTTCAGTTGACCAAATACGAACATTACCTGACTCATCTCCTGAAGCAATGTAAAAACCTGTTGGTGCGAACTTTGCAACATTGACCTTATGAGTGTGTTGAGTATAATAGTCAATAGAAAGCAAATTGTTCAAATCACGGATCAAAACATTGGTTCCAGAACCATAGGTGAATTTACCAGACTTGGAGGCAGGAGCAGCAGAAATAAAAGTTGGACGGCCTCTTTCGGTATTTGGGACACCACCGTATACGTTTTCTTTATAAAATGTTATTGTTGTTATTTGCAGTAGTATCACACGACATCATCATGATTCAAACAAATCATTGTATACAACAGATCAAAGTGTCGGTATCATTATTAATCATCAATGATAATACATTGTATTCATTATCCGCATCAAATCATCATGTATACACCAACATCAAAAAAGAATCATCAAGCTTAAGATATTCCTTGCCCAAGCGAGAAAAAATACTTACGGAGAGAGATGGACATTTTTTTTTGTGTTGAATTGTGATGGCTTGTATTGACGACTTGAAGCTTTTTGATGGTTTTATGTATTACAGCCTCTGCTCTGGCAGTTTGGTTGATAAAATTATGGATACAAACGAATGCCCAATTTGAAAAAATGAAACATGTGCCAGGAGCTTGGCAATTGCTTTCGTTTTCATTCTTTTATATTCCCTTCCTTTCTCCTTATAGTTATATTGGTAGCTATAACAATCTGGTCAAGGCTGTGGAAAAGTATGGAGACCCAATAACTAAAACATTCAGATTGACCACTTCTAAATCAAATTCTGTTTGGATTAGTGATCCAAAATTATTGAAAGAATACTTCATTGCAAAGGCTCACAATTTCGAAAAGCCAAATTACAATGTGGCAGCCTTCTTTGGGGAAAATATTCTATCAGCACAAAACAATGAAAGTTGGAAGAAACACTTTAAAGTTTGTAATCCAGCATTTGGTCCAAAAAATCTCAAATATCTCTGTAAGGTTGCAGTAGAGTCTTGTAATTCAATGTTTGAGATGTGGGATAGAAGATGCGATGGTACAAACAATTGCATTCTCGAACATGATGACTACCCAAATTTGAGTTTGCAAATTTTGGGCTTGGCAGGTTTAAATATTGACTTTGGTATCTATGCTGAGGAAGCAGAGGGTAAACAGTTCAGATTTCATATGGTAAATATGCAATCAGGAAGATCCATTATTTTAAAAATGTTCTTTGACAAAGAGTCTTTCATGTACAAACTCATTGGTAGAATTACTGGCATTTCACAATCTATTGAATTTTGCAGTAAATATTTGGATAAAATGATAGAGGAAAGAAAAGCTAAATTGAAGAATGAAGATTTCTGTGAGGCAGATGAAATGAGCGATATTTTGAGTCTGTTGGTGAAGGCTAATGTAATTGAAAATTCAATTTCTAATGATGAACTCAAAAGTAACTCGATGGTAATGAGCGTTGCTGGCCATGAGACGACGGCGAACGCTTTGAGATGGGCCTCTTACTACATCTCAAAAAATACCCAAGTCCAAGAAAGGTTATGGAGAGAGATTGACGCCGTACTCAATGGAAGAAATCCTACCTATGAAGATTACCAATCTTTGGAATATGTAAATGCTGTGTTGTTGGAGACTTTAAGATTGTCTCCACCAGTCTTACACATGGGAAGAGTTGCTCTTAAAAATCTCACTTTGGGAGAGTATGAAATTAAAAAGGGAGTGTCTGTAATTCCAATGTTTGGATATGTACAGAGGAGGGAAGACATTTGGCCTAATGCTTCAGAATTCAACCCAGAGAGATTCCTTGATCCAGAGGTTAAGGCTAATTATCAACACAACTTTACCTTTGCGGCTTTTAGCTTTGCAAATAGACAATGTTTGGGAAAGAACTTTGCATTGTTGGAGGCATGCATGATTTTATCCTCAATGATGCAAAAATATGAACTCAAATTATTGAATGATGAGGAAACAGATCCTATAGTTGCTGTACCATTTCCTGTTAATCGTCCTTCGAAGAACTTGAAAATTCAATTGTCGAAGAGACACGATTAGAAATTCATAGAAATTAATGAAAGTGCAAGTATAATATTACTAAAGCACTGAGGAAAATCCACTTCCAAAAAGATCCAAGCTGCATCTTCTTTTTCTGTTTCTTTTGTTGGTGTTGAATAATCTCATTTTCATCAAAAGGTATTCCATTATTATATTTAGCAGCATTTGTAGTATCTCCAAGTCTTGAATAAGTGAGAGCAATAAATTGGTAGACTCTCTCCTCGTTAGATTTATCTAATTCAATAGATTTCAAGTAATCGCCAAGTGCTTGTTTGTATTTTTCCAGTTCAAAATATGAAGATCCTCTATTAATAAAGGCAGAGCTATTGTGGGCTCGAGCTTGATTGCCTCGGTGAAATCCTTGATGGCATTTTCGTACTCGCCATTTTGATGATATGCTGAACCTCTACTTAAATATGCTGTTGAAAACTTTGAGTTCAATTCAATAGATTTTGAAAAGTCCTCGATAGCTTTGAGGTATTCCTTACTTTCCAAGTGAACAACTCCTCTTCTACTGTAAATCAGATAATCAGGGCTTTCTTCAATTACCTTATTATAATCTTTAAGAGATTTATCAGTTTCTCCAATCTCATAATACAAATGTCCTCTAATTGTGTAAATTAATATCTTGTTTGTTGAATTAAAGTCCAAAGCAAAATTAAAATCCGAAATGGCTTTCTCCTTTTCCTTCATTTCTAAATACACAAGACCTCTACTGCAATAAACATCACCATTTTTTGGTTTTAATTTGAGAGCTTCGGAATAGTCAGATATTGCTTTTTCAAATTCTTTCAATTCAAAATATGAACTTGCTCTGTTGTTGAGAGCAGTAAAATTATTCTTATCAAATTGGAGGGCATGGGAAAATTCATCAATGGCTATTTTAAATTTTCCACTATTGTGTGCAGACAAACCGGCAAGGAGGTGTTGTTCCATTTGTTTAAATTAGTTTTATTAATAAAGATAACACAAACAATAAATTGTAAATAAGAGAGTGTTTTAGATTGAACAGGGCTTAGTATTTTTTACGAACAATGTATTCCCCCTTAGCTCAGTCGGTAGAGCGTCAGACTGTTAATCTGCAGGTCGGTGGTTCGAGCCCACCAGGGGGAGTAATGTTTTATTTTCAATATCTTAATTTATTGTTATTATTCATTTCTGTTTTCACTCCCTTGTAGTGCAGTCTGCCTTTTGGTGGAATGTTGAACCGAAAAACAATTTGAAAATTCATTAGAAGAAGCATTAATCTTATAAAAGGAAGGTAGTTGACTGTCCGTTTAAATACACTTGAATAGGATACAACTTTTTTTCGTTGTTTGTAACTTCATGGTTGACAATCAAAGTATTCGTGGACTCCACAACATTGGAAAGTCTTGGACTGGAAAATCTCTTATTGTTAGGCAGTGAAAATGACAAGAAGGCTTACCTGAAGTCTTAATTTCCTTTTTCCATACACCATCAATCTAATGCGTGACAATGGATTCAACCAAACCCTCTGTTTTCAAAAACCTTTTCACACATTCACATAAATAAAAATCTTATAAACGAGCTCGTGGGATCTTCTCTTCATCCCGTTTCACCAGCTCTTTAAGATACATTCCCCATCTTCAGTACTATATTTTACAACAACAATTATAGCTAAAATCGCTTTAATTCATTTAGGAAGATCATTGGAGATTGTCCAACAACAGAAATATTTTTTAATTTTAATATTTATTTAATAATCTAAATTGTTAATATCCTGATTTAAACAAACACTTTTAAACTCGTTCAATAATTTTTAGACTTGTAGTGAAGAGCAACTCACGTACAACTCCAACCAACATCTTATTTGAAAATCAAAAACGATACCGTACTCAAACAAATAAGGAAAAGTTGGCAAGAAATCATTTCGAACAACATCAAAATTGTATTTAATTACAACCTTTTGTACAGAGTTTCGTTTCATCAGTTTACACTCTATCGACATCACTCGACCCGATATAACTGAATTGTATTGTTGGCGCCATTTTTTTATTGAATTAGCTGAGTGGTACAAGAAGAAACTGTTCGGGCTTTTCTCAACCTGTGCTGCCATTTGCTTTTCAGTTTGCCTGTTGTTTGTGTTCTCTCTCTTTGCGCATCTCTTAATCGTAATTGACGTACCGCCAAGCAAAGCACTGTATTGATTTAGAAAACGACTGTGCTGTTTGTTGTTGTTGAGGTCCAGAGTTTATTGTTATCACTCCTCAACTACCTCCTTAGTGCTTGCTCAAAATCCAAAAAAAAACACTCCATTGGCTTATTGAACTGAACAGCGGTTTCAAAGTTCATTTTCTTTCAACTTCCTTACTGCCCTCATTCCTCTTGAAATCACATTCCTACCAATCCGAAGATTGGATTAATAGCGATTGTTGATTTGCCTTATATTCCCTACAACAACACACCTCTTCTACAATATTACTACCAACTACCAACTACTTCCATTATTAATTCTTTTAAGAATATTTAGTGATCATCGACTTTCCTCATCAAACTCTCATAACCTCCAATTTAAGAATGAATACAAGAACAACACCATTCCCTTTCAGAAGAAACTACTCATCACCAAGCTGCAATGGCAGATACACATCCGATTTCAATACTCCCCAAGATAAGATACGGGATGATGAAGCAATTTCTGATACAAGCAGCTGTATCGGTAACTATAATAATTCTCCATACTCTGTTGATGGATCCTCATCCATTTCTTCTTCCTCCTCATTCATGAGGGATCGATCCCTCTCTACATGCTCTGTAAATGTTTCCCCTCTTTTAAGAAATTCTTTGGATTGTTTCTCTTCGCCTCCAAGTTATGAAACTTATGAACAACCCAGACAATTGATTAATTGGAGTGAATACTTTTTCAGTCTGAGTCAAAAACAAAGCCAAGTTAGAACGAGAAAGACAGCCTCTGTCTACCAACAATTATATACTTCAAGCTATATGAAAAGATATAGAAGTGTTGTCTGTGATTGGTTCTTTGAAATACAGTACGCTTTGTCTTTGAGTCAAAGACTCGTCCATGTTGCTACCTTATACATGGATATTTGTATGTATAGACTTTATTCCACAAACAGGGTAGCTTGCCCTTCCACTAACATTGCACCTGGTGAAGGTCTCTTTAGTATCAAGCAATATCTTCAATTATTAGCTGCCAGTTGCTTATGGATTTCAACCAAACGAGATGAAACTTATGGCGACTCAAAACTTAAACTCGATACCTTAGTACAATATTGCTGTGGCATGTACACCAAACAAAATTTCCAAGAAATGGAAGCTTTTGTATTAGATTTACTGGAATGGGAATTAGAAGATACTCCTTCTATCGATTTTCTTGATACAATGATGGCATCAGACTCTGATTTATCAAGTGAAGATGACATGGAGGATGAAGAATCATCTGAAGAAGAGACATTCAACAACTTTAAGGAATCTGTTAAACACTACTCGAAAATGATTATTGATTCCTCAATACTGAATACACTCGTTACCGGATCAAATAAGGAGAAAATGGACACTTTTGAGCAACTTAAACAATTGTTTAATATCCATGTCCCAAGCCAATACGTTCAACAACTTGAACATACATATATTTCACTCTGGATTACCATGCTTAATTATCCAAGCTTATTGGCTTTATCCTCACTTCTTTCCGGATTATTCTTATATCACTTGTATGAATCTCCTTTTGAACAAGGCCAATTATCTGGTATTTACCAATCTGCTGATATGACCACCCTGGAACAATTTGAAGATGTTCTTTCTCATTATTGGACATCAGACATGGAAATGAATATTGGTTATAGTTTGGAACAAGTAGCTATTTGCTCAAGAATTCTATACACATTCTTTCATATTGAGCAATCAAAAACCTCAGTTGAAGAAAAACCGAAACGTGAAACACAAAGACCATCAAATAATACTCGCAGCGAAACAACTCATGGATTGGATCAAATGAACTTGGCTTGCAATGAGCAACTGTAATAAATAAGGTCTTTTTCAACCCCTTAATTTAGATGTTGTACAAAAACATTTCCTTATTGATCTCTCGATAAAAGACAATCCAATTAAGGAAATACGCCAAGATTTGCTTACAAATTAGTAAATTAATAATTTATAAAGTTTCTGCTTCATCAGCAATGGTTGAGGTATCGTCTTCGTCTTCACTGGAGGCAACAGCTGATTCATCATCATCAGCATCATCACCTTCAGGTATTTCGTATAAATCTAATCTGTCTCTGTTTGGATGCTTCAACAAGACAAATTCGCAATCTTGCTTATTGTTTTCTTGGAGATATCTTTGAACATATTCGATTATGAGTTTAACAACACCCCACATGTTGTACAAATGGAGTTGAAGTTGATCAGCAAAGTCTTCTGGTCTGTATTTTTCAGTGCCCAAAATAAGGTGAGTCTTTGTAGCCTTTGGTGATTGTCTTGAAACGAAACCGAGCTTGAATTGCTTGCTTGAGCTCAAAAGGGCTTGAGCAGTCCACTTAGCCATTTTGGCAGAGTTGTTCTTAAATTCAGCCATGATGATTGAGGTCTTTTGGGATTCCATTGAAGTCTTCCAATCAGCAACATTGTGATATTGATTTTGTTCTGCTGGGAAATATTCATTCAAAACCTTCAATGACATTTCTTCATCACCTGAAGTTTCCTTAGACAAACCATTGATTTCACATCTTACGAGAAGGTTAATTGAGTCACTTAATTTGAATTCACGATACTTGTAAGCCAAGTTAAAGACACCAGTTGAGAATGGAACAGCTTCGTTACCCAATTTCTTAACTTCATCTTCCTTGAAAGCTTGTTTTTGGAGGTAAGCATTGACGAGAGTAGCTTCCTTACTCAATGAGAATGCAGAGTTGATGGATTGAACATTCTTTTCATCTACTGATGGAGGATTTGATGATGTTTCAGAAACAGAGTGCCACAAGTTAATGTTACGACCTTCCAATTTTCTCATATCCAAATAAATCTTTCCTTCACTGACACGAACAGCCATATCCCAAGGAAGTTCGGATTTAGAAGCAGCCATAAGTGTAGCAATAGCATCATCAGTGGCAAAAACGTTGGCTTCTGGAGCAGTCTTATTGTTAAGAAGTGGATCTTCTGATGAAGCTGGTGGTTGAAGAATATAACCATTAAGTTTTTGTGGTTTTTCCAAAGTGAGTGGTTGTTTGGCAGAAGCTCTGTCAAACTTCTTGTCATAGTATCCCAAACTACCACAAATATGACGATCAATTGGTTCAGGTGTCTTGTATCCTTTACCACTTTCCAATGGTTCTGTTGTAGCCTTCTTCAATGTACCGAATAAGAATTTATCAATCAAGACCCAGCTCTTCTTAACCTTGATGGAAGGTTTGTAGTTTTGTGTCTTGGTTTTTTGATAATAGCTAAGTGTGGCCTTCTTTTTCTTTTGTTTGTTTTGCTTGTTTTGTTCTTGGTTGTAAGCAGCCTTTGGAGGTTGTGATTGTGTAGTAGGTCTTCTCTTGTTTTGATTATAGTTGGTGTAGGATTTTCTTTGACTTTGAGTGTTTGAAACGACCAAGTTAAAGTCGTCATTAGCACCAGTTACATTGGCAATAGCAGCAGCAACTGAGTGAGTTGTTGTACTTGTTGTTGGAGCCGATTGTTCGCTTGTCCAATCAGCAATTTTACCAATACTTATTTTACTAGGAATAATGTGAAATAAATTTGTTGGCAAAGACAAAATTTCTGATTTAGATTGTTCAACAGAAGAGGAAGCTGGGTGAATAGGACCCCATCCTTCCTTTGATTGTTCGAGCAGAGAAATGGCAGAGAGTAAATCTGATGACGATTGCATTTTTTTTCTTCAAAAGAATGTTGTAAAGAATCAAAGGTTTTTAATTTAATTAATATTATTAATAATTCTTCAATGATCTTGGCTTGATTTCCTCTTCACAGATATAAATATTCGAGAAGTTTATTTCGATATGAATACAATTCGAGATTGAAGAGAAGGGAATAATTTTATGATGGTGAATCTTTGGGTTGAAGGCTTGAAAAAAATTATTGTCTTTTGATGAAAAAGGTCAAGTTGTCCTGCTATCATGTTGTCTGGAAGAAAGTACTCTTATTATTATTAACAATCAATTATGGCTGAACAAGCAACTCGGTCAAATTTTCCACAAGTCAATTTTAAATTAAAATCTTCATCAATTAATATTATTACCCTCTTCCTATCAATATTGAATGAATTGAAAAAAAATGTTGAAAAAGCTCCACTCTATTTCATCATCAACATTACCAGTTACTCTCTCCACCACTAACGGAAGTAAAGCGGTGTTTAATATGATGGCCAATAGTGCTATTCAATCACGTTTTAATCATCAAGCAGCTGCTATTGTTGTGGACGAAAAAAAGGTTCAATCAAATCGTCCTCCTCAAAAACAGAGTGGAGCTCCAGCCAATAACAAATTCATTAGTAAACAACATAAGAAAGAGAAATTCCAAGAATTGAATTTGGAAAAAAAAGCAAGATTGGATAATATTATTAATGACCAAAAATCGAAGCAAAAACTCGGAAAGAGAATTCTTTTGTATTTGATGAGATGTTCTCAAAAGAATATTCCTATCACAACAGTATACTTTTACTTTGATTTACTTTTGAATCATTTAAAGATTACTATGGAACATTCATTCTTTATTCAACTTCTTAGTTTATGTAAGGATGAAGACCAATGTGTAACTGTCTTTTTACTTTCCGTGAAAGCTGAAAAGGTTAAATTAGAAAATGGAACAGAATCAATTGAACCAATCATCAAGTTACCAAAGAATATCTCATATAATAGAGAACAGTATGAAAAGTTTAGATCATTGATGCCATTAAATCAGCACTATAATGAAGTCATGATTTCTACAGCATTATTCCATACACTTGCTAGATTAAAGTCAAAGTATACATATGCTTTATTCAGAGCATTGAAACAATCTGATGAAAGTCTATTCAGTGAATATCACACAGTTGAATGTTACAATTGTCTTTTATTACAATATGCTAAACCACCATTTACTGATATGGAATTGGTCAACAAACTTCTTTCGGAAATGAACCAAAATGAAGCTACCAAACCAAACATTAGAACTCACACACTTCTCTTGGACTTAATTCTTAAGAGCACCTATTCAAATGGTGAAAAGTTGCAAAGAATTCTTCAAATGACAAGAGAAATTGAGTCAGCAGATACTGCCTTCTTTAACAAACTCCTCACAAATCTCATAGACACTCAACAATACAAAATTGCCATCCAATTATTTAATGCTATTAATCAAGCATCAGTTGGAACAGATTCCAAGATTCGTCCTGACCGTGTTACATATCACAAGATGATTTCACTCTACTTTAAGATAGGAAGCCCTGAAAAGGCTCTTTCTATTGCTAAAGCTTTTGAACAAGATCCTTTGAGTCAAATTACAAGTTATACTTGTTGTTTGGTTATTCAAGGTTTTATTGATGCTGACAGAATTCAAGAAGCCATAATGCTCTATGAAAACTTTATCAAACATCCAAAGATTAAATTGGATCAAATTTTCTTCAACGCTATTATTTCATCAGCAGGTAAAAAGAATTTACCACAACTTTTACAACGAGCAATTAAGGATATGAAGGAGCTTAAAGTGGAACCAGATTTAACCTTATACTTTACAACATTGTCATCATACTCTAGAATGGGACTTATGCCAGAAGCTGAAAAGATGTATCAATTATTCAAAGTTAAAGGTTTGCTTACATCATCAAAGCATTATACTGCCTTGATGAGAGGTTACTTTAGACTTAAAAAAGATGACATGGTATGGGATGTATTCCAAAGATTTTTGGAAGATCAAAAATTACGTGAAAAATCAGGCGATCCTCTTTATTTAGATTTTGCAATTTTATCGTATTTGTTGGCAGCTACTAGATCTAAGGAACAACTTGAACAAATTTTCGTACACTACAAGGCATTGATTGAAAAGAATATTATTTCAGATAGTACAAATGATTACGTTATGTTGGATGATGAAGCAGAGGATGATATTATCCTTAACATTACAGAAGCAGAGGATGATGAAAAGGTTGGAGCATTTACTGATAGAGACTTAGTTGATCTTTATAATGATGATTTCAAGTTTGAAGAATCAGGAAAGATTGCCTTCTATTCAGATGTTAGACCAGAACTGTTTTATTATAGACTTTGTAGAGTTTCTTTGTATCAAAGACATACTAACATTCTCATCCAACTTTTGAACCACATGCAACTCATCGCCAAGGTTCAACCACATAGTATCAAATATTTCTCTAAAATTGTCCTTCGTTACTTGTCAACAACAGGCAGAAAGAGAGTTGTGTACTTCTTTGAGGTATTGGACAAACTTTTACAAGAGTATAAGAAGGGAACTAGGATTGTATTTTTGGAAATTCTTGCTAGGAAATATCTTGGTGCCGTTGAAAAACTAGCCGATTTTATTACTCAACAAAGAATTGAGAATTACATAAGATACAGAGGTGAAGATTTACAAGATCCTTCATTCAACTATGTACCAAACTTTAATCAAATTTTGAAAGAACTCGCAACTATTAAAGTATAATAGCTTTTATTTGTTCATTTTGTGTAGCACTGATATCAATTCGTGAGTACTGTCAACATTCAACACAATATCCTCATATTGATTACCGAAACTGAACCAAGATCCTGAACTGACAACCCTTATTACTACACTTTCCTTCTCTCCAGGTTTGACTTGGAAAATACTCTTACTGTCATAGGACCAAACAATCTTAATATTTTCCATAATTACTTCTGTTGGAGGTGGATTTCCAACAGAATAAACCTTATCGCCTTCAGTACATTCAACTTTAAATAAGTGTTTATCACCAACGAGAATGATTGCAGGAGTGTTTGTGAAGAAATGTTTCACATAGGTGGTTTCTCCAAATGATGGATCTTTTCTAATCAAATTGTACACATAATTTCCGAAAGCAAGATTCTGGTCGTACGGGTTTAATTTCTTATCTGCACCAACATATCTTGGGAATCTCTTTCTGGTAACATTGGCATCTCTATCGAAATATTGGGTTGTGTTTTTGAGACCTTCACTTGTTTTGTAGACGAAATCTAAAACACCAGTTACAGGCTTAACTGGAATTCCAATTATTCCTTTTCCAATGCCTTTGAAAAAACCTGAAACACCTTCCTTGCTTGCACCTTCGATTGGTTTAGTAAAAATACCAGTACCTGCTTCAAATAAACCGAGAGAAAGTGATTGTGCACCTGATAGAATTCCTTCACCAATGTGTTTAGGTCTCTTGCTCAAATGATTGGCCTCCTTTCTCTTAACTTGATAGTCTTCATCCATAGTCAAAAGACTAATACCATTACTAATTGATTCGGTTACCTTTGATGCTGTATTAAAAGTGCCATGAATTGAATGCTTGAAGAAAGAAGTAGTTCCCTTGGCCAGTCCTAGTGTAAAATCTTTTGGAGATTTAGTAATTCCTTCCATAGGTTCATAGAAAAGATCGTAGACACCCTTATCTATATCGTTGAATAGACCAATAGGATTGCCTAAAATATCAAAGCTGCCGAGTATTGCAAACATTTCCTGAATAGCATATCTTGTGTAATGAGATTTCACATTTTCCATGAGTTGGAATCTAGAAGTTAGAGGAGGATGGTTTAGAATTAAAGCATTTAGTCTGATTGGAGCTTCGTCGACATTCATACTCAATCTTGCTCCTAATGTTCTCAGCAAAATTGAAAGATCAGAATCTGATTCTGTAGAAATTTCATTGAAGACAAAGCTTAAATCGACCTTGATTGGATGCAATTCAAAGTATTCAAAATAGATCATTCTATCACTTTGAGGATTTGAGTAAATATTGTGGTCAAAATCAGGTATGATTTCATCGATTTCAGATTCTGCACTAGTATCTATTTTAGAAAGAACGATTTGTTTTTCATTATTAACCTTCTTTCCTTTCAGGGATTTAACCATTTCAAATACTTCATGGGCAAATCTAAAGTCAACAGAAAGCTTAGCCTCTTGCATCAATAATGAAAGATATGGAATGTAATCAAAATCTTTTTCTTTGGTATCTATAATCATACTAAAGTGAAGGAAATCTCTTAATCCAAGTTTGTTGGCATTTGTTAAAAGTATTGGGAATGTGCAATTTTCCATTTGATTATCAATACTAAGTCTATTCATCTTGAATTCCAAAAACTGTTTGTTCTTATCGGTCACATTAAAGTTAAATGATAAACTTTCGGCTAGCATGTAAAGAAGTTCTTTCTGGAGATGGTTAATGATAGATATTCCAATTCCTTTCAAAAAAACAAAGGATTGAATCAAATCAGTTTGGGACTCTTCTTCTTCATTTTCTATTTCTGGAAGAACTTCTTGTTCTGAAAATTTCTCTAAAATACTGATAACTCTTGTGTAACCTCTGTAGGTAGTCAAGCGAATTAATACCTTCTTTTTAAGTTGGCTGATCGTAATTATCTTACTCTTCTTTACCTTGTCGATATCAATGGCACCTAGCTTGTACTTATCAGCAAGGGTAACATGAATAGAATGTTTGGATTTGATATCTGGTGCAGTATAAGGAATAGTTTGGTTAGGACTAATTGAAATGTACTCGCCAGTGTAAACTTGTGATACAGATATAGAGTGTGTTGTCTTGTTCACTATAAAGTAAGGGGGTAAAGCTGCCCTTGTGAAATGTACATGAACACAGCCATTTGTTTCAGTAATTTTTGCAGTTATAAAGTTACCATTAACTATTAATGGAATTTCACCAAGTGTATCAATAGTAAATGGTGTTGACCACTCTGATAATACATCTCCTGTCTTTAATCGAACACATATCATAGGAGTCTTCTTTCTGTAGAAGTGCATTAAAAGTGGATTGTCAACTTTGATAGTTTCCATCTCTTCAGCATTCATTGTCCAATAGAAGTGGCATGGTTTTGTTTGTTGAATTGAATAAATGTGAGTCTCATCCCCAAATTGTTTAGCTTCAATTTCCAATGATTTGTTGTCTTTTGAATACAGTCCATTCACAAGTAAATATCTTGGTGTAATGATTACTACCTTTGTTCTCTCGTACTTTTCATTAGCCAACGTTACAAATGTTCCCAATTTGAGTGGTACTTTGCTTTTATCAGAAGCATGCTGTAACACCACCTCAGAGGATGCACCAACAGAATCGATAGAAAATGGTGGTGATGAAAATCCATCACTTGTTTTAAGGACAACCTTCTTGCTAAATATTAGAGATTTTTCATCTGTATAATTAAACATTAGAGATTCCTTATTATTTACGGTTGTTTTACAACCAAGTAAACAATTTTCTTTTGATGAATCCTCAACCTCTATTGAAAAGTCAGTGTAATTCATGATCAAATAAGGACAGTGTACAACAATTTTCAAATAGGTATTGGAAGTACTTGTAACATCATATTTGAGATTCAAAATTCTTCCTGTAGTGTAAAAATTGGAAAAATTGAGAGATATGTCTTCTTGTTCTGTACTGGAGTTTGAATAAATTAAATTAATATCCTTGGTTTGCCATCCTTGAATAATGGTTTGAATCCATAGTTTAGGTTTTTGCATATCAATCTTGTAAACAAAATGTGTATCACCTTTCTTAATGAATCCATTATATTTAGCAATTTTGATATTTTCATCCTTAGTGGAAGAACCAAAGAGTGCAAACTGCAAATCTTCTTGAAGTACATTTTGAATTGCAAGTGGTGGTATAATATTAATCTTAGTCATCTTATTATGACTGGATTTAGAGTTCAAAATGCAATAAAAGTGGTCTTTCTTATTTGTTGCGTGTTTGTTCTGAGTAATAATGGTCTTTGCATGGGATTTACGAAGTGTAGAAATGGAATAAAGAAGAGGATCATTTCTTGACCACTTGTACTCACTATGTTCACTGTTGAGATCCTTGCAAGGTCTTAGAGTGAGAGTAGCATTTTCAACAACCAAATTAGTTGGTAAATAAATGGATTTAAATGGAGAGAGGACCCCAAGAGAAACGACTTGTTCACCAATGAAACAACCTAATTGCCAAACTCTATCAGTCTTGTTTCTAATCTTACATCCACTGTGTACAATAATAGTTTTTCTCTTGTTCTTGTCTTTGATTTCAATAAATACATGATGTTCCAATTGTCCAAATTCTTTGTTAGATACCAGTATTGAATATCCGTGGATTCCATCTTTGTTAGCAAGAACCTTTATGATTGTTCCTTCAATATTAAGATCTAAATATTGGTTTCTATCAGAATAGGAAGGAGGGAAAGAGAAATGGATTTCCTGATCTTGCTCAAGAGCAGTAACTTCGTTGGTAATCTTGAAAGAGGCTTTCAAGCCAGATTTGTTGATTATATTAAATGGTTCAAAGGTAACTGCCAACTCCTTCTGTTTTACAGTGTCTTGTTCAAGCTCTTTGATCCATGCTTTGGCAGTGCTCACCACAGTTTCCAAAGCAGAATATGTTATATTTAGGTTGATAACATCTTCACATTCAATTTGAACGATGTGGTTTGGTGATTCCTTTTGGTTTTGATATACGCAATGGATTGGAATTTTGTTCTTTTCAATTATTGGTTCCCATTCTGCATTCTTAAAATTGTAACAATCACCATAGGCAAGGAATTCTAAATAGGCAGAAATATGATTATCCTGTGGTCCCAAAGACTTGATAAGTGAGTTTAACTTAAATCCTCCCAACTGCAGTTTCACAATTGGAATGTCAAAACCACTCAGGTCATCCACAACCAATATACTAATAGACTTTAAATCTACAATAATCTTGTTAACGAGCATCTTTGGAAGAAGCTCATCACTGATCATTTCCTTAAAGTCTTTTGCAATTATAGATTTAGGTTTTGCTTCTGCAAGAGCACACTGCTCAATTATTTGGGTAATGTCTTCTTCAACTAAAATGGATGGTTTTTCCATTTGTCTCTTGAATTGTTGTGCAATATTATAAAACATTTTAACATCAAAGTAGGAAAGTCTGGTATTACCACCCCTCAATAATAAAACTTTGATTATTCGTTCTTCCTTATCTTCTTGACTGGAAATTCTCATAATGTCTATATCTACATCAGTACTATCTACAAGAGGAAGGGTTCTATTTCCATGCTCAACCAAAATACTCAATCCTGATATTTTGAAAATGCCCTTCTCAGAGAGACCTCCTTCAGTGGATTTAAAGTCAATAGAACTGCTGAATTTAAGAACAAGAAGTCTACTGTTGACATCGCTTGAAGCTTCAGGTATTACTAGTTGTGGCGTTCCAAAGTCACCCTTCAAAAGCAGTGATGAAGAGGATGGTTTAAGTAACTTATTATTTTCTTCCAAAACAACTTCATATTGGGAAATATCGTCAATATTTGTTCCAACCATCAGTAGTTCAGCTAATCTGTCATTTTGGAAATATTTGGTATCCGAGAAGAAGTGTCTAAAATCTAGTAATAACTCTGGAATAATTACTAGTTTAGGGTTGCTGAGCTTTAGGTTTACAGTTTCTACCAAGTTTGTTTTGTCATTCTCATAAATCATAGAAAAACAACCATTTGGATCCGAGAATTCAATAAAATTACTAAATACGTTGGTTGTATCTTGTCTCATATCAGATGCAATGATAGATCCCAAAGTCATATTCATGTGGATACAATCATTGATATCAATCTTGTTATTAAGTTGAAAGTTTGATACAGATAGTTTAGCAAAGTTTGAACCATTACTCTTTAAAATTAAAAGTGAAATATTTGGAGCCGTAACATAAACATCTGTTATAATAATATTAGAAGAAAATTTTTCAATTGTCTTTTCTGAAGAAACCCTCTTCAAAAGGAGATCTTTCTTTTTTCTTCTAGTAACCAATGTTCCAATAGATTTGTAGAATTTTCTCTCCTCATTAACATCTCTCATACCATCTCTGATATTACCATTAATGAAGTCAAAAATGATTTGATACTGTCTGTGTGTAAGATTAAAGTTAATTTCTGAAAAATCAACAAATACCACTTCCTTGGTTATATCAAACTCATTATTGTCTTTTGTTTTGGTGAAAGGAGTAATAATTGGTTTTTTGACATCAACTTTGATGAAAATATCAGAAACAATTTTTTCGTGATCGTTCGATGCATCTGAAATAAATTCTAGCATGATATCGTTCAACAATACACTAACATGATCGATGGGAGTATCTGAATTTCCTTCTAAAAAGTTTTCTACAACCAAATTTCCCAAATGAGCAAGGAAGTGGTCTTTAGATTGAAAGTTGGATGGGAAAATCACCACAGGACTTGTTATTTTGATATTTAGCTTAATTTGGTTGTTAATGATTCTCTTACTAATTATATCCTTTCCCTTTAGGCCAACTTCAGCTAACTTGTTTCTAGTACTTTCTCTTTTCAAAGCATTTAACAGAGGGCCTGATATGTAGTTCTGTGCTTTGTGGTAGAATCTTTGAATGTGCACATATTTAATGGCACTGGTATCCATAGATAAAAATTGTCGATAATTGATTGCTCCTCTTTGTATCAAATCTCTATCACCTTCTTTCTCAGCGAAAAGTTCAGAGGCAGATGCACTGGAGAAAACATATTTGTAATTCAGAGTGACCACAGAACCTTTGGTCTGATCATAGAGGCCAAGAATTTCCTTGTAAAGAGATGTAGGTTCACTAAGATCCAACAGTTGGATATTTCTTAAACTTCCAGAAATCGCAACGCTATCTAAATCAATTAGGCATGATATAGTGGTACCAGCATTGATTAATAATTGGGCTATGGTTATACCATTGCTTAGGATAAATACATTGGACTCTCCAGCTGTAATTGATGTTGTAAGAAGTTTGCAACTTTCTTGATTACCATCCAATAGCATTTTGGCTATTTCACTAAACTGTTGACCAGCATCTACTTCATCCTCATCAGGAACATAAGAATAATAATTAATCTTGTTAAAGGCTGATATTTGATCGATAATATCTTGCAAGTCGTAACCGTAGTCAATAAAAGTAGAGAGAATGGAGGGCTCAACAAAACATTGTAAGCTCTTGAACTCGATTTTGAGTAACATTTGAGAAGAAGGATCATAAATTAAAGAGGTAGGATCTGTAGATCTGGTGAATGAAACATTGACCAAGTGTTCTTCTGGATTGTTTTCATCTTCTATTGATTTGATAATGTAAAATTCTCTATCTTGCAAAATTTCTGATTTTACGTTCATAGAGTGAAGGAATAATTGAATGTTGGTATCCAGATTGTGGTACTGTCGGAAATAAGCGTTCAGATGGGAAAAGTGAATAGAAGCCAAGTTGAAACTTTGATGAGAAAGAGTCAGTATGAATGAATTCAACTTGAATCTTATGGCTATGAGTACACCTTGTTTTTCTTCCTCCTCATCATCTTCATCGTCAGAAAAGCTTGCTTCTTTCAAAATATCAGTAATATCATCAATAAAGAAGCTTGTATCGAATGAGTAAATAAACATTCTTAGGGTTGTGATCCAATTTTCTGTTTCATCCAGAGATGAACATTTGAATTGAATAAATTTCGTTTGATAACCCTTCTTTTGTGGAAGTTCCAATATAAATGTATTTTCTATAGTGTCTGATTTGTGTACTTTGGTATGCTTGTTCAAATGTATAATAACATGAAGAAGTCTTGTATCTTCTGTATAAATAAATATCTTCTTAGTACTGCTCACTTCTACGAAGTAAGGCACAAATTCATTATCTTCATGATTGACTTGTAGAGTTCCCATAATTTTCAAGTCGTTAATTTTCTCCTTTGTACCAGTTGGGTTTTGTTTGAATTCTGCTACTAATTGTGTCAACTTTGAAACAGCAAGCATACTCTCTTTGGAAAGAATAAAGTTAATCTTTGGAATATCAAGCAAGAGTTGAACTTTTTCTTCCACGGTTTCTTCTTTGTGTTTAATAGCACTTGCTGCCAGTGAGGTCTTTTCTAAAATAACATCATATGTAGTAATTTGTTGTTGGTCTGTCAGATATCCAATAGCATTAATATCTTTAGGAACAACAATTTCCATATTTTCCAGATTGATATCGAACTTTTCTCTGGAAGCTATGCTAGTATCTTTACGCAGTTTGAGCAATCCAAAATCAAGTAAAAGGAATCTACTGTCAGGATCTGTTGGATTCCAAGGAATGATGATTTGTGGAGCCTTGATATCGAAGGTTAGATCCACAGTGGTGTCATCTTGCATAAGAACTTCCTTAATCTCCTTTTTGGCCAATTTAGATACTTTCTTGATATGCCTCTTGGCTTCTTTTTCTAAGCGTTTGATATTGACATTGTCAAAGTATAAGAATGAAAGTATTCTTTGGAAAAATTCAAAGTTAACTACAATATCGATTTGATTAAGAGCTACCGTCAAATAAATATCACTCTCTTCATTCTTTTTCTCCAAAGTAGATCGCTTCTCAATGTACAAAGAAAGAAGGTTAGAGGAAGTTTCATTGTACCTTTTAGATTTTGTAATAATTTCAGGATAAAGAGTTTGCTTGAATCTATCGAATAATGTTAAATTACCCATAGAAGAACAAACTTTGAATGCTTTGTGAGGTAAAATTTGAATATCTGATACGAATCTATCTACTTCAAGTTCTAGTAAATCATTTCTTTCGTGATAGACCCTAAATGCTACCTTGGCCAAATCTACGTGGACTCTAACCTTTACATAGTCATCAGGTATTTCAACGGGTTTCTCTTCATAACCTATAGATTTGTACAGTTCTTCTTTCACCTTATCAGAAAGCTCAATAGCCTTTGCTTGTAGTTTATCTTTCGAGAACCAGCTTGATTTCTTTTTATGCTCTTCGAAATTCTTTGCTTCCTGATTAATTTCCTTATGTGCACACTTTCTGAAGAACAGAACTTCCTGCAGTGTTCTTTGATCTTCCAGCTCAGCTAATCTCTTCTCTTCATCTGGGCTGAGCTTTTGCTTGGTTACCCACGGAACTTTTACATGAGTTTTGTAAAGCTTGACGTATTCTTTACAATGTAAGCTCAAAATATTTTCATAATGTTGCTTTTTCTTGTCCATTTGTCTCTGAAAATTAACACATTTGAGGGCATACTTCCAATAAGAAATGGGGTCAAATTTCTCAGGTCTAAAATGTCGGTATTGGCTTTGGATTGAATAATTTGTAATATATTCCACAATTTTAAAAATGGAATTATACTGATTCTGACTCAAACACATCTGAATATCATGCACAAAGTGAAAATCAAAATTAAAAACTGGTCTTGTAAAATCTATCCCTGAAGCGGAGAGCTTTTGCATAGTAAGCTTCAAAAATCCGTCTACTGGTTCCAACAAGTACACTCTGTCATTGGCTTTGATAATGCTCTGTATTATGTCTCTATCGCAAACTTTCTTTTCTATACATGTATTTACAAAATCTTCTTTCTCTGTCCAAGGATTCAAATATATCGCCAGCTTGGACATGGTCAATAATTTATAAGTTAATTCTCCTAAATTTTTCTGAAATTTAGTTTCAAAGTTTTCATTTGTAGAATTTACTTCCATACTCTCTAAATAAAATCCACCAACACAGTTATTATCATCTTGATATCGGATATGAATATTCTCAATTTTAATCTTTAAATTATTTAAAACTGTTTCTATCAACTTGTCGAAAAATCCTTCTTCTGTTTTTTCATCACCTGTACTAGCTGCTGCCTTTTCTGCTTTGGCAGCTTCTTGTTTTTCAAATTGATCCAATACGTGTTTTTTTAAATCTCGTTGCCTTTGTTTTTCCTCTTCTTCAACAAATGGTCTTCTCATCTTCGGACGAAGAACAATATATACATCCTTCAATCTACAAACAACAGATTTAGCATTTAAACTTGTATAGGGAACATCAAATTCAAGAAGGGATATGTGACTAAAAGAAATATAAAAAGGTATTGAATCCGAAATATTATCCAAAGCATACTCCTTCAATTTAATATCATTCAAAGAAGCAACACCTTTCAATACAGCAATATTTAAATTCTTCCGATCAAAATTATCAACATATTGTTGCAAGTATGGTACAAGCAAACTAGATACAATATTCTCAATCATTTTTGCATTTTTTTTAAAAATAAAAATTAAAAATAAATTAGATTCTACAAGTAAGTGATCTCAATCGGTGAGCATTGTAATTTTTGAACACGTATTGTAGTCTAATGAGAAAATCAAGAATTTTTTTGGATGATCATTTTAGGCAATCAGGAAATGAAGAGCAAAAACATTTGCAAACCCATTTTGACTCGTTGTCACTTTTGTAATTAATTTTGAAGCTTCTTTAAACGATGCAATACTACTTGGAAAGCATTTTCCTTCTTTTGCCAAACCCCAACAAATCAACTTGCATCAATTACAGGCGGTATTATATTTCATAGAGATTCTTATCAAAAAAAACAAATCACATCACCACGCTTCTGCTGGAAGGATAAAGAGCACCAATTCATCAGAAGAAACACATCATGTCGGATACAATCAAAACAAATCCAGACGATACTCCATTATTGAAAACATTGGAAGGAGTTGATGCTACCAATGCTAGGAAAGAGTTGACAATGGAAGAGGTACATCGGGATTGGCCACACTTCTTTGTCTATTCCTCCAAAACACCACTCCACCATGCTAAAATCAAGAGAGATTTGAAGAGTGAGCAGGAAAAATTGTGTTTTGACAAGGTAGAAGAATACGTTCTTTCTGATGCTTTCATCAAGGATGTTGAAAAGTCGTGTTCCGATTCATTTAGAACCCAACAACTTTCACAACGACCTCTAATGAGAATTGATTTGGCCAGCATTTCCAACACAGAGCAGGAAGTAGTTGATGATCATGGTTTGATTGTAGATGTATTCAGTTTGTTGAGATTTTGCAATGCCAGAAAGTTTGACTTGAATAATACCAAAGAGTTACTTACTGAAACAATTTCGTTTAGATTAGAAAAAAAACCACATCTGATAACTAAAGAACAAGTGCAAGTGGAAATTTCCAAAGAGAAGGGCGTATGGTGTGGTTATTCAAAGCTGAACAACCCAATTATTTACATCAGTCCACAAAATCATGTGACATATGACAGAGATTTTGATACTACCATAAATTTTACACTCTTTATGGGAGAAGTGGGTATGAAAATGATTAGAGAGTACAATCAGAAATATGTACTACCACTATTGTCAACTCAAAGTGCAGAAGATGTCTTGGAGAAATATGTGGAACAATATGTGATAGTGTATGATGGAAGAACAATTGCTATGAAGAATTGTGATGTAGCCATTATCAAAGAATTTTTGAGAATTTCCAATTATTATGCAGAGAGATTGAGTTCTGTTGTTGTATATAGTCCTAATTGGACCTACAAGATTATGCTCAAGATGATTTCACCATTTGTAGATAAGAAAACATATGACAAAATCAAAGTAGCCTATGATGTTAATGAAGTGGATGATCTGTTAGAAATAGAAAATGTTCCAACTCAATTTGGTGGAAAAGCAACAGTGAAATTCAATGAAGACAGTTGAGCTAATAAGACATTTAACTATTGGCACCTTAGCAGTGAACTACTCAGTAGTACAGTAATCCCAATAATCAATTGATTGAAACCTCTTTGTAATTTAAATCATCTTTTTGTAAATTAATTAAACAAAACTCACCTCTTGACGCCTCTTTGCAAATCTTTCATATAACCGAGTTGCTAATTTTGTAATTATTTAGAAGAATCTCCACCTCAAAGAACTACATTGAGCCCACAACTACTGCTTCGACTCTAGCCAAATTAACACCAACAAAAAAAAGCACCAAACAAAATGGTTTCCGACACCAATAACAACAATCAGAGTTGTGCACAACAATTGGATCGCCGACAATTTTTTCATTAAGAATATGGTAACAAATTTGAACCATTTTATATATGTGAATATGACAAGGAGTGCAGTGGTGGGAATGCTGCAAATTTTGTGTCAAATAAGCTATGGACCTACATTACCTCTGCATATATTTTCAGTTTATAAGCTTCTAATTTCTACAGTAACTTTTTATTTTAGTAGACCTCTAGCAATTGTTTCTGCATCAATATTTGTTACATTTAATGCTGCTGCTCTTGGTATTTCATTTTGGGTGAATTATGATTCATTAACACAAATCGAAAGGGATTACTTTCCTTTTAGATTTATAGAAATGTTGGTAGTATTATATAGCGTGTTTATTGGATCAATGCTTTTCTCAATATTCATTACAGATAAGAATAAGCAATATACAGCTCAACAAATTGAAACTACGAAGGAAAAAATTATTAGCTCTGAAAAGACAAAATATATTGCCAATTTGAGTCATGAAGCTAGAAATCCTTTGCACGCCATTAGTGGATCTATTTCAATCCTCAAACATAATATCCAATCTGAAGAATGTAGTAATCAATGTCCTCACTGCTATGTAACAAATGGTTCTATAGCTGAATTAGTTGAAGACCTGGAAGAAAACACAACATTATTGGAGCATATATTCTCGTCTTCATTACAAGTTAGCTCACTTGAAATGGGAAAAGTTGAGTTAAAAGTTGAAGATACTAACATGTTATGTCTAGTTGAATCAATTACTAGTGTTTTCTCTCAATTGGCTAAAACCAAACAACTTTCACTTCACAGTTACTTTAATGTAATTAAGGTTCCAATTTTTTTGAGAGCAGATTCTGTTAGAGTAAGCCAAGTGGTAATGAATCTTATATCTAATGCCATTAAGTACACAGATAAGGGACATATTAAATTGAATTGTGATACTCTGAGTGAAAGAGAAATTCGCAAACACTTTCCAACAAAAAGTATTGAAGAGTATGAATTTATCAAAATTGAGTGTATAGATACAGGTAAAGGAATCCCTGAAGCACAAGTTAAGGATCTTTTCAAACCATTTCATGTTGTTGAACAAGGTCAAAAATCTGTTGACAGCTATATTGCTCAAACAGAAAAAATGGCAGAATTCAAAGATATTAATGGTGCTAGTATGTTACTCAATACTAGTCGTAGCAATGGCCTCGGATTATCTATATCAAAAATGCTTATTGATAAGATGGAGGGTGATATTATTGTTTCCAGTAGTTCGAAAGGTACTAACATGACTATCATTTTACCACTGAGAAGGGTTAAGCCAGAAGTATTGAAGGAAGAACTGGTTCAGAAGAATAACAATTATTTAACATGTGACAAGATTTTTGAGATTTTGAATGAAGAAAATGAAAGATTGAATATTATAATTATTGATGAGGATAGATTTTTCAGACACATTATGCTCTCCTATTGGAAGATGTTTAAGAGAGCTGTTCACATTAGTGCAGAGTATAAAACAAGTATAGAATTTTGTGATTCAGAATTAGACAAGGATTTAATGCAAAATACCACAGTTATTTTCTGCCCTGAAAAAGATATCAAACATACAGAGTCCAATTTCAAACATGAACGAGTAGTTTTGATTCCAACCATTTGTAGAGGTAGTCATAGATTATTTTCGGATCGTATCTACCTTTCCAAGCCAGTGAAATTTATAGATTTGTTGGAATTTGTCTATGAACATATTTTTGATAGAACTGCTTCCTCCACTCATAGACAAAGTGTTGTGGAAATTGAGAAAATACCAAAAATAATGAAAACCAAGTCAGTACCAGTAATTGAAGAATTCAAGAGTGAAAAAAAAGTTCTTATAGTTGATGACAATCACCTAAATCTTAAAATATTGGAAAAACTCCTTAGAATATTAGGTTTTGAAGACATTGAAGTTGCCCACGATGGTATGGAATGCTTCAACAAGTATAAGAAGAAGAATTATGATATTATTTTATTAGATTGCATAATGCCTATTCTAAGTGGAAAAGAATCTTGTGAGCTTATCAGAAACATGGAAAAGCAAGAACACCTAGAACATAGAATCCCAATATTAGCAATCACAGCAAATGTTTGGGAAGATAGAGAATCTCTTATATCTCAAGGTTTTGACTCTGTTATTTACAAACCTATTCAGCTGGAGAAACTACAAGCAGAAATGATGGCTTTATTGGATGATTAATCCAAAATAGGATATTATCAATATTTGGTCATTATTCAAAGAGTCAAGATACTAAAAAAATGCCTAAACTTGCTTTGGATTTTTCAACAACTGCCTTTGACTCATATGTGCAAGATTTCAAAAGGTACACCTCTCAATTTGTGGATTTTATGTGGAGAGTTTACGAAACTTATCCAATATTGAGTATTTCACTTGGGGCATATGGATTGTTTTTAATGTTGAAAAAGTTTGTATTTGGAGGAAAGTATTGTCCAGAGTACTTGATAACCACCTCTGAAATGTCTGGTAAAGTAGCCATTTTGACGGGTGGTAATAGTGGATTAGGATTCAGTCTTGCACAACAATTGGCTTGTAAAGGAGTAAAAGTGATATTGGCAGTTCGAAATCCTCAAAGAGGATTAATGGCCAGGTCAAAAATTGTACACTACATTAAGAAAGAAACAAATATAGACCCACCTCTCGATTCTGTTCAGGTGTATCATTGTGATTTATCGAGCCTGGAGAGTGTAAGGGAGTTTGTAACTAGTGTACAAATCATGCTTTCCAGTAATCCAAAAGTGAAGAAGGTAGTTAATCAAGTTGGTATAGAATTGGTCACTGAAACCCAAGAGACCTATCCAGTCATTGATTTCCTTATCAATAATGCAGGAAGTATCTATCCAACTCATAGGTAAGTTTCATTATTGGCTCATTTGCTTATGCAACACATTAAAGCGTTTCTGCAAATGGAATAGAGGCACATTTTGCTGGAAATTATTTGGGACACTATTATCTTACACAGCTCTTGTTGAAGAATGGCCTAATGAAAGACAATTGCAGAATTTTGAATATTGTGTCCTCTCCCTCTCTATTTTCTGATGAAATTTACACAAGCCATAGTTCGCTTTATGAATTTTCATTATTGGATTTATTGGAGGATGGTAAATTGAAATTTGATCCTCAACAGCTCTATATGAGAAGTAAATACGCTCTCTACCTCTTTTCAATTAAACTACAGAGAGAGTTGAATCAAAGAAACATACATGGTCACTTCATACCAAGGCATGCACAAGTATTCAGTGTATTTCCAGGAGCAACCCAAACCTCTTCAATGGTCAAGACTTCCTCACCATTTGCAAGAATTTTTACGAAACCTTTGGAATTACTTCTTTTGAAGAGTCCTTGGCAAGGTATTCAATCTGCCTTGTACTGCTTATTAGAACACTCAAGTAAGCTTAGGGGAGGTGAATTTTATGCTGAGTGCAGTCACTCACCACAACCAATAACTCAATCAGATGAACAACGCATGCTTCAATTATGGAATGTCTCTCATAACTTGATTCAAAACTTTGAGAAAGCTGCTTCATCTCATGGATCACACAGCCTACCTTGATGAACACAATTAATATTAAGAGTATGTTTAATCGCTAATGTATTGCAAATAAATATCATCACTGTCGTACTCTTCATCTTCAGATCCAGAGAGCATGGCAACTAATCCACTGGATGAGTCACTATCTTCATCTTCATCTACTATTCTTGTACCAATCACTCCTTGACAATTTGGAGCTCCACATTTACATTCTTGTTGTTTTGTTTCATCATTATAAATTAAAAAGTTGTAATTATATGTAATCTCTTCTCCTTTCACAATGTCTTTAATGGCAAATATTCCTACACGATTCTGTCCATTAACATCCCATGTTTGAGTACGTGCATTTGGTGCACAAGAATGATTAATAAATCTAGCAATATTCCCCATCCAAGTGGCATCAATAATTTCATTTTCATTCATATTCATGCAATAATGATGCAATGACTTTTTGTAACTTCTTTTAGTTCTAGTTTCGAACTTATCCACTGAAATTACTTCTCCTACATATTCAGTTATGAAAGTGCCCTTTTTGATGACATCTTGATTGCATTTCACACCAATCCCCTTTGTATCAGATTGGAAACAAATTAATTCTGGGTAGGCCATTTTTGTGAAAACTCTATTTTGACAATTGTCTCCACAATTACAATCTGTTGGACATTCAATTTGTGATAAATAATTAATACAATATTTTGGAATGCATCCATTCGTGCAATGACAATGATCTTGATGCTTTTTGTCTGATTGCTTGGTGGTTTTTCGTTCATTTGACATGATGTAAACAAAATCATCAGGTAACTTGATTTTTGGAAAGTACTTGGTGATGATAGCTTGCTTTGCAAGATTTGATGAATCCACTGTAAGCTTCAATTTTTTGCATACTTTAGCAAATGGGCTTTTTTCACGTCGTTTTCTTACTGATTTTTCCTCCTTCTTTGGTTTTTGATTTTCCACCTGTTCTTTTGTCAACTGAAAGTCTGTCAATCTTTTACCATAAAAATCCTTCCTATGAGGTCTATACGTTCCTCCAAGATGGTCAAAAGCAACAAAAGTCTTCTTTAAATGAAAACGATGAATAGAAGTTAGTACCTCCTCTGGAAATGGACCATCCTCAAGTGTTCTATATTTACTAATTGTATTATCCAGATCAAAATTTGTTTGCACAGTATCTTGATAAGGTATCACATTCGGAGTAAATGGTTTTCTTTTTCTTCTGCAATTACTTTCCGTCGGAAAGGCAATTTCCGTGTGTGATCGTTTCCCAGTCTTTGAATTTTTAAAACTATCACATCGCACCTCGAAACCATCTTCTTCGTTATCACTTGCAAATCGAAGCAATTCGATATAACGAGAGTGAGACATTTTTTTAAAATAATTTTTATAAAAATTTGCGCCAAAATTTATAACAATTTTATTATTTTTATTTAAATTCTAAGAAGAAATTAAAGAATGTGATTGATTGAGAATTTTTCACGAGGAACAGAACAAACTTCGAATGAGGAATCAATAGAGACTTCCTTTTTCATCAATTCATTCAACATTTCACCAACGACAATGCCAAATTTGAAGCCATGACCCGAACCACCCAAGAAGGTTGAAATATTCTTCTTACCACTCTTTGTTGGAATGTAATCAATGACAAAATCTTCAGTTGGTGTCATTTCATACATGCAGGTAACGACACGATCCTTTTCATTGATTAATTCTTCATAACTTTCGTCCAATTTAACAAGTCCTTCTGGAATAACCTTCTTGAGATAGGTTTGCATGGCTTGGAGCTTTTCCTTTTCAACTGGACGTTCTTGATTTGAATCAATTTGTTGAGCTCTTTCGTCTGGATCAAAACCTCTTTCCAAATCTCCAAATACCTTGTGAGTGGCAGATTTGATATAACCCTTCTTTTCCCATTCTGGGAAACCATAGTAAGCAAGATCTAATGGTCTATCAGAGAATGGATCTAATCCCCAAGCAATCCAAATTGGCTATTTTACAATAATATTAAGATTCAAATTGAAATTATATAGAGATACTTACTGAATTTGCAGCAGTGAGAACATTTTCTTGGACTGCCTTTTCAGTGAGCTTCCAATAAACATAACACATTCTCAATACTTCAAATTTAATGTCCAAATCAAAGTGTTGTTTAAGGAATTTCTTTGAATAGGCACCAACACAAATGGACAATTTTCTAGTTTGGAATCTCTTTCCACTTGAAGTTACAACAGTGATAATATCATCCTCTCCTTCAATAATACTTTCAACTCTTTCCTTTTCAACAATTGAATGTTTTTCATGATCGTAATCACTCAACAAGACAGTTCTAATCTTGTTTGGATTCAAAATACCAGCTTCTGGTGAATACACGGCAAGGGTATCATCAGGAAGTCCAGTAAATTGTGGGAATTTTTGTCTCAATTGTGCACCAATTAAAACTTCATGTTCAATTCCTCTTTCTTTAGAAACTTTAGCAACCTTATTGACATTTTCATCATCCAATTGACCAATATCCAATCCACCAGTTTTCACAAAGAAATTTTCAAAATCTTTAACAGAAGGCCACATTTCCAAAGCCTTTGTAGCCATCAATGAATAATGATAATCATCATAGGCAACTCTATAATTTAATAAATATTCGGAATATTGAACTATTAACACAAACCTAATAATTCTTGATTCACCATGTGATGATCCCTTCGAATGCATCAATTCAAATTGTTCCAACAATAAAACTCTCCCGAAACTTGCACCATCACGTGTAGCCTGATGAAAGAGAGAAGCTCCGGCAATGCCCGAACCAACAATCAACAAATCATAAATTAAATCTTGTTGCATTTTTTTTGTTGTTTTTAACAGTTTTCTGATCTTTCGACTTCGGAGATGTGTTGAAACCCTATGGATAACAAATTGAAGAAACATTCCAACCGTTGATCAGTCATCTGTAGCAGCATACAGAGCTTGCATGTTGTCTGAAATGTGCAAAAGAAAGCACTAGTTTGCAGGGTAATGTGTGAAGAAAATTGAAAGAAGAATTTGTGAATTGAGAGATGTTATGTGATTAATTGTTTACTTTTTGAGTTTTGCCTTGAATTTTTCACCCATTAAGGATCCAATAACTTCTGCCATTGGTTCCAGTTCAGATCCAGAAATTAAATCAAACTCGAATGTAAAGTACATGAACTAATATTGAATGAATGATTCAGTAATGCATAATATTGAGAATTACTTACATGCTTGAAAGCAGTGTTTAAGTGGGCTGTATAATTATGGAAATTAATTGAAAATTTGTAAATTGAAAAAATTATTGTGAATTCTTCTTACCTTCTTCTCCAAGAATTTTAATTTGTTCCAAGTGATGAGCATAAATGTGAGCATAGACACGGAATAATCTCTTGAAAATATTTTTAATTATTTTTCCAAAATCCTAAATTTGGAAAAATTATTCAAAAATTGATCAAAATTCGCCAAAAAATCAAAAGATTAGTTGAATATAATTATGAATATTAATAGAGGAAATGAAAATAAAAACAAACCTTTGGAAAATCTTGACTCGCATCAGTTGGAAATACATTTTCATCATTTAACAAACTTTCAACCCATTCCATTAACAAGGTAACATAATCCTTTGCACAAACTGCTGTTGGTTTATCATATTTTGGATCATCTAATACATTATTTTGATCAGTCTCCTCTAAAAAATTATATTAGAAACATACCTGGATTCATCCACAAGTATTCGAAATTTTCACCACTTGTCATTTTAGGACAAGTACTTGGTGTACAGTATTCTTCAAGAGAACCATAAAGAATATTAATTCCATTTACAAAATCTACAACGTGAACAGCCAACCATTCATTCTTCTTTTCACCAGCTATTAAAAAAATATATTCGAAACATTTTTAAATTATTAGAAACACATACGTGGTAATTTTACAGTATTTTCCAAACCGGCAATACCCAAAGATGAAGTTGATTTCTGCATAGCATTCTTCATCCTTTCATTCAATTGTTTGTCACAATCGATATTCTTTTTAAAAGTCTTTTTTTTATCAGAAACTCCCATCAATCCTTTTAATACACTGGCCATTGTTATTTGTTGTTGTTGTTGTGTTTGATTGGAAGAATATATAATACAAAGGAGGAGATTGTTTTTTTTTTAATTTGATTTTTGTTTGACAAGTGGAAAATGATGAAGAATGATTTTTTCCGATCACTGACATGTCATGAACAAAAGTGGAATTTGGTTGACTTCTTAAAGTTTGATTATTAAGGAAAGAAGGCAACAAAAAAACTTTAAAAATTTGAAATATTTTTTTGTAATTGTTTTTAAATACTATTAAATATATTTAAATATGTTTAATAGTCTATTTTATATACAATTTTAAATTTGCACTTTAAAAAAAAATGGAACAATCAAATTTTGATGCAGGTGGAGGAAGTGAATTAATTTCCATCCAAGAATTAATCAAGAAAATTCAAAGCCTTCATTCTCACTTTAATGATGATCATGAATTGCATCATCCATTCCGAAGTATTTATTTGTATGGATCGTCGGTTTATGAAAATAAGGCTTGCAAATTGGTTCATAATATTAGAGATGATGATGATGATAGTGAAGGCTATTTAATGATTAGGGAGGGAGTTGTGGTTGGTGATTTGGATATCTTGTTGGTGAGGGATGGATTTCATCATTCTGGATTGAAAGATTTGATTCATGAGGAGGATAGGGATGAAAAGGATGTTTTCTTTGAGCAGGATATTACGTTGCATTTCAAGTTGAAAGGATCTAAGGGAAATTGGTATGATATTGAGACGCATATTATGTCAACGAGTATATTTATGGAGACAATTAGACAACATAAGGGAATTACATGTCAATATGTGTTTATGGATAGGAATGAGTTTGTGATTTATGAGGATGAATTGATGGGATGGTTTAGATGTTTTTGGTTTAGGAATTTTCATTTTCACAGGAGATTGTTTAGGAGAATGATTGTGAGAGAGGCTGATGTGTGGTGCTACTCGAAAGCAAGAAGATTAATAACCATTGAGAAAGATTATGAAAAGGGAAAGAAGAACCTCATTCACGGTATTAGATATTTTAGATTGAGTAATCAAATTTTGGAAAATTTAACAATTAATGATTACACAGTTACCAATGATTTGAAGAAACAAGTACTTTCTCAAAATTCAACAGATTGGAAATATTGGGAAGAAATGTTTGAGCCAATGTATTTATCGGAAAGAGATGAGTTCAATAAGAAAGTAGACTTACATATTCAGGGTGGCCTCAAAGTTGCATCAGAGTATTCTGAGAAGGTGGGTGTATCGACACTTTGTAATATAATTGAAGATCATGGATTACAATATCTTTCTTTGAATTTTAGCACTGACATTATTCCACTTGCTATTTTCGATCAAAATGGTGAAGAATTGGATCTTGTAAAATATCTTACATGTGAAAGTTTAATTAGAGTGTTGCTAATGGGTGTAAAGTTGAACTCTGAAGATTACAGACATCATATATTGAAACAATTATCAAATCTAGAATCTGACATACGAGGATACTCTATTCTCTTCAAAATAACTCAACTGGAAGAGATGGAAAGAATTGATGAAACAATCCCTAGAAAACCATTGAGAGAAACTAATGGTATCGTGATGTCTGCTACAGTGACTGATTCGTTAGAAATTACTTACAAACCAGTGGCTGTTCCTTTACCAAAAGTTTATGATGAATTCAGGTGGTTGAATACTAGCACCAAAAACAAGACTCAATCGAGTCAACTATCTTTATTAGAAGTGGATGAGATAACATCAATATCAAAAAATTATAGAGGTGATACCTACATTCTTTATAATTACTGTGGAAAATGGAGATGGTCTCACCCAAATGAAGATCTTCAATACTTTACAAAACTATCCAATGTAAGACATAGTTCAGGTAATGAAAAGGAGCAGTTTTGCAGCTTGTTATCTCCTGGAGCTAATTTTGAAGAACTGAATGCCAGACTTGATAACCATACAAATAAGAATTTCATATTTGTCAAACCAATATCAGAAAATTATTTATCATTAATTGCTGTTCGAGACCTTACAAACAATACTATTTTAGATTTGGAACCATTCTCAAATTTACTATTTGATTGCAAATACATTCAAAAAGAAAATATTGGAATGTTAAAGAAAAAGGCCTTGGAAATGAGTTCAGATTTGCTTTACAAACTTCCTTACAAATGCTCATCTCAACATGAGAAGGATATTGTCACATTATTGAAATACCTTTACTATCTTTCTAATTCGTTGGGTTTTTGCTATGATGGATTTAATATTAATCTAAAGTTAAAATCTGGTAGGTGAATATTCAGTGAAATGCCAATCTCAATTTTATTTTAATATCAGCCAATTAACTGTATGGCATACCTCCATTAATATTGACGATGTTACTGAGGACGGAAAATTCAACAAATTTCATGGCAACATTCTTAGCCAGAGTAATGAACTTCTATTGATTGAAATGGCTCTGGTGTGGTTGGAATATTCTTGGGATGAACAAGTTTTTGAAATTGAAAGAAAAAGCAACCCAAAGACGGTTCCATTTTCGGATATCTATTTTACTATCAAACAGGATTGGAAATGTATTTGCAAACTTTACGATGATTTTTGTGAATCTTTAAAAGAACAGATAAGTTCAAGTTCAATAGATTCCAAAGATGTCACCAAGTTCATTGCTCAAAATTGCACTGAATTTGCTCTAGAAAATAAGACAATTATTTATAAGGTAGCGGAGGCAAACTTTGAAATAAGAGCTATTGAAGTGTTCAATAGTCCCAAGAGATCTATTGATGCAAATAGTCTTGTTAAAATATGGAAAGATTACAAGAAGAAGTATCCTTCAAATTAGGAATAATAACATATGTGATATTTTGGAATTAGAGATTTATTTTTCAGTTAGTGCTAAAGCATAATCCTCACTACAATTCTTTTCAGCCATACTCTTCAAGTATTGAGCTCTTCTCTTCAACTCGGCAATATATTTAATGGAGGAATAATCAATAGCGAGTTCTTCTGGTTTGTAAGTTTCTTTCCATTGTGCATTGAGTCTGTAAATTTCCTCAATTTCTTCAACGGCAGTGTCATACTTTTTATCAAAGAGAGCATCTCTTATTCTCAATAACCTATCACTCACCACCTTCTGTGAGGATGTAATATCTTCAATTTCACCGTCGACAGTGTAAACTTCAGTTGGTTTGGATTTACCTTTTAGTCTGACTGAATCGACATACATGCAAATAAACTTATTCTTCACAATCTCATAAGTATTGTTGCCGATAAGAATTGGTGTATCATATCTCTTGTTTAACATTTCTAATCTACCAGCAGTGTTAACAGTGTCACCAATAGCTGTGAAACTGAATCTATCCTTTGATCCAATATTTCCCATCATACAATTACCAGTATTGACACCAACTCTAATCTTGACAATTGGAAGATTTTCCTTAATACATTTCGATTTCAATTGGTCAATCTTGTACAAACAAAGAACTGCAGCCCTTGTTCCCTTATAGGCATGGTCTTGTACAACTCTTAATGGATTTGAAAACAGACTCATGGTACCATCCCCAATGAATTTATCAATAATACCATCATGTGCCTCAACTGTCTCAGTAATAATATTGAAATACTCTGTCAGAATTTTAAGCAAAACAGACAAGCTTGAAGATTCTGAAAACGAAGTAAAATCTGCAATATCAGTAAACATAACAGTTGAATTCGCATTGGCCATTCCCAACTTGGAAGCATTACCTGTTCTTACAATATCCCTGACAATATCTTTTGGAATATATTTCATAAAACTGTGCAAACCATTCTTCACTGTCTTGATTGAGGTCTGTAATAGATCGAGTTCATACATGGTCTTAAGGACCTTGGATGGCTTCACTGTATCAACTTCAAGTTTAGAAATCTTGTACATATCTCTGGAAACTTTCCATATTGATCTTGTAATGAATTGAGTAACAACTATCATTAATAAGGTACCCAGAATAATAAGTATAATAGATACTGATAATAGAGCGGGTGAACTTGTGAAAATGGTCTTGACGAACCCATAGTCCTCTGTAACAATCACCACAATCCAATCAAGCCCATTATCGGTAATTTGGTGGATAGTAATCTTGCTGTTACCCACCATGAACATTGAAAAATCTGCATTTGGGTCTAAGCTTTCCTTAATTGTGCTCGTTGGGATAGTAGTAGCAGTTCCCCACATGGACTTTGGAAGATGGTACAGTATCTTTCGATCTTCCAGCACTGTACAAACCTCTGAGAATACTTCAGTTGTGTTCGAGATGTGATTTCTCACATTGGACGGGTCTTTTGTTTGCGCATTGAATGAAGAAGATATAATCAAGCCGTGTCTCTCAACAATCAAAACCTTAATAGATATTGTTTGCATATCCTTATTGGCCTCAATAACATTAACAAGCGAACTATCAATATTGTACAAATCAAAGTGAGCACCAACAATTTGAGTAACATTTCTTGTCTCGACAGTTCCATTAGGATAGACATAATCCTGAGTATTAATAAAATCCAACGTTGTGGAAGCTCCCAGTGATGTAGCTCCAATGAATGCGTTGAAAAACACAGGTGACCACATGTAATCTGGATATGTCTTAGAAAGACCTGCCTTAAACCATGGTCTAATGGTTGGATCGTAGTTTTTGCTGGCCTGCTTTAACATGATTGGTTCATAAAAATCATCTCTCGAATAAATACCAACAGTAGCATTATCATCTCTGATTTGAATGGTATCTCGCGTTACACTCTTTTCAATGGCACAATAATTCTTAATACTGTTGCCGTAGTAAAAGATTGATGAACTAGGGAAGCTACTCTTGGAAGGTCCAAAGACAGATCTTATCCTCCTGCAAGTGTCATCATAACTATTGGTCAATTTGAAATTTAGTTTGTGGTCCTGGATCAATATGCCATTTCTCATCGTTTCCAGGATTGTTGGTGCTACATTGATAAAATCCTTGATTTTAGTCACGATATTCTTCTCTCTGATTGTTGTTATATTATTAACGGATTGTTCTCCGCTTGAGTAGAACAATAATATTAAGGAACCTATGATGAATAATTATTAACATATATATTATTAAAAACTGTTAACTTACCAATGCAAATAGCTGTTTGAAGGAGAAAGACAACGAGAAGAATATTTTGGAGAGTGTGTGGGGCTGGACAACATTCTTTGAAAAACCTTTTCATCTTGCCTTTCTTTCCCTCAGAGTACCCAAATAAATCATCAAATGTTGAACTTATCGTTGAAATTCCATCTGATTGAAGGCTTAGTGAGGCATGGGATGAAGAATTTTCTGTATTGGATTGGAAATAGTTTGTTGGTGGGTGTTCATTTGGTTCGCTTGCTGTTGTTGAGGTAATATAGGTATTCGATCTAGAGTTAAAATCACTTGAAAAGTCTAAACTCCCAGATGATGGATAAATCTTATTATCAAAATAATAAGATGCAGAATTAGATCTGTGTGATCTTGTTTTTGATATCTGCTGATGAAGAGGTGTTACTTGGGTAACCATTATACAATTATACAGAGAGAGTGAAAATGTACGAGGAGGGTTGTTGGATTGAGTAAGGGTCTGTTTAGTTGTTGTGAATTTTTGTTTTGCTGTTGTTGTGTAGAAGAGGCCGAAGAACAGCTGTGCTGTGGGCTCTATTGTTCAGTGCCTGCTTTGATTATCGATATGGGTTGTGCCAAACGAAGGAGGAGTTCTCCTAAAAAGATATGGAAGGACAATTAAGGTCGTTGAAGTTATTGGTGTTGGTATGGGAAATTAAGATTCCCAACAGGAGAGTGGAGGAAGCTGTTTGTGAAATGGATCCTTGTAATTTTTAGCGCTATCATGTAATGTAAACTTCTGTTAAAAATCGTTGAGTGTTGGTTGAGGGAACTCTTTCAAAATAAGAGCTTGCATTTACAAATAGGATAGGAGAATCTCTCATGCTACGCTTATTATTACAGCCATTTAAGGATGGCCAACCTACTTGATTTGAATTGGGCCTTAATAAGACGACCACTAGGTTACTAAATTATTATTTTCTAACTGCTGTGGAGTGGGTGAATGTTAAATATAGTGGTAATTTTTACCACCTTGTTTGGATGAGATCTGTGCAAGAATCTATTGAATATTAATGGGTAGGTCATGGACAGGTTGGTTGCACTGCTATAAGTGTCAATTGTAATTGAAATATGTTTTACAATTCTATTCATATAGTAATTGTTTGAGCCAATTATATGTTCAAGTAAGCTTCAGTATCTTGTAACAAGTTGAATAATCGTAAATGTTGTTGATCACTTCTCAAATAGTCCATTTCATTTATTCCACACTTATCTATTGTATGAGAATCACTGTCACTTAATCATCAATGCAAATAATCTCTGGTGCATCCGTTTTTGACTTTTTGTTTGGTGGTTCAATTGAAGATGAGGGAGCAACTTCTAGTTGAAGTGTCGAATTATTATCTGTTGACTCTTCAGGTGGGGTTCTTCTCTTTTTCAATAAAGATTCCAGTTTAGTTTTAGCTGCATTGTTAAGTTCGGTTGCCTGTTTCACAAGTCTCTCAGAGATCACAAGTTTTGTTAAAATAATTGATTTCTGAACTCTTTGTTTCTGTATTTCCCTAATTGGAGCAACCATCGATTCAATGTGTGAAAGTTCCTTAACTAGGCCAGTGATTGAACAAGTTCTCTCTGTTTCTGACCATAAAAATTGTTTTAGAATCTTACAGTCACTACAAATACATGAAATACTAGATTTCACAGAAAAATTTGGTAGGGGAATAATGAACTTCTTTGTTCTAATTCCATCATCAATTAAATCAATGCTCCAGTTCAGTAGGATATCTAACTGGTCAGATTTAGGCATAATATTCGAAACAACCTCAATGAGTGGAGCGACTAGGGTGCTATAATTCTCTTCTGATGCAACACTAAGAACAACGCGGCATGCTCTAGTAATAAAATCATTCCATGAATGGTTATGGAGCATTCGAATGAAGGAAGTTGCGAATTTCAAATCAAGGAAACAATCTCGATGGTCATATAACATCCATTCTATCAATAATTCACTCAGAGGTTTACAACTCATTGTTGATAACACCATATTCAAACAATTTTCACTTGTCAACCATTTAGAGAATGAAAAACGTAGATTTTTCAATTTTTCAACCCCAATTTGATTTGCAATTTTGATTATCAATGGAAGGTCCAGCTCTTTGTTTTCATAAGAACCTCTTCCTCTTTGATTTGGAATAGAGTTTTTAGCCAATTCTTTTACAATCAATTTCTCATAGATTGAGGTGTCCTTCAATAAGTCTATCAACTTTGTAATACTTTCCTTATAACTGGCATACTTATAATAATCTTCCACAATATTTTCTACTACTGTTGAATGCATTGAATATGTACATTTTTGTGCAAGTATTATTAATTTTTCAAAGCAGCTGCTATCGTATAAATGGTCATACTTATTGACAGAATACTTTGGCATTGTCATTTGTATCAACGGCACGTCATTGATTTCAATTAGAGAGCCAATAAATTCCTTCATATATCGTTTTTTACATAAATTTTCGCTAATAGTTTCTCTAAACGGTTCAATTGTAAAATGAGAAATAAGAGAAGATAAACTTTTTTGGTCTATTCCGATAACCAGTTTTGCCAATTCGACATCATTGAGCTGAATAATAGATTGAATTACAACTTTTTCTTCATCACCCCATAAGTAGATGTTTTTCTTGGCCAGCATCTGCTTTACAAATGCAATAGAATTCTCTCTAGAGTTTGACTCTATGAATGAAGGTAATATTTTGCTACAAAATGAAAATCCAAACTTGAGGCAAATTCTTTGTTGGCACTTCTTTGGATAAATCATTAGACATGCATTTCTGTATTGCTTTTCTTTTGTTGACCCCTCATTTCCAGTATTTTCGTTAATGGACTTGTGGAATAGTTTCATGGAAGACAGAGCAGACTTGCAAACAACACTTCTGAAAGGAACGTCTATTTTACGTTGTTGGGATCCAAAAATATACTCGAGTGATACTTCTGGATCGTCAAAACCTTCCACCTTCCTCTCCATAATTCCTAAATCTAAAACAAGGTCTTGATATTCCTCAGCATACCTTTCCAGAATATCGTAAATATTGTAATCAGAACCTTTAAGATTTTCAGGATCCAAACTCTTTTGAGAATATTGGTGCTGAAATACATACATTCTGTAGAGAGTGTCAACATCTTTTGCATCAGCATTCCACTCAGAAACTATTTGTTGAAGTCTTTTGGCTAATTCTTCATAACCTTTAAGTGTTGGCTTACTTTCTTTGTTACCTGAAAAACAAAGGTTATATATCAAACAAACTCTGTAACCAGAATTTACATTCTTAATCATGTGCTCACAATCTGCATAAAAAGAAATAAAGTGAGGAGTATATCTAGAAACAGATGCAAAATCATATTCTTCCTCTTCCTCTCCGTGTCTAACTATTATTTCACCTCCACTATATTCCGAAGGAAGTTGAACAACTAGTGTTCCAAACATTCGTTCTTCCTTTTCCGAATCTTTGTGAAATTGAAAGTGACCTCCCTCTTCATATACTAATAGCTTGTATAAATTAGCTGAGAGTCTGAGATGTTTACTAATTCCCAAGCCATCCCTAATTTCATTATCCACTAAACCGTCAATCAAATCATCCCAAGTTGGATTTGTAATTTCAAATCTTGATGGATCTAATTGCCATGTTTTTCTAACATTTTCATCGTAAATTGTATCCTCTCCTCTTCCATATGGTGCCTTACTGCAAAATTGAATTAGCTCTGAAGCACTCCCATTCGACAATGGAAATCCAATTGTTTTAAATTGTTCATTATCCAACTTGAGTTGCAAACCTGGTAAACCAAAATCGCTGTCCAATGCACCACACTGCGTAAATTTACTTCCTCCCTTGTTTTGAGCATCCAAAATAAATTCTTGTAAATTGTCTGATGTTTTAATGGTATCAGCATGAAGTTGAACACAATCATCATAAAAATCGGAACCGTAAGCTTCACAATAGTCACTGTCTGTTTCCGATGATTCTGATGAGGAAGAAACTCTCCTTCTGGTCATTTGTGAAATTTTTTAGTTTCAAATTAATAAAAAATTGGCGGTAATATTCACAACACGTTTAAATGTAGTTCTACCTTTGCTGTGATATAATCCCAATAATCAATCTCCAAATGATTGAGACCCTCTATTTCGACTTTGTAATTTAAATCTTTTTGTAAATTAATTTGAGTTTTTACAGTGTCATCCAATTCAAGTTGGGTGTTGTTTAGAGAGTTTATCTTTTTCAAATCCAATTCTTCCAGAGGCATCCAACAATCCTTCCACTTTGAAATCAATTGAGGAGCATTGTCAAAATCATTCAAATGAACTCCAATCCATGACATTCTGGAACAAGTTTGAAGCACCCAATAATGCCAATCTTCGGTGGAGTCTACACAACTATGGATGGTCAGATTCTCCTTCTCATTTTCAAATGATAACGAACCATTCATGTAAACATTGGCAATTTCAGCTCCATAAGGATCACCATCTGTGAGTGTGAAAATATTCAAACTTCTCCTTTGATATTTTGCTACTTGCTTTGTTAGTGTTACAATAAAATCTCTTGTTGGAACATCAGGATATCCCTTAGATGTGATTATTAATGATGTATCTTTGAGACTGCTTGCTTGACTTTTCAACACTTGAAAAACTGACTCTTTTTCAACAATGATCACCTTATCTACTTCAACAGGGATAGAGAACTCTACAATTTGTAAATGAGGAATCGAAGGAAGATTACACCCTTTAGAAGCACTGACTATAGTTGTTGTTGGTTGTTGTCCTCTATTTTCAATATCAATCAATGAGATTTCCTTCCAAGCAATTGGTCCACAAACTTCTCCCTTCGATTGAGGAACAATATGAAGATCATGCCTATTAACTCGCCAACTTGATGATAAATCCTTCAATATGGAATCTAGTTGTGTCTGATCTTTTAGAATAGGCTTGTTACAATAATACAAATCTCTCTTGGTTGAAAATTTGTTTAAAGTACACAACTGATACACTAAATTCATCACCTGAAACTTGGAAATAAATGTTGATGGATATTTGGTCAGATCTTTCAGCAAGAAGCCTTTTTCATTCGGAATATCAGATGATGGTGATGAAACTAATTCCCTCACAAAGGCTAAAACTTTCTCCTCAATTCTTTCTCTCACTTGAATTGTTTCCATTTTTTAAATTAGAAATTAATTTATTATTATAATTATATTAATATTTAGGAGGATTATTGGGTTGGTTTTGACTTAGCAGCAAGAAGTTTTACTCTTCTGTTATATTCTTCACGATTAGTGACATAGAGATGGAAAGGTTCAGCTTGAGCAGGATCCTTTTCGTTAGGATTATCCAACAATTCTTGAATACCTAAAAGTAATTGTTTGACAGTGAGAGAAGGCTTCCAATCCTTATCTTCATTCAAAATACTCAAACAAACAGTACCACTTGGGAAAATGTTTGGATGGAAAAGTGGTGGTACAAATTTACACTTTGGAGGCTTGTCTGGATATTCATCAGGGAATTCAATATCTAATCTATATTCACCTCCTTCCCATATTGTACCTGGTTTACCTGGGATACCACAATTCCATACCATTACATTAGTTGTTCCGTCTTCTTGTTGTTGAGGTCTGGCCCAGAAACCCTGTTATTGTTGTTGTTGTTAATTTTCATCACACAATTTTGTCAATTATTGTCATCATTAAAATCAATTTAATTATTTGGTGATCGGAAGAAAATATTCTTTATATATCGATATTAAATTACACCTCAAAACAATACATACATAAGGGTGGTCCTTTCTCCAGTTCTTTCTCTCTTCCATAACTCTCTTTCTAGCGATGGAGGACATTTTGTTCAATTTTTGCTTTTTTTTAAATTTTTGAAAACAATTTTTATTTTTATTAAAAAATTGCATGGCGCGGATTTCTACAAGCTTCCTGCTCAACATTCAGCAGAGAACAATGTTATTTGTTTAATGACGAATTCATCATCTGTGCTACCAAAGAATTAATAACAAGGATTTAATTGTGTGGAAACAATTATTTTCTTCCACTATTTAGTGTAAGAGAATAATAATAGAGAAGAACAAAACGTGATTGTATTAACATTGATGGATTTTCAACCACATGACTATGAAATTGGTTATCATGAAATTCCGAGAACCCTCTCATAGAATATTTTCTCTAGATTTTGAATTGGTGGGCAGAATAGAAGTGCCAACAGGTTACTATTTGGATGTTAGTCTCACAAGTACATAATGCATTGGTTGTTGGTCGGGGTGATAATTTGATTTTCTTTGATTTGCAATCAAAAAAGCTATTATTTCATTACACCATTCGTCTAAAAATTCAAAATTTGATAATTAAGGAAAATGATTTGTTCATTGTTTGCTCAGACTACTGTTTGAGGAGCCTTAATTTTCCAAGGTCTTCAAAAAAACAGGTATCACCAAAAGAGGGACAGAGTTTTTATTCAATATTCTATGACGAGGATAGCCACCGAATTTTTGTTACTAATTCCTCTAACGTATTTGTGTTTGATAGAGAGCTTAACATGTTGAAATCATTTGCTTTGGGTTCAAGATTGGATTGTATGGAGTGAGAATTGACCCAAAAACAGGATATTGTTATTTGTGTGAAAGTACTGATGGCACAATTTCAATTTTCAAATAAGTTTTTGTTGTAATTTTTGTAATGAGTTCTCAACATGAACTTTGGTGTATGCATGACACGAAACATCAAAAAAAAATGCAAATACAAGTCAGAACATTATCAGGAGGTTACCTCAAGTTTGATTTGGAAAATTCAGATAAAATAATATATTTGAAGAAACTCATTGAGGAAAAGATTGGATTTAGCATTGTCAATCTACGATTAGTATATAATGGAAAGATTCTCCCAGACGATTCCTCAATAATCGATACTGGCTTAAAGAATGGTGATATCATTCATCTCACTCCCCAATTAAAAGGAGGTTGAATGCTTCTCATTCTTACTGTACAAGTTCAATAAAAAGAAGCTTTTACAATCATAGAATGTGAATAGCAACACACTATTCCATCCAAACATGTATTTCATTGACCGGAACTCTTCTAGGAAACTCCTCCAATTACTCCATCATAAGAACTCCTAAAGATTGAGAAGAAAAGAGCAAAAAAGAAAAAAATGTCTTCACTACAATCCTCTCCGTCTCTCAGACAGGTTAGATTTGATGAGAATGTGATGATTGAGAGTTTTAATAGTACTGTTGCATATGCTTCTTCTACAACTTCCGATTCTCCTAAAGGCTTTAGAAAATCATCAATTTATTTAACTTTAATATTTGCGAGCATGTTTATAATTTTCGATTTAATGTTACCACTGTATAATAAGAGTTTATTTGCAGGATTTGGATCGCGAGGAGGATTTCACTATCCAGTAACATCATCGTTGATACAGGTTGGAGGAACTTCGATTTGCTTACTGGTGGCAGTTGTTTTAAATTGGATAATCAAGACTAAATTATTGGATTTACCTCATCCTTATTTTGTGTTTAGTGGTGGATTGAAGCAATTCTTTTTGAAAATGTAAGTTGAATGAGGATGAAATTTGACATTTTGAAAGTAAGGAGCTTGTGTTGGTTGCATTTCTATTTGCTTGTGTTATAGTATTGAGTAATTTGGGATTGGATAAGGCTTCTATTAATGTAAATGTTTTATTGAGGACAACGAGTATTATTTGGATAATAATTTTATCATTTTTATTGAGATCTGAAAGACCATCTCTATTGCAAGTATTATTTGCATTATTAGTGACAGCTGGAGCAGTGTTATTGAGTTTGGATGTTGGACTTGGATGGTCGGTCAAGACAACTAATATTCCTGCTGTGATTGTTAATTTGGCATCTGCTCTTTGTACTGGTATCATGTTTGTTTCAATGAGATTTGTTGTGGCGAGACAGGAAAAGTATGAACATTTGAGAATGGGACTTTTGGAAATGACCATGGTTAAAATGTTTATGGCAACTTTATTTATTGTAATTCCAGCATTGGCAATGGAAACTATTGTTCCATTTGCAGATGCCAAAGTAACAGTATGGCAAATATTATTTACAAAATTGGATATGTTAGTAATGGTCTTGGGAGGAGTATTGATCACCTTACTATTCCAAGGTTCCATTCTATCTTTGACAGTTTACTCAAAAGCTCTCAGTGTTGGAATCATTCAACAATTTATGATATTTCCACAAGTTGCTTTATATACTATCATTAGTGTAACTCATCTGGTACCAAGAAATTGGAATATTCAAGTATTGCAACCAACATGGTCACATATTACTGGTGGATCGTTAATTATTGCTGGAACTTTCTTTTATGGAATTTTGAGAATTGTTAAAACAATTGACCAAAAGAGAAGAATGAAGCAATTACAGGATTCTCCATCGATCAATGAAGAAACAACATCTCTGGTCAATTCCAAAGAGCAAATACCTAAAAAGTGGTATGATTGGATTATTTAATTAAGACGAGTAAAGAGAGAAAATTGAGCTTTCGAATAATCAAAACTATTTAATATATAACTATTTAATAAAAGATGGAATCGATAAGCATCATCAAGAAACCAATCATTACCAAAACAGCAACCGATGAAGAAACATGATACAAAACACCACCATAAACAATTGGAGAAGAGGCATCATTCTTAATAGAAGCACCAACACCAATAGTTCCATTGTTGGAATTACCTGGATTGTTATTTCCAGGATTAGATGAAGTGGAACAGATTGGAAGTTGAGGAGTACCACTTGTCAAAGTTCCATTGGTAATACCGATGGCATTTGGAGCCCAAGCGAATTGAGAAATTGTAGAATTGGTAGTATTAGATCTAAGAAAATCAATAATTTGAACTCCAAATGTGTATTGTGTAAGAGTGAGGAGAGTTCTCAAGTTTACAACAATTGAAGCTGAATTGATGGAATTAGGTAATGGAGTGGAAATATTGGAAACATTAACAATCCAAACGTAGGATCTTGAGATGAGAGTATAGTTTGGAGCAATTGCAATAGTTGGATTAATAGTCAATGTCAAATTTGTTTGACAGGCATTTAATTGCGATCCAGAAGGTGACAAGGTTAAACTTGTTGCTTGAGCATTGATTAGAGCAATACTTGCAATAAGAGCAAGTAATAGAAGAATGAATCTGGTCATTTTGTTTGTTGTCTATTTCTTGTAATCAACACAATAGTTTTTATTGGGAAATTTCGATGTTTCCTTTCAATACTATTTTAGGCTTGCTACAAAGTTGACCTAGTGATGTTTAGAGGTTCGTTTAGCAAATGTAAATTTTCCAACAATCTAAAGTGAGTAATCTTCTTTTACAGGTGACAATTCCTTTCTTTTATTCCTCTTCCAAGTTAGAAGTACTGCCGTTGGTGTTGATTTGTGGTTTTCTGTATTGAAGAGTCGGAGCTTCAAGGAATTGTTTTGCCTCTTCAACCTTATTCTGACTCACAAACTTGAGAACAACGTCTACAATTAATTTGACATGATTATTTTCATTAATGTGTCTGGAAATGTCAAACATGAGTTTTTTAAGGGTGTTTGAGGTAATGTTCTTATTGATGTAGTTGGCTAATTCTCGTTGAGTTGGATTTTCTTCCATTATTTTCTTAACACGTTGCAGTGTTCTTTCAGAGAATTGATCAATGACATTCCACAGTTCATCATTGAATGTTTTTAAATATTCCTTTTCCTCTTCAGTGTTTAGAATTGGAATCAAATCATCAATTCCTCCCTCTAAAACTAACCACCATGAGTGAGATTCATTGATGTAGTTGAATTCCAATCGTTGTTTCTTAAAGTGAATAGTACTGTACCAATCTGATTTTACCTTGTACATTTCACCATTCCAAAATCGAATAACGCATCCTTCAAAATCTGTCTTTTTCTTAATTTCAGCAATAATCTCTGCAATTGAATGCTGTTTATCTTCTTGGAAGTGAAATTCGGTTGATTTTACACAATCAATCGAGTACTTGTTGGCAATATTTGTCATTTCATCAAATTCAACATAATCACCATTAATGGTATCTCTAATAGCAATCAAACTCAATTGTGGTGAATCATAGATAATTACAATCTTGTAATCTGGTGAGCAGAATTCAAAAATTGGTGTAAATCCTTTCTCAATATAATCCAAACAGAATCGGACTGTATTTTTGAGTTGAAATTGTGAAGAATTCTGTAAAAATTGATCAACTGTTGGTATTAATTGTTCATATTCCTCATTGGAAACTTCTCTCAACCCATACATGTACTTTTCACATCCTTTAGATGTGGAATTATGTCCAAAACCTTGTTTAGTTCTAAATCTGAGTCTCTTCTTCATTTCTCCATTCACCTCAATCGTTTCCAATATTGGAATTACCAAACTTCCATCCAATTTATCCAAAACATGCATCTTCTTACTCAATTTAACACTCTCTTCCAACTTGTCTTGCACTTTCTTCATATTCGTCTCTTCCTTCTCTCCAACATTGAAGAATTTATGCAAACAACGTGAAACAAGCTTTCCAGATGCACTATCAAAGGCCAATCCTCTAATTTCCCTCCTAATTAAATCATCAATCGTTCTGATGGGTGAAGGAAACGTTGTAGAAGTCACTCTCCGATAACTAATATAAATAAAACCTCTTCCATCATTATTTACATTAAATTCCTTAGCATCTCCGATGGATTTTAAACATTGATCCAAGCATTCAATAATTGGCCATCCTTGCTCTCCAACACTTTCACCCACAATAAATGGTGATGATGAGGTTTCTGTTGTTGTTGTTGTTGTATGATCTTTTTCTGAGGTTGGGGGTGATGATTGTTGTTGTTGTGGAATCATTTTTTTTTTGTAAATTTGGATGAACTTGTGAAAATTGCACTTTTAGAGTTGAAAAAGTGCAATTTGGTGGATTGCAGTGACATTGTTAAATTTGTTAAATATTTTTGTAAACAGTCAACTTGTGTGTACTATATTGTTGAAATTACTGTTCTTTATAAAAGAATCTAATTGGATTAGTAGAATGGAAATGTCCTACTTCACTACCATAATAAAAACATGTCAATTTTCAACCCATGTGAATATGTGACCTGAAATTAACATGTCATCTTGTTTATTAAAAAATGTCAGCACTCAAAGCGGTGATTTTGTTGCTTTGTATTAGTGTATTTGCATCCTGTACTAATGCATGGGATGAGTTGGAGACTGCTACTACGTATTTTGCTTCTAGAAAGCCATTTCACATGAAACGCCAAATGTCAGACCAACAATTTTTCATCAGAGCCAAGGAAAGAATTAAATCTCATACCAAAATGACAAGTAAAAGACTCATAGGACCTGATGGCTCATTGTCCAATAAGGATAACAAACAATTCTTTGCCTATGACGCTACATTGACTTTTGACACTGTCAATTTAGACATGCATCCTGACGTGTTAGATATTGGATGTTCCAAAGACAGACTTTACTTGAAAGTGAGAAAGACCAGACATACCAATACTCATATCAAGATTGGTTCATTATTAGTTTCAAGTATGGACGATTTTGAATGTGAAATTGGTCAACCAACTGATGAACCAGTTTTGTACAGATTGGCAGAAAATATTCATGAAGTGAAAACTGAAAATGGAGAAATTGTCTATGTGGTAGATACTAAAACAATTGAATTTAATCAAGTTTTCACACACATCAAACTTCAAACTCATAATCCAAGTGTCAAACAACCTGAATCGAGCTCTGTAACTCAAACAACGCCAAACAAACGTTGGAGTGTCAATAGATCTTTTGATATTGTCAATTTTAATTGGGATAGAGATAGAAAAACTGCCAGAAATCCATCCATTGAAAATCAAGAAGGAAATTTCAAATATGTCTGCAGTAATTGTTATTTCTACAGTACAGTTCGGTTTACAATGGAAATTAACTTTAGATGGTGTAAACCAAATAGAGCTGCTGCATCAGTTCACTTTGACAATGCATTGAATGCTAATTTGACAATGACAGCTGAATTTGAAAAGACAAAAGACTTTACAATTTTGAAAAAGAAGAAAATTACTAGTATCAAGTTTACAATTCTAGCAATTCCAGTTGTTGTAAATGTAAATTTTGCATTGGAAGGTCAATTACAAGTTCAAGCAAAAATTCAATTTAATGTTGCCGCTTCCTTTTCAAGAGAAGGTCAATTTGGATTCAATTATGATAAGAGGAGAGGACATTTCAATTGGATTAAATCATTCAAGGGTCAAGATTTGAAATATAGCTTTAAATTACAAGAAGTTAGTTTAGAAATTAAGCTTTATTTAATTCCTGTTTTGGGAATTGACGTTTATGGATTATTGGTTTTGGATATGAAATTTAAACCATGGATCAAAGTTGGCGGCAAGTATTTGAATCCAGCAGATGATGGATGCAAGTTATCTTATGAAAGTTCTTGGGGAATGGATGGTAGTTTCCACGTTGGAAGAATGAAACTAAAGAAGTGGACTATTTTCGATGGTCGTGATCATGATTGGACATTTATTAATGAAAGAAAAATCAAATCATTATCTGGTTGTTGGATTAAGGAGCCAACTCAACCTGCTCCTCCAACAGATGATGGTCAATCAGAGGATAGCTCAACATCCACGAGATCAATCAAGGCAATTCAATCAAGCACTAATTCAACATATTACAAACAAGTGGTTTCATGTTGTGATGATATGAAAATGTTGAATATTTCACAGAATACTACTTTGGTTCAGTACGAATTTCAACTTGATGACAATGTTCTTGACTATGGACAATATTTGGTTTTTAATTTGACATACGACAACGTTGCTACAGTTCAATATGGCAGTGTATTGACCTATCCAGTTGACAAGAAGGTCTATGTCCCATTGTATGAACTATTTAATACTCAAAATACCTCTTCAATCTTTGTTAGATTCACCAAAGAATTATCTGAACCCGTATTTATAGATTATTATTTGGAAAGGTCTGTTTTAGACATTGGAAAGACTATTAAAATGAAAAGAGGATTCATCGAAATTCAAGAACAAGAGATTCATCCTGATTACCTTTCATTCGCAGTTTCTGAAGGTTGCCAACTTAAGTTTGCAAACTCTACTTCCATTAGAGAAGATTCCTTAATAGATGTCACCACTCAAAACTATCCAATCAGATTGGAATTTATTGGAGAAGGAACAGTTAATATCTATCCTATTTACAACTACTTAAGTGGAAATGACCTTTCCTTACTACTTGATACACCAATCAAATTTGGATTGAAATATTCTAGAAAACTAATTGATGGTATGAAATTATCCCACTTACACGTTTCATCTAACAATGAGGGTGTTGAGGAGAATACTAATTTAGATGTAAACATTAGAATGAGTCATGGTCAATTATTCAGCATTGATAATTTTGGAGAATTGAGTCAACTGACTGCTACTTTTACTTTGGATGAAAGCATTTCTTCAGAAACTAACTATTTCTATTTTGATGTTAGTGGCAATTTTGGTCCTATGTATTTAGGTCTTGAACTAGTAGATGTTTATGATATAACTCCTTCAAGTACGAATCTATTCACTTTGAAATACTCAACCAGCTCACCATTTGTTGCATTATTGAATTTCACACAACTATTATCCAATTCGTCTGGCATTTCAATCAAAACAGACGGAATTTCAGATCTCTTCATCGATGAATCAATTCCAACCAATTTCAAAAAGGAAAATTCAATGTGGATGAGTGGAAGTGATAGCTCTGAAGTTTTTGGATTTTCAGAATATTCCAATGACGAACTAGTTGATATTGGATCTATTTATTTGAGAATAGAGCCTGTTGTACAATCAATCCAAACCAGAACTATACAAGAAATGTCTGGTCAATTGAATATTCAATCCTTAAAGAATGAAAACATTACAGTGAAATTTTCGTTCCGAGCCAACAGCAAGTCAGCACCTTCAGAAAGCATCAATCTCTCTGATTTGGTGAATGGAAATGTCAGTTTGATAATTAGCATCCTAGACGATCAATATTCCTTCGACAATTCAAAGATTGAAAGTGGCGACACTATAGTTAACTTTCTTTCTTCAATGACATCCTCATCTATTACTTCCAGATGGGATGATACAATCATTCCAGTCATTGCCTATGCAATCAACGTAGAAGGTTTGGAATTGGAATTGGAAAATCCTCAAACTCTAGTATTGACCATTCCAAAAATTCCTCCATTCGAAAGTATGGACGAAACGATTACTCTTGGAGCTCTAGACGATGGTATCTTCCTACCAACACCAAGAGCAGTTAAAGCAATTGGTTCCATCAAACTTGTGAATAATGTCCTCACCAATGGCTACATTGGCACAATTTCTGAGCAATAAAGTGTGGAGAAGAACGGTGAATAACTTTCCATTCAATTCCATTCCATTTCGAAAGTAATTTAAACATCATGCTGGAGAAAGAGGATGGACTTTTAAGAATTTGAAGTTTTTTCAATTTTGGTGGTTTAAACTGTTGCAATAACTCAATATCTTTGTAAGATGAAAATGCACATTCCAATTCAATCAAATTCTCATTTTTACCCAATTCTTCAAAAAATTCTTTTGGAAATTCTTTCTTTATACAATTAATACTTAAATATTCCAAATTTCTCAGTACATCCAATTTAATAAGATCCATCAATTGCTCCTTTCCACTGATTTCCACTGATAATCTCCTCAAATGTTTTAAATGTTTAAGCTTTTCCAAATTTTTGGAGATACCTGAGCATGTAAATAGCGATTCCAAATTATTCAAACAATCATTAGAAAACATATAAAAATCTATATCTCCTAGGACTCTTATACGTAAATGCTTCAAATTTTTAAATAAGCTCAAATTACTCAAACTAAATGCTAAATCTTTGGTTACATATACACTAAATACTAATGTTTCTAAATTCCTCAATGTATTATTAATGAAAAATTTTTCAGTGCCCCTTTTAAATACTCTCGAAATTATTTGCAATATTTTCAGATTTGAAAAGTTATATTTCCATGCATGATTAAGATCAAGACAATAACTGTCTTGATCAATTTTTTTTTGAATAAGTATTTTAAATTTAGAATCATATCAGTGTCAGCAACTTCATCATCTTGCTCGCTTGCATCTATCATGTATGCTCTTAAAATTTCTAATGTTTTAATATTATTAAGAATCGTTATTAGTTGGCTTTCACCATCGAGATGTATCTCCAAAATTGAGAGGAGTTTCAAATTTAAAATTGGAGAAATATTGCTAAATATATCATCAATTCTCAATATTCTAAGGCAGTCAGTATAATTATTGATAATTAGTGATAGATTTTTCATATTATCATACACACCCATTTGTATATCTAAAATTTTCAAATTATATAAATTTCTGTCTTTTAATTCTATTTTGTTAGAACTATTTTTAATTTTTATAGATTGTATAGTAGGTTTCTTGAAATGGAATGTGAAAGTTTTATCATTTTCCTCAAATAACACCCCAATGATAAGGTGTTTGATGTTTACACATTTGAGAATTAATTTTAATAGAGAATCGGGTTCATATTGAGAATGTATTTCCAAATTTTCTATTTGAATTAAATCACAATTAGGTGTTATAGTAGATTTTCCTATCAATAAATTGTTAACAGTATTAATAACATTCCTAAATTGTTTTGAAACTGTCAAGTATTTAAAAATCTCAAAATCATAATTTAAATATGCAAATACTCTGCGTAATGCATCATCACAAAATAATTCCGAACATGTTTTGATTTGTTTGGTTTTCAACTCAAGTTTATCGTGATCAACACCTAGATTACTAATTTCCTCAAATTTACGTTTGTTCTTTTTTTCATCAGTGCTACTTCCACCCGATTTTAATTTACACAATTCAATTTCCAATTTTAATTCTTCCTGTCTTGCTTTTGATTGTATTGCTTTGGCTTCTTCTTGTTTCAATTTTAATTCTTCTTGAGTGAATTGTAATTTTAATTCTTCTTGTCTTAATTTCATCTTCCACAATTCAAATATTTGTTCCGAAGAGAGTCCAAGCCTTTGACATTGTTCAATGAAATCATCAGAGTTCGCACCGTTCAGCTGCGCCACAGCATTTTGTTGCAACATTTTTTTAAGCTCGCTTTCCATTAATCTTTGGATGATAAATTGTAACAAGTTTATGATGCTAATTGTTAAACAACCATTCATGATATTGCCAAATCTAGTCATTTGATTATAATACTCACAATATTTAACATATGTACCCTGACACTCAATTGGGTAATTGTTTTCCATCATTCTAAAAAGGAATTGACAATATTAAATTACATAATACTACCCAAATAAGAAATATGATTACAATCCATGTGATTAAATATCTTTCATTGTAAAAGATATTTAATATTATTAGCCATTACATAACATTGTATTAAAGATTGTGTTGAACAATTCATTTCACATGTGAAAGTTGACTATTTCTTTGATTACCCTAACGGTTATTTGAAATTGTTCATGTTTTTCCTTTTGGTGCCCAGTAATGCACAACGAACTGCTTATGAGACCCGTTATGACATGAGCGTTTGCTGGCAGACAAGTGACAGGAACAAAAAATTTAAATAAAAAAATGTCAGAAACAAAGAAGCCATCGTCATCTACATCTCCATCTACTGGTACGGCAAAACCAGTCAAAGGAGTACAAAAATTGGCAGGTGACATTGGTAAGAAATATAAATTACTTGTCCAAATTATGACATCCGATCCAAGATATGCCAAAGCACTAGCAGATGTTGTTCCACCTGCACAACATGAAAAACTTGCCGATTCATTAATTTCACTTTCCTATGAAATTGGAGCATCACTTGCCATTATTAAATCTTTAATTGGTTTAGAATTTGATAGAAAACAATCTCATCCTAGTACCATTCTCAGAGTTAATTCTATCGTTTCTAAAATGATGGGTAAATATACTAAAAGAGTTGGTACTCAATATTTAAAATTGTTATTGAGCAAGGTTGTGAATGAAGTTGTTGAACAGGCAGAAACTTTGGATTTGGAAGTTGATCCAGAGAAAGTTCAAGGAGAAAACAAACAAGAGATTATTGATCGTCGTCTTCAACAAATTGAAGAAGTTTGTCAACGTTTTCTCGATCGTATTACTTCTGAATCAATGATTGAAGAAATGCCACGTGAATTGAGAGCTGTTTGCTATTTTTTGAAACAATATGGTGAATATTACAAGTTTGATATTGAAAAGATGATTTTACCATTGATTTCTGGTTTTGTTTGTTTACGTTATATTTGTCCTGTTATTGCCATGCCTCAAAATGCTGATATTATTAAAATGGATGATTGGAAGAAGGGATGTGTCAGACAAAATTTAACACAAATTGCAAAAGTGTAAGTTTTTATTAATATTTTATAATATTTATTATTAATATTTTATTTAATAATTGATAATATTTGATAATATTGTCTTTTATTTGATTGTATTTGATAATAATTGATGGGTATTTTAAAATAACTGTTCATATTTTCAATGAATGTCATTGTAAATTGACAATTCTTGATGTGTTTTACAAAAATAGAATTCAAAAATTGGCCAATGGTGAATTGTTTGATACAGCAACACCTTCACTCATGCCATTGAATGGTTGGATTCAAAAGAATCAAGAAGGTATTTTCAAATATATGGCTCAACTTCCAGTTGATCCAAAACAACAAGAAGGTTTGAATCCATTCGGTGATTTGCAACGTTCCATTACATTTGAAGATATTCACTACAAATCATTTGATATGGATGATTTATTGTTCCTTCACACTTTAATTTATGATTATGGTTATGAGTTAATTGTTTCATTGCAAAATGAAGTTATCATGACACATGACAAGAGACCAGTTAGTATTGTGAGTACAGAAACTGACTTTTTATCACTTGTTCAAGATTTGGGACCTCCACCAGAAAAAGATAGAAAACTTCCACTTCCTGAAAAGAAACAAGAACCACCAAGAAAGGGCTCTGTTAAACCAAGTGATAAGAAAGACGAAACTGCACAACCTCAAAACAAACTCCAAAGAGAAACACTTGTTGGTAAGACATATGATCAAATTCAAGAAAAGGTTTTGGAACGTTCAATGGACAATTTGATGAAGAATAGTGAAAAGTTTGACTTGTCTGAGCTTGATAGAACTAGATTTTTATATGTTGGTAAGCCAACTCGTCAAAATTTACCTGTTGTGTACTTGATTTTGCATCGTTTAAAGCAAGAATTTTTGAATCACAATGACAAGTTAATGATTTACATTTACAAAACTTTGGGTGCATTGTTTAATCAAAAGTATTGCTTGATTATTGATTTGAGTTGGGCTGATATGGCTGATGAATATCAAGCTTTATTATACAGAGCTGTTGTTGCCTTTGCTAGATTAATGAAGATTGAACATTTGGCCAATTGTCAACAAATTTATATTTTGCATCCAAATTTCAAGACCAAGACAGCTGTTGATGATATTTTCAATATTATTCCAAATGAAACTAGACAAAGATTAATCAAGGTCAAGTATGATTGGACCTCTTTGAGTGATATCATTGAACCAATCAAGATTTGGATTCCATTCGTTTCTAAAAAGTTTATTCCAACCACTTACAATCTCATGTTAATGAAGGAAAAGGGTGACAGTGGTAATGAACGTTTAATGAAGATTACCAACGATTCACTTCTCGTTTTGGACTCTAAATTGGGAACTGTTCTCGATGAAATTCCATTCACAACCATTGTTGACATTAGAATTAAGAAGAATTGTAATGAATTCTTGATCAAACACAAGACTGAAACAGAACACATGTTAAAGGAAAGAGGTGGTGATCTTGGATACATTTCCAAGAATATTGCAACTGCCAATCAAACAGAAGTTGTCAAGAGATTCAATTGTGTCTCTGATCAACAAAGAGATAACCTTGTTGAAACCATTGCTGATGTTGGTGTAAGATGTACTTCATTGGAAAAGAAACAAACTTTCATTGTTGAAAAGGATACTAAATCTGGAAAGAGACAAAAGAGAATTCTCAAATTTGCCTATGACTCTGTACTCGTCTTTAAGGAAGGTGTTATTAAGAGAGAAATTCCATTCTCCACACTCCAATCCTTCTATATTGATAAGGAAGAAAAGAGTAGAATGTTCATTAACTTTATGTTACTAGGAAGAAAGAAGGCATACGTTGTCTATCATGAAAATGCAACAGCTCTTCGTGATAGCTTGTTGGACACTGTTGTTAGATTCAAGTTTAATGTTGATCTTGAAAAGGAACTTTTCATTAGAAAGGATTTGGATGCAGTTGTTGATCGTTTCTTCTCTGCTGCCAAGGACAAGACTCTCACTGATGAATCTGGTTTAACCTCTGACATCAAACAAATCGTCAATATTCACAATGCTTCTGAAGATATTAAGAAATTATTCTACAAATTCAATCCTCAGAATGATAAGCGTGCTCCACTAAGTGTCGATAAGATGAGAATTATTGCTACAAGTCTCAATGTTGATTTTTCTGAAGAACATAGCAGACATTTGGTTAGCATTTTGGATGAAAAGAGTGTTGGTTATGTGGTTTTGGATGATATTGTAAGGAATTACATCCTCAACAAGAGAATGAAGGGTATGATTCAAAAGAGAAAGGATGCACTTGTTAAGAGAAATGAAATACTTCAAAAGCAAGGATCCTCTTCATCTAAGTAAAATAATGTACTTTAATAAAACAGTTTAGAAATTGAATTCATGTTCAGCTTTCATTAAATATTTATTGTTGCCTTCTTCCATTTCATCTTCTTATTATAAAGATGATTATTAATTTCTTCCTGGAGAGAAATTTTATCAGGGCCTTCATATCGTCTATTGATATCCTCCTTAACCTTGATAAGCATGTCTCTGTCTTTGAGCTCGTTGACAATGCATTGAATTGCAATGTCATAAATTCTATATTCATTGGCAATCTCTGCCTTGAGTTCCATTTCAGTTTTCTGGAAGGAAAATGATTGAAGTAAATCTCTAATCATTGGTATTGGAGCTCTGAATAACTTCAATACTTGCATAACATTGTAAATATTGAGAATTGAGTTTGAATCAGCTCTGTTTGGTTTTCCTGTTAGCAATTTCATAAATCCACTATTTCCCTTTTGCATTTTCATATCGTAGGCAGAACAATAACAAAGGCCATCCTTTTGTGCCTTTGAATAGGCAATCATTACCCCCTTCCAATCACCAATTCTACTTCTTGCAACAATGGCATCATAAAAAAATCTATGTTGTGAGAGGTCAAAAAATTTGGCCAATGTTCTAGGACAAGCAATTTGATCATCTGGAGCAGCATTGTGATAGAATAGGCAGTATTTCATAGTCTCAGATAAAGTACTTCCATAAATTGGGAACTTTTTGTACTGTTTGAATATTGGATGTTTTCCTGAAAGAGCAATTGAATTATCTTGTTCATCAATTTTAAGTTGTTTTGCTGTTAAATGAATTAAATTGGCAGTGGCAATACTGAGCTCTTCTGCACAATCTAGAGAATATTTGTTAGATTTAAACCCAACTGGATTATCAATAGCTTGTGCATTCTTTTGAATAAAAGAAAGACAATGTTCCAATGAATCCATCTTTTCGTATGGCTATTTAAATATTAGGTTCCTGAATTCAATTATTTGATAATACTTACATCAGTAATTGTGATTGCCATCTTGTATTGAAGCAAAGCTTCATCTCTAATCATGTTATTGAATTTGTAAACCCTTTGAAGAGTTTTGTTGTCTCCAAGTTTCTTGAGGAATGAAATATAGGTCAAGACGAAAAATCCTGTCTCCCTATCAGCTTCAATTAAAACCTCCATGAAAGATCTAAATGCCAGAGATTGTTCAATTGAAATTATTACTGGAATAATGACATCATAATTTCTTCCACAACTCTTCAAAAGAGCTACCTTTTGCTTTGACTCTCTGAGTCTTCTTAAATTACACCAGGCATCCAATTCTCTTTCTTGATTGGAAAATTGATCATTAGATCTATATTTATATTCATAATCCTCATCCAATGACTCGTTAATTAATTCCTCCTCCTCATCAATTACCTCTTTATAAACTGGTGGCTTGGTAACTTTTCTTTTCTTTACCTTATCCAAGACAACCTTATTCAATTCATTAGATTCAAGTCCTTCTCTAATTAAATCTCCCAAAGTTTTCACAACAACCTTCTCCTCCTCAAAGTAATCATCATATTTAGAGGAAGCGCTTTTTGGAGTTTCACTAACAAAATCCTCCAATGAATTATTGGAATGTTCCAATTCCTTTCTGAGCTTGTGATTTTCCTCTTCCAATTTGAATAATTGTTTCTTTAATTGTTCGAAATGTTCAAATGAAAATTCAAATTCCCTTGTTTGTCTCTTTTCTGATTTTTCAGTAGATTTAACAACCATTGGAGTTTCACTTTTTTCATTAACTACTACTGCTTTTGGAGAAATATTTAAAGATCCACTTGAAGGCACACGTGTTGGCAGAGGTTTAGTACTACCCACTGATGCTTCATTCATTGGTTGTTGTTGTTGTTGTTGATGTGAATTAGGAGGAGGTGTAGTTGATGTTTTTGATGAAGGAGGAACTGTTGGTAAATTCTTCTTATTATTTGCTTGAGGTGTCATTGGTAAACTCTTTGAAGGAATTGGAGGCTGTGTTGGAAGATTATTGATGAATGAATCGACATCGAATGGTTCAGCAGAGGCCTTACTGTTATTATTATGTTGTTGTTGTTGTTGATTATTTGTAATTATATTATTGGATGAAGAATTTTGTTTGTTACTAGTCGATGTAGTGGTGGTGAGGGAAGAAGGAAGAGGAGGCAATGAAGATAATCGTGATGATGAACTATCAGGAGTTTCAATATGATCGTACAAATCTTCGGAATTAATAGAGAAGAAATTGGAGGCTGTTTCTGTAGCTGTTGATGAATCTGTAGTTGCTTCTTGGGATGATTGGAATTTACCTCCAGAGAGAAGCAAGATGGGATCATCGTCCTCTACTCTCTTTTGCATTTCACGCTTCTTACTCACCCAAGACATTTTTTGATTATAATTTAAATATAATTATTATTAAAATTATAAATTATTTAAATATTGATTTTTCCCGGTTGACATGAAATTGGTTTCGTATTGCACATTTTCCATAATTATAGCATTCCACATTCTCTCTTAGTTATAAATTTATTATTTAACAAAGCAATGTACAAGTGCCATGATGGCAGTTTATTTCCTCAGCTTATTGGGCAAACTTTCTAGTCCATTCTGCAGCGGTCAGCTCGAATTGTTTCCTATTGGTTCTATATTGTTGAGCAATATCTTGCACTAAAGGATCGTCTGGGTTGGCATCAGTCAATAAAGAAGAAATTGAAAGTAAAACCTTTGAAATCGTAAGAGCTGGTGACCATTCTTTAGTCAAAATATCTAAACAAATAGAACCGTTTGAATTAATGTTCGGATGGTAAATTTTAGTTACAAATTGTACTTTTGGTGGTTTGAATGGATAGTCAGTTGGGAAGTGTACATTTAAGAAGAAAACTCCTCCTTGGTATGGGCTGTCAGCCTATAATGATGATGAATAAAATTATAATTTAAATATATAGTTGTTGTTGTTGTTGTAATTCAATGAAGAAGAGAAAAAGAATTTTAAAATTTGAGATGACGTCATTTTGATTGTTGTGTTGTATAAAGTAAAATTATTCTAACAAAATTCATAAAACTATTCTAATACATACCGGACCCATTATAGTTGCTTGCCAGTGGAACAAGTCATCATTTACAGGTCCTGCAGAGCAGTTTTGTGGTGGGTCTTTTTGAAGGTCGTTGAGTTCTTTGGCGATTCTCTTAAGAGCCATTTTATTATAGTGTAGTATATTGTGTTAGGGGCTTTTTTTCCTATGAGTTTTATGCTGCGTGAGGTATCTCTAAAGTTATTGTAATCGGAATTGTACTTTATTTTTGGCGTACTTTTCATTTTGTGTCTGGAAACAAAAAGCGACCAATGCAAGCCAATTTCCTTGCTGAATGATGAACAATGGAAGACAACTTCAACCATAATGTTAACTACAAGTTACATTAATACAATGGATGAACATTCCGATGATGGTAGATAACACCATCCATCTTGATCTGATTATCAACTCCTATTATCAACTAATTCGATTAATCGATCTTTGAACCATAAAAATCTTCAAGCCTTCGACCCTGATGACAATAAAAAATATGAAAACTTCTTCCACATTTGCCTCCTCAAGCAATAAGTCTTCCTTATCATCAATGCGAGGAAGTGGATTGAATAAATTATTTTGTAGTAATAATGATTATTATCGGAAAAGTGTTTGGATATTTGTGTTGATTTGTTCGGTATGGATGATCATGATTGGAAGTGGAGTGGATGCATATAGAATTAATTTTGATGAAAGTCATGGGAGTGTAAGTGTTCTTTTTTGATCTTTGTGTGGAAAGAGAGATTTATCAATATTTGTGGAATTTTCAAATTATTTAGTTTACTTCGGATGTAACTCAGGGAAAATTATTGGATGAATATGAATTGGGAATGTATGCTAGAGAGGATCTTCCATTGAGAGTTTTAACAAGACCCATTGCTAATGGTGACACATTTGTTCAAGTTTATTGTAAGTACACTATTTAATGATACAATATATTTACGAGGTTTTTTTAGTAAATGTTAAACAATCAAGCATTCCAACTCCTGATACCAAATTAGTTCTCATTGTTGCTAACAGTGAGATACTTGCAACTGGTTTTAAGAAGGATCAGAAAGTATGTAATAATTATTAATTCTGTTTGGATCTGATTGAAATTATATTTTAGAATGAATATTTGTGTGGAGACGAAGGATTAGTTCCAACTTCTCAAAGCACACTCGATGATGATGGAATTTTATATTACAAATATTTCAGTGGAGATGAAGTAATTGATGAGAATTTCGAAGTGCCATTAACAGGTCTCTACCAATACAAATTATTCTACTGTCCTGCCACTAACCCAACTAAGGAAAGACCAAAGTCTGGTGAAGCCAATTTCAAAATGAATGGTTACATTCAATTCATCAATCCATATGGTCACTTGCCAGGTCAATATTTCTTCTTCTTGCCAGTATGTATATTTGCTTAATATTTTCCTAATAATTCAATTCCAGTTCCAAGCATTCATGACAATTGCTTATATTGTTTTTGCTGTCCTTTGGTTTTTGGCCTCTATTTTCAATAGAAAGGAATTCTTAACTCTCCAATTCTACATTACTATTGTCTTGATGAGTTGTTTAGCAGAAGCTTTGATTGTCTATTTTGATTACTTTTTAACTAACAAAATTGGAAGTCGTAACTTTGTTGTTCAACTTTGCTCAATGGTTATGACTGTCATTAGAAAGACTTGGACTAGACTCATCATTTTGGTGGTTTGTTCAGGATACTCAAGTGCCACAAAGGAGGAGGATGATGAATCATCTGAAAATACCTCTTCTCAAAAGAAAGTAACAACAACCATGATCATTATTTATTCAGTTATATTTGCAATTTCATGCTCAGTTTCAGAATTTGGAGAATTTTTATTCTTTAGAGAGCTCATTTCACACACTCAATATTTGATCTCCATGGTTCCAACATCCTGCTTGGATTTCTTCTTCTATGTCTGGGCTCTTTACTTGCTCTACCATACTATGAAGATGTACAAGCCTTCAAATCCAAAAGCTGTCACTGCCAGAGAAAGGGCTTCCCCAGAATGGAAACATGCAGTTGCCAATAACCACTACTTCTACTTGTATAGAAGATTAATGTTTGCCATGATTATTTACGCTTGGACTGTGCTTATTTTCTTAGTTCTCCAATTCTTCTACGAATATGGTCAATACTACAGAAGTGCTTGGTATTTGAACTGGCTTTTTGACTCTGCATCTTACCAAATTGCATTCTTTGCCTTCTTTGTTTTAGTTGGTTTATTGTACAGACCTGCCAAACACAACTCACTTTACTTACATTCTGAACAACTCCCAACTGATGAATTGGATGCTGATATGATGCTAAAGGAAGGTACTGGTCTCGAATATCAAAGTGACGATAGTGATGAAAAGGATGTAGAAATGATGATGATGCAAAATAATGAGCCAATATCTAACGATGACGAATCTGACTCTAAGGAAAGCAGAAAGAGTCAAGAAAAACTTGTATTCTCTGAAGATCATGAAACCCCAACAAGTACAACTCCTGCAGTTGAGAAGGTTGAGACCACCACTCAACAATAACTGTAAATAAATTATTTATTATTTTCCTTCTCATTCTGGTAATTATTTATTGTTATGAAAAGTTTGTTGACGAGCCAATCAACAAGTGGTGAATGGGATTGCATATCTTTGAGTATCTTTTCTAATTCTTCTCCACTTCTTTTATCTTCACAATCTAGAATTCTTTCGAATAAATCTCCCATATTGGAAAGAACAAGATCTGACTTACTATGATCAAAATGGAGCTTGTCATCCTTAATAGTGACATAACCAAGCTTTTCGTAAATCTTATAAGTACTTATTGCTGAGATTATGTATGGTCTCAAACTTGACTTGTCAAACATGGCAAATCGTCTAAAATCTTGCATTGCAAAGGAGGCAAGTGATCTTGACAACTCCTCAGATGAAATGTGACCATTCTTGTGGAGGAGCCTCATAGTAAAGAGTGCAGTAAGTTCAGCTCTTGGTTCTTCGAGGAGAGATTTAGTATCAACCTTGATGTGTTCCTTAATGAACTCCAAGTTGTAAATTGCATGGCCAATTTCATGAGCAGCAATGTGATTCTTAATTGTATCGATGGTATTAATGTAGGAAGCAAGTTCTTCACTATTTTCACAGACCTTATTGACTAAACTGATGGTTTGGTGTCGTCTGGATTCGGTTGCTACTGGATCGAAATAAATCTTTACACCCTTCTTATTCTTTACTTCAGTTCTATTAGGAATGGATTGTCCAGAGAATTTAAAAGACAAGGATTGACCACAATGGAAAGGAATTGAATAAATGGAACACATTGAGTTTTCGACAGCATAAATTCCATTGTCAGCAATTTCAGTATTTCTTGATTTGAAGTATTCAACCATTGATCCTTGAACTTTGGTCTTGATAAAATTGTTGGTTGATTCGTATTCTTCATCTACAAGACGGCAGCTGAAATCAGGAATACTCTTACATCTCAAAACATCTCCATATCCATACTCAATATCGTGAACATATTGAATGTATGATTTCACATCCATCCACAATTCATCCAATTCAGTATTGAGTGTTTCCAATTTTTCTTTATCAGTTTCAATCAAAGTTTCTCTATATTTTTCAATATATTTAATATAAGCTTCCAAATCTTCATAATTTTCTCCACTATTTCTCAATGAATACAAATCATTCAATAATTCAGAAAATTGATTAATAATTGGAGCAAATTCATTCTTGAAAAATTCACCATAAGAAACATCATAAAACTCATTAGTGGCCTCGTCCAACAAGATAATAGTATAAGAATTTGTTAATTTCCTATCAATAGTTGAAGCTCTCTTTTCCAATTCTTCAGCAACCTTATTTCCTTGAACTGCCTTCATCCACTTGACATAGAACGGATGATACTGTCCAGAAATCATAGCAGCATGACGTAACAATGCACTATCAAACTTATTAAACAAATGATCAACTCCAGAATCCTTTTCCAAAGCCAAATATACAAAATCTCTTGCCAATTGTTGTCTCTTATTACAAACATCAACAATTTTATAAAACTCTTCTGTAAAATCGGTAATTCCCTCAAAATTCTGATGAATAGCAGCTTGTGCTACAAGTGATTGTTTTTCCTCTCCGAGAATATTCAAGTCTTGTTGGAAATCTTGATGAGTAGCAAAGATTTCATCTGTAACCGAAACAATTTTCTTCAATAGGGGAATTCGGGAGAGATTGGAAAAGCCTGATTTATATTGATTGAAAAGGGATTTGGAGGATTGAAGCAAAAGTGATGACGCCATTTTTTTTAATAAATTATTTATATTTTATTAATACTTTACAATGCAGTATTTAAATATATTTAATGTTTAGCTATGGACAAGGTAGTATTTAAAGATGATGATTATTGAATGAGATCAGAGATGGCTCTTTGAATATCACCTTCATACCTATTCAATAAGGTAATATTAAGAATGTGATTGGTGAAACCCATTTGATTCAATAATTTCAATTCTTTTTGATATTTGTGTGGAATGGTTGTTTTCACAACTGGTTCTTCTTCTTCATCAGGAATTGATTCAATAATTGGATCTTGATTTTCAAGATTTTGATTGGAAACTTGTTGAGCTTGTTGTTGATTGACTGATTCATTTTCTTCTTGAGAAGCAATTGTTTCTTGTTGAATTTGTTCAACGACTGATTCAATTGGTTGATCTTCAATTAAATTGGAGAGAAGCAATGAAGTGGTCATTGTTGGAGTATTTTCAGTAACAATTTCTTAGTTCTTGAATTGGTTCTTCTTCTTTTGGTTGAGAAACAACAATTGCAGATGGAGAAGTTTGAATTGGTTTCTCTTCTTGTTTCTTTTCTTGAGTTTGTGATTGTTGACTCTTTTGCTCTTCTTCTCTCATTTCCTTCATTCTTTGAAGTAATAATTCTCTGAATGATTGAGGTGTAGTTTCCTTCTTTTCTTTCTTTGTTTCTTCCTTTTCTGGTTGTTGTTGTTGTTGAGCAGCTTCATTACTTGTTGGAATTCCCAAAAGATCAGCAAGACTAATTTCAATTCTTCTCACTTTTGGTTTTGTTTGAGGAGTGGAAGCAGAAACTTGTGGAAAGAATGATTGTTTTGGTTGAGCTGGATTTTCATTTGAGAAGGCAGATCTAAATGCCTTTTCAATCATATTTTCCCAAGATTGTTCTGCTTGTTGTTGAGGAGATTGTTTCTTTTGAGATTCAACTCTTGGTTGTTGGAATTGAGCAAATAAACATGCTGATGGTGATGCTTGTGAAATTCTATTGAAGGCAATATGTTGTTGAGGATATTGTTGAGGATATGCTTGTTGTTGTGGTGATTTGATTGATTTCTTTTCACAAATAATCTTGGTCAATTTTCCTTTCATTAATTTCAACATGAATTGGAAATCTCTTAAATTGGTCAATGAAACCAAATCATCTTCATCATCAACATAATGTAATTCAAATTGTCTCCTATCAATGGAATGTTCTCTCAAAACTCTATCAAATAATTCGAAACTTCTCTCATGATTAGAATCAATTTCAAATCTCAAAACATTTGAAGCACTATTCAAATTGTGATTGAATTTTCCTTCAAAAACATAAATTTTGAATGGAACATTTCTTTCAACTTGTCTTGTTTGTGGAGAAATCAAAAGTGGAATTTTCTTTACATTATTTGCAAAATGTTGAGTTGGATAATCATTGAATGATGAAGTTTCTCTCAAATTTGGATAAGAAACTTGTCTTGGAATAGTTTGTTGTTGAGGTTGGAAAGCAGCTGCAGTAGAAATTGGAATGTGGATGAAACTCATTTTGATTTGGTTGATTGATATTTAGTAGTAGTATTATTTACACTTCTTAATATTCAGATTTTGTACACAAAATTTGACAAGTAGTTTAAAAGACTAGTTGTTGATGTTAATTAATTTTTTTTCTTATTGTTTTGCTTTCACATTTTTCACTCTTGATCTATTTATAGTTTTGATAAGGAAAATAATTTGAACGTGCTCAATACTTTGTACTCACAACAAGCGCAGTTATTTTTGTCGATTGAGTGAAGAACTCACAAATTCTTAATGTGTGATTGAAGGAAAGGAACCCACGGAATTTCATACGGAATGTTATTTTTATCTTCGGAAGCAGAAATTTCCTTACTCGATTAAACTCAAGGAAACCAAAACAATCAAATGATAACATTCTTCCAATCATTCAGTAAGGAAGTCATCAAAATTACACCCCATGTTTTTACCTCCCTCTGCCCTCAATGTTATTGTTCTGTTCAATTCTTGCTTGGATGGAATAATAATGGAGGAGGATAGGAATCTACATCTTTAACGGTCATTCTTTCATACTTTCAATCTCAGTACTGAAGATTGATCCGTTTTGTTTGAAGAAATGAACATTATTCTATAACTTATCAAAGTGTTACTAAGGGATGAGAGAAAAATTTCAAACTGGGGATCTGGAAAGCTTAAACTTCACTCAATATAATCCCTTATATGTAAGTGATGTTAATTGTTTCATTTCCCTTATATATTTGACTCCTTCATCACCAATTCGATTGGCACGAATATTAAGTGATATCAACTGTTTCATTTCACTTATCAATTTGGTTCCTTCATCACCAATTTGATTGTAAGAAATATCAAGTGATTTTAATTGTTTCATTTCACTCATAGATTTGGCTCCTTCATCACCAATTCGATTGCCAGAAATATTAAGTGATGTTAATTGTTTCATTTCACTTATTAATTTGGCTCCTTCATCACCAATTTGATTGTTAGAAATATCAAGTGATGTTAATTGTTTCATTTCACTTATCAATTTGACTCCTTCACCACCAATTTGATTGTTAGAAATATTAAGTGATGTTAATTGTTTCATTTCACTTATCAATTTGGCTCCTTCATCACCAATTAGATTGTCAGAAATATTAAGTGATGTTAATTGTTTCATTTCACTTATAAACTTGGCTCCTTCTACACCAATTAGATTGTCAGAAATATCAAGTGATGTTAATTGTTTCATTTCACTTATGAATTTGGCTCCTTCACCACCAATTTGAGTGAAACCAATATTAAGTGATGTTAATTGTCTGGTTTCACTTATCAATTTGGCTCCTTCATCACCAATTTCATTTTCACAAATATTAAGTGATATCAACTGTTTCATTTCACTTAGATATTTGGCCCCTTCTACACCAATTCGATTGCAACAAATATTAAGTGATGTTAATTGTTTCATTTCACTTATCAATTTGGCTCCTTCATCACCAATTAGATTGTCAGAAATATTAAGTGATGTTAATTGTTTCATTTCACTTATCAATTTGGCTTCTTCATCACCAATTTCATTTTTACCAATATTGAGTGATATCAACTGTTTCATTTCACTTATCAATTTGGCTTCATCACCAATTCCATTGCCAGAAATATCAAGTGATGTCAATTGTTTCATTTTGCTAATGAATTTGGCTTCTTCAAAAGAATCAAGCAACCAATCAGAATATGTAACATTAACAATACAATTCATAAATTGACTTTTCAAAAATAATTGAACTCGTGTCTTTGTAAATTTTTTGTTAAATTGAATAGCAAGTTTTGAACGTTCCTTGATCACATTAAAGAATTGTTTTGAAATCAAGGAACAATTATTTAAAATAAACCATGAATCATCAATCATGGAAATTATTTCAAAACAAATGTCATCTGAAAATATTTCTTGTTCCACTTTCACACCCTTTTTTACTTTCTCTTCCATATTATTATTATTAAAATTGTTAGTGAATATTATTTGTTAAATATCTCCTCCGAATTAATGAATTGCTGATTTTCAAATTCTTATTTTTTTTTAAATGAGAAAATTTACACAGTTCGGACGATCATATGTTTTTTTAATAAATATTTAATATTTACTATTAGATGTAATTAGAAAAGTTGGGATAGGAAGATAGGAACTATTGTGCTTTGAAATATTTACATGAACCAATTTTATTCACCGAGTACAAATCAAACAATATTATATTGAATAATAAGAAAGATAGGGAAAACAATTTGAACGTGCTCAATACTTTGAATCACAACACAAATCCAGATTTATTGAATTGTTCTTTGCAGATTAAGTAAGAACTCACAATTTGTTAATGTGTATGAAAGGAACTTACAAAATTTCACACGGAATTTTATGTTTATCTTCAGGCAGAAATTTCCTTACTAGATTAAACTACCCATTCTATAACAAAAATAACAAAATCACATTCCGTATGAAATTCCAATCAAGTGATAACATTGATAAGTTATAGAATAATGTTCATTTCTTCAAATACAAGCAAGAGTCTTTAAAGCTAAGATTGGGAAGGTCTTCACTCAATTTAATCCCTTATATGAGCGTAATTGATGTTAATTGTTTCATTTCACTTATCAATTTGGCTCCTTCACCACCAATTCGATTGTCAGCAATATTAAGTGATGTTAATTGTTTCATTTCACTTATAAGTTTAGCTCCTTCTATACCAATTTGATTGTAAGAAATATCAAGTGATTTTAATTGTTTCATTTCACTTATCAATTTGGTTTCTTCATCACCAATTTCATTGTTAGAAATATTAAGTAATGTTAATTGTCTCATTTCACTTATCAATTTGGTTCCTTCATTACTAATTCGATTGCTACGAATATTAAGTGATATCAACTGTTTCATTTCACTTATCAATTTGACTCCTTCTATACCAATTCTATTGTTAGAAATATTAAGTGATCTTAATTGTCTCATTTCACTTATGAATTTGGCTCCTTGATTAACAATTCGATTGGCACGAATATTAAGTGATATCAACTGCTTCATTTCACTTATCAATTTGGCTCCTTCATCACCAATTAGATTGTTAGAAATATTAAGTGATGTTAATTGTTTCATTTCACTTATCAATTTGGTTCCTTCTATACCAATATCACTTTCACCAATATTAAGCGATGTTAATTGTCTCATTTCACTTATCAATTTGACTCCTTCAATACCAATTCGATTGCCACAAATATTAAGTGATGTTAATTGTCTCATTTCACGTATGCATTTGGCTCCTTCAACATCAACTTGAGTGTAAGAAATATCAAGTGATGCTAATTGTTTCATTTCACTTATATATTTGGCTCCTTCATCAATTTCATTTTTACCAATATTGAGTGATATCAACTGTTTCATTTCACTTAGATATTTGGCTCCTTCATCACCAATTAGATTGGCAGAAATATCAAGTGACGTTAATTGTTTCATTTCACTTATCAATTTGGCTTCTTCATCACCAATTCCATTGCCAGAAATACTAAGTGATGTCAATTGTTTCATTTTACTAATGAATTTGGCTTCTTCAAAAGAATCAAGCAACCAATCAGAATATGTAACATTAACAATACAATTCATAAATTGACTTTTCAAAAATAATTGAACTCGTTTCTTTGTAAATTTTTTTTTAAATTGAATAGTAAGTTTTGAACGTTCCTTGATCACATTAAAGAATTGTTTTGAAATCAAGGAACAATTATTTAAAATAAACCATGAATCATCAATCATGGAAATTATTTCAAAACAAATGTCATCTGAAAATATTTCATGTTCCAGTTTTACAACCTTTTTTGATTTCTCTTCCATATTATTATTATTAAAATTGTTAGTGAATATTTCCTCCGAATTAATGAATTGATGATTTTCAAAATCTTGTCTGTTTCGTTTGCTCATTTTTTAATAAAATTTTAATAATATTTAATTTTTTTAGAATATGGTGTGATTGATCACTTGTAAGTATTGACTTCATCACAATCCTTCAAGTGTTCTCTTTATTGGTATGGTTAATGTATTATTCTCCATTTGTAGTAGTGACCTTTTTGTGAGTTAATTTCTTGCAGTTTTAATTTGGTAAAGATTTTGATTCATCTCAATCAATGCTCATTATTCTTGATTTCTTTAAATTGTTCCAAAACATCGAATTCATGTTCCAAAACATCATCCAATTCATTTGCCTGTTGTTGTTGAGATGTAAAATCATCATTAGTATTGCGCCATCCTTTCGTGAGGAGGAAATTCTTCAAGAAGTTTTCATTATTATCATTTAGTTCATGATTATTTACATCTTGATTATCAAGATTCAACGATTTGATCTTGTCAAGAGATTTTTCAATATCTTCTTCGAGTGGAATTTCCTCCTTTTCAACATTTTCGTCGGCTTTAGTTTGTGACATTTTTTTTCAATTTGTTTGGATTTATTGTTGATCATTCAAGTAGTTTGTGTAACAATTATTGTTGTTTTATTACAAGATAGCTTGATTTAATCAGAATCTTCGTCTGTGCTACTCATATCCAAATCATCTTCTTCATCTTCATCAGAATCTGATGAGGACATGCTCAGTGAAATATCTGAATCAGAATCGTCCTTTTGTTGCTGTTGCTGTTGTTGAGCTTGTTTGGATCCAATGATTTTAGTGGTTGGTACAGTGGTGGTAGTTGGTGTGCTTGTTGCTGATTTGGGAGTGTTATTGGAATTGGCATTGTTGGATGGAGAGGAAGATAGTTGGGCACTACTATTATTGTTATAGAGCTTGGATAGGAGTTCAGATTGCATGAAATTGGATTCAATGGTTGGAGGTGATTGAACCATTGGTTGAGCAGCTGTTGTGGAGGGAGTTGTAGAAATTGGATTGGAGGAGGTGATTGGCTTATTTGGTGATGTGGTTGGTTGGGAGTTGTTTTGTGAAGGGGTAGAAACTTGACGAATGGTTTGGTTGGAAGTTTTTGTAAAACTGGAAACCGTGTTGAGAGGTTTGGCAGCTGTATTTGATGGTTTGGCAGCAATCACTCTTGGAATACTCTTGATATGATTCTCAATTTCTTGCTCTGATCGTTTCATTAACCAAGCATATTCATCTTCAGTATTCGAATCATCTTTGGTAATGGAAACAACATCCTGCTCCACAAGTTTATCCTTTCTATTTTCTACAATTCTAATACAATCCAAACTTCCAGAATTTTCCATATTTTGATAAAGTGGATTTAAGAATTCAATTTCGTTAGCATCCAATTCAAATCTTTCAATGAAAAACAAAACCCAATCGAATGGGGTTGGTGTTTGTGAGTTTGAGCCACCACTATGAGATTTTAGCAATGAAGTTAATGTGGATTGACCAATTATTTGTTGACCACTTGATTGTGGAAGAATTCCAGTAGGTGTCAGCGATTTTCTCTTTTCACTCACAGTCAATCCACCTGTATTCACAGGAGAAGATGTCATTCCTAATGAGCCAACAATTGGAGAACCCAAAGCAAATTTAGCACTCAATCTCTTATTATTAGGTCCTAACATTTGTTGTGAGACCATGAATTTCAGATCATTTGATTTCAGGGTGATTTGATGTTTCAGGGAGGCAAATTGTTGAGACATTTGAAGTAGCATGTTTGATTGTTTCAAATGTGATTTAATATCTGATGTGGAGGTTATAAATTGATAGCCATGTGGTGGAATGAATTGTGGTTGTGAATCTCCTCTCACCTCATCATAATATTCTTCTCTATTGAGAATATTTTCTAATTCTGATGGAATTTCAAAAATCTGATCAAATCCAAGCTTGAAAGAAGGATCCTTATCACAAATATTACTCAATGCAAATGTAAATTGTAACAATTGCTGATCATTATCAAAGGAAAAGACAAATTCTTGAGTTTCATTCTCATTTACAACATGATAGAGAACTAGACGATTTGACTTGGCAAAAACATCTTTTTCTTCACTTGGTGTATAGTCATCTTCATAATCATCATAATCACTTGAATCACTTTGCATTGATTCTTTTCTCTTTCTATTCAATTCTTGAACTTTCTCATCAGGAGTTTTCACATTTCTAATCTGAACAAAGAAACTATAATTCTTGATTGGAATACAATCTCTCAACTTGAGATTTTCATTAAATAAAAAGATGGCATATTCGCCTCCATTCTGACGATGATAAATTAATGTCAATAAAACAACACGATGTTTAGTTTCGGAAATTATTTGGGTGACAGGACAGAGAAATCTACATTGTTCTAGATTAGGATTTAGAATAGATGTTATTTCTTTGTGTATGGAGTTAAGTGTACGAAGTGTTTTTAGTTTTGAATTTGATGAAGTGATTGAAGGAAGATCAACATCAGCCATTTTTTTTATGATGAATTAATTATCAATTATTGACAGGTGAGGATGATTGCTTTTTGGCCAATGGGCACAACTTTAAAGTACTTTAATTTGTTTTTACCGTAGTTTGGTTTGAGATGGAAGTAAATATAAAAGGAAGTGTTAAGAAGTATTGAAAAAATGCAGATTTGTTTTGGTCGTTAAACGGTATCGAACCTGCGACCAAAAAAATGGCTTATTATCATTTTATCAACCACATGAAGGAATTAGAGTATTATTTTCGAAACAACCTTGACAATGGCAATTTTCATTAAGAATAACAGAATTAATGTTGTACTCATTGATCTTAATTATAATCTTTGTTGTAATAGGATTACAATGACCTAATTTTCTTGGAAAATCATCTCCCAAAAAGTTTTAATTGCGCTTCAACATTCCTTCCAATGCCATTATTACTACTACGATGGTTTTCCTATCAATCAAACAAGTACGAAAGAAGTTGACAAAAAAACTATTCACACAAACTCAACAAAATGCAAAGAAAAAGTTCTAATTTGTTCCATGTTGTTGTTGGCAGGATTGGAAAACCATTGCCAATACTTGCTGAAAATTCATATGATCGTTCAATTACTTTACTTTCGAATAATGCGTATAACATTCGAACAGAGTTTCAGAAAATAGATTACAATCCATACGTTGTAATATTTCTAAGTCCACCAACTCCAGAAGGAGAAACCACCAGAATTTCTTTCAGATTAACCTATTCTGTTTCGTATATTTCTAACAAACCATTTTACAAATATTATTATGGAGATGGAGATAATAGAACTAAGTATGAGATTTCATACTATTACAAAGATAATTCACCAATTGGAAAATTAACATCAACTTTTATCTTTAGTTCATCAATTACATTTACTGTAAATCCAAATGCATATAATGGAGAAACAATTAATCCAACAACTATTCGATTCACAGAAACCAATTTAACTACTGCTTCAAGTCCAACTGTCCATTTCCTACCAAGTGATACACGATTTGACAAGTGCTCAAGAATACTTGACATGAGACAAAAGCCAGAAACTTCAACAATTATCGTTGCTGTGGTTCTTCCTGTTTGTGCCTGTTTAATGATTGCATTGTTTGTTACCATGTTTTGAGGACGTGGTGGAGATGGAGGTGGTGGAGGAGGTAATAATGATCGTGGATCAACTGGTTACAGCAATTTCAATGATTGTTCCAATAACAATAATGATTCAGGTGGAGGCGGATATTATACGAGTGGTGGAGGTTCTGGTTTTGCTGATTAGTAAAATTATGAATGGAAATGAGCCTTCTTTATAAAACATCTGCTGACGGACGGGATCGAACCGGCGACCAATGGCTTATTAGACCAACGCTCTACCGACTGAGCTACGCCAGCTTATTATCTACCTTATCTTCCTTAATCATTACCTTAGATATGGTAGTGTTTCTTGAAATTGGTTTATTTTGAATTCCTTGTTGTAAATCGTCCAACAATTTACAAAGCTTGAACAGTATTAATAACCTTATCCAAATCATTAACCTTCTTATCAACAACACTTGTTGCCTGATTAACAATTCCATTAGCAGCATTTGAAATATTATCAGCAGCTTGTTCAACCTTCTTTTGAACTGAATCAGTCACTTGATTAATCTTTGCATTGATTGCTTCGGTAATTTGCTTTTCCTTCTTTTGATATTCTTGTTCAAGTTTCTTGACAATACTTTCAATTTGCTTCTTGAGTTGAGCTTCAATCTTTTCCTTAGTCTTTTCGAATTGAACTTTGAGTTTATCCTTTAATTGAACTGCCTTCTTGGAAATTTCACCTTTAATCTTGTCAACTTGTTGTTTGGCAATTGTGCTGACTTTGGAGAAAACTTCCTTTGCTTTGGCTTCGACTGCCTTCTTGACTTTATTCTTGGTTTCGGCGAATTTCTTACCTAAAAATTGTTTCTTAGCTTCAACGAATTCGGCTACTTTATCCTTAACTCCATTAATTCCCTTTCCAAGATTAGTTTTGAGATTTTCACCAATCTTTTTCAATTCATCGAGGAATTCAGTATCAGCTTCCAATGAATCAGCTTCTAAGGAGAGTGCACTCAATCCTCTGGCATTAAGTGAAACTGCTGCTTGGGTGTTTCCAATAATGAGCGCAAGAATGCAGACGAAAGTAAGAGCTAATACAAGTTTGAATGTTGTTGACATTTTTTTTTGATTTTAATGATTAGTAACAGATCAATGTTGAATGAAATTTATAGTTTTGGAGAATGATGTTTTGAGATGACTCCCCTTTCGAATTATTATTCGAAAATACAAAACTACAACTCTGAAATCGGGTGACAAGACTTTCAGTGAACTATTGTTTGAAAACTTTATACAACCTATTGGCAGGAATTCAAGATTAAGTTTTGTGGAATTTAATTTTGTAATAAATCAAAATTTCAAAGTTTCGAATAGCTAAGCGTTCAGTTTAAGTAATGAAATTGTCCAAGAAAGTATCATTCAAAAGTTACCAATTAATATTCAAAAAGTCCAAAATAGGCAAAACAAAATAGCTCCAAAAAAAGTCAAATCACAAAACTACAATTCTATAAATTCCCGCCAATTTTTTTCACTTCCAAAAAACCAACACAAAAAAACAACAACAAAACATCACAACAACATGACTGCCGCTCATAAACTCGGATTTCAATACTTTATCTACAAGCCTTACGTTTGGTTGGGTGGATTAACACTCTTGAGTGCTGGTTCTTATTTGAATTTACAATGGCAAACTAATCAACAAGGAAAGAAGTTTCAGGATGCTCGTCCTTCAGTGGAAACTCTTGCTTTTGAATCAAAATATAGTTTGAGACCAGGAGAACAGAAGGATGCATTGACTGGTGTTGATTTTTCACCAATTTCTCATTCGAATTGGGTTAAGAGAGATTAGTATATTACATTATATCAATCTCCATCGCATTTTCTTCCTCACTTTCTAAATATTCTGTAAATTAACCTTCTTTCCAAATTGCTAATGCTCAACTAATGTAAATAAATCCAACTGAAATGACTAAATTATAAGGAGTGACCAAAGAATTGAAATGTTCCTTAGAACAATTGAGAATCTTCGCAAAAATTGGTGATGAAAGAGCTTCCATAATAAAAAAGTAGCGATTTCAATTACTTTGTCTGGATTATTCAATGGTTGAGAATCATGTGGATTGCAATATTGAGATTCGAACAACCATGCGAAGTTATTGGAAATACATAACACCGATGATACGCCAAGTACAAATTTTCCTTATTGACAAGCTACATACTAAAAACCGCAAAGATAACAAATCCAAACAAATCACTAATCAATGGGTAAGTTTATGACAAGTTATGCATTATTTGTATCGGGAAAGAGTCCTTTGATGGCATTCTTCTTTTTCTAACAAAAATTTCCTTTCGAATAATTATAACAACGAAAAATCAAATCTCCTCAACTCACAAATGTAACCAAGATGTGCATTTTCAGTCCTGTTCACAACAAACATTGTCAAATTGATTCGAATAGTATTTAAACATTTCAAAGATACAAAAAACAAGAAAAAAACAAAATGACAAACCAACAACAAGATGGTGGAGTAATTAACACCACCTTCTCATCACCTCCAAACCAACAGTTTCGTATAAATTCACCACCTTCTCTCACTAACCTGACAAGTCAAACTTCATCTCAAGACACAATGCTTGCTGACTCACCAACCAAGATCAATAACAGTTCTCTTAATAGAAGAGAGTCCTCCACTCAAAAATCTACAACTAAAAGTTTACCATCCTCATCCAAAACTCCAAGAAGCTCCTCAGTTACAGGTTTCCATTCGAGAAACTTTCGTATATATACATGCTGTGGTATTCTAGAGCTGAATTGCTTGAAAATGACAAGTTTCCTTGCCTTGATCGTTAGTTTATTTGCTTTTGCATCCTTGATTGTGATCATTAGTGTAAACTATTCGATTGTTGCAGGTTTCAAAGCAACATTAGCAAATTTAGACACTGACGGAACTTATTACAGAGAATTAATGAAGTTATCTGCACGTGCTGCAGTCACAGCTGAATATAACAGAACATTGTCATTGGAATATGTCAATTTGTACAATAATTATTACTATTTATACTATGTAGATTTAAACGCAACCATTGCAAATGTTCCTGCTTCAGTGCTGTATTGGAATCAACACAACATGTTGAGAGACGATGTCAAATCCAGAAGAGCTGTCAAGATGGAAATCACCATGATGGTTCAAGTGACAAGTGGCAACTATTCTGCAGCTTTACAAACTCTCGATTCAGCTCAATACAAAGATTTATTAACAGGTTACCAGGAAGAAGTTCAAAGTATCTTTGATTATGCCGATAACATGAAAGAACAAAGTGCAAATCTCGATTTGGCAACCACAACTGCTGCACTGATCATAGCCTGCACTTCCATTGTAATTGTGGTTCCTGTTCTGATTGTGTTTATTGTGTTGAGTGTCAAGAAAGATAATTCGAAAGAGAAACAATTGAGACAAGTGAAGAAATACATGATTATGGACACGATTAATGATCCTTCAGTGGTGGAAAAGTTTAAAGATTTTTGCAAACAAGAGAGAAGTGAAGAGAATTTTGCATTATTGGAAAAGATTAACGAATATAAGAAATTGTGTGAAAGAAGTTTCGATATTCAGGTTTTCTTATTCGATACTGATGTTTTGAGTAGTTCAGATCAATTTTCTGAGATGACTTCGTCGAGTAATGATGATTCTTCCAAGAAGAAGAACAAAGCAAAAAGGGATATACTGAAAAGGATTTATTGGAAATTGAAAAGAAGAAATTCGAAATTGCATTCGAAATTTATTCAGAATTTTTGGATGTTCGTGGTGATCGTTCAGTGAATATCAGTAAGGCATTTGCTGATAATGTGAAACAACACTTGGATTATTTCGCAAAGGGAGAAAACGAATCCATTCCAGAAAGTTTATTCGAAAGTATTGAATACGAAATGTGTGTCTTGATGATGGACACTCACCACAGATTCAAACAACACTTGGAATTGCAAATGAAAGAAAAGAAACAAATCTTGTCTTCTCTCAAGAAATCCAAAAAGTAAATCTCCACAATTATATTCGAAAGGGTTGTTTACATGTTATTATCACTTGATAAATTCACAGCTTTTGATATCTAAATTACAAGATTCTTGACTACAGGACTGAAGATTAATTGAGTTTATTCGATTCATCTAGTAAGGAGAAAGTGTCAAGCGTTTAGATCCCTTTTGCTAAAAAGTTTATTGGCAACGAAACATTGATTCCTCTCCGAAGAAAATGCTAAAACAAATACTAGTCCGCAAATACAAAATTCAACATGATTCGAATAACTTTTGTATTACTGATTGGACTAATGATTCTAAGAAACAATGATTCTCTTGAGTAACAATCACAGCAACGGGTTTTTGATACTACTCAGTGCATCTATTATTTTTCAACACCATTTTCCTTATTAATGTTGCACTTTCTTTAAATGAGTAATCTTTCTGTTTTAATACGAAAGGTCCTACATCGAAATCTGTCAAATGTTGGAATTTGAATAACTCTATGGTTTCTCTGTATACTTTCGTGGCAAGACTCTCTTCAATTGATTTCAAAACAAACCATCAGTTGCCACAAACAACCGTTCATATGAAAGATTTCTCATAGTTTCGAAACACATCAAAACATCAAAAAAAAACACAACATGACAGGTACAACAATCGAAATGCTAGATAGTAGTGCTACGAACATTAATACTTCCACAACTAGCTTTTCCTCCAATCAAATCAACAGAATCAACTCTCCACCTTCAGTCAACCTGACCAGTTTGACCTCTTCACAAGATTCCATGATTCCAACATCACCAACCAATAATTCCAACTCTATGAACAGAAGAGATTCCACTCACAAATCCACAACTGGTAAAAGTTTACCATCCTCATTGAAAACACCAAGAACTTCATCTGTTACTGCTTTCCATTCGAAAAACTTTCGTATACATACATGTTGTGGCATTCTAGAGCTGAATTGCTTGAAAATGACAAGTTTGGCAGCACTTGTTGTTAGTTTATTCGCATTTACTGCCTTAATTGCAATCATTAGTTTAAACTATTCAGTAGTTGCCACCTATCACTCAAGTTTAGAAACTTTAGAAACTTCTGGAACTTATTACAGAGAATTGATGAAATTATCTGCACGTGCTGCAGTCACAGCTGATTATAACAGAACCTTGTCATTGGAATATGTCGACTTGTACAATAGTTATTTTAAAGAGTATTATGTAGTAATGAATAATTTAATTGCAAACGTTCCTCCTTCAGTGCTGTATTGGAATCAACATAACATGTTGAGAGAAAATGTCAAATCAAGAAAAGCTGTCAATATGGAAGTTGCCATGATGTCACAAGTCACAAATGGAAATTATACAGCAGCTCTCAGATCCCTCGATTCAGATCAATACAAAGATTTGCTAACAGGTTATGAAGAAGAAGTTCAAAGTATCATTGATTATGTCGCCGACCTTAAATATTCGAATGCAGAAATGGATTTGGCAACCACAACTGTTGCCTTGATTATTATTTGCATTTCTCTGGCAATTGTTATTCCAGTTCTGATTGTATTTGTATTATTGAGTGTTCAGAAAGATAATTCGAAAGAGAAACAATTGAGACAAGTGAAGAAATACATGATTATGGATACGATTAATGATCCTTCTGTGGTGGAGAAGTTTAAAGATTTTTGCAAACAAGAGAGAAGTGAAGAAAATTTTGCATTGTTGGAAAAGATTAATGAGTATAAGAAATTGTGTGAAAGAAGTTTCGATATTCAGGTTTTCTTATTCGATACTGATGTATTGAGTAGTTCAGATCAATTTTCTGAAACAACAACATCCAGTACTGAAGACGCATCCAAGAAGAAGAACAAAGCTAAAAAGGGATATACTGAAAAAGATTTAATGGAAATTGAAAAGAAGAAATTCGAAATTGCATTCGAAATTTATTCAGAATTCTTGGATGTTCGTGGTGATCGTTCAGTGAATATCAGCAAGGCATTTGCTGATAATGTGAAACAGCATTTGGATTATTTCGCAAAGGGAGAAAATGAATCCATTCCAGAAAGTTTATTCGATAGTGTGGAATACGAAATGTGTGTCTTGATGATGGACACCCACCACAGATTCAAACAATTTATGGAAGTTTCCCTCAAGGAAAAGAAACAAATTCTTTCAACATTGAAGAGAAAAACTGTAAAAAAGTAAAATTGTAAATTAGGTTTCTTTATTCGAATTATTTAGGATAGATAACAGAACTTGGGTGTTGTTCGAAAACTCCATTTTCAATGCTTTAGGATAATGGCTATATTGCTCTCAAATCATTACTGTTTCGATTGATAGTTTACTTTCCAATATACTTTAGACGAAACCATTCGGCTATTAACAATTGCAGGTTCTGCAAAACCATCCATCAAGGATTCGGCACCATTGTATACAATACTTTACAAAACACTGTAGATCAATACAATACAATAAAAAATTGATAGAGTTCACTGGTGTGAAAAAAAATGCTTATTTTTTATTAAATTTGGCAACCAAACCGATTTGTACTTCTATTACGCTCCAACTCATCAACAAACATCAAAATGACATTTAACTGATCATATTGATGAAGTTGCCAAAAACCCTTCTCCTTGACATTTGCTTGTCAAGTGACAGAAATCATTGAATTTCATCATGAACACAAAGATATAAACTCTTACCACTTGTTTTTCATCAAATAAACATCAAGACATCTACTAGCACCATTTTCTACCTTTTTCAAGTTACGTTGTAATTGAGACAATTTATGGTCAACACGAAATTGGATGGACATGCCAACAAAACCAAAAAACGAAACCTTTTCTTGATAGGGACAGCTGTTGGCTTCTCATAAGTCATTGTGTTAACACCTGTCAGTGAACCAAGACAATTGACATTGTTGATTCCGCTATAAAACAATAGAAAAAAAATTTCACTGCTGCCACGCTGCCACAAGAAGGTAATTTTTATATGCAATTTGATCTTATCCATTCTTTTTATTTGTCATGTTGTTGATAATTGTTCACAACATATTGAAAATGTCACTTGTCTTTGTTGGATTCAATAATGAAAACGTACATTCCAATGATGTTAATCTCTTCTGAAAAGAAATTACAAACAACGAACCATTTGATTATCATATTGGACATTTTAACGCTTGGTGACAGCAGCATCAGTCAATAATCAAAAACACAAAAACAATTTAAAAAACGGAGAACTCTTCAACAACCACCACTAAACTCTCCATTCTCCGTTTATTCTCATCAATTACACAACAATTTGTCAGAAGTGTCAGAAGTCACTGGGTCACTAAAAAATTTCTCAACAGCTAATTGATCAATTTTTTAGCTACAACAAGAACAAAGAAACAAGATAATAGTATCAAGATTGTGTTTTTAACTCTTTGATTACTGACAGTTAAAATGTCACTCTCAGAATACGTACGTCGGGAAGATTTAAAAACACTTTATGCTCTTCCTATGAAGGAAGCAAGTAAAAAATTAGGAGTGAGTGAAAGTAGTTTGAGAAATATTTGTAGAAAACACAACATTGAACGATGGCCATGTATGTAAATTACTTTACAATAATATATTTAATACTATTTAATAATATTTAATAATAATATTTAATAATATTTAAAAATTACAAAAAATAATTGAATCGTTCCAAGATCGTAAATTTCAACAATTAGACGCTCACATTGCCTCATTGCAAAATGTCGAAGTTTCACAACAATCTCAACAACAAAAAGAAATGATTGAAAGTTTATTAAGAGCTCGATCAATTCTCGAAGATAATCCAAACATGACATGTGAAATGGCAATTCTACAAGCTAACAAACAGTTACTGGCCAATAATCCACAAAATGGATCTCAGGTTCAAGAAATGACAGCTCAAATGATGAACATGATGAATCAGAATCCATCAATGGATGATGCTTCTCCAACCATTAGTGAAAATTCATCACTTCATCATTCAATGGGTGGTGGTGTTGGTAATAATAATAATAATTTGGATAATTCTTCAAATCAAATTCAACGAAGTCCAATGCATCAGCATCATCATCATGGAACAACGTTTGTGCCAAGTTATCCAACTCATGTTACTTCACATTTGAGTGCTAGTGCTGCATTGAGTGCAATGGCTAGACGAAAGAAACATCCACAATATGTTTCGAATAATGCAGCTTCGTCTTCTATATTAGATACTTTGGATCAACAATCTAGATCTACATCCATGTTTTCAGTTCAATCCAATCCAACAATTGAAATTCAACAACCAAATAGATTTACAGATTCTGATGTCATGAATCCACAACATCATGCCTATTTGCATCATCAGACAATTCTCAATTCTCATAATCCACATATGAGAAGTGTTTCCTCTGATAATATTTTCCCATCAGCATCGAATGGAATGATTGGTGTTGGTAATATGCAAGGTAATTCTTCAATGGAAATGATAACAAATATGGGTGAGAGAAGAGGAGCTGTTTCACATAGAGATTCATTGGCTTTTGGACAGGGATTTGTGTTGGTCAATCAGGGAAGTGGTGGTTCAGTGATGGACGAATCGAATGAGTCCTCCACCACAGCAAGTGAACAACAATCAGTTTATTATAATGGTGAACTATCTCCACAACAGCAATACTCTCAACAACAACACAATAATGGAATGATGTTTAATGAGTATCAATTATTGGATCCAAATGTGAAATCACGACACATTTCTCTATTGAAACAACAGAGAAGACCACCTCCACAACCACCACGTTCACTCTCCACTTCAACTGCACTCTCACCAATGCCCAATTTAAATTCCTCTCCTCAACTGCAGCCACAATATCAATCACCAAATGCCTCCAATAATAGAAGTAGCAATTCCATGATGCAAGATCTTCAAATTAATAATAGAAAATTCACATCGACAACGACACCACCTTCCTCCTCACACAATTCATCACTGAGAAGTAGTTCAGCATCTCACACAGATTTTGATTCACCTTTTATAGATATTATGCAATCAGATCAGGAGGGAGATATTTCAATGGGTGATAATTTCCTTTCTTCACCTTCAATTCTAATTAATAATAGATTATCTGATGATCAAAATTCAACTCATCCTTTCCAAAGAACAAGTCAATCTTCACTAACGAGTCAAGTTTCATTGAATAGATATTTACTAGATTCACCTAATCATCACGATTTTGATTTTGTTTCAAAACAAGAACAACGTGAGAATAATCATAGAATCTTGGAAGCTTTGAGAATAACACCAACTACACCATCAAATAATTCTGTTGGTAGTAGTGTTAATAATCTGTATGATCCTCTATTTGATAGTAATGCCTTCTTAAGAGGAAGAACAAGTTCAGTTTCGTCTACTTTCTCAGATGGTATGTCAACTCCAATGACTCCAACAGGAGAAGGTGGAAGATTGTCAAATGCATCAAATTTAAGTTTAAGACTTTCACACGGCATGAATTCTGATTTTAATTTTTCCAATAACAATTATTAAGAGTTTTTAATTTTGCTAATTTGTGCGGTTTGATTAATATTTGAGTTATTTTAATATTATTGTAATTTTACACACACAACAATAAAGTTTTACAAATGTACAATTTATTTAAAAATCCACAACTTTGAATTGTGTATTAAACTTCAGTCTTGAGGTGAACAATTTCAGGACCAACTTCATCATATTGTTCCCTTGTAACACACAAATCAAAGAATGAAGACAAGGTAGCTCTAATACTGCCACCAATCCATGCCAATTGATCTCTCCTATCTCCTGCAACAATACGAATATCCATTGAAGATGGTGCCTTCTCTGTCATTTCCTTTGTTAATCTCTCTTCAATACCTTCAAATTTTGTTGAACCACCAGCAAGAACTGAATTACGATACAATGTCTTACGAACGTCGATTGGTGAACGACTAATTGATTCAAACAAGAGTTCATGTATACCAGATGATTCCATACCAATAAGTTGAGGATAGAAGAGAACTTCTGGTGCACGGAATCTTTCAGAATTGATTGTAATTGCTGTACCATCAGGTAAGTTGTAAACTTGATCCAAAGATGAACTTTCCTCTGCTTTTTCCATTTCTTCATCATAATCCAATGGAATGTAACAGTGTTTTTCTTTCATTTGTCTAATAATTTCATGTTCGGCTGTTGTGTGGAAATTGTGGTCCTTTTCACTTAACATTTTCATTAAATATTCTGTCACATCTCTTCCAGCAATATTCAATCGGAGTACAGCATGAAGCATGACTGTATTTTAATGAAAATCCAAGAAATTATAATCGAAACAATTATTCGAAACACAAAATCTATCAAAGGACATTATACAAATAAAAACATACCAAGACCATCATACATTGGAACACAATGAGCTGCACCATCACCAACATCCAAACAAACACCTGTCAATCTACCAGAAGCCATCAATGACAATGCTCCTTGAATACCCAAATAAAAAGCAGGAACTTCAAACTTTTCCATTAAAATTTCACAAACTTTCTCACGTTGTACTTTTGGTGTGAAAGGAGCATCTGTTAATAAAAGTGGTTGTTCCTCAGGTGCTAATTTTAATTCATTGTAATAGGTGTGAGCAATAACAGATTCCCAGTGATCATAATTTTCAATTGTTCCGTGTACCATTGGATAGTCTAATTGCAAAACACCTCTCTTGGATTGAGCAGAATGTCCAACATAATGTTCTCGGTTGACTGTACCAACAAGTACTGAAGTATCTTTTGCTTTACCAATCATATTGGAAAATACGGCACTTGGTGATTGATAACCAGCAACACCAGCTTTGATGAAGCCAGATCCATTATCGATAACTACTGTTGGAAGTTGTGATGCCATTTTTTTTGATGGAAACTTTTGACAGGTGTTATTATTTAGATGATGAGTGAAATCCATAAATATTAAAACAATGAAGAAATAAAATTGAAAAGATTTTGAGAAAATAAAATCTTAATCAATTCTTCCAATACACAATAGTTAAATTAATTATTCAAATAAATTTTAAATTTGAATAATTTATAATAATAATTTAAATATTTACAAATTTAGTATTTCCATGTTCTGTTACAATCTTAATCAAAGATCCAGATACAGGTTTTTCTCTACATTCAATCCAATCCACAATCTTTTCAGAAACATGATCCAAAGGAGTCCAATTTGAAAAATCAGCATTTGGCATTGCATTTCTATTAGCTTCAGTATCCAACATTGAAGGAACAATTCCAACAGTTGTTGTTCCTCTAGGAAGTCCACATTGTTCAGGATCTGCAAAGCTCTTCACCAAATGATGAACAGAACTCTTAGCCACACCATAAGCCAATGTCACTGGAGTTTTCCCTAAAGCTCCTGCAGCTCCAGGCAAAACCAACAAACCATCCTCTCTCATATATTTACTAGCACACAACGCACTCAACAAGGACGATTGAACACTCACTTGCCACATCAAATCAACTTGTGAGAGGAGAGTTGGTTCCTTCAAATCTCCCATCATGAAACCACCTGCAACATTAATCACAGCCTCCAAATTATTATTATTAGCTGGATTTAGAGAGGAGAGAATTCAAGGCTTTCTCAATGGTTTGTTGACTCAATTCACCCGAATGATTATTTGCGTTTGATGATGATGCTGAAGGTAATACAATGGAATGATCAGCTTCGGAATTTTCCTTCAAATCAATGGAAATGGCAATGAAATTCTTCTTTTTTAAAGAACGGATGAGATTTTTTCCGAGAGCACCAAAGCCACCAAAGACTGCTACGTGTTTAGACATTTTTTTTTAATAATATTTAAACTATTTAAATAATATTTAATATATTTAAAAAAAATTGTAAAGTGTATTAAACAACAAAAATATCCAACACCAAAAAAAAATGAATCAAGAGTTGGGAGCAGGTCAACAAATCGTCGTTGCCTCTAACAGTAGTAGCACAGTGGTTCATAATGATTCTTCATTGTCGTCATCTTTGATCAGAATAAATAATTCCGATGATGATGAACTCGCACCAATCATGACTAACTTTAACCGATCCAATACAACAGCAACAGTTTCATCTAATATAATTTCCCGATCGCCACCATCAAAGGATGAGGAGATGGCTACTAGTGGTGGTGGTAGTAATTTAAATCAACAACTCCCATTAATATTAAATCATGAAAGTGATATTTTGGGAGAAAAATCGGTGAAGGCTTTTTCTGGTGTTTGGATGAGAAGGCTTGGAAGTATCTTTTCTTTCATTCCGAGAATATTTAGAAATTTATTGAGAATGTGTGGAATTAAAGCGAAATATTTAACATTTTTGGACAAGTTGCCTTCAAGGAATTTGATTATTTCTGTATTGGCAGTTATTGGATTGATATTTATGATTTTAATTGCTGTACAATCTAACAAACCAAAGGGTTTGATTCCATTGGTTAGAGATGATAATAGACTTGTTGGGTATATTGTAAAAACAAATACCAATCCATCCTTTTATATGAGAGTGTTGAATCCTGCTAGAGATACTGGATTTTCAAAGCACATGGTTAGATATGGCAATTGGGAATCAGCAACTGAAGAACTATTCAAAATGTTAATTGAGAAATTCCAAAGAGATTCAAAAATAACTGGAAAGAAGTGTCTCATTGTTGATGTTGGTTCTCATTTGGGATTTTATTCAATTTATCCTGCACTGTTGGGTTGTAAAGTTATCTCGTATGAAATTCAACCAAAAATGGTGGAAGTGATTAAGAGTTCTGCATCTCTAAATGATGTTGACAAATTGGTTTCAGTTAAAAACTTGGCTGTTTTCAGAGATGCCAGAAAATATATTCAATACTCAACCAAGTACAATGCTGATCTTACAAATGTTGTTACTGCAGATGAGGAAACTGAAAGTAAGACTCCAGGATCTGTTGAAACCATATCACTCGATGAGGACTACTTCTCGGCAGATATTCATATCAATTTGCTAAAGGTTGATATTTCTAAAAAGTCAGATGATGTCTTTGCTGGTGGTTTGAGAACACTCTCCTTTATGATTGATCACATTATTACTGAATTGACAGCAGACGATGCTGTGCCCATTCGTTACATTTTGAATGCATACTATGATAAGGTTGTTGTTTTAGAAGATAGCTCAGGAATTTCAGGACTCTTTTTCAAATCATCCACACCAAAAATCTTTAGAGGAAGCGAAGTTTCAGTTGAAGCAATCACTGCATACTTGGCCAAGACTGGTAAGAGAAATGTTTGGTTCTCCAGAAAGAAGAACACAATCCCATACTATGGTAAATAATATTACAAGATTATTTTATAAATACTTTCTTTGACTCTTTCCACATCTCTGACAAATCTTTTCCTCGAATTAGAGAATTACTTGCTCTCAAGTAGAAATGATCTTGATGTTCAAATTGACTGGCACTAGTTAAAATACGTTCCTTAAATTGATTTTCCAATTGTGGAGACTCTGGAATAGATATAGTATTTTCAAAAAAGGAGGTAATGAGATAATTCTGCAGGGAATTGAGGATTGAAAGAATAATTGGAGATTTGAGGTTCTTGGCTATGTGGAAGAAATCTTTCCCAACGCTTGCATTCATTTCTTGAAGATTCTTATCGTTAGTGTTGAGAATACCTTGCATGTAAATACTCAAGTTCAACAACTTGGACATGTACTCCAAGAAGAGAACTTCCAAATCTTGCTCCCCTTCTGATGTGATAACGCTCAAGAAGGTCAAACATTCTGTCAAGTTTCTTGGAATAAAGCATTCCATTTCTGCCATAACATAGTTGGTATTCAGTGACATGGAGCTGTACTGACTAGTGAGAATGGCAAAGAATTTCGTGTTAAACTTTTCAAATTGATCGACAAGTTTTGCTGATTTCGTAGTGATTCCAGAGAGGTAAGTAAGCTTGAGAAAGTTGAACACCAATTTCTTGAACTGTACACTATTGGTTGTACATCCCTCAATCTGTTGATGGATTTCAATGAGCAACAAGTATCTGGTAAATAGAGCATGTTGTAACTCCAATACACTTTGAATATCAACATTCTCTGATAACTTGTTCACAATTAGATCAAGCATATTCTTAATGACGAGTTGATTGTAGGATGAATTCACACTCTTGAATTCGAGGATGGTATTAAAGAAGGAACTCCACAGATTACAAATTATAGTCTGTATGTCATTGGTGATAATATTGAAATCCTTCTTATTTTGCTTTACACTCTTCTCACTTTCTAATAATAAGATTGGTCTATTATCATCATGTGGGGAGAGCTTGAATAGACAATAGTATTTCAAAAAGAGAGACTCTAGGGAAAAATACATGCCGTGGTAGTATGGTTCCATAATTCTATTGAGAATAGAGAGGAGAACCTTTTCTCTAATGAAAGGCATCAATTGATTCTTACTCTTATTACCATCCATACACTCAACCAAAAAGCTAACGAATTCATCTGATAAAAAGAGACGAAACATTTCGTTAAAGCTATCATCTGGACAGTTTTCCTTAATATCATTAGGGAGGTTTGCTTCAGGGAAGATCATGTGTAAAATGTAATTTCTTCTATCAATTTCCTTTCTAGAGAAGAGGGCTGGGATTACTGGTGTGGTAGTTGCTGCATTGGAGCTGCTGGAGGCAATTATCTGAGAGTTAGACTGCAATAGATTGGTCCTTTCCAAATCTACTACTGTTGCAGAGGGAACCTCATTCTTCTTAGAGACCTTTCTTTTCTTTGCTTCCTCCTTACTTTGAGCTTCCTCTTCAGCTGTCTTCATCTTTGGTCCTCTCTTCTTAGGTTCATAATAAACACATTCATCAGGTATTCCTCTCTTTTTACATTCACCACAAGGCATTCCCTTATCTTTAAAATGGGGTCTGTAAATTTTACTGTAATCTCTACAAATACTTACCACTAAATTAGAGTCAATTACAACCTGCCTAATACATTGAAAATACTTACCATTTACGATGTGATTTTCTACAATTTATACATGCCATTCTGGCTTGACTTGGATCTGTGGGTGGTTGTTGGGTTTGGGAGTTATTGGATGAAGGGGCTTGTTGGACGGATGAGGAGGCCACTATTACTGATTGTGTTGTCTTTACCAACTCTTGGTCAGCAATACAGTGAGAAACCTTAACTGGTGTCGTGGTAGGACTGTTTGTGACAATAATTCCAGTTGTTGTGGAAGAGGAAGGATTAGATGATGGTTGCATTTCAGGACTTGTCCCAATTGTTACTTGCTGTGGAGTCTTTCTGTATCCAGATATATAGCCAGGAATAAAACTATCCATAGGAACAATATCAATACTTGGTTGAATAATGGCTTGATAAAGAGGAGGTGCATATCTTACAATAGTTTGTGGTTGTGCTGACAAGGCTTCCATCAAATCATGACCACCATTACTATGAAGAGGTGGTTTTGGTTCCATATTATTACCACGCCACGATTGTGGATGTTGTTGTTGATAGTGATGAATGTGATCCACCATGACTTTTGAAGATGGTTGTTGTGAAGTCAAATTATGAATGGAAGGAAGACTGAATCCTTGTTGATGTTGATGTGGAGGTGTCTGGGAAGGAATAAAAGAGGAAGAATTGCTCTTCATAGCAAGAGGCAAACAGGAAGGGTAAATTGATGAACTCGGATTCATCATGATTAAATTATTGTGCTGATGATGATGATTATTACCCACATGATGATGGTGACCACTAGAAGCAATATGAGAATTATTTGTGGTATTATTGGTGGAGGAGGAATTGGTTGGTGTGGATGGAGTGGATGGCGATTGTTGTTGTTGCCCAGGCTCCACTTTCACCATCACAGCTAAAGGTTTCATAGTTGTTTGTCCCTTCTTGTGTTTTTTGTGGTGTCTTTTTGCTGATGAACGCAGAAATCGCACAGAAAGGTTAAAAACGTTTTTTTTTGCGTAAAAATTTTTTTAAGGATTTTATCGTTGCGGGTAAACGAGAAAACTCCGAGTTGAAAGGTCATCATTCTCTCAAGAAATTGCAATTCTGTTTCAATCAATGGGACAACACAAGTGGGTAATGCAATATATTACTCCATTTCTCCTCAACTTCCTTGCAATACAAAGTCTAACTTCTGGTTGATTTTATTTGTGAGAAAGAGAAAAAAACATTGAGGGAAAATGCATCATCCAATATTGTTAAACCTTCTCACATTTTCCACTGCACCTGCTCTTTATCCATCCAGTAACTGCAGTTTACAGTACAGTTGGAAAATTGTTTGGATACGGCTCCACCTTATCTGAATAGCAAACCCTTTTCTCAAAGATCCAAAGGGCAGTTTCTCAATGAACCAATGAGATGCAGTAAGTAGTGGGAGCTTTGTAAACTTGAAAAGATCAATTGCGTAAATCATTTATTTGAATAAATTTTCAAATCTGCCAAATAACCAAAGAAGGGAGCTGTTTCTTACAAATTTTCTTTGAATTCTTGTATAATTCTCCAAGTGAATTCTAATATAATGGAAATTTCCAATAGGAATTGTTGCATTAATGAGATGGTTCCACAACAATAAACTTCTCCTTTGGTTGCATACCATCTCACCAAATAATTTCTCGAATCTATGAAGGATTGTGAAGTCAATACTTACAAGTGATCAATCACACCATATTCTAAAAAAATTAAATATTATTAAAATTTTATTAAAAAATGAGCAAACGAAACAGACAAGATTTTGAAAATCATCAATTCATTAATTCGGAGGAAATATTCACTAACAATTTTAATAATAATAATATGGAAGAGAAATCAAAAAAAATTGTAAAACTGGAACAAGAAATATTTTCAGATGACATTTGTTTTGAAATAATTTCCATGATTGATGATTCATGGTTTATTTTAAATAATTGTACTTTAATTTCAAAACAATTCTTTAATGTGATCAAGGAACGTTCAAAACTTGCTATTCAATTTAAAAAAAAATTTACAGAGAAACGAGTTCAATTATTTTTGAAAACTCAATTCATGAATAGTATTGTTAATGTTACATTTTCTAGTTGGTTGCTTGATTCTTTTGAAGAAGCCAAATTCATAACTGAAATGAAACAGTTGATATCACTTAATATTCGTGGCTATGATTTTGGTGATGAAGAAGCCAAATTGATAAGTGAAATGAAACAATTAACATCACTTGATATTTCTTACAATCAAATTGGTGATGAAGGAGCCAAATATCTAAGTGAAATGAAACAGTTGATATCACTTAATATTCGTGGCAATCGAATTGGTGATGAAGGAGTCAAATATATAAGTGAAATGAAACAATTAACATCACTTACATATAAGGGATTATATTGAGTGAAGTTTAAGCTTTCCAGATCCCCAGTTTGAAATTTTTCTCTCATCCCTTAGTAACACTTTGAAAAGTTATAGAATAATATTCATTTCTTCAAACAACACGGATCAATCTTCAGTACTGAGATTGAAAGTATGAAAGAATGACTGTTGTTTCGGTTTCCTTGAGTTTAATCGAGTAAGGAAATTTCTGCTTCCGAAGATAAAAATAACATTCCGTATGAAATTCCGTGAGTTCCTTTCCTTCAATCACACATTAAGAATTTGTGAGTTCTTCACTCAATCGACAAAAATAACTGCGCTTGTTGTGAGTACAAAGTATTGAGCACGTTCAAATTATTTTCCTTATCAAAACTATAAATAGATCATGTGAAAAATGTGAAAGCAAAACAATAAGAAAAAAAATTAATTAACATCAACAACTGGTCTACTTGTCAAATTTTGTGTACAAAATCTTAAGAAGTGTAAATAATACTACTAAATACCAATCAACCAAATCAAAATGAGTTTCATCCACATTCCAATTTCTACTGCAGCTGCTTTCCAACCTCAACAACAAACTATTCCAAGACAAGTTTCTTATCCAAATTTGAGAGAAACTTCATCATTCAATGATTATCCAACTCAAAATTTTGTAAATAATGTAACAAAAATTCCACTTTTGATTTCTCCACAAACAAGACAAGTTGAAAGAAATGTTCCATTCAAAATTTATGTTTTTGAAGGAAAATTCAATCACAATTTGAATAGTGCTTCAAATGTTTTGAGATTTGAAATTGATTCTAATCATGAGAGAAGTTTCGAATTATTTGATAGAGTTTTGAGAGAACATTCCATTGATAGGAGACAATTTGAATTACATTATGTTGATGATGAAGATGATTTGGTTTCATTGACAAATTTAAGAGATTTCCAATTCATGTTGAAATTAATGAAAGGAAAATTGACCAAGATTATTTGTGAAAAGAAATCAATCAAATCACCACAACAACAAGCATATCCTCAACAATATCCTCAACAACATATTGCCTTCAATAGAATTTCACAAGCATCACCATCAGCATGTTTATTTGCTCAATTCCAACAACCAAGAGTTGAATCTCAAAAGAAACAAGCTCCTCAACAACAAGCAGAACAATCTTGGGAAAATATGATTGAAAAGGCATTTAGATCTGCCTTCTCAAATGAAAATCCAACTCAACCAAAACAATCATTCTTTCCACAAGTTGCTGCTTCCACTCCTCAAACAAAACCAAAAGTGAGAAGAATTGAAATTAGTCTTTCTGATCTTTTGGGAATTCCAACAAGTAATGAAGCTGCTCAACAACCAGAAAAGGAAGAAACAAAGAAAGAAAAGAAGGAAAGTACTTCTACACCTCAATCATTCAGAGAATTATTACTTCAAAGAATGAAGGAAATGAGAGAAGAAGAGCAAAAGAGTCAACAATCACAAACTCAAGAAAAGAAACAAGAAGAGAAACCTATTCAAACTTCTCCAACTGCAATTGTTGTTTCTCAACCAAAAGAAGAAGAAGAACCAATTCAAGAACAAGTGAAGGAGAAAGAAATTGTTACTGAAAATACTCCAACTATGACCACTTCATTGCTTCTCTCCAATTTAATTGAAGATCAACCAACTGAATCAGTCGTTGAACAAGTTCAACAAGAAACAATTGCTTCTCAAGAAGAAACAGAATCAGTGAATCAACAACAAGCTCAACAAGTTTCCAATCAAAATCTTGAAAATCAAGATCCAATTATTGAATCAATTCCTGAAGAAGAAGAAGAACCAGTTGTGAAAACAACCATTCCACACAAATATCAAAAAGAATTGAAATTATTGAATCAAATGGGTTTCACCAATCATATTCTTAATATTACCTTATTGAATAGGTATGAAGGTGATATTCAAAGAGCCATCTCTGATCTCATTCATCAATAATCATCAAGTTTAAATAAATACTACCTTGTAAATATCTAAATATTAAATAATTCGCTTTACAAGTAGTTGCCTGTTAAGCCATGCATGTTAACCGTACTACAGAATGTAGTTATACTTGTAGTAGGAGGAAGATCATCTGTTGTTACAAGAGATTCACAAATCAAGTTCTTTATGTAATTGCCATCATTAATTTCTGTTTTTAGTATAATCTACAAATGTTTAATATTTTGATCTATGTCCTTCAATACATCTGTAACATTAGAATACTGCAAATTTTTCATCTTCTTAATAATATTTGATAAAGGAAGAACATCAAATTCTACAAAGTGAATGTCGCTCCAAACTTTCTCGTCCACCTTTGAATAAAACTCAAAAGTTTCTTAACAACAATTGACAAGGCGTAAATGTCATGAAGAACTGTGAATCTTAATTTTGGGTCTGAAGGAGAGTAATCTTCCTTGTAGTTCACAATGCTGGACTGATTCAATAATGTTGAATTGTTAAAATCTATCAAAACTGCTTCAAAATCAGTTTCATTTTTCATTCTGAACATGATATTATGGACACTTATATCACAATGAACAACTCCATGTTCATGTAGACTTTCCAGAGCCCTAAGACATCCAATAACGGACTTTAAAATTATGTTTCTAACTATTACATTGAGATTTTCATAGATTTCGAGTTTTTGTAAAATATCTGTCAACTCTTCATAATTAAGCAACTTCTCTTGAACAGTTATATACAATAGATTATTGACCGGACCATAATAATAAATTTCACAAATATTAGTATTTTTTAAACCTTGAATAAGATTCATAACTTGAATATTTTCAAACTTTTTGTTTGTGATCTTGAAATAAGATTCCTTAGTATTGTATTTCATTGTACCAAGCATTGTCTTTTGTTTTACAAGTTCAATATTATAATTTGATCCAATATTCAAGTTATGAATCTCAGATGATAACATTATAACATTATTCTTGTTATCACCGTCATAAGCATCGTTGTCGTTATTATTGTTATCACTGTCATCATTACCATAATTGTCTTCACAATCAGTATCATTGTCGGTGTCATTATCATTGTGAAATTGCATTGAATTTAGTTGTTCTACAGTTCGTATAGAAACCTTCAATACGTAATATACAACTTTTTTTGTAGTATTCCTTAATTTGAAAACTAGTTCTATTTCGTTAGTGGGATGGACGCAATTTTTTCCCCTTAATAATACTTGCAAAGGAAATCCTTCTGTTTGGGCATTGCTTTTTAAAAACACACATGTCCTATTTTTTTCCTTTTTGAAAATATTATCTGCGTAACTATTCATAGTATATTTTGTAATGTTTTTGTGGGGAGGTAAGGGAAACGATAATAATTTTGAAAATACATCTAGAGCTTCATTGTAAGAGTTAAATTCTAATATGTCAAGTGAAGCGAATCGGTCATAATTGAGATTGAAAAATGGTAAGTCACAAAGTCCTGGATGGAACACAGACTTTGATGATGTTGGAGTGTCAGCAATCTTTTCTACAAACGACAAACTCTTTTGATTGAACTGAGAGTTTAGAAACCTTCTTCCAATCTGAAGAATAATAGACATTACTTTTGAAATACCGTATGGAGTAGTGAAATCATACCATATGCTAGTATATAATCTATAACTATAACTAAAATATTGTTTGTTATCAACTTTAGGAATCAAAAATAATCTCAAAAAGCAAATTTTGGTACCGGCTGATAGAGACCCAAAAACGTCCAACTCAGTGTCAGAACTTAGCAATTTTCTTTCAAACAGTTCAAAGAGCAACTCTGTTAATGATCCTCTCATTAACAACACCACTTTCTTAAAGTCAGGATGATCATACACACTATCTATTTCAATAGGTTTCCATTCTCCAAAAAAGAAACGCCAATCAAAATTTTCTAAAACATTAACTCTTGTCAATATTGTGCCAGGCATGAAGTATTTTGTTGTGAAATATCGAGTCAGTCTGGATTGGTTGGATAGTGCATCTTCGTTTACATTTCTTAAAAAGAATTTGAAAATGTTCGTTGAAATACTTACGCTCTCGATGAAATCTGTCCATTAGAAATGCTTGTAAGGTACGAAAATATGATTGAGAGTGATTCGTGATAGTTAATTTCATAATTTTGCTCAAAATGCAAGTTTCTTAAAGCAAAGAGAGGAGATAACAACGGATTTGGATTTCCCTTATTGTAACTTGAAAAAAGATCATTAGAGAACTCTATAGGACAATTCACGTTTCCTATTTTGTCTTTTTGAAGTACCTGAGTCATAGTTTGCTCCAAAAAACTCATTTCTTTGTTGTCGTCAAAACCAATACCGCTCTTTTTAAGAGAAATTAAGCCTTTAGCCAAGAAGGATTTAGTACTTGTGTTTAGATGTGGAGCAACTTGTTGATTATCTGCTTCTATCTGATCTACATGAATTTCATTTACATTTCCATATACATGTTTCATAATCAAATCATTCTTTGTATTATGTGAAGCCTCAACATAAGCACTCTCCCATGCAGATTGGAGGTGATTTGGTATTTTGTTTGAAAAGATATCAGAACCAAATGTATGTAAACTAACCACTGAAAGCACATCAAATGAATCTCCCAATACATCACCATTTAAAAGATTAGCCTTTTGAGTGTTCTTATTAAACATTCCAGGCCAATACAGCATTCCATTTGTTCCGAATATCAAAACCCAAACACCTTCTCCATCTTCAAAATCTTGATCTATTAAATTAAGTTTTCTTTTCTCTCCTCTGCTTTCTGTCTAGGTTTATTCAAAGATCAAATACCTACTTGAAAAATGCACTAAGGGAAACTTCCTTAAATCTGTTCATTTTTTTTTATTTTGATACGAAAAGAAAAGGTGGTAAAATGCCCTATGTTTTATCTAGTCATCATCATCTTTAAAATGTCACATAAATCACTTTGTTACAAAGTCTCCAATTACATGTTAACCTTACTCTCCTCCCCAAATCCAAGTAACACTCTTAAAAAACCTTCAAATCTACAAAACCATGAGCTTTTGTTCTTCCTTTGAACTCTTTAAAAAAATTCAACAAAAATGCAAATCAACGGCTAATTAGGAAGCCTTGATGATTTTGTATTGAAAAGGCTGGAAAATCAAACGAACAAAAAAATGAGTCAACTTCAACCCTCGACGATTCTCTCATCGTTTAATAGTAAACAACAGCAAGGTGGTGTTGGAGGATTGGGATTTAAATCATCTGGATTTCAGGGATTGTCTCTTCCGTTACATTCTATATCTTCATTAAATTCTGTAAATAATCCACCGTCGACACCTTCACCTATCAATTCAGCTGCCTCCGGTGGCAGTGAAAGTGGTAGGGGAAGAGAACGAGGAAATCATCATCGGCAATCTTCATCGCATGATATGGATCAGACACAATTACACTCATCAAGATCAAGAACATCATCGATAGCTTCTGGATTTAATACACCTACTGCTGAATTGTCAGAATTTAGTTTTGGATTTACAGAGAGGACATCATATCAACATGATGGTAAAAAGAGAGACTTGTCAGAGATGGTGTCCAACTTGTCAAGTGATCGTCAACAGGGTGGTGATGAGTTGGAAATTTTGAAAAGACAACTTGAATCAACAAAGGAAAGATACGATACATTTAGAAAAGGTTTTATCTTGGAGAGAAATCAGAGATTAAAAACTGTTCACGATTTGTACAAATTCACAAAGAAGATGGAAATATTACAAAAACAATTATTCGAGAAAGATACAGCCCTCTTGGCTCTCTCAACGGAAAATGTAAAATTAAAAGAGGATATTTATGAAATTCACAAGTTTGGAGTAAATTCAACAATGGCACAACCATCAAACAATAATCAACCAACAGCTGCAGCAAGCAACAAGGACAATTCCGATAGTGGTTCTAAAAGAAGATTATTCTTTTCGAGAAAGAGAAACATGTCCACAGACTCTGCTGACAACTCGAAAAATTCACTGTCAAACGAGAACTTAAAACAAGTTGTCAATATGGATTTCACCGACAAGACAGAGTCTCCAAAGGCTGGTAATAACGAAAGCAAGCTGGATGCTATTCAAGAAATGAAACACTGGAGAGAATTATATAGAAAGACTCAGAACGACCTTAAAAAACGAGAAAAGCAAATAAGTGACCTCCAATCACAGGAACATGTACAAAAGCAAATGTTGCAAGAAATTCAGGCCAAATATCGTAATACTGAGGGAAATTTGTCAAAGAGTCAAGAGGCTATTACTAGTTTAAAGTCACAATTATTCGAGAGAGAGCAATCACATTTAAACCTTTCAAAGGAAAATGATTTATTACAACAACAGTTGTCAGAGTATCAAAAATGGAAGGAAGACTTTTTGGAAGATTACCAAAACATGGAACAAACAGTGGCAAACTTGAAGGAAGAAATTGAACGTAAAGATTTAGATCTATTAAGATTAACAGAGAAATGTATGGAACTAAAGGAACAACTCAACTCTGTGAGGTTGCAAATTAGAAAATTCAGATGTAAGCGTATTTCACAAGGAGGTCTTGCCAACAAGTTGATGGGATCTGTAACAAAAAGCGATGCAGCCATTGTACTTCACAAAAATCCACAAAATGGTATTCTTTGGATTGATATCAAAATACGGACAGGAAAAGATCAAGACAGATCAGATTTCAATGCCATTAATTCGAATATTGTTCAATCTCACCCTCTCACTTCTATTACAGATATAGTACCGGACGTTCACGACCCAAAACGTTTTTCAATTTATTTCTTTTCTAATGCCACAGCCAGTCCTTCCAAGAATACTCCAAATTCTGTAATTGAAACATTTGAATGCACCAGTGAAAGTGAAAGAACTGAAACCATGCAAAGTATTCAAGAGTTTATTAGCATTGCAGCACAAGCATTCGATTAAATTATTTCATACATTATCAATTACTTGTCTTGATTGATAAAATCCTTCTTTTGGATGATTTCTATGCCATTTTTTATGATTTGTATCGGTAGACTGGGTTTTTCGAGAAGAGTATTTTTCTGATTGTATGTTAGTCTGTTTCTTTTCATATACCCATTCCCATTTCTCTAATCCCTTTGTTGTACAATATTTTTGGAAAGTAAACTCCCAAACATTGTTTGATTTACATTTAGTTCTGAATTTGCTAGCACTGTACTTAGGTGATTTTTCCGAACTCTTCTCTACACGAGGTGTTTGTGATCTCACTTTTCCGTATGGAACTAGACTCATCAAAATGTTTTTTTTTAATTTTATTGTAAACTCTGAATGTTTAGTGATGTGTGCTCTAAAATTATCAATAAAGGTAACTGGCAGTGTTGTATTTTCTATTCTTCAAATAGCAACAATTCAATGAAAATGAAAAAGGCACCCACAAGAATGACAAGTGGTGTGATTATCAATCCAAATTTGAGGAATGTGAAATAATTAATCTGCTTACTAGTAATACCATTCTGTCTCAAAATACTCAAAAACATAATACCTGCCAATGCACCGAATAAGGTAATGTTGGCTCCAAAGTTAGATCCCAAAATGAGACTAAACATTGATCCTTTTCTTTGCAATGGAGAAAGAATCTTGTACTCCTTACTTGAAATTACACTTGTGAAAAGAATAGTCATTGGTTGATTGTTAATAATGTTACAAGAGATGGCTGACAGGTAGCTCATTACCAAGGTAGTAACTGCAAGAGAACGAACTGTAGGTTTCTGATCTAGTGGATTATTAGCACCAGAAAGAGAAACAATCAATTCAGCTGCTCTCTTAGCCAATAGATCTGTCCATCCATAATAATTCAACAATTGCACGATTGTAAACATGGACAAGATGAATGGAATAATTTTCCATGGCAATCTCTTCAATACTTTCCAAATACTACTCTCAAATACTTTCACTGTTCCTCTTCTCTTCTTGATAAATTGAATTGTATCCATTATAACATCGTAGATGAGTGAAAATCCAAAGAATGAGCAAGTGACAATCCATGGAGGGATGGTGTCTCCAGATTCTCCAAACTTGATCAGGGAAGTCACACTCAATGTCACTAAACACAACAATAAGGCAATTGATTTGATAATGGCTGCCTTGATGTCCAAATCATTTTTCTTTTCTTCTCCTTGACCTATTAAACTTGATTTGTCTTCATTGGATAATTGTTGAGCTACCACTTGATCTATAGTTGGATTTTCCTCCTCAATCGAAGTAGTATTCTCTTCTGGAACTGTTTCTTTCCCAGCAGGTTCTGAGTTTTGACTTTCAACTTCAATCTTTGTTGGAATTGAACTGAAAAAGTAAACATAAAGCAATACGAAACAAACAATTCCAGAAGCAGTTGCTGGAATAGCCATCCATTTAGAGTAAACCAAAAAATTCAAATCATATGCCAAGGCCACAATGACATTTGTTGGATTTCCAATTTCCAAAATTACACTCCAAACATTTGCCAAAAAGAATTGAGAAATCACATACGGAGTTGGATCCAAATTCTTACTACACGAACACATATAACAGCAAATAGGTGTCAATGTCAAAATCACAATATCATTCGATGTAAAAATTGTCAAAACACTTGCAAATAATGAAAACCAAATAAACAGTTTGTGTCCATTATAATTTGATTTTTTGATAATCCAATTGGCAATAAAACTGAATAATCCAGTAATATCCAATGAAACACAAACATATGACAATGACATGAACAATAACAAGATACTGTATGGTTGCAAATGTTGTCCAGGAGCTCCAATTAACCCAATTTTCATATTATCCCAATCCAATGTTCCACTAATTAATAAAACAATAAATGCAATAATCGAAGCCAAACTCAAATCCAAATCAACATGATAGAATTTTGATTGGGAAAGAAGAGATGTGAAGGAATGAGTAGGTCCACTACTGTTAGCAATGGTTCTGTTTGTTGTTGATTCCTCTACTTCTTCTTCCTGTTGAATATTAGTATTATTATTATTGGAAGAGGGTTCTCTTTTCACATATCGATACCATGTCTTGATGGTTGAAAGAGTTGGGAATATCGGAATGGAAGGAGAGGCAATAATAAATATAATATCAATGATGAAAACGATTAGACAAAACCATGAGTGGAATATATAGGTTGGATTGTTATGGTCATTATCATCACTGCTTGTATGATCACTGGTTTGTGATGTAGTGATGGTGGTTAGAAATTCACTTCCAATTATTGGTGAAAGCAAAGTTTGTTGGTGTGAAAACATTTTTTTGTAAAATGATTATTTAAAATATAAAGAAATATATTGGTTGAGTAGAATTTAAACATGTTTATTCGTCGTCTTGCTCATCGTCTTCTTGTGTTGAGGTACTTGATTGTTTGGCGAATTTCTTTGCCTTCTTCTTTTCCTTTTTAGATTGTTTCTTATTGGAGGAGGTTTGGACTAATTCTTCATCTGAATCATTATTTACATTGGATGATGGTTCTTGATCTTCATCTGAATGAGAAGAGGCCTTCTTATTGGATGTTGGTGCTTTCTTAGCAGCTGTCTTTTTTGGTTTCTCTTCCTCTTCATCGTCTTCAATGGTGGCAGCAGCTTCATCATCAGAATCATCTTGTTGAGTTTGCTTCTTCTTGGCCTTCTTCTTTTCCTTTTTGGATTGTTTCTTGTTGGAACTTGAGATTAATTGCTCTTCGTCACTTTCATCCTTAGTAGTGGTGGTTTTTTCTGGCTTTTCATCATCACTTTCATTCTTGTTGGACTTTTTGTTCTTTTTGGTTGGTTTCTTCTTGGAATCTTCAGACTTTTTCTTGCTCTTCTTTGATGTTTCCTCTTCTTCCTCATTGTCAGAATTTTCCACTGTAGAATGGTGAATTGGTTTCTTTTCAGATTCATCTTGCTTATCATCCAATTCATCAATGGTTGTATCACCTTCCTCAGAGACAGTTGTATCCAAAACTTGAACTTCTCCATCTTCTTCATCAACAATATCAAAAATGTGACGATAGAGACCTGGATCAATTCTACAAATAATGTTTGCAGTTTCAGTCTCTGGTGAATAATCGTCTTGTTCAAATTTAACTTGTTCTTCTTCCTTATTGGCAGTCTTGAAGAGTTGTCTCAATTTTTTAATATTTTCCTTGCCACTTAGTGTCAACTTTACACGCATATGGGCCTTTTCAATTGGAATTTTCCTCTTTAACTTTGAGATGGCCTCCAAAGCTTGTTGTTTAGTACTCTTGCTTGGTTTTACAGAAAAGTGAATTTGTTCTTTCAGAGCTCTTTCAATAACTCCTCCAGGATATGGTCTTTGTGTATCAGGATTTATACACTTATTCGTAATAATTGTAACTATATCCTTAAACATTGATTCGTACATTTCCTCTCTTTCCTTAGTACTCACTTGTAATTCACCATCTTGTAAAATCTTTTTACAAACTTCCTTTGTATCACTAGTTCCAAAATACTTTTGAAGATCAGTCTTCTTTGCAGCTTCTCCTTTAGAAACATTTGTAAAAACTGTATCAATTTGAACAACTTCTGACAAATCCTTTTCAATTCCCTTTCTCCATGAAACGACACTGTTTTTATAACAAGCAATTTCAAAAACTGCTTTTTGAATTTTCATCCTCACCACAGCAACGTTGGTGTGTAAGATTTGATTTACAGGTGTTTTTACAGCTCGGGACATTTTCCTAGTAATTAATTAATTAATAATAATAATATTCAATATTCAATAAATAAAATTCAAAATCGGATCCGACAATACTAATATTTTATACTGTGTCGATATTTAAAATCCTCTCTGATGATAGAGCGTGTTGTAAAATCAAAAAAAAAACAAGTGTTTGATGCCTTGTTGTTGATTAATTTTTTTTGAAGATTTATTTTTAAACTTTGAGTTTCAAATTTGATGTTGAGATAAATTGTTGAGTTTTTGTGTGATTGAGTTCATAAAGATTCAAACTTGAGCTAGAAGTGGTGAAATAATTTTATTGAATGAAAGGTTTTGAAAATTTTTTGTTTGGAAATGATTCAAGGTTTATTAACATTTCATACTGAGAATTATTTAAATTTTTGGCATTGTCATTCTTATTGAGTACCATCAGGATATTGATACACGACCATCAAACAAGCAAACCAAACAGAATTCGTCCATGGATTATCCTAAACAATCAAAATCAAAGGTTTGTTATTGGAATAAGGCTTGGCGAAATAAATTTATGTATTTTTTTGTTGTTTTTGACTGAAAATTTTTGTCTACAAAAAAGGAAAAGAAGATTTTTGCAATAAATTTAATCAATAATATTGATGTTTAATTATTAACATTTGGAGGGAGTTTGTTATGGTGAAGGCGCTATTCAATGACCACCCATCCATCAATTATTTGATTTAATTCAATTTTGTTAATAAAAACAAGCACCTGGCTAGGAATTGATGTTGTAAAAAAAATAGCCACACATTCCCCTTACCGAAAATCCCATCGTTTTTTTCTCGCTTCAATTAGCAAGTTTGCAGAAGAATTCATACACACAACGACGACGGATTATTGTAGTAGTAATAATTTATACTATCTAGACGCACACACACAGTAGAAAATAACAATAATCGCTTATCTTATTTTTATATAGGTAACGAAGAATATTGATCATCATCATCTAACCGAAGAAGAACAACAACCAAATAATTAATTTATTAAAATGTCATCATCAACATCACAATCACCAATGGATGAAACCATGAATGATGAAGAATTTTTCGAAGAACCAAACGTACAAGAGGAAGAACACAAAAAGACCAAGGTTAAGCCTAAAGCATTGAAGAGCAAGTGGAGATTTTGGCATGAAAAAATTGGTACCCAAGACGCTTGGAAGAGTTTAGATCACTTGGTTGATTTGTGTGAATTTGGAACTGTTCAAGAATTTTGGAGTTGTTTTAATAATTTACCAGCCATCACTCACCTCAAAGTTAAGGAATCTTTCCACTTGATGAAGAATTTGAACGGCCCAAATGATAATACATCAAAGGTTGCTAACTTGACCATTTGTCCTGCTTGGGAAGATCCTAACAATGTTAATGGTGGTGAATGGATTTTCCGTACTTCCAAAGATGTTTCTGATATCGTATGGAGAGAATTGGTTTTGGCTGTTATCGGAGAACAATACCACTCTGCATTGCAACCAGGTGATGAAATTTGTGGTTTGAGTGTTTCTCAAAGACCAACAGATAACATTTTCAGAATTTGGAATATGAAATGTGGAACTGAAGTAGACCAGAAAAAGATTTATGAAAGAACAATTGAAATTTTGACTGAACAAGTGAAAGAAATTGCTTCAATCATACAAACACCATACTATAGAAAGCATAAGGAATAAATATTTTACAACTTGATTTTATTCTTAGGGTTTTGGTATTTATAATTTAAATAAGGTTAATGGTGGCGAAATATAGTTCTACTTTAGTAGGTTCTTCTGTGAATAATTTGTGGTCCATAGTCATTGTAATCAGTTTTCTTAATCCACATTGAGCTGAATGAAGAAAGTGATGAAAGAACAGATGCACCATACCAAACAGCGTTAGAAGGATCTTTGGTTTCAACAAGACTGACAATTGTACTGGTTGTTGAAACTTCTTGAACTTCTATTCTCAATCTCTCAGCAAATGAGTTAATGCATGCAGTACCACCACAAACAATAATATTTGAGAACATTTCCTTCTTTGTATCAAATTCACATTGATTAGCACAATCGTGCAGAATATGTTGAATTCCTGGAATTTCAAATTCTCTTCCTGGGAGATGAACAGATGGATTAAAGAATATTTCTGTTGGTAAAAATCTTTCCTTTTGGCCAACAGAAACTTTTTTACCATCTGGTAATGTATAATCCTTATAATAGCTCACTTGATTGGCAGCACTCTTTGCTTTGGATTTCTTCTTGTCTGTTGTTTCGGCTTCTGAAGCTCCATTCAAAAGACTGTCCTCGGTTTTTTGTTTCAATTCTTGTGATAATTTCATTTGCTTGTGATATTCATAACCAGATGTGTAAACTAGCTTTCTTTTGATTTGTTCAATTACATTGGCATTAAATACAGTATTAAATTCATCAGGAGTCATGGAAGAAAATTCAGTATTAATCTTTAGAGTTTTTTGTGGTGCATCACCTTCGGAAGTGTCCATACTATTGTTACTATGTAATAATTGTTTTTGGAGAAGTGTTTTAAGATATTCATTAGCATGTTTTCCTCCTATATTTACAAAATCAGCTGCATGTGGGAAAGCCAATCCTTCATAAATTGGTGTAAATCTAGTTTGCTCATATCCAACATCGCACACTATACCAGTAATTTTTCCGCAACTATAAAGAGCCAAAAGACCTTGATTAGCAATAAAAAGGCCTGGTATTTCATATTGTTCAAACATGTGTTGTGTAATTCTTTCCGAATGTAATTTTGGAGCAAGAGTATGTTCAGACATGATGACAGACATATCAGTGGCTGGTCCATCCAACATATCACCTTTTAGCATAGCCTTGTTAAATCCGTAACGCCAAACTCTGTCCATGGCATCAAAATTATTGATCAATCCTCTCTTCATTGGTGATTGATCATTATAAAAAAAGGCAGGATCTTGAGTTTGATAGATATCAAGTGGAGCATCCTCACCAGACAAACCTATACGTGTCTCGTAGGTACCATTATCAATCACTACCGATTTGCTCATTTTTTTTAATAATAAATAAAATTTTTATTTTTTTATAAATGATTTTGTGATGGCCAATAAGAAATAAACAAACAACACAAATTGCTTCCGATTCTTTGGGAATCAATGAATTTATCATTTCATAAATTGATATGTGGAGAGTCGGTCCTATTGCATGTCTTTTATCAGACGGAAAATGATTTTTATTTTAAAACCCTAACTTGATTCGAGTATTTGCAAAATCAGAGAACTTGAAGGTTGAGAATAGCCGATAATCAATGCGGGGATGAGTTTGGCTGGTGCTGAATGCAGCCTTCAAAGCTGTAGCTACTGTTCGGTAGAGAGGATCGATTCCTCCTTTCCCGCGTACTGTCTTTTTACTTTTTCCTAGTAGTAATGGTCCAAATATTCTGGATAGTGGATTGGAATGGGATGATCTGGAGCATAAGTGATGCCAGAAATGACATGGGTTAAGGCATTCATACTTTTGATATCAAGCATTTTGATTTTCAAATTTCGTTCTGGACAGTTCAATAAATGTTCTTCCAAATCTTGTGTTGTACATTCTGTTTTACAACATGGACAAGTGGCTAGAGTCCTTACTGTCTTCTTATGGACAATATCAGAAAGGGTGTGAAAATCTTTAAAGTGCTGAGGAATGGCATGTCTTGGCAATGTTTTAAAACATCCAGGACAAATAACTTTAGAGTTTTGTAGAGCTAATTTGAAGGACTTGCGTTGCTCAATAATTGTATTAATATCTTGGTCGTAATCAATCTCAGGCAGAGAGCTATCATTTTCAATAATTGGTTTGAATTTGAAATCGATTTGTGGAATTGTTTTAAGTTTGGTGATGGTCTCTTGCGACATTAAAGGTAATCTCTTCAATGAAACCCAACACTTTCTCGATGTATCATCAAGAACTGCAATCAGGAGACTTTCATTTTCAAAAACGTCCATATATGGGAATTCAAATAGTATTTTGGTTAGTTTCTTATTTCTCAAGAGAGTGGAAATTAATTCAAAGTAACTGGATTCATATTGTTTCTTATGTTCATAAAATGAAATCTTAATTGTTGTCAGATTGGACAATCTCGACAATGCATTTTTAACAAGGAGTGCATCTTTTGATATTACATTTTCCAATACCAGATTTTTCACATTTTCACATCCTTCAATAAGTGAATTCAGCTTAATTTTAGAGCATGCATCTCCTATTTTTCTAAGATAAAGATCCTCAATCCTGCTTCCCAAACCCGAAAAATCAAGTGCACAAGACCTTCCAAACAATGTGATGAATCCAAATCCCAATGTTAATCGTTTCAGCCTTGGACTGTATCTAATATAGTCACAGAGTTTATCCAGTGCTTCTTGAACTTCGCTCATTTGAATTGTGGAATAGATATCATTTGGATAAATGTTAATTTCAACTGATTCATGGTCCTTATCTATGACAACTTTGGAAAATAATGAATTAAAATCTCTGACGCTCATATCTGGTAGTCTGATACTCTTGCATGAGGTATAGAAAATTTCAGAGTCTACTGGAAATAGATCAGTATATTCGGAAGAATAATTTCCAAACGGAACAAACCCATCTGTAAAAAACGAATAATGGAAGTGGCATGAATTGTTGAAATACTCAACCAGAGAATTATCAACAACTACAATTTTGGCATTACATATTAAATCAGTCAGGTATCTTTGTGCTGAAATATTCGATAAGGACACCATCTGCACATCCTTACAAACCTCTGCAAGTAATTTAAACGTATCTGAATCTACTAGTTCATTGAGCATGTCAAAGCATGAACTCAGTGATGATTCAGAAAGTGTCAACCGTCTAAGAGCTGGCTCTGATAAACTGTTTGGAAAATAGCTGTCAAAATTAGCCAACCTCTTACAGAACTCTTCAGTTTCTCTCTGTGATCTATTTGCAATAAAGACATTATCATTATTTCCTTGTATATTCTTCAAAAATCCAAATTGTTTCCTACAAATTACATCCCCAACTTGTCCATTCATGAATAAATGTTTAATTGTCATTCCATTTGCTTTCACAAATTTAATCACATATCTAATGAAGGGAAGCAAATTTAATTGAACATTATTATTAAAATCATCATGAATATTTGTCAATGGCTTGTTGGTTGTATGTTCTTGGTCATTCAACTCAACATTCGGATACAAATGAAGAGTTTGCAATTTTTCAATAATCAATCGTCTCCAAACCGAGCATACATGAGGAATCACTCTTATTAATTGATGAAAATCAATAAATGGAAACAATCGATAGAAAGCAACCTCTTCCGGCACTTGATCATGAAAATTAATCATTTTTTTAAATTAATTAATTATTATTTGGATGGAACTTATGAACTTTAATTGATGGAAGAATATTAATATATTTAAAATAATATTAAAAAATTAATAATATTTAAATATATTAAATTAAAAAAAATATGACAAATCAATCATACAGACAAGCTATTGGAAATTTGTGGTCCATGATAAAATATGTGATTGTACTTATTTTGGAAAAGGATCCATTCAAATTCTATACCTTGTTTACTTTGCCAGTATTGACAATCTTGTCGGTTCAAAATATTAGAATGACACGACAATTATCAAGACAAACAGCAAGAGCCATTGAATCAATTTAAAGAAGGGTTTATTCCGATGATGAAAATTAGAAAATCAAAATTTAAATGGTGGTGAGGGAAAATAGATTGGAGAATCAACTATTTACAAATGGTTAAGTTTATGCAAGGTAAAAATTGGATTACTTTTTAGAGAGGAATATTTCGAGTCGTCTTTTGATGTCTCCATAAATTTCATCATTGCTATCAATTCTGGTTTGATATTCGGTATGAGGAACTGTTTTAGCTACTTGTCTCAATTTCTATGGGAATAATTATATGATGAATATAGAATTATTATTAAGGATTTGTACTTACAGACATGCTCAAATACGAAATTTGATCAGTGACCATATTAATGAACCAATAAGGAACGTAGGAAAGTTTTGGATCGACACTTCCAACAATTTGAACAAATGTTTCCTCTGGAGAAACATACTTTACAAGGAAGCTAGCATATTCACATTCTGCACAGACATTATCCTGACTGACGTAGCTCCCAATTTTATCCTTATACTCTGGATGAGTCGCTGGTGTAATTCCCTGTACAGACACCATAATGGATCCATCACTTTCCAATCTATCAATTGCAAATGCATACGAAATCAAATCTCTAGGACTGAATGGCCAAGGTAAATTGAATGAAAAATAGGACAGGAATCGATATTTACCAAACTTGTGAATGACCAAAGAATCTCTCATCGATGGAACCCAAGATTTGTATAAATCGACTAATATCCAATAATATTATTTAGATAATTATCCAAAATGATTCAGACATACCCTCATAGAAGATTGAAAGAACCTGAAACATGGATGCATGAATTGTTCCCTCAACTTTTACGGCATGCATTCCACTTCCTCGATCCTTATAAAAACTTTTCATACTCTCCTTTTCAACGCACAACTTCCACTCATTATGTGTTTCAAATTCTCCAATAATAAATTCTGCAAATCTACCATCATGAATTATTCTTCTGATAGATTGTTGCTCCTGATTTTGGAATTGCATTCACTGCCTCTTCCAATTTGTCTTTGTTTTCCAATAGGTGACCATACTTTTCCTTCAATAATTTAAAACTCTCCAACATTTTGTCCTTCTCCGATAAGTTTAATACTTGAGCAATGTCTTCAGTGGAAAAACATGAAGTGTCGTTGTCAGCCATTTTTATTTTGGATTTTAATCAGAATTTGCATTATCTGGGTTGATTTAAATTTCTTTGTTGTTCAAATGAAACTGCAACTGGCAGTGAGAAATGTAACGTTCGATATTAATGATTAATATTAATACATATCAGAATTATTCAATCATTGTTGAGCTCTTTCTTTTCCTTTTCCAATTTTCTTGTTAATAATTTCAATTCCTTTTTGAGTTTTTTCTTTTTTTCTTCTTTCAAAAGCTTTTTTTGCTCCTTCTTTCTCTTCTTGTTGATTTTCTCCAATTTTCTAAAACAAGATGGACAAAGACAAACCTTGACAGGCACTGTTTGACTTCACCATTTTCCTTATATGAAAAATTGAGAAGTGAGCTTTGTAATTCTTCCTTTTCTTCACAATTCAATGCTGCACAAATGAGATCTCCCTTGCTTCTTAAAACTTCTGATTCTGTTCTCCAGCGCAGCCCAATTTTACCCTCCTTATATTTACTCAAATCGGCAATTGCATAATCCCTAAATAATTTCCTTTCATACTCCTTGGCTAAATTTTCTCCGTATTCATTGGGTTCCACATCCACATCCTCTTCCGAATTTCTAATAAATTGATAATGTTTTTTTAATAATTGCATATCGTTTTGATAGGTCGGAGCTGATGATGCCTCTGGCAGCCTATTCTTTTTTAAAAACTCCTCTCGTCTTGTGTTGTGCATTTTTTTGTAAAGTTGAATAATTATTGAAAGTGATAATTGTTAATTGTTGGACATTTTCATTGTTTTATTTGTGGTCTAACTTTTGTTTCATCATATCAATGAGCATATCAGAGTATTTCTCCAAAATATCCTTCGTTGAAGCTGCATTAATTTGCCAAGCTTTAGAAGAAAATGTAGCAGACATATTCTGCAGCAGTTTTGCAATAGCTTCTTTTGATTTGTTGATGGCTTCTACGTCCTTATTTTCTGAGTTATCCATATGGTCAATTATTGAGAGAGCATGAGTAAAAGAATGGGAAATTTGGTTGAGTTTAAGTACAAGGGTTAGTGGAATATCAGACATGTTTGGAATACTTTCAGTGAGATTAATTCTAGATGTGGTCAAATCGTTAGATGGTAATGTTGGTTGATTTGATGAGGCAGTAGTTGTGGTAGTTGTAGGGATTGAATGGTTATTGATTGTGGTGGAAGATGATGCTGTTGAGGAACTTTGGGTAGATGAAGGTTGGAGAGGTGGAAGATGATTGGTTTTTGGGAGTGGTTTTGGAGGCTGCTTTGATGGTTGACCAATGGCCTTTTTCAAAAATTGTGAGGTGACACTAATTCTTCCATCACCCAAAGGTGCTTCGAAAGGAGCAGAAAGACTTTCAAAATTCTTCATTAAGAAATCCTCTTGTACCTTTGGTTTTTCAGGAGGTTCCATTTCAAGCTTAATTACTGCAGTCTTTTCATCTTCATCATCTGACTCTTGTACGAGCTTGTCTTGAGATACCTTGTTGGCTGCCCTCACTAGGAAATCTGGAGATTGTTCAGTATTGAAATAGACTACATCTTCCTCTACTGGATCGTCTGCTTCGTCATTAGAACTTGTTTCATCCTCTATAGCAGCTAATTTAAATTCTTTCTCATCTGCTCTATCTAACCATTTACTATTCTGAGGCTTTGATTCTACAGAGTTTAGGATTGCATTGATTTCATCACTTGTTTTGGTTTTCTTTTGTTTTGCCCATAATGGTAGTAATGTATCACGTGTTGATAACTCGACAGTGTGTTGAGGACTTTCAGGCATGAGATTTTTTGGTAATATGCTTTCGAATGGCTTATTCTTATTCAAAAGTTTGGTAATGTTAGGGGAGAGTCTCCACACAAAAATACATCCATCCCCTGATACTGAGATGATTCTTTTAGAGTCTTTGGAAAATTTTACACCAGTTATGATTTCTGAATGACCACATACTCTCGATAAGCATTCACCTGTCTGCAAGTTGTAAAGCCTGATATATTTATCAGCAGAGCTGATAACAGCAAACTCTCCAGAATAGTCGCAACAAACTCTGATAGGTTCAGCTGATGGAAGATAGCTGTCAGCGGTTGATCTAGTGTCAACCTTAAAGCTTTGTTTAGATTTGCACTTGTCTAACTCCCAAACACTAATCTTCTTATCCTGTCCAACTGATACAATTTCGTTTGTCTTGCTTACATCCAAATCAAAAATGGTTCCATTCGATTGACTATTTTGATATCTTCTGAAAGTATATTCACCATTTGGATCTCTTTCAATCTTTCTAAATACAATAGATTTATCAGCACTGCAGCTGATAAGATATCTGAAATTTTCATCCTTTGTAAATCTCACAGAAGTAACAGATGCCGTATGATCATCAAGGGAGGTTACCAATTTGAATAAGGAATTCTTGTATTGGAAAATGTGAATAAGTCTATCTCTGCTACTTGTAGCAAATAGGATATCTGTAGAATCTTCAGGGTTCACACTAAAATCCATAGATAAAATTTCAGAGTCGTGAGCTACTTCAGAATATTCAATGGAAAAGTTTGTTGTTTGAAATATTTTGAGAACACCTTGTCTACTTCCGCAACCTATAAGATTACCATCCTCAGAAAACCTCACACTTCTTATTCCTTGTTCTCCATTAGGATTTGAAGGTTTATCCTCAATTGCGTGTAGCAAGTCCTTACAGAAAACATTTTTAGAAATGAAAGACTCTCCTCTTTCAATCTTTTCAGTGAGAGAAGTACTAGCTTCCACATTCCAAACTCTAACAGTATTATCACTCGAACAAGTAACAAATGATCCATGAGGTAAAAGTGAATTATTTTCAGGAAATAGATCAATATCCCAAATAGAATCACTGTGAGAAAGGAAACTTCTGTACTTGGCTATTCTTTGCAAATTACTAATGTCCCAAATAAAGAAGGATCTGTCACTGTAGACTGCACATACCTGTCGTGAATCAAGAAGTCTGCAAGCCACACAATTAATATCGTTTGAGTAGGACATTCCAGTGGTTAGTGGTGGTTTTGGTAATGTGCATTTGAATTTAAGGCTGGTTGGCTCAAACAGACGAACTGTTCCATTTGCACATCCACAACAAATAATATCTTCATTGACACTAAGCGAGAATGCTGCTTTAACTTTCATATCCAGCCATTTAAGAATCTGTCTATTTTCGTTTAGTAAACACAAAATTCCATCCGAATTAACTGTATACACCCCAGTTGACCCATCCTTGTGTTTCACTATATCAACACTAACAAAATTAGATTCCTTAAAATTCCCCAGAATACACCTAGATGTTTTTACCTCCATACTACCATTTGGTTGTTGTTCAATTTGATGATATTTTACAAACTTGTCTCCAACTGTTACAAAAAATGCTCCATCATGTGAAAATGCAACATCATTGGTCTTTGGAATATCAGTAAATCTAATTATTCGAATTGAATACTTACCTTTCTAATATTTTTGATAGTATGTACAAGACTTCCTTTTTGAGAAGAAGCAGAAGATAATGTTGAAGCGTTAACACTTTGATTCATATTGGCAGAGAGATCCCACAACTTGATGGTACCATCATTTTCATCCCCAACACTGACAATATATTTTGCATCATTTGAAAATGCTAAAGAAGTAATTCCATATGAATGATTATCTTTCTTGAGCTCTATAGTTTTCTTTCCTGTTAAAACATCCCATATTACAATAGATGGTTTTGATCCTTTTTCACCTGCTGCCAATAGTTTCCCATTCCTACTGAATTGAAGACAAGAGAAGGTTTTGTTTGATGATGAATTTTGTAAGAATTGATATTGTTTGTTCTTTCTTGGATTGTAGCAAACTACCACATTTGCCGAACAATAGGCAACATATTTTGTTTGTGGATGAACTGAAAGCTTTGAATTAGAGTCGGTTGTTAAACCAATAATTTTTTCCAAAGTTATTCTAGAGCCACCCGATTGTGATGGTTGTGAATTTGATGATGCAGCTACACTTTGTTTTCGCTTCTTTGATGATTGACTAATGGATCCGCTACCACTTTGTGTGATCGTTCGTTTCAGAGAGGTTGGAGTGGCAGAAGGATGCGGTTGAGGACCAATCATGATTTTTTTTAAAGTTGTTTTTTATTTAAATTTTGGCGCCAACTTTTTTAACGAATGGATTGCATTCAAAATTGTTGAAAATATCAAGTTCTGCATTTAGCATAGGAGATTGGAATTCAAACCAGCACCATTCGAATGAAAACTTTTTAATTGGAAATATTTCACAATTTGTTTAAAAAATATTAAATTACAAATAAGAATAATAAAAAAATATTATATTGAAATAGATTACATGTTAGTTGATTGATAAGATTTGTTATCCTTCTTTCTTTCTTCCAAAAGACATTCAACATAGGCCTGAAGAGTACGAGAAATATCTCTACCATGTGGAGTAGCAAATTGGAACTTTTGTTTGGACAAGACTCCTGAAACGAAAGCAAAAGCATTTCTCTTATAGGCCCATGAATAGATATCTGAATAACGTTGAGTAAGAATTGGTTCCTTGGTTCCTAACTTTAACAATTGAATTCCATTAGAATTGACTGCAAGAATAACTTGATCAGGTAAATTTGCTTGATCCTTATTAACAGTTTGTACAGTCCAGAAAGTACTTCCATAAAAACTCCAATTACGAACATAATTCAAGTAGTGCAACATGGCATCTTCCTTCTTTAAACCAATCAAACGAGCATGTTCTTGGAAGACATCCTTTTCCCAATCTTCTAATTTACGATTTGATTGAAGGAGAGGAGCAGGAATAAAACGACCAATCTTATCCTTCAAAAAACCTTGAATGTGTTTCTTCTTATTGTGATCACCAAAAGTAACTTGCATATTAAGACCAGCTAATTCAATAGCAGCCGATTGACTACATGGATAAGTACCATCTCGAACATCAGCAACAGCTTGAATAAAACTATAATTCAAAAACTTTTCTTGTTCACGTGGAATTGCCTTGTGCTTTAAAAAGACTCTTCTCTTGAATACTAATTTAGAGTCCTTCTCCCAGTCTTTCTTTAATTTTTCCCATTCTTGTTTATCATTCACATACTTTTGAAAGTCTGCATCAGAACCAACAGTTTCATAGACCATCAATTTGCACGGTTGTTCATCATCATCTAAACATCTACACTCTCCGTTCTTGTAGAAAAAGAGCGCAAAAGTTTCACGTTGTTCCAATTCAATCTTATCAGCGACAACAATTGATAAATCACGAGCACTGATGGTTGGACTAACGGCAATGGTTTTGAAGGAATCATCTACAAAGTAGACACGAATAACTAATTTAGAATCCATTATTGTTTGTTATTTATATATTAATATTAATAGTATGAGGATGTTAATGTTGATGGGAAATTTTGATGAAAGTGTGTTGTTGTTTTAGTAGTAAAATAAAATTGTTGTGATTATTACTAATAGGATGATGTTGGTAACACTTTGATCAATTTTTTTTGTGATGAGTTGACATTTGACAGTAAAATGACTCATCCATAGTTCTTCAAGTGACTAAACGTTATTGCCATTGTTATTTGTATGGCAAGGTGTGATCTTTATCCTTCACTGACTAAAACAACGTCTCTTTGTAAATTACATAATTCAACACTTTACAATGTTCAATAATTAAGTAAATGTTTATAATGAAATTACAAATATGAATATGCTTTGTTATTGTTACTTGTCATATTCTATTTTTATTTTAAAAAAAAATATGAAACAATTTTATGTAGGTTTTTTGGGCATGAACCTCTGATTAAGATGATCATCAATTAAAGAGTGCAGGAAATAATGCAAGTATGCAATTGGCTCGGGTTGCTGATGTGAATGATCGTCAAGTATTTAAGCCTTGTACGTTGATTGATGATCAGGAGAGAGTTTTGAGGATGTATTGTGGTCGTTCTCATGTTCTCTATGAAAGTAAGTTGTTGTCTCTTTTGAAATATTGGATCTAACTATGTATTCCGAAATTTGTTCATATTTGTGCACATTCATATTTAAATAATTATTATATATTTAGCTAGGGACGGATCTTTGATAAGTTTTGGAAGAAACGACTATGGTCAATGTTCCATTCATGAAAAGGAGGTTAATCGTCCTGTGCCAGCACTGTATAAAACCCGAACAGGTGCTGTTCAGCAAGTCAAATATCCAAAGTTTTTCTCAACTGGGTGGTTTCATTCATTGTTGGTAAAGGATGAAAGATTGTATGCTTGTGGATACTTTTCATATTCCCCAATGAGTGGTCATGTTATATTTAATGATGTGACAGATATTGTGATTAAGGTACCATTTAAAGAGATTACATTTGTGGGTTCTGGAGATCATGTTTGTACAATAGTTGTTGATAATTGTAGAATTATTCAAATGAATACGAATTTAGAGGTATATAATGTAGATAATTTGAGAGAAATATGTGCATACAAGAGTGGATTTTGCTATATTTCTACAGGTGGAGTAATATATCAACCTGAGGGTAACAATATTGTACAAGCAAAGGAATATTCGAGTTTTGGATGCTATGACTTGAGGACGACAGCAGTTGGCGGTTTTTCCTTCAAATCAAGAAAATTGGAAAAGTCTATCATTGGAACAGATGAATATTCACTGGATTGCAATGTCTACTCATCATTTTGCTCACATTTTGTCTATAATACGAAAGAGAGAAAATTATATGCGTACGGTTCCAATAGTGATCATCAACTTGGAGTAGGCACAGCAAGTGCTGCTAAAGGTTCGGAGGTTTCCTCAATTAATCAAATTCTTTCAGATAATTCCAACTGGGATATTTTAGATATTCATTCTGGATGTGATTTCACAATTATTTCAATAGGAGTTCCATACTCGAAGAATGTCATTAGATTTAAAAATAACTTATTGAAGAACGCTAATGCATCATTGCTGACTGATGTCAAGTTTCTCTAAGTATCTATATGGTTAGTGTGAAAAAGAACTTGGTTTGTAAACTATTCTTTAGCAGTGAAAACCAAATCCAGATGCAAATGGTCTGTCATTTAGTACAAAATCCTCAATTCCCCAATATATATTTTCAGATTCAAAGTGAATATTTCCAACTTCTTCAACCTTTCTTATTTCCCATATATTAGCAGAATTAATTATTAAGGAAAATTTTAAAAAACATTCTTTTAAAATTAAACAAAAATGTTGCACGCTTTCCACAAGCCTCTGCAAGTAAACAGAAATGGAACACAAATATTCCTATTGTTGTGTACAAAAAAGAAGCCGATAGCAACAAGAACGTTCGCGAATACTTTTATATTGTCCTCGTCGGTTCCTTCTAAAGAGTTGTTGTGGAACAAGAACATTTCCATTGATGATAAAATTAAATTCTACAGAACATTTAAAACAAATAATCATGATTTATTGGAAATGATTGACATTTGCTTGCTGGTGGCAAATTGTTGTTCCATGATGAAGAGTGAGAAGGAATTTAAAGAGTGTTTATTGGATTTAAAAAGTTATTGTTCACAATTAAGCGATCAAACAGAAAAAAAAGTGAATGAAAAATCATGGAATTTTATAATTCAACATTTTTGTAAAGAACAAACATTTCATTCCTATGCCATTTATCTATTTAAAAGAGTTATGCAAGAGAAACAATTAGCATGTCCCAATTTATTTACATTAACTGCCATACTTAAAGTTTGCTCTGTAGGTAATACCCAAGTTGAATTTTGTGAACAAATTGTTAATGAATTAGAGCAACATGGCGCAATGAATGTATTTTTATACACTCACTTTATTAATAATTGTATTTGGAATGATGATTTGGAAAGAGCATTAGCAATTGTGTTGAATATGAAAGGCAAAGATATTGAACCAAACTATGCAATTTATATCCCACTTTTAAAAGCAGCCACTGTTAAGAAAAACATTCAAGTTGGAATGACACTTTACCAACTTGTAAAAAAGAGTAATTTAGCAAGTCCTCAATTATCAACGACAATTATATCATTTGCATTGAAATTAAGAAAACCAGAGTTGGTAATAGAAGAAATTGAATTAGTGAAACAACAAAAATGGATGACAATCATAACATGGAATAGTTTAATTCAAGCATATATTCAAGAGAACAATATTAAGAAAGCGATTGATGTTATTCATGAAATGAAAGATAATGGTATTTGTCCAGATTCGGCAACTTTTAACATTCTCATAACAGCTTGTGCTAATACCAAGTTATTTGCAGAAGGAAAGTTGATTCACAAAATTACAACTAACACTTTGAAAGATAATTGCTCTGTTGAACTATTGACATCCATTATTAATTTTTATACAAAATGTGGACATCCAGAGATTGCAATCAACGAATGTGAAAAGATGAAATCAAAGGGATTAATGAATGTTGTTTCTTTTACATGTCTAGTTGAAGCATACATTCAAATAAATGAAATACAAAAAGCCATCGACACAGTTACTGAAATGAAACAATTCAAGGTTACTCCAAACGCTACCACATTCTCCATTTTGCTTACCGCATGCGCTAAGTTGAAATTATATAAGGAGGGAATATTGATTCACAAAATTGCAAATAATACTTTGAGAGATAATAGCTCTCTTAAACTTTTGACATCAATTATTAATTTTTACACAAAATGTGGACATCCAGATATTGCAATTAATGAATGTAAAAAGATATCAAAAAGTATTATGGATGGAATTGTTTAATTCAAGCATATATTCAAAATAAGGAAGTTCGACAGGCAATTGAAATAATCACAGAAATGCAAGATTATGGTGTTGAACCAAACTCTACCACTTTTAACATTTTACTCACAGCGTGTGCTGATTCAAAATTGTTTGAAGAAGGAAAGGCAATTCACAAACTTGCAACTGGCACCTTGAAAGATTACTCTTCTGAACTTTTAGCATCTATTGTCAACTTTTACACAAAATGTGGACATCCAGAAACAGCCATTAAGGAATGTGAACAATTGAAATCGAAAGGATTAATGAACAATATTGTTTGGAATTGTTTAATTCAAGCATATATTCAAAATAAGGAAGTTCGACAGGCAATTGAAGTAATCACAGAAATGCAAGATTATGGTATTGAACCAAACTCTACCACTTTTAACATTTTACTTAAAGCATGTGCTGATTCAAAATTATTTGAAGAAGGTAAATTACTGCATCAAGCATCTGGTCAAGTGCTCAATAATCCTACAATAGAGTTGAACAATAGTATAATTAATTTTTACACAAAATGCGGACATCCAATAATAGCTATTGATCAATTTGAAAAGATGAAAACCAAAGGATTTGAGGCAAATGTTATTACTTGGACGTGTTTAATTCAAGCACACGTTCAAAATAAGGAAGTTCGACAGGCAATTGAAGTAATCACAGAAATGCAAGATTACGGTATTGAACCAAACTCTACCACTTTTAACATTTTACTCACAGCGTGTGCTGATTCAAAATTATTTGAAGAAGGTAAATTGATTCACGAACAAGCAATAGAAAATGTTAAAGATTGCTCTACTGAACTTTTGACATCAATTATTAATTTTTACACAAAATGTGGACATCCAGAAACTGCCATAAAGGAATGTGAAAAATTGAAATTGAAGGGATTAATGAACAATGTTGCTGTTTGGAATTGTTTAATTCAAGCACATATTCAAAACAATGAGGTCCAAAAGGCAATTGAAATAATCACAGAAATGCAACAATTTGGATTGAACCCTGATTCTACAACCTATACTATTATACTTAAGGCATGTACTGATTCAAACTTGTTTGAAGAAGGGAAGTTTATTCATGAACAAGCAATAGAAAATGTTAAAGATTGCTCTACTGAACTTTTGACATCAATTATTAGTTTTTATACAAAATGTGGACATCCAGAGGTGTCAATTGGAGAATGTGAAAAATTACAATCGAAGGGATTAATGAACAACATTGCTGTTTGGAATTGTTTAATTCAAGCACATATTCAAAATAACGAAGTTCAAAAATCAATTAAAATAATCACAGAAATGCAAGATTATGGTATTGAACCAAACTCTACCACTTTTAACATTTTACTCACAGCGTGTGCTGATTCAAAATTATTTGAAGAAGGAAAGGCAATCCACAAACTTGCAACTGGCACCTTGAAAGATTACTCTGCTGAACTTTTAGCATCTATTGTCAACTTTTACACAAAATGTGGACATCCAGAGGTTTCAATTGAGGAATGTGAACAATTGAAATCAAAGGGATTAATGAACAATGTTGCTATTTGGAATTGTTTAATTCAAGCACATATTCAAAATACAACAAATACCCAAAACCCATCTACAATAGAATATGGACTGAACAAAGCAATGGTGGTTTTTAATGAGATGAAGGAACATATTGAACCCGATAAGATAACCTACCTCATATTGTTGGCTGGATGTGGAGAATATGTTGCGAGAAAGATGGGACTGGATATTATTGATGAACTCAAACTAAAAGGAATGGATGTTCATGAGGAGATAGTCAGTGTTATGATCTACTTTTATTCAAGAATTGCTTATCAATCAACTGCACAACAACTATTTGAAAAGCTTGTCGAAGAATCAGCCCAAAAACGTCTATCCATCATAACATATAATAACATGTTGTCATGTTACGCTCAACATGGAAAAGGAACACAAGCCATGAATTTATTTAATGAAATGGTTGATAAGAACGTTGAAATGAACGAGCAAACATTCACAATCATGCTGAACACATTTTCACATTGTGGAATGATTGATGAGGCGAATCAACTTTATGGAGAAATGAAGACAAAATACAACCATAATCCATCAGTAATTGTAGACTGTGTAATGGTTGATGTCTTTGCCCGTTCAGGAAGATTTCATGAGGCAGAAAAAATAATTAACGAAAGAATGAATTATTCTTTGTGGAGTGCTCTACTGGCAGGATGTAGAAAGTTCAATAATGTTGAGCTTGGTGAAAAGGTTTTTAAAATATTGCTTAGTATTGATGAAAAAAAAGCTCCACCATATATATTATTATCGAACATTTATACTTATTATGGGTTGAATGAAAAAGCTGACAATATAAGACAATTAATGATTGAAAATGGAATTAAAAAGATACCAGGAATTGTGTATCAGGAAGAAGATGGTAAATCATACCAATTTGTTTCTGGATCAAAAAAATATGAAAGATTTAAGGAAATTGAGAAAATGAGAGAGGAGATTTACAGAAAAATAATCCAAGCTGGTTTTGAGCCAGATACTAGATGGGTAACTAACTCAAAATTATTAACTGAAGAAGAAAAATTAGATTCACTTTGTAGACATGCTGAGAAGACAGCAACAGCTCATGCATTTGTTTTGAATCCAAAGAGAAAATCAATTATTTTAGCGGCAAATCTTCGTGTTTGCAATGATTGTCATACTGCCACAGAATTCATTTCAAAAGTGATGGATGTTGAAATAATTATTAGAGATGCAAATAGATATCACCATTTTAAAGATGGTAAATGTAGTTGTGACGGATATTGGTAAGGAGGATCAGATCTAGCATGACAATAGGTGCATAAATGAATCATGTTATTAAGACTGAACACTACAAACTATCGATGTTATTGGAATAGCATAACAGACAATTTTCAATATTGATATTGGCATCGTTTTTGGAACGAACATAATTAGTTTTTAGGAATGCGAAACTGAACTAGTTCAGAAATTACTTTAATCATCAAAGTAGCACATTTCTCCCTCTTTGAACTGGTCATATCCCAGAGAAACACAATATCCTTTTGAAGAATAATCTTTGAATGTCTCAACATCTTGAACATTATACACAGTCTTTTTACACTCCTTACAAAAACTTTCATTTGACCAAGTATCCTCTAACATGCTGAATTGTAATGGGCACTTGTAAATATATTCACAATTCTCAATAAAACTAATATTACTCAAACTTTTGTCTTCATCATTCCATGTTTCAGATGGAATTCTGAAATCATTACCATGAATCTTAATGTGAGCTTTTCTCCTTCTCAAAACATGCATCCAATTCTTAATGTTAAGTGCCTTTTCGAATCTTGGAAAATAGAAACAAACTAAAGGTTTCCAGATATGAGTTTGAACATAATGAAAATCTACACTTTCATCATTTACAGGCTTTTCAATTTTCTTTTCTCTCGGCTCTTGATTAAAAAGTATTTTCAAATGTGCAGAATTTGCTTGTGAAAAACCAACCAGCTCTCCCAATTGACAATACATGGCAATGTGAATAATTAATTCGCTAGGTATTTGGCTCCATAACGAAGGATTATTGTCGGAATCTGCTAGTTTTGTAGAGAGATTTGTGTCGGTAACATGAGACAATTTCAGTGTTAAATGTTTAATTGTAACAAAAGGAACAAGATTCAAAAGTTCATCTTGATTGTAGTGTGTTAGGAGAGTTATTCAGCAATTGCCCTCCCAATCACCTCAAGAACTTTAGCATTAATTCTCCCAAGATTCGTCTATGGGAATAGTGTTTGTTGTATCGAGTGCGGTTCAGAAAATTGTTCAATTGGGAATTGTTTTCTTTGCTCTGCCTGGTCTAGGCCATTCTCAATAATGGGAATTTCATATTTGCAATCATGCCACTTGCACATTAGATTTTCAAATGTTTAAGTTCTTTAATGAAATATCAAAAATTAAAAAAAAATGCATAAAAACAATTCACAAGGAAATGTTATGAATTTTGTATTGTATTTGGTTTTGGGATTGTTGATCGTGAGTTGTTGTGGTGTGCTTGGCAGTGATTGTCCAACATTCCGATCAAAGAATTACTTTCCCCGAATGTTGTATGAAAATGATGGAACAATTTTTAGTGATGAATATTTAACAATGAGGGATGGTGTAAAGATTGCCTGTGATTTGTATTTACCTTATAGAGCAGTGAATGAAAATCATAGATTACCAACTCTTTTGCATATTACTAGATATAATAGATCATTTAAAGTGAATTTTCCATTCAATTACTTGTTTGGAGAAAAGCTCAGTATTAGAGGCATTCCATTCAAGAAGTTTGTTGCCAGAGGATATGCTGTAGTTTCATGTGATACTAGAGGTACTGGTGCAAGTTTTGGAAGTCGTCCTTATGATTTTCATAGAGATGAAGTTCAAGATTTTGGAGAAATTATGGATTGGGTTGTAAAGCAAAAATTCAGTAATGGAAAGATTGTATCAACAGGTATTTCGTATGATGGAATGGTTAGTGATTTCTTAGTTTCATTGAATCACAAGAGTTTGGTTGCAGTTGCATCAGTTAGCTCTCCATTCGATCTCTATAGAGATATCATTTATCCTGGAGGTCTTTATCAAAAATCATTTATTGACCATTATTTGAAATTTACTCAACATGTCGAAAAGTTTGGAGTTGCACCACAAAGAGATAATATCTGTCCAGGATGTGAACCTGACTCTTTGAGAGAAATTTTGATGAATTGGTTCGCCAAATTTATTTTGGGAGGAGTGAAGGATGTTAATGGTGATGAAGAGACGAAGAAGAAAGCAATTGAATCCCATGCTTCCTCGTATGATGCTCTCGAAATTGTTCACCATCTTGAAGATGGTATTAATAAGGTCATTAAAACAAAGACATTTACCTATGAAATGGAAAAGGATGGGCCAGTGAGAGCTGTCCAAGATACCAAGAGAAGAATTCCAATGCTTGTATTAGGAGGTTTCTATGAAAGCCAAGTTCAAAACAGTGCTGTGAAGAGATTCAAGTCACTCTATCATGAGGAAAGCAAATTAATTCTTGGTCCTTACACCCATGGTTTTAGAAATATTGCTTCACCTTATTTGAAGGAAAAATTCCCATGTTTCAATGCCATGGAAGAAGTTATGAGATTCTTTGATCATCATTTGGGCTTGGATGAAAATACAGGCATTGAAGATGAAAGCCCAATTCATTACTATTCTGTTGGAGCTGAAAAATGGATTTCTACTGATAGTTGGCCACCAAAATCTATTGAAACTGTTTATCATTTCTCTGAAAACTCTAAATTAACTACTGAAAAGATGTCTGATCTTTCTTCTAGCCACATCTTGACCCTTAACTTGAAGGAAAGCACAGTCGTTTTATCCAAGTGGAATATGTTAACTCACTTGTTTGAGAAGTACCCTAGATATAGTGAAAAGCTCTCCTCTTCCTCATGGAACAATGGAAAATTAAACTTCCAATCAGAACCATTGAAAAGAGATATGGAAATTAGTGGAAATCCTTATATTGATGTGGAAATTACAGCAAATAACAAGGATGGCGTATTATTTGCCTACATTCAAGAAGTAGAAGCCAAAGGAGCTGTCAATCTTATTATGGATACTCAATTAAGACTCGTTCATAGAAAATTAACAGGAAAATCGAATACTGGAGTTATTGATGTTATTCCTTTCAATTCCTTCTACTTGGAAGATAGAGAATACTTGGAACCAAACAAGAGAACACATGTCAGAATGTACTTCCCAGCCTTGTCATACACTGTCAAAACTGGAAATTGCATTAAGGTTTCATTATTCACTTTTGATGATTTGAACTTTAAGATATTTGGTAATGCTTCTGATTTGTCAACCACGTTACAAGTTCACTCTGGATCTGTCTATTTACCGGTTGTTGGAGAAGAAATTGTGGAGGAATCAATCATTACTAATGAAGAGGAGCCACAAGAGGAAAAAGATGAATTATAAACTATTTAATGATGACTAATCGGAAGTGGAATGTGTTCTTTTGTGAAATGATCAATCTCTGCACAATACTTTTCTGGTTCAACAACAAAAATCTTAATGTGATCAATATCACCCTCAAAGCAACAAATCTTTACAGATTTCTTTTCCTTATAATTAGACCAAAATGCATAAACTGCCTTTGAAGGAACAATAAAATCTTCCTTGGCATACATGACCAAAATTGGAGTGTCTTCACCAAACACCTTTGTGGTTAAACTCAATTCACTCAAATATCCAACATAGAACTGTTCAGCCATATTGCTCACATGATAGTAAAAGTAAAATACACAATAAATAATAAATCTAATGATCATTCCAATAATTCCAATAGAATTCTTATCAGGAATAACTTTCTTCAATTTCTTATCATAGTTATATCCTGCCAAAACTGAAATAGCATCTGCATCTTCAGTATTTACACCAGGGAATGAATCAGAAATCAATCCTCTATATCCCTTTCTAACATTTATATAATCATTCTTATTAGAATCCAATAGAGCCATCATTCTAGCAACAAATAAACCTCCATTATTTGAAATTGCATGAACAATGAAAGAGCTTTCATTTTCCTTCTGATCCACTTCAATCATATCCAAAATTTTCTCTACTCCATTCAAAGATGCTTTTTTCGAAAATAATTCCCAAGAATCTGGAATATACGACAAGACATCATATCCCTTTCTGGTATAAATTGCAGTATACTTGGAGACGAATCTGAACTTGCTTCCATACCAACCAATCAACAAAACAAGTGGTGGAATATTCTTCGGATTCTCCGATCCAATATCATCATGCTCAAAAAATTGGAGCTTGTTTTTATTTCCGAACTTTTGTACCAAACGTTGAAGTGTTTCCCTGCTGTTGCTGTGATGATGTTGAGCCATTTTTTTTATTGTAGATTTTTTAATTGGGTTGTCCTGTTGTAATGCAAAGATATTAGAGAATCTCATTATCTCAATATTAATACGCACGCTAGCACATAAAATAATTCTCCCAATGGTACCGATTTACCAATCATGTTAAAAAGTGCGACAGTATAAAATCAATAACTTTCAATATTTTGTAAACTTTCCACCTTGTTCCATAAGCATTGATCATTTACTGTATTGTAAAAAATCAAAATAATTTTCAAATTTGATCAAAATAAACGAAGAGGAACCAGAAACCTTCCAATTCCATTCAATTTCAATTCTTAAAAAAATCAAAAAAACGAATTAAGGGATCAATTCTCCGCAAGCTTTGAATCATCAAATACTTATTTATTAAGGAAAAATTATGATTGCAATAATATGAGTCCAACAAATTCGATATACCAGCAGAAGTGGAGAGTCTCATCACAATTATGTATCATGATGATGATGATGGTAATTTTCTGTTGCACTAGATTGGAATATATTAAAGCCAATACTCCAATAATTCGATATTTAAATTTTGATACCTATTATACGATGGATTCAAATTCAACTCTTCAATATGGTTTCAAGGTTGGGAAAGATCAAGAGAATTTAAGAGTGGCTGAGGGTTGTGAAATACTGCTTTCCTTTCGCTCGTTAAATGAAGAATCGAATTTAATTAACATGTCTTTGAGTAGTCTTCCATCTGAATTGTTCAGCAAGTATTATCCATCTACTATGGCAGAAATTTATTCGATACAATTTGATGCCAGTAGCTTGCAATATCTCAATAACACCTCTATGGAATTCAAGCACCACTGCCCGAACGGAATTGCAAACGCAAGGTTAGGAACCTTATCTGCATATACATTTACAAATGATCGTTTTTTAGCCACCAGTGCGCAGCATGGACCTGTAGAAACAACCTTATTAAGATTTCCAATGATTTCATTAAGATTATTTGGTGATAGGCTGATTATTGGCATTCACTTGTCATTCATCTTGAGATCCACTGTATTGAATCAGCAGAAATATATCTATGGTCCAACAGAACTAGAATTTAACCTCCAACTTTATCACAAATTGGTTCTTAACATGCCATCCATTGCTTCAACAGTTGTGGGGACAGTTTTCACAGTTAAAGAAACAAAAAAGGAATCACAAGCGTTTACTCCAGAAGGCTACTCTACTCTCTTTTCACTTGGATTGGTTGGTGGAGAAACCTCAAAGGCAACATTGAGGTATACATTCAGTTCTCTGGTAATACTTGATGCTCTGGGATCATATGTAATGTTTAAACCAAGGTACTCTAATCAGCTATGGACATTTCTTAGATACTCTTCCTTATCCTGGAGAAAAAGTATTTCGTGTCAAAATGCCAGCCATTTCGACTGTGAGAATTAAAAACATTGCTGCAACCTATGGATCTTTCACAGTAAGGTTAAAGAGAATGAGTCCACCTACATCTTATTCGTATGAACAATCAGAGTTCATAACAGCCAATATTGCAACAGCAACCAATTTTGAAATTTTGAATCTTGACTATGTGGAAACAAATCTCTTCATTTCCCTTGATCCAAACACTCATTCATTTTTTGGATTCGATATTGAAGTGCAGAGAAATGTGGTTGGACAGTTTGCGTTTGTGGTTTTAGGGGTAATACCTATTTTGTTCACTTTGTTCATAAGTGTTGCAATTATTATTGTGCTTGTTACAATTAAGCGAAATTCTTCAACTTACCGTTATAAAGAAAGTGAACTCTTACAAAATAATGAAATGGACTCAATAAATAGAGATTTATAAATTAAAGGAAGTTTTGAGGGTTGTTTAGTGATGAATTGGACGAAGAACTGGTTCTTCAAGATCGAGAGACAATTCCCAATCGTGGAGTGGAATAAGGGCAGGACGGAGAGAAATAGTAACACAGGTAATATTTTCCTTTTGGCATTCAGAGTAAAGGTGAGCTTCAACGTCAGGAGAGACAGCACTTGTACATTCGTCCAAAATAGCGTAAGCTGGCTTATGGTACAATAATCTAGCAACTGCCAATCTTTGTTGTTCTCCCAATGAAAGAATATCATCCCAATTCTTTTCTTGATCCCAACCTTCTCTTTCGGCAATATAGGCAATTCTGACTCTTCTTAAAAATTCCTTAAGTTCATCATTAGAGAATTTCTTAGATTTTTCGCTATTAGCACCTTCTGGGTAAATAATTTGTTCTCTGAGAGTACCAAAAATGTTATATGGTTTTTGAGGAATATAGTAAATATCAGAGCATAAAGTATTATTGGCACCACCAGGTTTTTGAATCTTACCAGAATCAGCATACCACAATCCAGCTAAAACTCTGAAAATTGATGATTTACCAGTACCATTAGGACCAGTAATGAGGAGATTGTTTCTCTTTTCTGGGGTAGTCTTTAAAACCTCAAATGACAATGATTTAACGAGAGTGTGATTGTCTGGTGTTGATAAATGTACATCTTCAAATTTGATAATATCTCCTGAAACAATATGTTTGGCCTTCTTTTCAGCATCCATCTTTTCAATAGAATCAATGGTTTCCAAGAGGTGACAAATGTTAGCAGCATAACCTGATGTTTCAGATAAACGAGTATGCAAGTGAATAATTTCACCAACAGCTGTAAATTCGTGTGAAACGACAGCAGCCAAATATCTCAAAACTCTGGCCAATTCAGTTTGGTCAGAATGCTTCAACATACCAAAGAAAACTGGATACATGGCAATGAGCCAACTGACAGCTTGAGGTAAGTTGAATACAAAGAAGTCATTGAAGAAACCGAACAACCACTTGGATCTGATGAGCAATCTCTTGTGATTGAACAAATTCCAGAAAGCTTCATCAGAAACATTTCTTTCCAAAGCATCACCAGCATAGAAAGCAATGGATTCACCATTGGTAGCAGTTCTATAATGAGTATGTCTGAATTTACTTTCAAGATCTTGCAATCTTGAAGTAAGAGTACCAAATGGAGGTCTCAAAATAGCCATAGCAATGAATGAGAAGGTCATGTATCCCAAGATAACAAGAGGACCTCCAACACCAACAATATTAACGAATTGATAAGTATAAACAATAACGTCAGCAATTGGTTTGACCAAGTTGGCATACAAGCTACAAATACCATCACAGAACCTGTCAACATCTTGTGTAATGGTTTGATCACTATTGAGATTCAATATTATTGAAATAATTGTAGGAAAAACTTACGGATCATTGAGGCCAGTATTCAAATTGGCAGTCTTGTAGTACATCATATTACGCAAATACTTGCCATGAATATATTTTGTCAAGGAAATTCTCCATTCCAATTGAAGTTTGTTGATGAGGAATTTCAAACTTGGAGCCAAGAGTGACGAAGCAAATGAGAGTAATGTGGAATATCCAAGAATTGACATGAAACTTTTGAAATCAAAGTTCATTAAAGCACCTGATAATTCACCTGATAAACTACTCAACCAGTTACTAACAAATGTTCTCATAATGACAACGATTGTGACACCAATCAATTGTAAAAATTCTTTAGATCTTTTTTGGAAATTTAGAAATCACATTAAACTCAAATTACTTACTTGACAGAAGGAACAACGATAGAAATCAAAAGCTTCAATCTTTCTAAAAATTGCATATCAATATTTGCCTTGATTTTCTTTCCTCCTTCTTGATTGTCGATTTGTTTGGAAATACCCTTCTTGAATTTCCAATATTTAACCAAACCAACAAGACCAGCAACAGAAATAGCACCAGAGATTGATGCATACTTTAAGTTTCTCTTATTAAAAAAGTCTGTTTTACCAGTTACTGCTTGGAATAATTCGGCCAAGCCAAACATTGTATCTTTTAAAGCATCTCCGACACTTGGTTTACTTTGTACATTGACCATTTTAATACTAGTATTTTAAATTGATCCTATAATGTTGTTGTTATTATATAAATGATGGTTAAATCTATTACTACAAAAAACAAATTTCCTTCCAATACAATGGCCTAAAATTTGATGAAAATTATAAAACGTCGACAACAAGAGAAAAACTGTTATTTCTTCTTTCCTTCAGTGCTGATGTTGTTGTTATTGATGATGATGGTGCTGATGTTTTAAAATTCTCTTGGCAATGTAGACAGGCCTTGTCCGATATTAAACAAGAGAGAGATGCACTGGGAAATTTTTTTTAAAGAATGGAAATTTTCCTGTCTGTTGATTTTCTGTGCTTTGCCTGCGATGTTGGGAAAGAATACAGAGAAAGAAAAATTCTCCAAGATGACAAGGAGAATCTTTGCGGCAATAAAAGGGTGGTTATCTGAGCATTAGTTTACAATGTTGTGATTCTTAATATCAATGATAATTATTATTCTTACAGAATGATGATGGTAGAAGAATGGAAGAATAAGAAACAACAATTTGATTGGTAAAGGTATGTCAACATTGCCAATAAGATGATTAAAGATCTAGGATTAATATATTAGCTTCTTTTCCCAATTATTTTCTTATCTTTGGAAACAAAATTCAAAAGTTCCCTTCATTTACGTGTTCCAATACGTCATTTGATGAAGTTTTTCAACCCCATACAAACAACTATCCGTTAGAGGTAAAGAATTCTTGCGTTAATTATTAACAACAAAAAAATGTTGGCCTTTATCATAATTAGTCAAGCTGCAGTCTATTTGGGATTACTCTTCCTCGTGTTGTGTGTTGCTACGGGATTGTACTATTTGGCAGAGTTGGCTGAAGAAAATACTGTCATGACTAAGAGAGTTATTTCCTATACGATCTATGTAGGTTGATGATGAGTTAGCCTTGGAGCATAGAACAATTATTAATCATGATGATGAAAATTATCGGAATGAATTTGGAAATTAATGGAAAATAGCTTGTTGTTGCTTTACATTTAATTTTGTGGATTTTTGATGAATTGTATTTCAAGTATATTTTCATCGGAATTGTTTCTCATATTATTTATTATCAATTGCTTTCTACATTCCCATTCATTAGGGTGAAATCTCTCTCTTTTGTGTTGAGCATTGGTAAGTTTTGGATTAATGATTTTAATTATATATTTAATAATTATTATTCAGTTGCTTTCTGTATTTCACATGTTGGATGGTATTATTACTTTACTGATTTTTACACACCAATTTATGATTTTTCTGAATTGCTAGGTAAGTAGAGTTTGATAATATTTCTGATGAGCCTGACACTTCTTGTTTTAATTTAAAATAATAATATTTTAATTTTTATTTTAATTCAATAATTATTAAATATTGAAATCTTTAGGATTTTTCTTCATTTGTGTCTGGATTACTCCATTGGCACTGTTTGTAAGTTTGAGTATTGGAGATGTTCAATTGCCTGGACTTGGAATGAATGATGGAATTGATTCTGGAAATAGAGATATTTTGAAGAAGAAAAAGAACAATGTTGCTCAATGGATTATGTCCTTCTTGAATCGTTTCAGAAAATCCCAAGAAACTGCTCTTCCACAACATCAACCATATATGAATGTCAACAATTCATATACACCATCATATTAAATATGAAAAATCCAAAATACTATAAAAATTTATTTATTTCTTTTTTCAAATAAGATTATAATATAATTTAGATGTTGCAAAAACAAATTACATTCTGAAATCAATGAATTAAAGAAAAAGTAATATAATAATTTAATATTTATTCAAAGTATTAAAAAAATGCAGCAAAGAAATTCTTCATTCACCGTGGAAATATTTCAACAAGAAGTTTTGGATTACCTATCGGAAAGTTTAATGTTGAAGGAAAAACATGGATCGGAAGAATCTAAAAATTTACTTGTTAATTCTCTGTTGAGACCTCCATCCATATCAACCATTCGAGTGAATACTTATCATTATAAAAAAGGTGGAAAATTCTCAAGTCATGATGAAATTATGGAACAAGCAAGGAAGGATTTGGAAACAATTTTTCAAAACAAGTACAAGGTTGAGAGGAGTCCAAATGTTGATGATTGTTTGGTGATCCCTGTTAATGAACTCTCACCAAATTATTCAAATATTTCGGATCAATGTATGTAATCACTTATGTAATTAATTGGAATTTATTGAAAAAGATATTGTTGTGGATAGAAAATGTGGAGAAGCTGTACTGAGAGGAGCTGATGTATTTGCTCCAGGAATTTTGGGAATTTCAAAAAATTGTCATTCTGGATCTGAAATTGCAATTCTATGTGATATTTCTTCTCAAACAAAGAAGGGATTCAGATTTGAAAAAACCATTGAGGAAATGATACAAATTGATGAAAATACCAAGTACCAGAATTTCATCTATGTTGGAAATGGAATTTTGAAAATGGACAGGACCAGTATTTTCCAAGCCAATGTAAAGGGAATTGGATTGGAGGTAACCCAACCATTCTATGAGACCTGCTCCTTGAATGAAATATCTCAAACATATTACAATGAATTTTTCGCTCAAAATATTTGCTCCATGGTGGTAGCTCACCTTTTGGATCCAAAAAAGGGAGAAAAGATTTTGGATATGTGTGCATGTCCAGGTGGAAAAACTACACACATTTCAAATCTTATGGAGAATGAAGGTGAATTGATTTGTTGCGATAGACAGAAAGGAAAGGTTGACCTATTAAAGAAATTGAGTGAAAAACTTGGTTATTCAGTGATGAAACCAACAGTCCTTGATGGTACAAAGGCAACAAGAAGAGTTAACACTGATTCTTCTGAAAATCAAAAATCAAAAAAGAGAAAGACCAATGAAGAACAAGTATTTTTAGAGGAGAATTATTTTGATAGAGTATTGGTGGATGCACCATGTTCTGGACTTGGACAAAGACCTACCCTCTCATTTAAGGAATTTTCATTGGATTCTCTCAAAAAGACAGCTGAATATCAACGAAAGATTTTGGCAGAGGCTTTCAAGGTTTTAAAACCTGGTGGTATTCTTGTCTTTTCCACATGTACCATCAGTCCAATGGAGAATGAAGAAAATGTTTTGTGGATGCTTGAAAATTTCCACTCTAAAATTGAGTTATTGACACCCAACATGACAGCTTTTGCCAGTGAAGGTCTTTCATCCATTATTTCTGATTCTTCAATACGGAGTAAGGTCCTTCGATTTGATCCAGTAACAACTCCTGAAACTATTGGGTTCTTTGCTTGCAAATTCAAAAAACTTTCCAATTAAAACATTTCAAATATTTCAATACCTCTCTCTAATAACACACAAGTTTTGGAAATCTAATTACAGAGCCCCTGCCCATTATTACTCTGCAGTAATGTCTATTGAATATTTACTTTGAGAGAGCTGTGCACGATCCATTAGTTTTGGAGTGTTCAAATGGCGAAGCGACTCCTTTTGGGAAATAAAAGCGCCAAAATCACAATCTAAAAAATGGCAGCAATTCATCACACGCTTCCACTTTACAAATTGGTGACGACGGGAAGGATAACAAGGATGAGTGGTTTTTTCATGATGATTTTAATGGTGGCCATTGCTGTTGTTGTTTTCATGAGAGTCGATGTGGTGCAGAGTAAAAGATATGACCTGTCCCAACAATATGATCAGCAACAACTCACTGATGATTCCGAATTGTTTGTTAAAGTGTCGTCTGTGGATTATGAAAGATGGATGATGCATCAACCTAATATCGAAAAGGTTTATAGACTTTCAAAGAGAATAAGGAGAGCCAAGGCAGAAATTGATTACAAAACAGAATACCTCTATGTTTTGGGTGAAGATCACAATGGTGGTGCTTCTTTTTATATGGATGCGAGTGAGGAAATTATTCCAAAACATGCCAATATTTCAGTAGTATTTGATTATTTGGACGAAGCATTGGAATATGTCCATGAAAATAAGGATGATCCCTATTTACACAGATTTGTGGTTATTATGCAACAGGGTATTCACAAAGTGAAGGGTAATGAAGCAAGAATTTCTAGACCTTTCACTTCTATTGTTTCGGAGGACCCAAGATTTCCAGATAGAACCATTATCAGAGCCAATGATATCAATGGTCAGGTGCTTTTCATCGATTCAACTCATAACATTACAATTAAAGGTGTCACTCTGACTGGTGGGCACTTGGTAAATTTGAAGTTTTCTCACAAGAATGTTCCAAAACCTTGTGGTAGTGGTAGGTAGTTGACAAATTAATCCATACTGATAACAATTCTCTCAATTTATAGGTTTATTAATTTCTGCTTCAAGCAATATTTTGGTAGAATCTGTATTGTTACAAGCAAATAAGGCTGCTATTGGTGGAAGTGTTTGCATTTACAACTCAACTGTTGTCAACTTCCACAAATGTTTCATTAAGAATAGTGTTTCATTCATTAGAAATATGCTTCTTACAGATAGCTTGAATGGTTTACAATTTTCTGAAGCTTCCAATTTCAATGTTAATAACAGTATTTTTGCTCAAAATTTACCAGCTTCTAATGATCCAGAAGGTATTTATGGTTGTGGTGGTGGTTTGGGAATATTCAACTCAAATCAAACCATATTTTCTTCATGTGTTTTTGCCAACAATACTGGTAGGTAATCTATCTTAATAATTTTACTTATTCTAAATTATCAATAGCAATTAACGGAGGAGCCATATTTACAGTTAATTCTTCATTCACTGTAACCAGTAGCAGAATTAGTGGAAATACAGCTTATAATCAAAGTAGTGGAATTTATAGTGATTGGAATAGTGAGGTTTCCATTGACAAGGTTTTCTTCTTGGAAAATAGATGTGTTAGATTGACCTGTAAGATTATCTACTCACCAAAGAAGGAATATTTGGACGATATTTCAAGCTTTAGAGAAGTTGTTTTCCCTGCTATTTGTATTACTGGAATTATTCTTTCCATTGGTTTGGGCTTTATTGGTTTATTCGAATTTATTAGAATGGTCAAGCAGAAAAAAAGATGGAGCAATGTAGTTTGGGGAGACAAGATTTATTTGTGGCTTTTAGGTGCTTTGGGTATCTATAGGCCTTATGGATCTGTTCCAAGACCTTACAATTGGTTCCACAGAACCCTTATAGTACTCATTCTCGTTTTGAGTTGCATTCTTCAAGGAATGCAATCAGCTGCAGTTATGCCAGAAGTAAGTTTTCTTTTATTTCAAAATCTTAAACTGTGAAAAGTTTTTTGATCAAATGGATACTGTAAGATTCACAATCAGCGCTATTCAACAAGTAGTTTTCAATTTCATTCCTCTTGTATGTTATATTGCATTGATATTGGCTGTTAAGGCAAGCTACAAGAGATTGTTTGTCAACTACAAACCACCAATTCCAACAGAAGTTGAAGTTCAAGAAGAAAATGCTAGTCTCATTAACTTTTATCAAACTCAAATTGAAAAGGAAAATGAAAGTGTGAACACAGCATCTCCAGTATCTGATCTTTCTGAACAATCTTTTAGAAAAAAGAAGCGTAAGCATGCCTTTGATTGGAAGAAGGATACTCAAAAGACTGGTCTTCAAAGAAGTATCCATAATAGAAGAGCATTGGCAGGTGTTATTATTTCTGTATTGATTTTGGCATCCTCTTATGTTATTATTATTTTTGATACCATGTACTTTATTGATTCTAATATTGATATTGCAGCCACTACTAACCAACCTATTGGATTGGATACTATATCAAGTGCTATTTTCTACATGATGCATTGGCTTTTAAACATGTCAATTATGACCATGGTTTTGCTCACTGTATTCTTACTTTGTAACAGAATTAATTCTTATCAGAATACTTTCTTTGAAACATTATACCATCAGTTAGAGAGAGCTGTTTTCAATTTGCAAACTGGTGTCTACAGTTATGTTCACCTCAGAAAGGAATGGTAAGTATAGTATTTCATTTAATTTTCCAACCTATCTGATAGCAAACGTTTGGTGAGATATTCTTGGATTTTAACAATTTCCTATATTATTATTTTCAGTGGAATGTGTGTCAATCAAGTTTTAATGGTTTTGTGGGGAGGCTCAGAATTCAAATTCTTTATCTATTATGTAGCAGTTCTTGTTGTAATGCTTGTTCTCATTACACACGTCAGTTATACAAGTAATCACTGGACCAGTTTCAGATTTGATGACTTTTTAGCAGCAGTTCCTCACTCAATTACCTATGATTATGGTATTTTCTTTGTAAGTTTATTGTCATACACTTTTATTTAATATATAATTTTCATAATTATCAAAAGGTTCCTGGAGCTAATAAGAAACTTTCACTTCCAAAAACTGAAATTAATGACAATCTCAGACTCAATGATGGTGCATTCCCAGCTGGAGAAAGCAAGGATAAAGCTGAGCAATTGTTGAGAGATTTAACCTTCTTCCATATGTACATTCGAGATAGAACCTTTGCTTATCGTTTCCCACTCGAAATTCAAATGCAAACCTATGTCGTATTGACTGCCATTGGTTTATTGGGTTCCTCCTACGCCTTACTCAAATATGTTTCAAACTCATTCGAAACATCATACTATTATCAATATTTGTAGATGGAAATGTCGTCAACCTATTGACTGACTATCAACAAAATTGCAATTACATTGAGAAGTAAACTCCTTTTGGTATGAATAAATCTACCCTCTCAATGTTTTACAATAAGATTACAATAATGGTTTGCAACATGACAGGCTCATTTCAAGGGACAGTTCCTCAAAATTAATACAACCATCGTTAGACTTTCCCAAATTATAATTATACACGAATGGACTACAGTTTTTTCTCTCAACAATCAACAAGATGGATCTGGCACATCACCTATTGGAACAATTTGTGAACGCTTCGTTGTACTTCTTGTAGAGGTAATTTTCTGTAAACATGCATCCAATATTCAAATGTCTGCCTTTCACGCCATTGGAAGGTTTTTTTTAATTGTTCTCTTGACTTTTGTGAAACGTCACCATTCATTTTAGTACTAAGCTCGTCAAGTGTTTCATATTTTGACTTTGATGTACTGACAAGTGCCATGATTTGGAATGTTGTGTGACTCTTGACCAACAGGAGGACCATTAACTCAACGATTGAGAAAAAAAAACATAACTAACCAAATAACCAAAGATGATGCTAAGTAATCCAAGTCCTCACATCAACATGTTGATTCCTCACCACCAACACCACCACCACCATCAGCATCAATATCACCACCAAACTGTTGGTCAACAACAACAGTTTAACACTAGTAATTTATCACCAAATTTAATGCAAGATAAAACACCAGAGAAAATGGTCTGTGGTATTATACTCAATAACTGGAAATCTCGACACAATACGAAACTGTTGATGAGAAAAGCTCTCAATGATACTGATTCTATTGCTGCTGGTTCGATATTTAAATCAGCTGATATTGGTGGTGGCACAACATGTCTTGGTATTCAAAAGAAGAAAAAAACTCTTGATAACAAGGGTAAATTCAAATTTCACCAATATCAAGCTCCTCACGGTAATGGTTTCGATTCGTTTTATTCGAATACTTTATCATGTTCAGCTCAATCTGATGTGAAAAAGGTGAATAATAAGGCACTTTCTTTGACTCACATTGAAAGCAACAAACAATCTGTAAATAGCCACAATAGTCCATACATTGAAAAACAAGTAGTGTTCAAATTTGCAACACTTCCACATCAAACTGCCAGCCATCATGTGAAATCAGTAAGCTCAACTGTCATTGCCTCAACCAACATGTACACCTCATGTGGTACAAGCTCTACAAGTAGCAGCACAACGAGTAGTAGCAACACTAGTTCACAATTAAATTCAAGATCCAATCAATTAATTATGGATGATGATTATAACAATCATTATCAAAGAGTAGCTACTCTTCAAACTGCACCAATCAATTCCAATAATAATAACAATCAGTGGTGGAATTCTTTCGAACTTCCACAAATTAACAGTTGTCATCAAGCTACAACAACTACCTCTTCAGAACCATTACCAAGTTTTTCACAATTAATAAACACTCTTGGTATTTAAACACATTTAAAATTTGAAAATCAACCACAGTTTCTGAACTGTACTTATTATCAGATTTATCCCATTTCTTATTTTAATATCTTTTATCTTCTCTAAAGAGATCCGTTGCAGCCTTACTTTGAAAATTTCAAAAAAATTAATAAATTAAAAAATGGAGCACAACACACAGGTGAAAACACGTGTTTGGTGGCACTCTACTCTATTCAATCTGTATTCCCTGAGACTGGTATTAATCTCCGATATGCTACTTTCAAAATATGGGTGATTTGTGAATTATGTCATAGTTGACTCGATGTGTGGTCTTTTTTAAAAACAAAATGAAAAACTGTTATTTTGGTGATATTGTGATTGTGTGTGTTGATGAAGATGGTGATGGTGATGATCATTATTCGGAGGCTGGATATGAATTATTACAAAACCACTTAGATAGTGTAGCATGGGAAAGAGTGGAGAGGAATGAAAAGATTTATGATCATATGGAGAGTCTAATGAAACCCTATATTTGGTCAGGTTTGGAATATATTGAGAAAAATCCATTTCCAGACAATGATTGTAAATTGGTGTTTTATAGAGTGTTGAAGAAATTTGGAGAGTTATTGGAAATGGCTTCAGATGCTATCAAGTGTGATGAACGGTTGGTTCTTAAGGCTGTTAAAAGTAAACCTTCCTCTTTGCAATTTGCAAGTTTGGAATTGAGATCAAACAGAGAGTTTGCATTGAAAGTTGTTTCGTTTAAGACTCTTCATAGTGGTTCTCCATTTGAATTTTTGGAGAATTTTCATGGTGATTATGAAATAGCATTGTTAGCTGCCAAACAATATGGAATGGCATTGGAGTTTGTTGCACCAAAGTTGAGAAATAACAGAGATATCATACGTGAAGCAGTGGAAAATAATGGATGTGCACTACAATTTGTCCCTGAACAATTAAAAGATAGAAGCTTAGTATGGAGTGCTTTAGATTCATATTGCAAGTTTGAATTTGTACCAAAAGAAATGGAGAATGATAGAGAAATTTTACTTAAAGCTGCCTTACATTCAAATTTGAGCAGAATTCCAGACTTATTTCACAGTGACAGAGAATTCGTTCTTGAACTTGTAAAGAGAGATGGATGTTTATTACAACATCTTCCAATAGAGTACCAACAGGATAGATTATTTGTATTGGAAGCTGTAAAACGGAACCCTTTTTATTTAGCTGAGGCAAGTGATGAATTTAGAGGTGACAGGGAAATTGCTTTGATTGCTTTTCGGAAAAATCCGGATGTATTTCAATATATTTCAAATAACTTGAAAAATGATAGAGATTTCATATCAAGCTTGATATTGAATGGATATGACCTGTATAGATTACAACGGTTTGGTGTTGCACTAGCCAACGATCGAGATTTCATTTTGAGTGCGATGGATAATTGGCTTGACTTTTCAAATTTTATGGATATGGAAAATACTTACAGGTCAGACCTGGAATTATGTAAAAAACTTATCAAACTATATCCTGATTGCATACGTTATACACTATGTGAAGAACTGAAACATAACAAAGAATTAGTAATGAGCTTATTACCTCATAGTTTGGAAATACTTGAAGACATACCAGACGAGCTGAAGAATGACAGAGAATTTATTCAATACGCATTACGGTTGCATGACAAGTCATTACAGTATGCGTCGGACGAGCTGAAGAATGATAGAAGTTTGGTAATGGAAGCCATAAAATACGATAGCAATAACTTTATCTTTGCTTCTGACGAATTGAAAAATGACAGACAAATTGTAGACTATATTATTCTTCAAAATGCATCTTTAATTGAATTTGCCTCCAAGTCCATTAGAAATGAAAGAGAAATTGTATTGAAAGCTATCAAAAATTCATTTACTGATATTTCTCAATTTTTAGGTTATGAAATTATGGAAGAAAGAGAAATAGTCTTGGAGTGTGCTAAAAGGTTTGGAGGTTTGGAGCATCTTATAACCGAGTTTAGAAATGATAGAGAAATTGTTCGACATGTTATTCAAAATAATAAGGGTGAACAGCTTACTTATGCATCTGAACATTTACGCAAGGATCGAGAAATGGAGCTAATTGCAGTAAGGAATGGGCTGAGTTTGAAGTATGTCCATAACAAAATAGACAGGGAAATTGTATATGCTGCCGTAAATCACTATGAAAGAAACGTTAAATATATACCAGATGAATTCATGAATGATGAGGAAATTATCTTACTATCTGCTAATTATCGTAATTGTTTAGATTACACTGGAGAACAATTGAAATCAAATAAGGAATTTATTAGAAAATTGATTTCAAAAAATGGTTGTTTATTATCAGATGTAGCAAGTGAGCTGAAGGATGATAAAGAAGTTGTGATGGATGCTGTGACTTCAAATGGCTTATCACTACAGTTTGCTTCACAATCAATGAAAGAGGATAAGGAAATTGTTTTGTCAGCTGTAAAATCCGATGGACAAGCTCTGTCCCACGCCCCTGATCATTTTAAAAATGATAGAGAAATGATAATTTCTGCAGTTGATCATGGGTTTGCGGAATTTGATCATGATTACACTGCAGATAGAGAAATAGCACTAAAGGTAGTGAATAGGGATATTTTTTATTTCGAATACACAAAGGAACTGAGAATGGATAGAGATTTCATATTACAAATAGAAAATCCAAATTTCTCCCTTTTATCAATTTCCCCTAAATTAAGAAATGATAGAGAAATAGCTTTTAAGGCGTTGGACATGGATGGGAATGCTTTATTGTACGTCTCTGACGAGTTGAAGAATGAATTTAAAAACGATCGAGAAGTATTGTTAAGAGCAATTGGAACTAATCAAATAGCATTTGTTTGTGCCTCAGTTGAGTTGCAAAATGATGAAAAGTTTGTATTAGATTCGGTCTCAGTGAATGGAATGGTATTGAGATATTTACCACTCAAATTCAAGGATAATAGACAAGTTATTTTGAAAGCTGTTCAAAATAATGGTTGGGCACTCTTTTACGCACCATCAGAATTACTTCAGGATAGAGAAATAGTAATGAATGCCATAAAGAATACTGGTACTTCATTGGAATATGCTCCTTTCGAATTTAGAAACGATAAGGAAATTGTTTTAGAGGCAATTAAAACCAATGTGGAATCTTTACAATCGGCTTCATATGAATTACGGAATGATGAGGAATTTATTTCACAAGCTATGGATATTGATATTGAATCTCTTCAATATGCCAATTATTCACTGAGATATAATATTGATTTTCTTACAAGAATGAATAAGGAAAATAGGATTATTCAAGGAGCATCAGAACAGTTACAAAAAGTTATTGACATGAATGGATTACTACAACAATTCAAGCAGGAGACAACTAGCAAAATCTACAACTTCAATCCCATTACTTTATGGACAATTTCAATTTTATTAGTGGCTTTATGTTGTGGAATCAAATTATATAATATTTGAAGGTTTATTTTGCTTTACAATTAAATTTACAAAATTATTGATCCAAATATCACTAATAATATTTTGGAACAACAACTGAGGGAGGAACTATGACAATAAGAAACACACCAATACAACAAAAACAAACATTCATCATGACAGTAAACCAAAACAATGTTTTGGCAATAGCTGCCACTGATTGAGATTTTCTGTTTCCTGAATATTTGTATGTGGAATGAACAAACCAAAAAGGAATGCAACTTAATGGGAAGCAACCACAACATGCCAATACTACAGCTAAACATATTGAAAGAGTCAATGAAGAACTTGCTCCAGATTCTTCATCATAATATTTATCCCAATCTCTTGGTTTGTAGTAGTTTTGAAATGAGAATATCAATGGATGATGATCGATCAAGTTCGGATCTATCAATACAATCGGAGGAAAATACACCACCACCAATAGCAGGAATAACGAATGACAATGCTCTTGTTACAACTGATACTAATGATGGTACTGGGAATGTTGGGAATATTCCACCTCCTCCACCATTATCAAGTGTAGTTCCTGTTTATTTACCAGCGAATTTGATGAAACCAATAGAAGTAGTGCCACGCATACCTACTAATGGGTCTTTTTCAGACTCATCTGAAAGTGATGATGATGAGGATTTGGGGTATCATCGTCCTATACAACCACCAATTGAGACTCCTATCAAACCAAGAGTTTTTAAAGAACCAACTTATGACCAAATTAAACCAGTCATTGGAATACCAATTCCGAATGCAAATACAGATAGAACTAATGAAATTATGTCTGGATGGATCACTAAATATAATTATGATAATGTTCCTCCAGAAGCATTGATGGAAATTTTCAAATTTGTAGATGTCAAAACCTTGTCAACGTAAGTTTTTAAAAACAACTACAATTTTGAAACATTTGAATAGTTGTTCCCTTGTTTCAAAGAATTGGCACTTTGCCACACTTCATGACGCCTTGTGGGAAGATTCAGTGAGGAAATTATTTGAAAGATTTAACAATCAAGAATCTGACTGTAAGTATATAGAAATACGTGTGTAGTATTTAAAAACAATAATATTTGGAATAATTTACAACCTTATAGACTATGCAATTGATTGTGGAAGAATGAATAAGAAGTATGGTACTCCAATTAAACCTCCTCCAAAAATTAAAAAGATTGAGGATTATGTAACAATAGAGAATGGTAAAATTGTTTCCTATCACACTCTAAGAGCATTGAATATTGAACAAGGAAAGAAAAAACTCATTTCCAAATTGAAAAGAGACAGAAAGGAATATTGGAGAACAAAGTTCCAAGAGAAGTATGACAATGCCTCTTCGTAAGTTTTTGGAAAACAAAGTTTTATTTACCTCTTTAAACAGACTCAAGTATAGATACTTTTTTGGATTTTCCACACTTGTATACATTTCATTATTTATTTTCTTTTGTCTAGTTGCTGTCAATGATGCTATTCCAAAATCTGTAATTCCCAATTGGCATCTTTATAGCTTTATTCCTCTGTGGTTTTTCTTTTTATTTGGATTTGGAACTTTGTTCTTTGTATTTTTTATGTATACATCTGCGAGTAGAGATTGTGAGATACTAATACTGGGAGGTGTGATACTGTTGGTTGTTTTTGGTGGTTTGGCTTCTGCAATTTTATCATTTTTGAATGTGGCTGTTCTACCCGTGACGTATAATTATGATCGGTTTTCAGATCAGTATGTTATATCGTGGTTTATTGTACTCATTCCAGCTTATATATTTGCAGTAGTGATGTTTATTGCTCAGTTGGTTGCTGTAGGAATTGTATTGATTGAGGACTGGCTAAATCAAGCAACTGTCAAAAAGAAATGGAAGCATTTTGGAGTGGCAATGTTCTTTTCAACTATGAACCTTTTAATGATTGCAGGTATTGGAATGGTAGGCATTTCTCTTGAATATCCTACATTCTTTCCAATATATTATCCAGCCATTCCAGCCATTATTGTAGTATTAGGATTTATCGTTGTGGCTATTAAGGAATTGTGGAAAGATAGAAATAATCAATATTCAAGTGATAAGTACATTTTGAGTTTCGGTTTGGTATTTTTCATAGCACTGGCTATTAACATTGTCATCATTGGCTTGTATCCATTCTTACTGAGCTACTCGTGGTTCTCTTCTCTCTTACCGCTCACAGCTGCGTATGCCTTTGTTTGTCGTGTGATATATGAAGGTTAATGATAAAATGTATTTAATAATTTACTAATAGCTTAATATTTTCAATCGAAAAAATAATTTATTCCAATGTATCATTATTAGAAACCAATTGTCTTTGTACCAATTCCTTATATCTACTACCATTAATCATGAGTTGATCGTGTGTACCCTCCTCCACAACCATACCTCCATCAATTACATAGATGTTATTGGCATTCTTAATTGTAGAGAGACGATGAGCAATTACCAAAACAGTTCTTCCTTCCATTAATCTTTGAAGAGCTTCCTGAACTTGATGTTCAGCATTGGAATCAAGGGCAGAGGTGGCTTCGTCCAAAATAAGAATCCTTGCTTGTTTCAATATGGCTCTAGCAATGGCAATTCTCTGCTTTTGTCCACCACTCAATTTAATACCTCTTTCACCGACAGGTGTATCATAACCTTCCGAGAATCCCATAATAAACTCGTGAGCATTGGCCTTAGTTGCAGCATCAATAATTTCTTCATTGGTTGGAGGAGTGCTTGATTCCCAACCATAACAAATATTCTCTCTAATACTGCAAGAGAACAGAGATGGTTCCTGTTGCACAACAGCAATATTCTTTCTCAATTCTTTTGGACTGAGTTCTCTAATTGACTTTCCATCAACTAAAATATCACCCTCATTAGGATCATAGAAACGTTGTAATAATGAGCTAATGGTTGATTTACCATTTCCACTCTTTCCAACCAGAGCATTTACTGTGGAAGGTAACATTTCAATATTAACACCCTTCAAAACAGTTTGTTCAGGTCGAGATGGATAGGCAAATTGCACATTTCTAAACTCTACATGACCAGAAACTGGTTGATTAGATTCATCCATATCATAATCCATAGTTTGTGCTGATTTTCCTTGTCTCTTTTCAATTACTGGCACTTGTTTCAATAATTCGTGAACTCTTGCAGTAGCACCAACAGCCTTAACTAATTCGAATAGAACAGAAGAAACAACTCCTAAACTAGTGGCCACATAGAATGTATAAATAATAAAGCTGGTCAATAATCCAATTGTAATTTCCTTTTTCAAAACCAATGAACCTCCATACCACAAAACCAGAATAATACTAGCTGTTGCACAGAAGGTCATTGTACCATTGAAAAATCCACTGCTCACTGAAAGTTTTCTTGCCAATTTCAAAGTGTCATCAATTGAAACATTGTACTGAGAAACGTGAGTATATTCCTTTGAAAAACTTCTTACAGTTCTCAAATTTGAAAATGATTCCTCAGCAACTTCACTAGATTTAGCCAACGCATCTTGAACTTGTTTTGATAATCTCTTTACAATTTTACCATAAATAATTGCACCGAATATAATTGGTGGAATTACTGACATGGTTACCAAAGTTAATTTCCAACTTGTGTAAAATAAAAAGAAAACTCCACCAATTGCCTGTAAAACATTTCTCATAAAAAGAAATAGATTTGATGTTACAGCAGCTTCAAGAGACTTCGTATCAGAACTCAATCTATTAAGTAATTCACCTGTTTTAGTGGAATCGAAAAAGCTCACATCCTGAATAATCATTGTCTCAAATAATTCCTTTCTCAATCCAGCCACAACTCTCTCACCTGCAAATGAAAAGCAAAAGTGTTTAATTGCTGTTGTAATGGCAATTCCAAAAACTGCCAATAACAAGTAAAGAGCTGCAGTGTTCAAATATTTTTCTCCCTTCTCATCGCCATCTTCAGATGTCAATGCTTGTGGAATGACATCAACAAGGTTTGTCAAGAATAATGGTAAAACAAGTCCTAAAACTGTACTGATCAACATGGCAACCGTTCCTACCAATAGCAAATGCCATTGAGTGAATCCTAAACCGAGTAACCATTTTAATTGTGAAAGTGAAGATCCTCGGAAGAAATTACTAATAAATTTAAGTGGTGATCTTGATGTTGGAATTGTTGGTGATGAAGAGTTATCTTTTTCATGGAGGTTGATATTTTCATTTGTTCCTTCATTGTTATTATCATCGTCTTCGGAGAGGTGTTGTGGAGGCATTTGTTTACGTATTCTAATTGAAACGAGTTGGGATTTATGCGATATTAATAGAAGAATGCCGCACTAGAGGAACTTTTGCTACAGTCCGCTAATTGTACACCATCCAATAGAAAATCGAATGAGCACGAATTCTAATTGGTTCAGAATGTTGAAGAGGACAAAAACACATTGTTAAATTGAACCAACACGTATTAAAAAATTAGAGGACTTAGAATTTATTTCGTTGAGCGAATTCAAATTGATAGGTTGTCATCATGTTTGAACCTGGTTGTTTTGTTGGTTGTGGTGTTGTGTTTAAATTTTTTCCAGATCTAGCGAGTGGTTGTTGTGAGGTTGATATCATATTCTTTCCAATAGTTATTGAGGAATTCATCTTAGGGGCGTCATCAGTTGGTCTTGATCCTCTGGAAGAACACAGTCCAACTCTGAGGTTATCTTCCAATGGCTGAATATCAAATGTATTAGGGCTAAACACTTCAAATCTAAATTCTCCTTTTCTATTTGAATACATTGTACATGGAGTAATAACATATTCTCCTTGGTCCAAATCAAGCTCAATAGAATTGTATCTAGCATAGACAGGATATTGGAGTAAAGCATTTGGAGAGTTATCAGTTGGAAGAATCTTGTAATTACTATCAGTTCCCTTATATACAGCAAATCCAATACCTGATCTATAGTATTGAGCATCAGCATCTTGTGACAAGTATGGACGATAAATAATCAAGAAGAATCTTCCACTCTTTTGCACTGTTAAACGGAAATGAGGATTCTTTGCAAAAGCCATATTATTCATCATTCCTCCAGCGCATTCGTTATCCCAAGCACCTTCAACTCTCTTTCTATTCCAATTTGCATAAGGGAAGGTAAGATTATTCTTCAAATTTGCTTTCAACTTTGATTCCATTGGGAAAGAGAAAATTGAGTCATTTAGCAATCTGCAACAAGTAATCTTGTCATAATAGGTGCAAAAGTCTTTGAATTCCATCCAGAAAATACCGTCATCCTTTGTATCGGCACCCATTTCCTTTCTATATTGGAAAGTCCAATTACGAGAAGCATCACTCCAAGGACCCTTCCATTCAAATTGACCCCACGGATTTCTCAATTTTATCAATTTGAATTTCTTGTCACTAGTTTCTCTAACATCAAGGATGGCATAGGCGTGGCCAGCAACCAAACCCTTAGATTCATCTGTTGTTTGTCCTCTTGAAGAAGAGATACCAGTTCCCATCAAGACATTCTCAGTACTGTATTGAACAAGCTTATCCCACAAACGATCCTTTCTCCATGGTTGCTTACCTGGATTTTGTGACCAGTTATTGACATAGAGTCTTTCAGGTCTTCCTCCAGTGAGCATTACAACACCTTCTTCAAGATAACCACCATCAAGAGCTTCATAAGATCCCAACAATTTGGCAAGAGCCTTTTCAAGAATGCAAACCCAGATTTCATTCTTTAATGTATTGTGACCGAATGCAGGAAGTCCATCCTTACCACACGGAATTCTGTCATCAATAGTAACTGTCTTCCATTCATGTTGATAGTAAAATCTGACAGTATATCTTCCTTCAGCTTCGTTAGCTTCAACAAAAAGTCTTTGAAGAACATCAGGAATTACAGAAACTACAGTTAAGGCTGACAACCACCAACAATCACCTAATTAATTTTTTAAATAAATCGGGATGAAAGCAAAAAACATACCTAATTGCCCTTGTTCAACATCACCAGGATTAGTTGAGTCAACAAACAAGGAAGGAGTTCTTGTCCATTGGCTCGGTCTTTTCCATGATGTTACGGAAGCAACAAATTCAGGAACAGTTCCATCAGGCTAATACAAGTTGTTTAAAAAATACAATAAATTATCATCAATAAGACCGTTATGATTCCTACTCGTCAACTTACATCATAGCAGAGAGAAGATTTATCTGCTGGAAAAACGTCGTCAATGTAAGGCATTATTTTTTTTGATTTGATTTTTTTAAAGTTGCTACCAAACTGTAATTTTGATTTTAAAAATGGCGCCTTTTAATTGGCGGTTATGAACTTGACCATCAGCAATAGAAATTCCCTTATCATTCTCTATCCCTTATCCATAGAGAAACAGTAAGATTCAATATTGGTCATTGAGAAAGATGATACTTGAATATTTCGATAATAACAAAGTAAAGTATAACACCTCCACCTCACTATTTGAACAAATATAAGGTGTTGAACCAACCCATTCCAATATTTACTCGCTATTCAAGAGCAGAAACTACATTGCTTAATGGTTGATGATGTGTTTATTGAAGAAATTTCTCGGTTTTCATCATTAATATAATTAATATTCAGTTCAAATTCCATCCAACAATGAAGATATTTTATTATTAAAACGACAGTATTATTTTATTGAACATTAATCAATAATATGGGCCATATACAAACCAACAAATAATCAACGACCTAATTGTTGGCCTATTACGGAAGCTTCACAAAATACCCATTGTAAAATAACAAAAACACTTTACAACAAAATTTGTTCGCGTTTGGCAATTTTCGTCATCACACACCAGCTAATAACTCACTCTCTTCACATAAAAATTTTTTTGTAAAACTTTACGCATTTCAAACAAAAAGAGCAAAAGGCCAGCGCCAAATCTATTGTTCCCGAAGAAGAAACATTATTGTTCTCTCTCACACATAGTGTTGTTCATCAAACTACACACCCAACATCTCTTACAGTTTCACCCCAAGTTTGAAGTGTTGATGAAGAATTTAATATGCTTCTCTCTACTTCCAACCCTACACCATCATCACAAGTGACGGTGAAAAAGAGTGGTGAAAATATGTTGTTCAACAATTCAACCTTCACCAACAACAGCAGCAATACCCCAAACTCTTCAGAAGAGCAAAAAAGTAGTACTAGCCATGTGATTTCATCCTCTTTATCACCTCTTGCACTCCAACCAATAACTACAACACCCAACCATCAATCAAAGCCTATGTCTATGGAGGTTTTGTCATCTTCTTATCCACAACAACATGAATCAAAGCCTTCTTCCGATAGTATCATACCACCACCAAGAATGCAACCTCCAACAACAACAAACTTTCCCATCATTACAAGCTCTAACCCATCTATTCGTTCCACAACAACAGGTCATCCAACTTTTCACAGTTCTTTCCCTATTATGACCAATAACTTTTTGGCTCCTCCTCTCTTCTCTTCTTCAAAAATTCATTCTACTAGTTCCGTTCCAACTATTACCACCTTACAAAGCTCTTCTGTGAGTCCAAATTCACTAATTTCCTCTATCAATAATACACCAACAAAATCTAGTTTGGATAATGTACCAAAGCCTGTACCAACTGCTTCCTCAATTCTTGCACCATCACTTTCTCTCATTGAAACAGAGTCTATTTCACCTCAACCTATTAGAGTTTCAACAATTTTGTCCAGTTTTAATACCCCATCCGATTCAAGTAAATCAGCAATAGGTAATAGTAACAATAGTTCAAACTCTCAAACAGAGTCTGTTTCCACAACTACTACTCCAAAGATTACACGTGTAAGGAAACTCACACCAAGAAGAGTTCCTGACCTTCCTCTGCAGCAGGAGCAACAAGCTGGTACAACAAAACAAGCAAGTGAGCCAACAACACCAACCAAGGAACAACCTACAAGAACAGAAGCTGAATCAAACCCTTTCACTACACTTTATTCTAAACCTCTTTCCTCCTTTCCACTTCATCATCCTTCTTCCTCAATGAGTGGCAGCAGTTTTTCACCATTTCCTCCTCCAACATCACATTCCAGATTAGTGAGTCCTTCAACGCCATCACCAATAAGCCTTTGGCCAAGCACTACTGTTACAACTAGCACTTCGGCAACACCTAATAAGCATATAGTCCCTCCTCCACTATTACCACCTCTTAATGTTTCTCCTCCCAACACAAAGAAGAGAAGAACCAATAGCCAAGAAAGCGTAGGAGCCAGTCTTCAGCCATTAACACCATTAACACCACCAACACCATCAGCTCAATTTCCATTCCCTTCAGTTAGATTGTCAAGTGCTACACCACCACCAGGATATGTTCCTCCTCCTCCTTTCCCTATTTCATCAGCTTCACTTATTCCAGTAGTAAAATCAAATGTGATTGGACCTCCTGAAAGAAAGGTTTCTAGCAATACTCCACCGCCAGAGGCAAAACCAAAGAAAAAGGAAAATATGGTTGGTTGTAACAGTATCAGAATACCATTCAGATCTTGGATGAAGACTCTTGATACTCTATCAGCACCAAGCCTTAGAGCTGTACAGGAACGAGTCACCCAATTGTTGGAAAAGAAGGAAGAAGAAAAGAAGAAGAATCTACTAGCAAAGCAACAGAAACAAGAAACATCCTCTTCTTCAAATCGAACAACCAAATTGAGTTGTAGTAACGATACTTTGTCATTACTCTCTACAGACTTATCTAGTATTGATACGCTTGCTATTCTTGCATTGGCTGATTCACCTCCTTCTCCTACTTTGGCTAAATCTAGTGAACTGATATCTGAATCTGTTGAACTATTCTCTAAAAGTCCAGATAAATCAATGATGATTGAATCTGATGATTCTGAGGAGGAATCTGAGGAAGAAATTGATATTAATCTCAAGATTGCTCAAGCTGAACCTTTTGTTAGAGAATATTCTGGTAATGGATTTATCTATCCTGGTAGAAGGGGAGCCAAGTCACAACGAGTGAGACTACCAATTTGTTTCTACCCAAGCATGAAAAGTGTTTTAGCCTCAGAAAGCAGCGCTGAAACATTTGTTGAAGGTGAAGATTCTATCAATCCTGTCATTGATTTGGAGCATCATTTGGAATTTTTCATTGACGATTCTGACAGAAAGTTGTATAACTCTATTAGGGGATTGCATCTCGTGCTGCTCAAGAGGATCAGTAAGACTGTCTATATTGAGGAGAGTAGTGTACTCGTTCAAAGAAGTTCTAGATCAGATGATGGTGGATATAACTTTTCCATTATCAATCAAACAAGTCTCCACCCTCCTTTACCAGGACAAAGACAAGCCGACTATTCTCTTCTCCTTGTTGAACCAAGAGGTAAACGTAGGAATGCTCAAGATGTCGATAAGGTCAATAGATATTGTGAAATTATTCATGAACAAGGCAATCAATGCAAGATTCGTGTTGGATTTAGAATTTGTAAAGCTCAAAAGAAAAAGCATACTAAAGGTGTTTACTTGTTGAGACTAGTAGCTTGTATATCCGATGAAGCAGAGATTAAATTTGATTCCTCAAATCAACCAATTAATGGTGTTATGAAAGTATTGGAAGAAAGTGAACTATTCAAGATTGTATCTCGAAGAGTTACTGCTAACAGTAAGCCAACAGCAAGTCTCAAACGGAAGATGGATGATGATGAAGTAGATTCATCTTCTGAATAAATCATCTCTGTACATTTGTAACGGTAATAATAATAGATTGTTCAAACTGTTTTAAACCGCCTACATAATTTACAGTAATTAAATCAACTTAAAAAAATGAGTAGAAAGCAAGGTATTGAACCAAAATTCATTGTCGATGATAGAGGACATATCATTGATAAGGAGAAACATGCAAAGCCCGGAACTTCATTCCCTCAAACTACTGGCCAACCACTTGCTCAATCAAGCTTTTCCTTTACTCCAGTCGGCTATCAAGGTTATGGCGTGAGACCAAATCATGTTATTCTTGGAACAAGACCTCAAGTTGGTGAGACTAATCCTCAAGCCCACCACTTTCTCCACAAACATGAAAACAACAAGACATTTGGTTATTCCACTGCCAAGTTAAATTCTTTGAAATAATTATTTTGATATCATTCAATACGGAATCACATTAATTTGAAGAGACAATAATATCAAATAGTATATTGAAAATTATTTAAATTTACTCATCACACCACCTAGGAAATTGTAGATATTGTAAATAAAATTCTCACTACTTCATGATGAGTAATGAGAATGAATAACCCATGAATAGTTACTTTCGCATTTTCAACAATCGGTGTTTATTACCAAGAAAGTACTGGCCATGACAGAATATCCACACTAAAAAAAACAAAGAAGAAACACTCTGAGATCATGCTTTCTCTAGATTCACCCAAACATCAGCAACAACACCATGATGATATCTATCTGCAGGATTTCAACAATGATGGCGAACATTATTCGAATAATAGAAATCATCATCAACAACAATTTTATTACAATTCACCTCCCATTACAACAACAAATATTCTCAACGAGTCGACAAGTAGTGTTGCCTCTAATTTAATAACATCATCACCCGATCACAATAATTTAAATGATGGAATAAGTGGCAGATTTTCCAACAAATCAAATTCCTCCTCTCAACAAGCTTTATTTTCCTCATCACCCCAAAACAATAAGAATAGAAAAAACAATTCAAAACAACAATCAACGAAAGAATTTAAGGATCGTTTACTAAATTTAAAAGCAGCAGAATCCAAAGATCAACCCAGTGAAATTTATAGGAATCTCACAAAGCGAGAGAGGTTTAATATAACGTGTTGTGGAGTGGTTGTGGCAGGTGTGGTGGTGATTGTCTTGACAATACTGACTGTATTTGTAGTTTATTATTTGGAGGTGTATCGGATTGATTCGAATAGGAGGATGGGTTATGAGAAAGTGGAACTTGCTGAGAGAAATATTGGTAAACAACTTACAAAAACATTTAATTCATTGTTGGTAATGAGGGATCAAGCGCAGAATTGGAATTATTCAATTAGTTTGGAAAAGTTTAATGGACTTTCGGCTAGATTAGCTTGGGGACATCATGAAGTTTACAATTTCGAATATGCAATTGGAGAAAATGCATCACTGGATTATGTCTATCCTCCAGTGGATGCTGTTTATGGATTACAAATGGGAGCTGACTCATCAACTCACAAATCAGCCATGAATGAAGCCATCCAAAAAAACGAAACTACAATTTTTGGACCTATTTCACTAATTGAGGGTGGAGTAGCTGTCATTGCTCAACATCCAATATTTTATTTGAATGGAAGTTTTTTTGGATTTGCTGTCGAGCTCTGTAGAGTTGACCAATTATTCAATTCGATTAATTTTACAGGACTTTTACAAGGTTATCAATATCAATTATTTGATTATTATAGAAATTCTGTGTTTTTACAAAGTTTGGATGGACATTCAGAGTTTGAACCAACGATTGAAAGAAATGTTTCAATCATTTCTGATAGTATTTATGCGAATATTTCAGTTTATAATTGTAGATGGAAGATTATTCTTCGACCTGTCAATGGATGGGACTCTAATTCAATTTTGTGGCTTGAGATATTGATTGCCTTACTGATTATTTTTTTACCGTCCATAACTATTGGTGTTTTGGCATCAGTTGTTGTTAATTCATGTAATTGGTTAGGTAATCATGGAAAGGTGGCGGATGTTTTGGATAAAGTCAGAAATCAACACGTAAAAAAAGAGCAGAAAAAGGCCATGCTTAAGGAGGATTGGGAAGCATGTTGTGAGTGTTTTAATGAGAGAACTGACAAGATTCAAAGAATTGTTAATCATTTACCAATGGCTGCAATTTCAGCCTCTCTGGATGGAAAAATTTATTCTGTGAATGCGGCCTTGACGAAATATTTTGGCTATGATTCGAATAGAATCCTAGAAATTAAGCTCAATGATATGTTTGTGGATTTTAATATTAAGGAAATATATAATAATCGAAAGGGAAAAGGCCATTTCACACACTCGGCAACAATCATGTCAACAAATCAAGAAGCACACCAAGTAATAATTAATATTTTATTTAGCGAGAATTCTAAGGAAGTATCAGTTCTGATTTTCATTCCTTGCTTGGACAAGGGGGAAAAAAGTACAAGTTTGGAAACAGTTGATTAATTCAATTACAAACTTATTTACCACCAATCAGAACCAACATTGGAAACTTCTTCAGAGACTGAATTAAAGTTCTTTGTGACTGCCTTGCTTGCTGATGCAAATAAACCTTCGTTGAGTTCATTTTCCAAATCACGATGGAAACGATCAGTGATTGGTCTTGTAACAAATTTGAGGTGGAAGGAATAAGTATCCTTTGGCATAACTTTGACCTTTTCTTGTGCCTCCTTTTGGAGAGTTGCAACTGGGTCAGGTAATAATGAGAACAAAATCTTTTCAAAATTCAAACAGAATTTTTCAAAAGCTTGCTTATTCTCTTTCGTCTTGGAGAACAACATTCCTTTCCACTTGAGTTCCTTTCTGTATTTAGTAATGACCAAGTAGAGAGTTTCAGCAATAACTTTGCAGTGTGGATGACTCTTATATTCGTTAATGTTTGTTTCAAAGTCCTTCAAGATGACGGATGTATATCTTCCAATTTCATTCTTATAGCTAATTTCCAAGAGCATGTAATAATTAAGGGACCAAATGATAGGATGGACATAGTTAACAACAGCACCTCTTTCTTCAGTAAAGAGTGCAGTCTTTAACCATTCAGTTGGTTGTTTCAAAAGTTTCAACTTTCTTTCGAGTGGAAGTGAAAATATGATAGTATTGAACAATCTACCAAAGTTTGAGCTTACCAAAAATTGGTTGGAAGTCAAATTGTTTTGTGAATCGATAACCAAAAAGTTTTGAGAATTACCACCTGTTGAAGGGATAAAGAATAAGGAATCGCAAACTGTTGTTGGTAATTCCTTATATTTGGCAGTGCCTAAGGTTGTTTTAGAGAGAGCTCCACTCTTTTGAGGATTGAACTTGAGGGCATGTGAAGTGTATACTCTGCTTGGGGCCTTTTTCAAGAGTGTTTTTTGAATGTAATCAGTACACTTTCTAGCCAAGTTACTTTCACCTGGGGTTGAGAGTAAGAACATTTCTTTTAGTTCGGTTTGAGGAATGACATGACCCTTGCATGGCACAAAAAGTCTAGTCTTGAACTTTTCAGCATCTACATTACCAATGAAAATTACACCACCTTCTGTTGGCTTTGTATTCTCCTCTTTCCAAGTTGGTCCTCTCAATAATTGTAACAAATCAGCAGAATCCATATATTGATCATCTCCTTGATTGAACATTGGATGAACAATGAGTTTACCTTCAAATCCACCATTTACCCATGTGATAGGATGTCTATCCTTTGTTCCTCTCACATAGGATATTCCACCATATCGCTCAATATCCCAAATGTTAACACTAAGTCCCAATCCTTCAAATATCTTGATGTAACATAAAAACTCAGGTCTTTGAATTTGCTTATCAGTAAAGAATAATACATCGAATGGATTTTGACCTGGTACAGTAGGGAAATAATTTGGAGTCAAACGGATCATACTTTCAAGGTTTTCAATTTTCTTTCCTCTAAGATGAAGACTAACTTTGAATGGAATAATTTCAAAGAATTGTGCAATATCATTAATTTCAACTTGGAAACTTCTAGAGTAGGTCATACCAGCTTGAATAAAAGGTATATCTTCTTCAATTCCATTTACTCCATTCAAACCAGGCTCATTATGAACAATAAATCTAGGATCAAATACAATATTAAGTTTCAAGTGTTGTCTCTCGCCGACAGTAGAACCATAATTCATCATGGAAATATTCTTAAATGTAACAGTAACAGTGCCTCTCTCTGTTCTTCCCAACTGTGGTGGAGCAAAAATAGCCTCAAATTGAATTGGGTATTGAATAATGTAGTCATTCTTAAGGAAGGCACCTGGGAATGGTGATGTAAGAAGGGTTGCAGATGATTGGACTGGGAGAATTGACTTGTAAGGTCCAACACCCATAGGTTCTGGTGTATCAGAGATGGTACCAAAGAATTGGAATGGTATTGTGAAAATTCCTCCAGGAAGAATAGCTTGATCCAAAACATAAAAAGTATCTGCAGAGAGGAAAGATTGTTGACCTTGAGTACTAGGGAAGGAAATTACTGTTCCTACTGGCAAAATCATACCACCTTGGTTGGATAAAGTGACAGCAGATACAAATACAGTTTCACCAGGTTCAAAAACTCCATCATCTTCAGTTGCAAAGAGTTGGAAAGAAGTAACAAACAAATCAAATACAGATGTACCCTGATCCAAAATGTTATTAGTTATTGGATCATAGACACGGAAGAGTAAACTTCCAGGCATGCCATCTTGACCGTCTTGACCTCCCATACCCCTAAAATTTTTTGAAATTGAATAATGTTTGTTAATAGTTGATACTTACTGTCTTCCTGATTGACCATTTTGACCTGATTGACCACTTCTACCATCTGAACCTCTTTCTCCAGAGCTAAGACTTTCACTATCAACAGGTTGCCCTGCAGAACCACCACTACCACCACTGCCTCCACTGCCACCACTACCGCCATGACCACCACTACCACCACATCCTGGATCACCTCCGTAACCTCTTCTACCAGCCCTACATTCAGCTTGAACAAATTTTAAAAGGGCTGGATTATGTGTTTCAATAACTACACTTCCACCACTTCCTCCATTTCCTCCACTATTGGATTTAAAATTAATTGAGTCTATAAGAAACTTACTTGGCTCCATTTCCACCACTAATAATTGTTGAATAAATTATATGCAACTTTCCAATACTTACTCTGCACCATCTCCACCACTATTAAAATAATAAAATTTAATTGAACTAGCTCACAAATACTTACTTTCCACCACTATTTTCAAAAAATTAATATTCCAAAAATGAAAACATTTCCAAAACTTACTTTCCACCACTAAATGCATTTCATTAGTAAACTTTGATTTCTAAATACTTACTCTCCACCACTAGATACATTTAAATTCACAACTAATTCTAGTAATACTTACTCTCCACCATCCCCTCCATTACAACCTTTATTACCAGATTTACCACTACCTCCACTACCACCGCTTCCACCACTTCCACCATTGCCACCACTTCCTCCACTACCACCATGACCACCACTAAATTTTGAATGAATTATTATCATGCATGAATAGATTACCAGTACTTACTCGCCACCATCTCCTCCATTTGCCAAAAAGACCAAAACCTTTCCAGCTCCATCATCCAAACACAATGTTTCATTAGCAGTACCACTCACAACAATGGACTTGTGGTTAACTCCTTCAATTGTCACTTTAATATTACCAGCGCTCTGTGCACTAGTTCCACTTGTACCACTTCATGAAATAATGATCAATAAAAAGGGTGTCCCAATTACTGCTACTACTTACTGCTCACCATGTGTTGCTCTTCCTCCGCTGGAATATATTAGTATTTCAAACAAATCATTGCTACTTACTGACTACCATTGGTACCATTACCACCTCTCTGACCACTAGAACCCCAAGAACCAGAATTTCCACTCTATTTCATCATGATGATAAAAAAACAATGATATCCTATGGATGATACTTACACTTCCCCAACTTCCTGAATGCCCACTATTAATAATAAGAAAAATAATGATCATCATCAAATAGTATAAACATTTTCATGTTATCCAATAAAAACCCACCTAAAACCCGAAACACCCGAAATTCCAGGTTTCCCAGAAACGTCTACTATAATTGAATTTTTGAGCATTTTTTTTTGCTTTTTAAAAAATTGGATTTTCAACGATGAAACCCCGCCAATTTCCTTCTTTAGAACCGTAATTCACAGGAACAAAGTAGGAACATTTACAGCCATTTGTTATCCTTTGCGAATATTTCAATTGTGTTGTGTGTAACACTTGCAAATGTGAGGACGTTGAAGTTCGCTTGGTTGTGGCAATAGATATATCTCCATGTTGGCCAGATTGTTATTTTTCAATTTCAAAATTGAATTATTGCTTAACTGTTCGCCTTACTTTGGGCTTGAATAAGGATTTACTGGTCATTAAAGCAAAGGAAAACTTAATTTCTCATCATCTGTTGTGGTTTTGAGTCTATTTCATCTTTGATTGTAAATTCCATTAAAAAATAAAAATCAGAATTAAAAAAAATGGATGCATTGTGTTTGGAATTGATCTTTTCCTACTGTTTACCTCATAGTATATTTTCGGTGTGTAGTTTGGTGTGTAGAGAGTGGTCCGAGTTGATCCGATCAAGAGATTTCTTCAAAAGATATTCGAAAATGAAAATGCGATCTGTGGTGGGACCTTTTAATTGGATTGAAATGATGAGTTGTGTCGATTATGAATTTTATGAATTAATTTCATCCTTTTTATATTCGGTCAAGTCTGAAAATTGTCGAATTTTACCAAATCACATTCAAATAATGGTTCCATCGAGTGATCACGATCGGAAATATTTAATTTTCTATGATCGGGAAGAGAAACTCTATAGAATATTGAAAGATGAGAAAGATGAAATGATTCCCTATCATGAAGAGGATGATGGAATGGGTAAAATTAAAGAGCTTGTGAAGAGTGCAAAGGTAGTTTCGGCTAAAATTAATTCAGAAACTTTCTATTCGGTTGATCTTATGCATACCCATACGGAGTGTCAGCAAGAAGGCTTGGAATGGTTGTTGCAACAGCAAACAAAATATTTCGACCATATTCCTACGGAATTCTTTTTCAGTATTTTGGATTTTCACACAAATCCATCAAGTTTTAGGTTTGACAGATTTTGTATAGGAGGGGAGTTGTTAAATGCGTTGAAACATGAAAAAATTCTGCCTGAATCCCATAATACTCAATTCAAGCATTTCAATGTAACAAAAATTGGAACCAAAGCTTCAAATTTGTGGAATTATCCTTACGAAGGAGCACTGGAGAGATTGTTCAATAGAGGTAAATTGAGTAATGAGTTGGGAATTGATTTGATTCATAGAGGATTTGAAATTTCAATGCGTACATTGATTTCAAAAGATTCTCAATTGGCTCTTGATCTAACAGTTGAATATTGTAAAGTGAATCAAATTGATTTGTTGAGGAAGATTGCCATGAAAGATCATGTTCATATTACAAACGCTGTGGAAATGTTTTACTATTTCACATGTTGCGTTTTTCAAATTCCTATCTGGCTCTATTCTCCTTCTAATAGATGGATTGATTATATCAAAAATTTGGATTCTAATATTCATTTTCCATTTGCTTCAAAATGTGAAACTCTATCAGAAGAATTACAAATGCCAAGAGTCTGCCTCCTTGCTAAGAAATCCCTTCAAGATTCCTCTTATGGAAGAATTCAATTGGACAGACTATCTTACATTACGAAGAATTATGTAAAATCTGTGAATATTCAATATATCGAAGAAGATTTAGTGCAATACGATAAACTCAATGAGGAATTTTCACACTATGACTGTATCATATATTGCGTGGAGAGATTAGATACCAGTACTAATAACAAAGAAGAGAAAGGAATTGATTTTAATGTGTTGAAACATTTGGCTGAAAGTGGAAAGAGAATTTGCTTTATGTTTAAAATAGAGAATTTGAAAAACTTCCCAAAATCACCAATTCCATTACTGAAACATGTCAAATGTGGTCTATTTGAGTTTTCTGAACGAAACATTCACACTCTCATTACAGGACGAGATATAGACATTAAGGAAACTAAATATAAGGGTGTTGATCCTTGTCCACCTCCACCAACTCAAAACAATGATGATGATGAAGAAGAAGAATATTATTCTAGCATCTTTTATTAATAGATATTAATGTGAAACAATATTATTGTTGATTGATTGTTTTGAATAATCTTGGTTTGATATCTTGGAAGAGATTACTATTGGAGCTTTCAACTCTTCTTCCTGAAATAATTGTCCATCTTAATTGCTCCAAAAGAATTGGAAATAATTCACTTGGAGAATTTAACTTTTCGGCAATTCTTTCTTGGATGGATTTAATCCAATCAGCTGCTGTTTGATCTTGTTTGAATTCAATATTTTCACCATGAATGAAATGAGCAATTTCCTTAACTGTCAAAGTGTCAGAAGCAACATTAATATCACCAACAATATCCTTTCTGATAGCAGCTTTAGCTACAAACTTTCCAATATCTTCTAAAAAGCTAACATCAACCTTTTCACTCAAATCACCATTGTAATGAACTGTCTTGGTTTCTGTGTCAAACTTGTTGAATAATAAGAAGGAAGCCATATGAGCAAAGATTCCAACATTCACTTGAGTCCATTCTAAACCACTTTGTTTGATAGTTTCAGTAATTTTGAACTTGGCATCATTTAACATACTTTCCTCAGGTTTGAAAAGATTTAAATTCAAACCATAGGTTGTTGGAAGGTACTTTTTTACACCTGCCTTCTTGGAAGCTTCAATGAGTTTCAATTGACCTTGAAGCAATAGCTCAGGATTAGCTGCAAGAGCAGTGATGACTACCTCTTTACCAGACAATGCATTTACGAGCTCCTCTTCACTTGTTGAGAGAATATCCCCAACAATTACATTAGCTCCCTTTTCTTTCAAAGAGGCAACCTTTTCCTCATTTCTAACATGCAAGGTCAACTTGACTTGTGGGTAATGTTCTAAGATTGCTTTGGCAATTTCGAGACCACAATTTCCACCAGCTCCAATAACAATTACAGAAGTGTATTGATTTTGTTGAGTAGAAGACATTATTATAGAATTCTAGGTAATAAATTACAAGAGATATTCAGTTGTTTTTTTGTTGTTGTTTTTTGGATCATGGTTTCAAAATCTCTTCCTTAAATACTGTGTCAGTATAGTTTGGCAATAGACACAAGTAATGATATTTGTGCGTCCTCGTTTAACAGCAAAACGGACACATATGTTGCTCTGTGTCGGAAATGAATCCCGACCAAGTAGTTTTACAAAATAAAAGATTTTCAAGTGAGAACTTTCAAAGATTTGAGCTTATTAATTATTTTCAAACCTTAGCCTTTTCCGAAAATATGGAAATTATTTATAAAATTTCAACATTACATGAATCAATTTGTTTTACAAAGTCAGATCCAAAACATAGGGATGGAGTGAGACAACCACTTTCAATCTTCAAATCGTGTCCAGTGAGAATCTTCAAAGCACTCAAAAGAGCTGATTCGGCAGTGAATAAATAACCTGCTTTTGTTACAGCTCTTCCAGAAACCTTCTTATCACCACAAGTTAAACAACCAGAGATGTGAACTCTATCTTTTTCAGTTTCTTCTGGACCCTTTGGCATGAATATGTCAATAGCTTTGAACATGAGTGGTACAACAAATGGCAAATTGAATAAGAGGAAGAAGAGAATAGTCACAAACCAAATATTGTAAATTCTGGCAACAGTTGGAGCATTCTTTGAGGATGTGAAATAAACTCTAATATTTGGAACTTGAGTACTGACATAACCAGTTGCAATATCACCCCATGGAACTGACATGCAAGTTAAAGATTTGGTATTTTTGGTTGTTTCATCATAAAACTCAAAATCCTTAGCAACAAGTGGATGTGGACCAATCTTGTGATTAACTCTTTCTGGGAATCCCCAAGGAGCTTCCTTCATCATATTGACTGCACTCTTAGTTGTACCTCTAGACATGCCAGATTTACCAGTATTAATTGCAAGTTCAATTTGAGCCTTAGAATCATGAGAAGCTCCCTCACCATACTTTTTATCAAAAGCTTCTTGAAGAGATTTGGCCAAACAATCAGTTGGAACAACATCGAAACCAACCTATGAAAATTAAAGATTTTTCAAAGTTAATTATTCATCTACTTACTCCAGGCATTAAAATGATATTCTTTTGTTTGGCAGCAATTTTACAAGCTTCATTTTCGAGAATACTTTGGAATACAGTATCTATTCGAATTTCAAATAATTATTAGAAATTAATATCAACAAATCAAATGATATTAGAAAGGCTTAAAAAAACAATTCAAACCTACACTCTCCAGTAATATCAATATAATGAACACCAGTTCTCAAACAACTATCAACAACTCTCTTTGAAGTATGAGCAAAAGGTCCAGCAACCAACATGACAAGATCAACCTTTCCAATATGTTCATCCAAATCCCTATCATCCAAACCAAACACTTGATATTCAACACTATTTTCTTCAATTTGTTGTCTCTTCATCATACTTTTAAGTTGTTCTCCCGATCGTCCAGCCAAAACAACTCTATTCAATAAATTAAATTTCTTTACTAATTTTACAACAAGTTCTCCTGTATAACCATAGGCACCATAAATCATAAATTTCTGGCCGGCTGATAATTTGCCGATCAGAGTTTGAATTAATTGATCGTAATTTAAAGACATTTTTTTTGTGTTACTTTTTAAACTTCCGAAAAGTTTTTGGAATTTTTTTCTTTCTTTGCGGAAGGACTAATCGGAGAGAAATTAGGAGAATACTATTGAGATTCTCATGGATTCTAGAAAATAATGGTAAGGTTATGGAGATGGAGATGAAGGTATGTGAATGAATGGCTTAATGATGTTTGGATTTGATTTCTTTAAATCCTAATGTTCTCTTTGTTTGTTCGTAGACTGCAAAGCTTACTGCATGAGCTGGAATTCCCTTAATGAGAGAAGGAATGAAACCTTTGAACATGGCAGAGTAACCTTCCTTTTGGACAATTTTAACACAGGCATCAATCATTCCATTGTAGACCTTGGCTGTCTTGACTTGTCCATGCAAATCCTGTTGAACTGTTTTGGTTGTCACTTTGAGTTGATGAGCTCCTTGAGTAATCATACGAGTGTTCAATACATGGAGAGGATAGAAAATGATTTGACTCAATAGTGAGGAGGCACTACCACAAAACATGAGACCAGTCACTGAAGGATTATTCCCAAAGACTGTAGCACGAATCCATTCATAGCTCATTAAGGAGAATCCTGAAGACCAAATAGTTCCCAAAATGGATGGAGTTAAACCTCTAAAGAATGGTACGACATATCCCTCATGTTGGGCAATTGTCTTGATGGCATCCATAATTCCTTTATATTCATCAGCAGGTGCAACAGATAGTCTAGTTTTTACGACTTCGAGAGGATAGAGAGCCGTATGGCAAGTCACACCTGAAGCTGAACCAGCAATGAAAGTTTGCCAATTTGAACCATGTCCACCATTCATATCACTGAGAATCTTTTTAACTCTCTCGAAAACTGCAAATTTAATGGCCTTCTCTGGAGCAGATTTGAGAATATTTACACCATTACCTCTAAAGAGACCCTTAATTCCACTCTCCATGTACATTTCCTTGAAACCAACCAAGATTGAAGGTGGTTTCCTTGTTTGAACTTGATATAAAATCTTGAGTCTTTCCAATGGAGCTGTAACAGTTTTACTGATAGCACCTGAAAGTGCACCAGCTATCAGTGCTTTAGAAGTATTATTGAGATAGGAGAAATTATTAGTATTTTCTCTAATTGACTTGTCCATAATTATCAAATCGACGTCATCTCTAATGAGAGAAGAGGCATCTCTCCAATATTCTACAATTGAAGCAATATTTACATCTGGAACAAGTGTCAATAAATTACACCACTCTTCAAATGAGATTACTCCATCTCCATTCGCATCAATTCTCTTCATTAATTGTTTAACAACTTGTGGAGCTAGAGGATAATTAGCATTGGTGTCTGTTGATTTTTGAAAAACTTGAGAAACACCCCTAGAAACCTCATCCATATCCAAGAAACCATCACCATTCTTATCCAAATCAGAAAAGATGACACGAAGCTCCGATCTCCTCTTTCTAACATAATTTGAAAATTCCTCGAAGGTAATTCTTTGATCATGATTAAAATCCATCTGATCAAAGGCTCCATTTACATTGGCAGAAGGGAGTTGTAGTTCTCTGATCCCTTTTTCTAATTCTTCCTTATCAATAAAGTGATCATTATTTATATCTAGTTTTTTAAATAATAATTCGAGAGAGGCATCATCTGTGTTATTATTACTACTAGGTGATGAAGAGGAATTTGATGAAATATTGTTGCTGATGGTTGATGGTTGTTCTGTACTCGTCATATTTTTTTTGATTGTGAAAAGAATAATATGAACTGATCCTTATCTCCTCCTATGATCCAACAAAATATAATTGAGCTTGTTCAGCTTTTCACAAGCAACAATAAATATAATATCATCATAAATATTATGTAATGATATTGTTGAATATCAAAGGTAGTTATCATAGATTATGAACTTGAAAGTTCCAAAAACAAATTAATTGTTGTTTTTTTAGAATTTTATTTGATATTTTGGAATATCCAAATAAGAGTGGAAGTCCAAATTTAAAGTCTAGAAGTGTAGGTGTGTTGATTTATAGTTGTGTGTACAAAATGTGGTGTTGTGGTTGGTGAAAATTGGTGTAATGATTGACAAAATTATGCTGTATGGCATGTAAGGGTATAATTCTTGAATCCGGTTGCAATTGTACAATAGCTGCCTCTATTGGCAGTATCCAAATTCCAAAGCTTGACAGTTCTATCATAAGAACCGCTGCATAACCAAGTGTTTTGGTAGGATACAAGACATTTAACAGCATCAGTGTGTCCGATAAGTTGTGACTCTCTATTCCAAGTCTTTGGATCATAAATTGAAATTGTTTGATCCTTACTACCACTACACAATAATCCAGCATGATAGCACAAGGAAAGAACGCCATTTGAGTGAGCCTTAATTTGCTTGATAAATTTAGTACCTGATCTAATATCCCAAATTCTGATATGTCCATCATAAGTACCAGCAACCAAACAATTATAAACAGGATCATAAACCAAAGATAAAACAAAACTACTATTGTCCAATGTCATGATATTTTCAAAGTTTGGACCTGACCAAACTTTTACCTTTCTATCTCCAGAACCACTGAAAAGAGTATTGTCACTTGCACATAAAACGTTAATCCAATCAGAGTGGGCATGAACACACTTTACACATTCTGCCTTTTCTACATCCCATGCACGAATACGATGAGAATTTCCGTCCTTTGAACCACTGACTAAATTACCATAATAACTACATAATGCTCCGACTTTTCCTTCACATCCTGCCAAAACATGTTCACATTCGCCAGTATCAAAATTCCAAATACGAATAGAGTTATCTCCAGAACCACTGCAAATTCTTCCTTGATGGCTGTGTAATGCAGAGACAAATCTAGAGTGTCCCTTCAATGAAAGATAATAATCGGTCAATGCATGCTTATCATATCCTCTCTTGGCATGTTGTTGTTGATTGTCTTGGGCTTGAGTGAATTCATCCTTTGATAAATCATAAACCTTGATAGAACCAACACCACCACCACTCAACAAGTATACAATTTCTCCTCCGGTCTTGTTATGATTAATTACAGGAACTGAAGTAGTGCTATTAGAACTAGCACCTCCTCCAGTACTTGTTGGAGTAGTACTAAGAACTGGGGATGAAGGTTTAATAAGAGAGGAAGGAAGTGTACCATTACTTGCGTCACTTAGGGTTGGAGTACCACTAGATGCAGAACTGTTACTTGCAACACTGCTAGTTGTACTCTTTGGAGTAATGGCAATTGAACTATTATAATATAAATTGTTTGGAGAAGGTGTTGTTGGAGTTGGGAAAATACGACCACTTCCAATATTTGGTGTAATAAATGGAGAGTTAACCAAAACATTATTAGTGCTATACTTTCTTGAACCAGAATTTCCACTTGTTGGAGTCATCATTATTGGTGAATCCATACCAATAGGATTAATCATTTGAATTCTATTTGGTGACATTTGATAATCATTAATATTTTGTGGGAAAAGTGGATCATTAATGGATGATAAACCATTTGAATTATTTACACCTCTATTTGGTGTTGCCAAAACACTCAATCTGTTATTTTGCATGAGATTTGTATTTGGTAAATCATTACCACTTGAACCAAAGCTATTACTTCTATTGTATCTACCTGGAGTTGTTGTAACATTATTAGGAGTAGGAGATTTTCTTGGAGAAATTAATAATTGTTGGGCAGGATTGGTCATGTATGAATAAATACTATTCTCATAAGGAGATGATTTTTCAGGACCTGGGAATGTACTACCAATTGGATCATTATTATATCCAGTCCAAGATGAAGTAGTGCAACTAGATGCAGGTGATAGAGGTCTTTCAAGACCTACATTTGTACTACCATTCATCATCATTTCAGTTGGACTTGGGCTATTACCAACAGTTGAAGTACTATTAACTTTAGTGTTATGCATCTCTTTTTGTCTGTATTCTTCTAATTGATTTTGAAGTCTGGCAATTTCGCATTTGGCAGAATACAAGTCAGAGGATAACCTGGCAATTTTACTTTCCAAGAACATTTTTTCATTCATCCAAGTATTATTTGCAATATGCATTGGAGGAGAACTTAATAACATTGGAGATGTAGAGTTTTGTTGTGGAGAAGTCATACCCATTGGATGATGTTGTTGATGATGTACAGGTGTGCCTAAGATTTGTTGATTTGATTTACCAGAACTGTTACCCATTGACTTTCTACTTTTATGGATTGGTGATCTAATCATAAACTCTTCACTATCTAAATGTTGTGGTGGTGATGATTGATCATTTTCATTTTGATCAATCTCTCTGAGTAAATCCATACCGATAGCATTATTACCATTTGATGCTAGAACAGCTTGATCCATTTCTAACATGGAATTTCTGTCATAATGTTGTTCATGAGAGATTGTTTTACTATCCTCAAGTCTTGACAAGAGTGGTGAAGAGAGATGGTGTTGATGGTGTGGACTTTGGGAGAGACTATTAACTCCCCAAATATTTGTATTATTTACCTTTGATGGAGAGGAGTTTACAATGTTCATCATTGATAATACTTAGTAGTAATATATTCTTTCTTAGTAGATTTTAATAAGTTAAAACAATATTGATATGTATTTACTATCTAAATACTAGTTTGTTGTATATATCTATAAATAATATTTTACTATTATTAAATATTTTTAAATACTTTTCAACAAGCTATTAAATTTCCTAAATAAAGAAATAATTTTTTTTTTCTAGTACTAACAAAATACTGTATTGTAGGATCTTCTCCTTCTTAAAGTATTGTTAGAGTTGGCTAGCAATAGTTACTAACTATTAGTTATTGATGATATCCAAATGTCATATTAGGTATATAGTAGCATTATAGAAAATATGATAATGTTTGAGTGTGCACGATATAATTGGAAAGGAGTTTACCACAATAGGTAAGTGGTAAAGAGACAACATTTCCATAGTACAATAATAGTGTATTATTATTTATAATATATAATTAATCAATTAATTTAAATAATAGTTATAGTTGTGATAATACAATAGTGGTAATAATAGTTGTGCACATTGTCCAGTATCGTGTTTGAATGGTCATAGAGTATGCATGTTACTATTGTTAATGTACGGAATATAATCAATTACTTACACTTGGGTTGAAAAAATCTTCAACAAGCTGGAATATTAAAGAGGTGGATAATAGAGATTTGGTAATTTCATTGTCATAGTATTGTTGTTGAATGGATGGATCAGATATGGTTTGTGTTCCATTGAAGAATATTTGTTAGGTTGCCATCCGGAATTTGATCCAAGTGAGTGAGAGTATCAAATGATACAAGTAATGATGATTGGTAGTGAATCAAAGACACCAAGATGGCCATACAGGGTCCAAGGTTCAAATAATAGAAGTCATGAGTAAACAGGGAATTAGAAATAATTTAGACAAACACACATTATTAAAAACACATACCAATATAAAGAGATCTATTAAAATCACAATATACAATTAACAACTCAAAGACTTCCTATCAGAAGAGGAGCTATTGTTCTCTCTCCAATGAAACCAAAAATGAAATACAGGAATATAAATTGGATTGAAAATAGACTATTGATGATTCCGTATGACAATGTATCTGAATATATATTCAATGAGTACAACTACTACTATTATCTATCGTCAGCACATCATTAAAACACACATTATTTAAAAACATACCTGCTTTGACGGTAGTCGTCGTATTGAATTGTCTTCTGCTACTATCAAAGGCCGGCTAGGAAATTGAAAGTACCTTGGACAGAGAATCGAGATTGTTTTTTTTTAGATGGGTTGTGTTGCAATCATCACTTATTCGCTCTCCCTTTGAGAATATTACACCTTGCAGTGGTCAGCAGCTGCTATTGTTCTTCAGCATTGAAGAGGGAGGTCAAACACAATGCAACAATGCTTGAAAATATTCCTTCTTCCTTCTTTCTGAGAAATCTTCCACCACAGGCCTTTACAGAGAAGTGAAGGAAGAAAAGCTGCAGTTCGATTTTTGCTTTTAAAAGAAAATCAACGAGTCCAACCTCATCATGATAATGTGGTGTGAAGTTAGAGTGTATTATAAAGGTGGATTATCATATTTAATGGATGATGCAAATGTAACATGTTGTGATTCATTCACATATTGGAAGAATCCTCGAAAGATCCGAAAATTCAAATATTAAACGTTGAAGATTTTCAATAATGCAACATCTCCTTTGCACTAACGAGTAATACAATTAATTATTAACAATACTCAGTGGTGTAATATGTTGGTTCAATGAACCGTTTACATATCTCGACATGTTTCATGAATGTTGTAATGAAATGAAGCTTTGAGGGACAAACAAAAACGGGTTGAGTCCAATTTGGAAAGCAGGGGGAAGAAAATTACAATGATCAAATATGATTGGTTCTATGAAATTTGAAAAGGTATTGTAATGTGTTCCAAGAAAATAAGTTCCTTGAAGTTGGTTGTTGTAGAGAAGATCGCTAATTGACTCCCAAACAGGTTACGTTTTTGGCAATCAAGAATACGGTAAATTCTCTCTACTCTTAATGGATTCTGATAATAATTTAAAAACAAATTGCACAGAAGATTCTTAACGAAAGATAAATTTACAAAGTGATTTATTTTGTGGAAATTTCCTTAGAAACAACCAAACTGCCCATTTCATTCACCAAGGTACGATAGAAAGCATTATAGTCAAGGATGTTACCTTTACCTCTTCTTACTTCAACAACTGAGAAACCACCACTTGTTTCTTCAATCTTAATACTAAATGTTATAGCAGCTTGATTTACAGTGGCCATACACTTAATTTCATCGTCACCCTTTGTGGTTGGTTTGGCCTTCATTTTATCGAGTTTTGAAACGATGGCTGTTTGACATTCTTGTTTCTTTCCTTTAGCCATAAATCTTGTTTGTCTCTTAATTTTAACAGATGCATCCGAAGACATGAGTGGATTCATAGAACCCATCATTAACATGGAAGCCAAATCGAAAGCATTCAGAGTATTGACCTTAGTTTGAGAATTTTGAGCTGGTTGTGTTGATGATTGAACTTCAGTAACATCTCCAGTACTTTTAACAGAAGCATCAATTTCCTTTTCAGTCAAACTGATCTTTGATGTAACTCTATCAAGTTTGAATCCAACCTTGAACCATTTATGTTCCATAATTTGTTCAACAGTAATTCTTTTTTCTGGATCTACAACAAGCATTCTACTAATAAGTTCAGTTTGGGCACTTGTAAAGTGAGGTGGATAAGAGAATTTTCCTGATTCAATCTTGGCAAACAATCCTTTCATTGTATCATCTTCAAATGGTAAATAACCAGCCAACATGACATACAAAATAACACCACATGACCAAACGTCGGCCTTCTTTCCGTCATAACCCTTTTCCTTCAAAACTTCAGGAGCTATTAAGGTGGTTCAAATATATTACATTTTCGAAATTATTACTACTAGCAAAATTTAAAAAACATACCAACATAATTTGGTGTACCACAAGTTGTCATCAACATCTTTTGTTGTCCTGATCCATCATTACCGGAGAGTGCAGATAAACCAAAGTCACTAATCTTTAAAACATCTTCACCATCCAACAATAAATTTTCTGGTTTCAAATCTCTGTGAGCAATTCCTTGAGAATGGCAATATTCAATACCTGAAATCAATTGTTGGAAGTATTTTCTTGCTGTTGTTTCATCGAATCTCTTGGCCTCAACTATTGATCATATTATGTTGTTTTATATAGTTTAATAATATTATCGTCATCATCATTAAATATTATTATTAATATGATTGGATATCCGTGTTGTGTGATCAAAAAGCAATACAAATAATTATTAATATTGTATTGAATACAAAAAAGATACGTACCAATTCTGTCGAACAATTCACCACCAGTAATCAATTCCAATACAATATAAATATGTTTAGAGCTTTGAAGAACTTCTCTCAATTGTACAACGTGTTTGTGTTTTAAAATTTTCATGATGGCAATTTCTCTCTTGAGCTGGGCTTCCATGTTTTCTTGTTTGACCATCTTTCTATCGATAATCTTGATAGCCCAGTGAGAGTTATCAGTTGTATCTACAGCTAATTTAACCTTTGAAAAAGTACCTCTACCGAGGGTTTTTCCCAATTGATACTTTTCGATTTTCTTAGGCATATTTAATATCTACGGCTGATGAATTTTTTTGAGAGTAAAAATCAATACTGTGTAGCAGCTGATGATTTTGAGTATTTTTTTTACTGTTGATTGGAGAGTTTTATTGTTGTTATTGTGTCTCTGTAAGTGAGTGAATTGTTGTTACCTTTCATTATCTAATACTCTCTGAAGCAATCAACAATGCAATGCAGGAAGAAGAGATATAATATCTTCTTGTGTTGGTTTCCAATGGAAAAGAGATTCGACTCAGTATTACAAGGACTTTGTAACAAATGTTTTAATATTCGTGCAGTCTAATTGGTTCATTCTATTTGACACCTGTTGCGAAACTTGACAAGTTGGAAGGGAAAAGTGTCCAAATCAATTCTTTCACTGCACACAACCAAATTTGAGGGTGGTAAAAATTAATGTCATTGAATCGTAAAGGATTAAAGGTACCTCAATACAGAGTGATTTTTCTGATAGGCTTGCAATATTTCATCAACTGTTAGGAGATTATCATTATTGGAATCAGCCATTTCCATCAGCTTGGTTGCATTTTCCTCAATTATTTGTTTGATATTAGGATCATTTACATCGTTTCCTCTCGCTTTAAATGCATGAGCTCTTTTGTAAATCCAATTATATTTGAATAAATAGCTTCCAAATTTAAACACTTACGTGCATTCCATTATATTTTCCTTAGTCACCTTACCAATATTGTCTTTGTCATAAATTTGGAAGAAGAACCGTATTAATTGCTCAGGATCACTTTCTTTGGCAGTAGGTCTCTACTATTTGATCTAGTTCTTATTACTACTTATAATAACTTACAGTAATAGACATGAAAATCTATTATTTGTTATTAGTTTCCAAAATGTTTGAATCACTTACAAGGTATTCCTCAAAATTGACAAATCCATCCTTGTTCGTATCCATGGCTCTAAACAAATCATCAACAATAATTTCTGGAGATGATATTCCAGGTTCTGATTTGAGAAATTCACAAAAATTATTCTTTTGAGCTTTCCCTGTTGGATACCACTTGTACCACTCTGCAAATGTCACAAATCCAAATCATAATTAATTATTGATTTCACAATATTCACATCAATTAATTAAAAATAGCATTTCCTATCACTAATACCTACGTGTGTACAATCTCTGAATTTCATTTATTGAAAATGCGTTATTAACTTGTTTTTGATATTTTAACATTTCAATTTCGTCGTCAGCATCCGAAGAAGCTTGACTGTTACTTGAAATGTGATTGCTTTGAAGTATTTGACCCATTTTTTAATTGTAAAATAATAGAAGAGTTCCAACATAGCTCAATTCACAAATTGTCGAATATTTCGAATGAACAATAGATTTATCATAAAAGTGATAATTTTAATTACTTTTGTTTTGATTGGTCAAACATTCGACGTGCTGACATATAGGAATCGTACATTGACTTGACTTGTGATTCTGAAGACCCATTTTGCTGTGAAACCCTTAAATCAATATCGGAAACAGTTTCGTGTGACTCGAAAAATTCTGTCAATACCCTTAAATTATCAACAACAAAATTGTAATCCCTGTACACCACCTTTTTTTGATCTCGCTCAATAACATGAGCAAAATTTTCCACATCAAATACAGGAAGGTAATCACCAATGTGGCCACAATCAAAACCAAATCTACCATCCTTTCCATAGGTCAAACCACCATGCACATGGCATTGAATGTTTTCGTAACATTTATTGAACATTGGGTGATGTTTTGGCAATTGAACATATCCTGTCCAACAAAGAAATGCATTTCTTTTCAAATAACAATCGTAACCACCTAACACAACGTGAAGTTCTCCATCCTTGCATGGATGTTCTTCGTTATCCCTTTCGAACAGCTCCTTATTATCCATTTTTTTTTGTTATATGATAACGACTGCATAATTCGTGTCTATTTTAAATGTGCATTCCATGTACCAAACATTCGTTTTGATTGATATTCAAAGTGTAAATGCAAAGAGGAATTTGCATTCGTTTCCTTGACAAGAATAGAACAATTTAACGAGAATGATCCTGTTTACAATGTTAAACTTCTTCAGTGGAAAAGCTTAATCATTTTGGATGACCAAACCATTAAATGATATTTTTTAAACCAGTGTATGTTTTTGAATTACTGTAAATGAGAACCTTCAAATAAATCTAATACGTCATAGGACAGTAGATGGATCTCTCAATCCAGAGCAATTTGCCAAATTAATATAAAATACCAACTAGGAAAAAAAAGTCACCAATATAAATTATCTAATGGACCAAACCAACAATTCAATATTAATACTTTTTACATAAAACTTTATTTTTGTAACCCAGAGGCAGTATTAAATCTGAAACATTTATCCACTCAACTTCATCATTGCTGCAGAACTTCATCCAGGCGCAAGAATGTCGAAGGAAGCGTATTATTAATTTTCCAACACAAAAAAATATTGCACCCTCTACGCCCGCACGCAAGTGAAAGAAGAATCATTTAAAATTGGTTCATTCCAAACATCGAACCGTTTTATTTTTAAGTCATCACAAAAGAAATTTCATCTATTGTTTGAATAGGTGCCCAACCTGAACAGCATTCTCTCATTTGTTTACCTTTACTCCGTATTAATCGTCATCAATATAACTTAGCCGCATCATCACACAACTTTATTTTGAAATGAATCAACAACAACAACAACATTTTGTACATGCTGCTACTTCCTCCTTTTCTAATTATCCATCCCAACAACAACAACAATCACTAATGCGAACTCCATCATATCAATACCAAAATATTCCATCATCAGATTTAAATCAAATACCAATTCAACATCAACACTACACTACTCAGAGTAATAACACTAATAATATATATTCTAACAATAGTAATAACATAATACAACCAACAACAAATAATGTTTTTGATTATAACACTCCACCACTAAAATCACATTTACATTCTACAGGGGGATCCAATAATTCTTCATATTTTCAAAATTCTCAATACAATAATTTTGGTCAACCACAACAATCTATGCACAATTACCATCATTATGGAGGAACAACTAGTTATAAATCACCAACACACAATAATTCATCAGGGTTTAGTGTTCATCCCTCTCAAGACTTGTCATTCAAACAACAAGAAACATTTTCCAAACACCTAAATAATAATCAATCTCCAAATGTTGTACACAATTACTATCCTACTGCAACTGTTACACCTCAAACTTCTAAAATTTCTCTTGATAATTCTCCTAAACAACATAGTCAACCAACAAAGGCCTCCAACAGATTCAGTGACAACTTCCTATCAATCACCTTCAACCGCCTTTACTCCAACAGAACTATCGAAAACCAAATCACCTTCCAAAACTCCAACAAACTCCACTGAATCCAATGAAGACTCTGCAAGTGAGGAAGAATCTACTAATTCACCAAATGCAAGAAGAGCAAAGAAATCCACACGTGCTTGTGAAGCCTGTAGAAGACATCACCGTAAATGTGACGGAGGTAGTCCTTGTCAAACTTGTAGTGGGAAGGGGATTAGTTGTGTATATACCGAAAGAAAAAAGAGAGGTCCAAAGAATGAGGCAACCAAACTTTTAAAGAAAGAAATTGAGGAACTCAAAGAAAAGCTTATGGTGAGTGAAAGAATGAAATGTGAATGGGAACAAAAATGTAAAGAATTGGCCAAAATGGCAGGTATTTCGATAACACTGAACGATCAGAATATGCCTATGTTTAGTAATTTACAAAACGATCAAAATAGTAATACTATGGCCTTCTCCAATACTCAGCAAACAACCATGCAGAGTAATGATCAAAGTTATCCTATTATATTCGATAGCAGTGGAGCTGTTGATAATTCAAATCCTCTTTCCACAATTCCAGTCTTCTCAATTTCACTCTCTAATGAAGAGGAAAATAATAAGAAACGAAAGAGCGTAGAGAATAATCTTGAAAATCTGAAAAAGCAAAAATTTGACACCACTAACAGTAGTACAGAAATTGAACATTTGGATTTGTCACAGAAAAATACAGATCCCATTCCAACGGATGGTCAGAGGTTTGCCCTCTCTACAATGGTTACTCGTTTCATTAATATTTGGGATAAATTTGTCCATCCATTCCATTCCTTACTCCCTCCAAAATGGCAATCAGCAATGCCAGATCTTCTCTATGATATCATTAGAAATGATGGTGTCAACTCTGAAAATACCTTCTTCATGTACAGTTTATTATGTAATTCTGCTCGTTCTCTAGGAGATATCATGCTAAGTAGAGATTTGCACCATAAAGCAATGACATTGTACCCTCTTCATATGAACAACCCAGATCCTCGTGTAGGGTTTGCCTTGGTGCTTCTCTCCTATTACTCAATGTCTGTTGGTAGTTTGAGAAAGGCAATTGCTTATTGTAAGGATGCTCTTCGTATCTCTGAGGTGTTAGACAAACCACAACTCAATCTTCAAATGAACGCCTTCCTCTCTATTGCATCCATTTCAGATGACTATGAAGAAAGAAAAGTGAACTTTAGGCGACTGGGACAAACTAAACAAATTTGTGATGTAATCATGTCTGTCACGGGTGAAGTTCAAAATGAAATTACACACGGTGGTAATACCAATTATAAGGAATTGATTGCACAAATGGCTGACTTGCTTCGTCTCAAGAATATGTCCTCTTCTAATGTTACCTTAATGCATGAAATTGCCATTTATGGTATTTTAATATTGTGTCTTCATAAGGCAGGATACAGAGATCTTGCCCTTAATTACGGAAGAAAATTATTGGAAATTTCAAAAGACACTAACTTTAAACATTGTTGTATTGGTACAAGCTCAAGTGCCATCGCTCAAGCAGCCACAATGTTCCTAGACTTTGAAGGATATCCAGAATTTTATGAGTGTATGTCCATTATGGATGAGTTATCAGTGAGGTATGAACTTGCTGGACTCATGAAAAAGGATGTTGAGGAAAGATTTGTACTCATGTCGAATCATCTTTCCTCAGGAGGTAGCAGCAGTGGAAGCTCTCATACCAATAGCCCAAACATGCAATTCTTGTAAATATTAAACAATAGGAGTCCAATCTAGATTTGTAGTGTGAATCAAAGTATTGTAAATTGAATAGTGCTTATTCCAAACAATCCAAATTCGAATTTAGTGGTTGACTAGTCTGCAATGTTGTTCAACATGATCAACTAATGGGCGTTAATAAAAGAGGGAATATTCATCAACAAATTAAACCAGATATCAATAATCAAAGTTCTAACTCACCAAAAACAAAAATTATTCAACACATTCCTGTCAAGTATTTTGAAGATTCCTTTTTAGAACCACTTACCATAAAGATATGGGTTTCTTGCCAATTTAACATAGTGACAATACAACACGAATACACAATCAAAAAAAATCAAACAACAACCAAAACCTCACAACCACAAACATGTTTATTTCAACATCAACTGAAAACGACTTTGTCCCTCAAACTGAAAGAAGAAAATCCCTCAGAAAATCATTGAGACTCTCAGTCAACCTTTCGAATAGTGGCTCTGCTTTCGAAGATAAACTTTTAATATTCATCAGAGGAAAACAACAACGAAATATTTCACTAGGCGTCTACCCAAAGCAAGGTCTCTTACTTCAAGTATTGAGAGAGGAATTTTCTGATAATAGACTTTCGTATTTTTATGATCCAGTGGAAAGGAAAGAATTGGACTATAACGGACTATGGGAAACTACAACTAAAACTATTCTAGTACTAGAGGATGGTGATGATGTAAATGCTCATGTCTATGCTTTCCAAAAAGGTGATTCAACATTTGGCATTCATCACACAAATCAATAAGAACAACAATTCTTACACTTTATTCGAAACTAATCATATATAAACAAAATACATTCCTTGCACAAAACATTCACAATACATATTACTATCGTTTACTTGCATGTTCATCACCCTTTCGAATAGATAACAACAACTATTTCTAATAACCCAGGAATGGAACATTCAACTCGTTCCCTCTCTTTTCTCAAGAGTTGACTGAAAACTCAAAAAAAAAAGCCTTTTTCGTCTGATTTTCCGACATCCATCACAACAACACAGCGAATTTATTAATAATCATCATCAACACAATATTGAAATTCCATAGCCATTATCCATCATCATCATCATACAATTAAAACAATCATTAACATCATCAATTAAATTGTTTTTATTGTTGTTGTATTATATTGGAAAAATAGAAGAATTTTAAACTTCATCATCATCACCATCATTATCTTTATAAAATTCATTCTAAATTTTGAAAAGATTGAAGAATCAATTGGATCCAATGGCAGCTCTTGGACTCATCTATTTTGTATGTACACTCTTTATTGGAGTGGCTGCTTTTGTTTGGAGAAAATTCTTTTCTTCGAATGCTAATAATACGACAACAACGACTACAACTTCTTCATCATCGACATCGACATTGGGTGATGAGTTGGTTCAGAAAGATGTTTCTTCTAAAGTTTCACCTAGAGTATTGGAAACTGGAAGAAAGGAAGAGGAAATATTGGATGAAACATTGAAATCTGTATTGGAGGAATCTGGTATATTTATTGAAACTAATGATGTGAAGGAGGAACCAATTAGTGTGGAAGAATCATCAGACGAAACCTTGTCGGAAGTAAAGACAGACGAAATTCAAGAAGAATTGGAAGAAGTTTCTACACCACAACAAGAAGAAGAATATCAAGAAACATTTACTGAAGAAAAACAAATTTCCATACCAGAAGAGTTATCGGAAACTTGTCAAGAGGAAATTCTGTCCCAAACCAAAGATATTACCGACATGAAAGAGGAAGAACATTTGACTGATATCACAGAAAGTCAGCAAAAGGACATCACAGAAGAAGAAATAGTGGAAGATTCTACTACAGCAGTGGAGGACAATGCTAAGGAGAGCATTGTTGTTCCAACAATTGTTACAGAAGTAAAAGAGGAGAAATCAGAACCTAGTGAATTGTACATAACTTGCCTGATTGTATTGCAGGCAATTATTCGAGGATACTTACAAAGACATTCAATGGGACAAGTGAAAGAAACTCTCTCAATGATAACACAAGGACTGTTAAACTCTTTCAATATCAGAAGTGAACTTGAAGAAGAAAAGAACAGTTTGACAACAATGCAATCAATTGTGAGAAATTCCAACTCTGTTAGGAAATTTATGGATGAAAAACAAAAAGTACAACTCATTCAAGCTTTTATTCAATCCAAGTTGGAATTTGTGAAATCTTCGGAACAAAAAGACAAGGTAATAGAATTGCAATCCATACTCAAATCAAAGCTCTTAATGAAGAATCTAAAGAGTTTATTAGAAAGTGTATCTACATTACAGAGCTTTTTGCATTCTAAAATAGTAGAGGAGAATTATGTGAGTACTGTATCAACAATCCAATCTCTGCAAGCAAGAGTTCGATCAAACTATGAATCCAAACAAGTGGAAGAAGGTTTAAAGAGCTTGGAGATTTTGCAATCCAGATGCTTGAAATCTATAGTAGAAAAGGATTTAAGGAATCAATTAGAAAAAATCACCATCCTACAATCAAAGGCACGCACATTTATTATTGGTAAAAAGTTAAGAAATGAAATTGAGAATTGTAAATTAATTCAAAGTGCTTGCACAGCATACTTGAAGCAAAAACAAATTCTCCATTTAGAAAACTTATCATCAATGATTCATTCATTTGCTGCTAGTAAGCAAGATAGACTCAACTATAGAAATAATGTGGATAATGTCAAAACTTTGGAATCCGTTATGAGAGGATACTCCCAAAGAAACAGTATGACAAATGTATTGCACGCCATTACAGACCTGCAATCTCATTTAATTGGACAAAATTCAAGAAAGTCGTTGCATAAGAGTATTGACAGAGCCAACACACTATTGGCTCTTTCTAAGGCAAAATGCTACAAGAAATCATTAATGGTTGACAAGTCACGACTCGTAATATTACAAGCACTTGCTAGATCGAGCATTACCAATAGAAAACTGAATGCCAAACAAGCAAGCGAAGAGGACTTGGCATTATTAGTCCAATCTCTACATAATGGTTCAAAGTTGAGATCAGAACATTCCGAGAAAGTGAGGAGTGTAAACCTCATTAATAGTTTACTCTCAGCAACTAAATCAAGAAATACTTTCAACAAAGAAAAGCTCTCAATTCAAACCATTCAAGCAGCTCTCAACAGCCACAAAGTCCAACATTTACACTCGAACGACATGTCCAACATTGGCCTTATTCAATCTGTGATAATTGCAAAAAAGGCAAATGATGTCAAAACTACAGCAACCAACAATATAATTCTCCTACAATCATTAATAAGAGGAAGGCAAATTCAAAAAGAAAAGTCTCACAACCTTGATCATGCACATGTTTTGACAGCTTTCAGCAAAGGAAGATTGATGTTACACCTTTTCGAGTCACAAGTAGCTACCACCACCAAAATCCAAAGTTTTACTAGACAATACACATCCCGAAAACAAATGATGAAAGAGATTGATAATGTTTGTCTCTTGGAATCTTTGTGCACTGGGTTTGTGGAAAGAAGAAATCTTTCAACAGAAATTTCTAATATTTTGCAATGTCAAAGTTTGATTAGAGGATTTATGACAAGAAAAGTCAGAGTTTCGGATGATCAAATTGATCAATTAGAGAAGAAAACACATTTCGTCTCCATGATACAATCATCTATGGATGGTAGAAATATTCGAAAGATTAGAGAACAAGCAGCTGCTCATGTGAAACTTTTCCAAGCTGTTTCTAGGGCCTTTTTAACACTAGACAGCTATCAACAACAACAAATCATCTCCTTGCACTTGCAATCTATTTGTAGGAGTGTTATGGAAAGGAAAGCACTTTCAACTGACTTGAATAATCTTCTTGGGTTGCAAGCTCTGTGCAGGAGTAGATTAATTACTAACAGGTCCAAAGTTGACAAAAATAGAGTTCAAATAGTGCAATCAAATATTAGAAGATATTTGGCACACAAACACTTGGATCAAGAAAAATTGAGAGTAGCCAATTTACAAAGTTTGATTCGTGGATTTGCTAACAAACAATTTGTCAAGGATCAAATTGCTAGAGTGACAGTTATGCAATCCATGACTAGGGCATACTCTTACAGAAAACAAATGAAAAATTCACAATCTAGAATCAATATATTACAAGCTAAGATAAGAGGATATTTAGAAAAAACAAGAATTGAAGGACAAAACTCTCTTTCTAACAATCTAGGATCTGTCATGAAAGGATTTGCCCAAAGAGTCAAGCTATTCAAGGCAATAACCAGCACTATACCAACTATTCAATCCTCTGTAAGACAATTTGCATTGCGTAAAGGAATTAGTGAATCATTGGGTGCTATCATAAATATTCAATCACTGTGCAGAAAACACTTGCAAAGTGAAAGCAAGCCCCTCTCTTTGAATAGAATATTATCCCTTCAAGCACTAATTAGAACATACTCTAAGGGAAAACACACAAATCAACAGTTGGGCAAGATTCCATATATTCAAGCTCTTTTCAGAGGAAAGCAGGCAAGAAAAACCATTGTCAAATCCTCAGATGTTTCACCTATTCAAGCAGTTGCTAGATCACTCAAACAGAGACGTGTTATGGAACAATCCGAACAAGGTATTACCAAAATTAGTGCAGCTCTTCTTGGTTATTCCAAGAGAAGAGAACTATTCCAAAGTATGAAGAACATAACTCACTGTCAAACTATTCTTAAAACAGTGCTTTCATCCAATGATTTGAGAAGCCAAACGAAACAGTCTCTTGATTTGATATCTAATTTGCAACAAAAGCTTAAAACTAGATTGGAATTGGAACGTTTTGAAAAGAAAAAGAAAAGTAGCCTACTTTTACAATCTTTGGCTAGAGGCTGCACTATACGAAAGTTTATTAGAAACTCTGTCAAACCTTCAGTTGAACTTATTGATTCACTCTGTATTGGTCACATAGAAAGAGAAAACCACAGAGACAAAGTTGAAAAAGCAACATTATTACAAAGCATCAGCAGAAGAGCCCAAGCATGCAACCAAATTTCTGAACAAAGACAAAAGTTATTACTTCTTCAAGCAGCTTTCAAATCATGGAAAACTCGAGATACTTTCAAGAAGGAACTAGAGGATAAAATTATTCACGAGCTTGAAGATAAAATTAAGAGAGTTGTTGTCATTCAAGGCTTTGTAAGAGGTTACCTCTTCAGAAGAGATAACTTACTCTACACAAAGAGGAGACAGGAATCCCCAACTCAACAAATTAGTGAACTACCTTCCACTGCTGAAATTTTACGTCAACTCTATCAAAATGATGAGTTTGGAGACAATGAAGATAGTGAGGAAGAAGTACAACTGGAATATCCAGAAGAAGCTGATGACATTCCAGAGCCAGTTATAATTGAGGAGCCACATGTTGAAGTAACTGTTAATAGTTTCCTGGATACTCCATCTTCTCCTGAGGAGCTACCAAGTATTATTCCAATTCCTCTTCACAGAAGGACTTCCAATGCACCACTTCCTGCTATCAATATTACAGCATCCACCCCAACACCAACAACAACCGTAACTCCTTCTGTATTCTCTAAAGAACCAGTTGGTATTACCTCCTCAACTAAAAATACTCGTCTTCCAAGTCAAAAACCTCCAACCAGAAGACAACTCATTCAAAATATTATTGAGGAATGTAAAAGAACAAAGAATCCAGTCTTGAATCTGTCTGGTTATGATTTGGAAACTTTACCATACTCTGCCATTGATTGCAAACATGTCACAGAACTCATTTTGTCTCAAAATAATCTTGTCACTTTACCTTCATGGTTTGTTGATACATTTAGTGATTTGAAAGTGTTAGACTTGAGTGGAAATCAACTTTATGAGCTTCCAATTGATTTGGCAAGGCTTTCATTGACAAGTATTAATTTGAGTAATAACAAGTTGGAATTTTTACCTCAAGCATTGAACGAAATGAACACATTGACCAAGATTGATATTAGCGAAAACGTGCTTCTCAGTTTACCAAGTACTATTAGTCATTTGGTTAATGTTGAAGAGTTGGATATTTCCAACAATTACCTAATGACATTGCCTGATGATATCAAAAAATTGAAAAAGCTCAAGAACTTCCAATATTATAATAATGAATATCTTCAATCTGAAATTTCTAAAATTGCAGAGGTCATTAGCGCAGTATCTGGAGAAAAAGCAAAGACCATTATTCAAAAATTGAGAAATGAAGACAGCATGGGATATAAGGAAATTGGCTTATCCAACAAACATAAGGAAAACAACTTATTCTTGGATCCTTATGATCTGACAGATATGTCAGAGGCAACTGAAATGTATAATGGTGAAGATGGTGAATCAGATTATAGTATGACAGATGATGTTGTACTGTCTCCAAGATTAATGAGAAATAATTCCTCTGCCACTATGGTAGAAACAGACACCACTTCAACTCCAATGACACCAATATCTGGAAGAAATAATGACTATCTGGATACACCTCCTACTCATACACTTTCTGTAACAACAGAAGAATATGGAACACCATGTATCACCCCACCAGCAATTTCAGATTCAGATTCTGAATCTGATGTCACCCCACCAAAATACAATCCACCTGTCACTATTCCTCAAATCAAATTAGAAGTTATTGAAAATTTGGATTCACCTTCATCATCTCCTGCTGAACATTCTCCAATTTCTATGCATCCTCCAAAAGTAATCATGACTGAAGAGGATAAGAAGGTCAACTTTGGACAACTCAACAAGGAAGGAAATGAAAAATCCTTGACAGATGTTGTTCACATGGAGCATCCACTATTTGCTACTCCAAAGATTAGACCAGTTAGTGCCTCCTACAAGAAGGTAGCACTTGAAGAGTCTGAAGAAGAAAGAAAAGAAAGAGAAGCAAAAGAAAACAAAAAATCAAAGGAAAGAATTAACATGGTTCTTGAAATTCTTGAAAGTGAAAGAAAATATGTCAAATATCTGGATGTTTTGTGGGATTTATTCTATGAACCAATTGTAAATAACTACTTCCCAGCTGATAAAAATAAGAATCCAGAAGAAAGTGAACGATTGGTACCTAAAATGATTGCCAAGAATTTCTTCCCTAATGACTTGCTTACCATCAAGACTTTCAACAAGAACTTCCTTGTCAAACTTGAAGACAGATTTAAGATTTACAAAGGTGATCCAACAAAGATTTATGACATGTTGATTGGAGACTTGTTTGAAAAGATTGCTCCATTCTTTAAAATTTACACTTCCTATCTGAGTTCATACGAATCTACAATGAATAAGATTAGAGAATACAGAGCTGAAGACAAGATTTTTGACAAGTGGCTTGACAAGAGGAAAACCCATCCAAGATGTGCAGGTTTGGAAATTGGTAGCTTTTTAATTATGCCAGTCCAAAGAATTCCAAGATACAAGTTGCTATTGGAAAATTTGTGCAAGAATACACCCCCAGATCATGCCGATTACTCCAACTTGATATCAGCCATTGAGAAAATTACAGAATCTGCCACTACTCAAAATGCTAAAATTAAGGAAACCAACAATCGTATCAAAGTTTATCAATTATCCAGACTAATGAAATTGAGTGATTTAGTCCAACCACACAGAAGATTGATCAGAGAGGGTGAAATTGTTTTTGGAGATCAACCAAAGATTGAATATAAGGCCTATCTCTTCAATGACATTTTCGTATTCAGAGAAAAGAAGAGACAAAAGACCAAAGTTGCCAAATCAGTGAAAGCTTACTCACTTCTCGATGCATTCATTAGTGGAGGTGGTCAGAATAGACTCTCCATGATTCTACTCAACGCAGAAAAGAACAAGACAGTAGAAAAGGAAATCCTATTCCCTTCACATGAGGTTAAAATGGAGTGGGTATTGGAAATTGAGAAGGCACTCGAAGAGGTCAGAGAAAAACGTGAACTCATCTCGAAAGGAACAAAGGCCATCGTGAGAACTAGTAGTAGAGCTGGTAGATTTTTCAGAGCTCTCAAATCACCAGGTAGAAAGGGTGATCTCTCTCCAACCTCTTCAAATCTTTCCTCCACCACTATTGGTCAACCTTCAACTCCATCAACATCTGCTCCTGAGCTAAGAGGCGTTACCAGAACCAATTCCACTGTTTCAGATCAATCCACAACAAGTGTTGTCTCCAATTTGTCGGTCATTTCATCAACCTCTAATGTTGCCTCTTCCTCAACTTCCTCTCTCAGCAGTAGTAGTGATGGAAAGAAAAAGTCAATCCTCGGTAAAATCATGATGGGATTTGCCACCAACAAGAAAAAGTAACAAGATCACAACATTCCCAAAAATGTAAGGGTTTTGAAGGTTTTGCTTCTAATTGACAATTCCAAATCAAAACAGAGAAAAGGAATTGCACCTTATGACGACTGTAAAGTCAAAGTCCATGGTCGTCCACGGAGTTGAAAAATTCAATGTTGTGAAGAAGAAAAAAAAACAAAATATGAACATTTACATTGTCTCACTACTTGTTGCCATGATATTGGGAGCTGGGTGTTTGGTGGAAGGAAATAAACCATTTTTATTGGGTTTCTATGAGGAGAATTATGAGAGATTCGTTGGCAAGTTTGACGTGTTGGATTTTGATAAACTAAGAATTTCACAAATGAAGGTACCTTCATTCTTGGATTTCAAGTGGTCAATTGGTGTTACTAACACAACGGCAGCTCCATTGTGGCATTTGATTGATGTTGGCGAAGTTGATTATGGACAAACTGTTGTTTTCAACAGCAAGTTGAATATTGTTGAAAAGCAAAAAAGCCACTTTCCACCACATGACACAATTATTGATACTGCATTCGAGGTTCCTTCTTTTGAAGGAGTAGGATACATGCTTATTAGAAATGCCTCATCTAATAGCATGAGAGTAGACAGAGTCAATTTGAAGTTGAAAACACATACAGTGGCGAATGTAATTCCAACACTAAATGCAACTCATATATCAATTATTTATATGAATAGAGAACGTTATCTTATCACCTCAAATCTCAAACAATTGTCCTTTTATCACATTGAAAAGCAATTCCAAAAGATTGCTGACATTGTCACTGATTATCCAGTGCAAGGAAAGTTTTTCTATAATGCTAATGATGATGCAATCTATGGTGGTTTGTTTAGAAATGAGTTGTTTTGGGTTGTTAGGTTTACCCTGGACTTGGTTAAGAAAACTTCAAACTTTGATCCTTACTATGTTTGGAAAACTCAATCCAACAATGTTAATTTATTGGGAATTGTAGAGGAAGTTGATCACATTTATTATACTCCATTAATGTTGAAATGTTTACAAGTACACTAATTTCAAATCCACAACAATAAACATTTGAAAACTATTTTACTTGGCTGATTGACTTTGTTTTTGAGAGCCTCCTTGTTGAGTGGAATTGGAAGATTCCTCTCTCAATCTAGCTCTATATTCTACATTTTCCAAAGTAATGGAACGAAGAATAGGGAAGAAGGAAACATCTTGCTCATGAACACAATTACTCACATATTGTTCAGAACCTGTATATTCTGTCTTTGGTTTTCTATTCAAGTGAATGAGGAAGAAGAGATAGTTCCACATGTTGTGTTCCTTTCTGACGTGATTGTTAAAAGTAATACCTTCGTTGGCCTTTTGGTCAAATCTAGCCCTCTCAATATCGCAAATGAAACACTTATTCTTGAGACGATCTTCAGTCTTTTCACGATTTTCTCTCAACTCGGCAAATGATTCCAAAATAATACCGAAAACTACTTCAAACAATACGACAATAACAACCAAGATGAAGAGCATGTTGATAATTTCTCTTGTCCAGATTCCCCAACTTGGTGTGAACTGATCTTCGAAGAAACCACCTGTTCTCAAACCATAATTCAACGTATTTAGCATACAGTCAGCTGCTGAATCACATAAGAATTGCTTATCAGAGTTATCACTCTTGAGATAGAATGTTTCTGGTACAAAGGCGAATATCATGAGGGAGAAGAACCAAATTGCCACAATCATGAGCATGCTTGTTAAAACGAAACGTTCTGCTGTTGTTTGAATACTGAGCACAATATCATACAGTGTATCAAAACGAACTACAACTTCAAACAAGTGAATGGCATAGACAATAGGATTAACTGTCAGACCCAATACTGAAACTACCCAATAGACCACAAGGAAGGAAACGTAAAAGTCTTTGGCTAGATATTTGAGGTAATTCTTATAGAATTGTCTATCTCTTGGTAAATCTTCCCACTTCTCTCCCATTTTCAACTTGAATTTCTTCTTAACTTCCAAAGTTGCAAAGAAGTATAAATAGGTACCAAAAAGCAAGGACGTAGTTACTAATTGAATGACACCGAGAACTGTCTGAACGTAATCTAGCCAATCTGTTTTCCAATCACCTTGATATTGGAAACTACCAGTAGTGGAATCATCTGGATCGGAATAACCAGGAAGTGGAATATCTCCAGGAGTGACGGCATACATTTTCTTAAAACCAAACAATACGAAACAGTTAATAATGAGAGAAAGTAAGAAACTCAAAAGCTTGATCTTACTCCAATTGTCCTCTCTCAAAAACCTCCACAAGAAGGAAACTATGAAATTACTACTTAAAACCTTTTGATTTCTATCAGATTCAAATTGTTTGTAGTGAACAATTTCTGTATAGAAGGTATCAGTTTGATCGAAAAAGTTACGAATCTTTTCTTGTGCTGTGTACTCCTCAGAGTTGACAGAGGTGAGGAAATTCTTACGGGATTTTTCTGAGAGGAAGCTACTTTCATTTGGAATTCGGTAGTAAACATTTTCTATAGTATTATTTCTAACAATTTCCATTCTTCCTGTTTCTTTTTCAACTGGTACCAGGTATCTGGAATATTCTGGAACTTCCAACAAGTGTGAAATTTTCTTGTTACTATTTTCAGAGAATGTACTCTTTGAGCTACTTTGGCTGTCATTAACAAATATATTCTCACCATCAGATAGGGTATTCAATAGGAAGTAAATTTGGAAAGCAATCTCTTCGTATTGTTCGGTAGCCTCACAAATTCTCTTTTGCTTTTCTTTGGTGAGCTGTTTATCTCTAAAGCTGTCTCTGAATCCATCTTGGGTAACTTCAGCCTGTATTCTTGAAGTCATTTCTTCCTTTGCACCAATATTCAGGTCAATCTTGGGCAAGCCTTTACCTCTACTTTCATCAATGAATTGGGTTGGTGTGAAAGAAATAACGCAACACTTCTTTAAAAATTCCATAATGTCTGGGAAATTCAAACTGTCTCTCATGATCATTGCAATCTTGTGATTGTTGCTTCCTTCCAACAAAGAAGTCAAACAAATAAACATGGCTCCCTTCAATTCCAAGCACTTGTCCAACTTGAAAACACCCTTATAGTCCTTTGACATAATTTCATTACAAACAAAGTAGAATTTTGGAGACATGCCAATAACTTGTTGAGTGGTTAGGCAGGGGCCTTGTACAAATTCAGTGAGTGAATCAAAACATTGGATAGCTGTTTCAATATTATCAGCTGTAATGTCTTTTTCTAGAGCTACAATAAAATTCAGGCACTCTTCAACAATATTGAAACTTTGAGTATTGTACTTTTGTTCTGCCAAATAGTGCTGCAAGTCATTGTTGTGACCTTCTGTCATCAATTGGAGGAAACGTAGAATTTCTTCAATATGTCCCTTTTCTTCAAACTCTTCTTGGAATGTTTCTTCATTTTCTTTTTCATTATCATCTGTTTGATTACTACTAGATGATTGAGCAGTTGGGGTAGCAGGAACAGTTCCAGGATTGTCTCCTCTTCTCAACTTTTTGGCTCTGTACTGTTTGAAATCTTGCTTCTTTTCCTGTTGTCTCTTGTAGTAGGCTTTTCTTTCCTTAATTTCATCAATAGATAATCTGATTCTGTCACGAATGGACAAGAAGAATCTTTCCGTGCTTCCCTTCTTGAAGAGGGAGTAAATATAGCCCTGAACAATATTGTTACCTTCAAAGAGCATGGAAACACCAAGCTCAATGGAAGACTTCATAATTTTGTGATCTTCACTGCAAACCATTTCCAAAACCAGTTCTGGTATTTTGGCCTTTGCCAAGTCATGGTGGAACTTGTTTAATTTTCTTTGTCTCTGCTCAGCATTCAACTTTTCCAAAACAGATTCATCTTGTTGAGTATTCATAATTTGCTTTAACATTTCAATGGAATAGAGGGCTAAATTACTAATACTGCCTGCCTTTCCAATAATTTCTCCGTCTTTACTTGAAGGAGCTAATTCTGATATTCTTCTAATAACATTTACAATCATATCAAGATAGCCTCTATATTGTTCATAGAGCAGAATACCCAAATTGGCAAAGTTAGATTCTTGGGTTAGGATTGTAGTAAATCCACTCACATAGACCTTGTATTGTTTCATGTACTTTTCGTCTTCATCCTCTTTCTTTTGAGCAAGAACTAATTGCTTGTTTTGTTGTTTTTGCATGTGTTGCTTGAATTGAGTTGCTTTGGTGGAAGAAGCTTCCTTCAAGAATTTGAATATTTCTTGAGTAAATTCTTGTGGCATTGATTTGGATTGATTTCCACTCTTGCTAACTTTACACATGGCTTGCAAGCATTTTATAACAGCCTCCTTGTGTGCAGCTTCTGCAACTGTTTGATAGAGATTGAACAGATTTTCAATAACAGCCTTGATTACTTCTAATTGTTGAGGTTCTCCAGTAAAATCGTTAGGAGGGAACTTCAAGTGGAAGTAATGGTGAATGAATGGAATCATAAGTTGGAAGATGTACTTGATTTCTACATAAAGCTTTTCCTCTGGATCGTGTCCCATTAATGAATCATCCCCTTGACCCTCCAATGGCTTCTTCAATCTCAATACGAAAGAAGTTTTGGCCAACTCTAATGGGTTAGAATCTTGAGAACTGGTATTTCTTGGATGCACACCAACCCCTATTGGAGTGGCTACAGATCTGGCATCAAGTGGATCAGTTAGAATAATTTCGGTACTTCTTCTATTGTTGGAATTACCACCACTATTAACAAACATATCGAGCTCTCTTGCCATCTTGGCCAATAAACGGAATATTGGAGAGCTACTAGACATTTGCTTTTCATCTTGAACCTTATCTGCGTTGATGTAAACTTCATCCAAAAAACGGAGGAGTGGATTTCTCAACTCTGGGATTGTATTAGGACTCAGCAATTGTTTCAAAATATCTTCAATAGATAATAAGGATTGAAGTTTAACTTCAGCAACATGATTTCTTCCATCACCACACTCTGCCAACAAACTTAAAAGCTCAATATGGTAACAAAGGATACCATCAGGTTGTGTTTCGTGTTCCTTATTCTTGATTCTTCTATCTCTTTCCTTGATTCCTTCTTCATCGTTAAAAAGAACAATAACATCCTTCTTACGATCCAGTAAATTTTGAGTGACCAGTGTTTGGTTTCTCTTGATTGGATTTCCATCAGTACCCATGAGAATAATCTTCAAAAAGTTGAGATAGCGAGCCTTTAAACCATGTTCTGCAATAAGATCGATAAGGTATCTAATGTGTCTTTCTTCCAACATACTACACAAGCCTCTGTTATTTCTAACAACTTCACAGATGAGTGTTGACATGCCCAAATCTTGACCAATCTTTGACATGAAGAATTCAAGATAAGGGAAGAGGATAGTTTGGTTTTCTGCATTCTTTCTCACAAAATCTGAAAGGAAGCGAACACATGCCTTGTGAATTCTTTGTTGGGATCTATTATCATCGAATGACATGGTAAGAGTTTCAATAGCCAATTCGTGAGCACTCAAGTTTCTTAGGATTCTCTGGGTTCTTGAGCCATTCTTTTCATAATCGTCTTCAACTCGTTTGAAACTTTGTTGAATACTCTTTGAGTATTGCTCCAATGATGTTCCTGATGAAGAGTTAGCAGCATTGATAAAATTTTTAAGATCTTTCAAAATTTCGAGAATGTTATCATAACTTTTCATGACGGCACTGGAAACTAATAATTCGATTCGTGGCAACAAGTCTTTAAGCTCTTCCTTCTCTCTATGAATACGAATCAATAAGTTAAGTGCCTTTACGGCCAATGAAGCATTTTTACACTTGGTCAAATCAATAAGAATTTTTGTAAGGTTTTGAACGGATGCAGATTCGTTAAATATGGAATCTTTGAAAAGTGAATTTTTAACAAAATCTTGACGCTTGTCTTCTGATTTGTCACTAACAGTGAAACTGTACTTGAAATTAATCAAGAAAAAGTCCACTCTAACGTTCAGTTGTTGAGATTTGATAATATCGAAAATTTCACAAACTTCTTGCTTGATTCTTGTAGTAATCATAGTTTGCTCATTCTCCTCATAAATTGCATCAAGTGCTGGTTTTCCATTAAGCTTGTCATTTGTACAATCCAAAAGCTTTAGCAATTCAACGACAACTCTGTGGGTTGGATAAATATTTGACAAATCAAACATGCCCAATTCAAACATCTTTTTGGTCATGAAAACAAGGTTATAAATGAATAAATTCTTTTGAACACTTGTAATATCATTACCACAATCTAATTGATAGTTTTCCTTGTAAAAGTCTGTCAAGAAGGTACGAAGCTCTTTGATCTTTTTGTCGTCTTGAGTCTTTTTCATCTTTTCAATTTCTGTCCACTTTCTTGTGAAGGAAATTGTTGGATTGGCTTCATAAGGATCAACATCCAAGAAACAATTCAAAAGAAGTGTACAAAAGCTGGATCTAATTTCAAATGGTAAATTCTTCTCCTTGATGCATGCCAAAATAAGCTCATAGCTGAACTTATTCTGAATGTATTGGATAGCTTCCTTATTTCTTCCTAAACACAAGAGAGACAAGAGTTCAATTTGTTTTTGGAAAAAGTTGAGCAAAATTAAAAAATCATCCTGTCCATCAAAGTTTGCAGTATTCGCAGAAAGTGCCTGAGACATTGCCTTTGACACAAATTCCAACAAACCATATTCAGTTCCATTAACCTTGATGCAAAGTTTGTTCTTTGGATCATTATCTACAAAGTAAGGGAACATGAGAGAGTTTGTAACCTTTTCGTCTTCGAAAAGCAACTCGGTAATGTAGCTTTGGTTCTTCTTGATTGGTCTATTACCACAAGCACACAATGCACTAAGGAAGGAAAGATAGATTGAATTTTTAGCACTCAAATACTCAGTGGCTGTTTCTTCTGATGATTCTTCTTTCTTTGGTGTCATTTTCTTTGCTGGAGAAGAGGAAAAACCTCTTGGGGTAACCATAAGTTTCCGTGGAGATGTTAAATTTTCATCAAATCCGCCACTTTCCTCATCTACCAACAATCTTACAAAGTATCTTATTTGCTCTTTTGGCATTCTGTTCAATAGTCCATAGTTATTTGTTAAAATTTCAATTAGGGCAACACTGGCTCCAACATCCATTTTGATATGTTGCTGAATTTCGGTAATATATTTTGACATGTACAATCCATTGTCACTGTTCAATTTGACAGATTGTTTGATCACTCTGTACAAGTTACGGAGCAAGTAGTGATAAGATGCCAGATCTGACTCTGTCCATGTATTTTCATCTCCCAATTTAGCAGGACTTTCTCCAAAAACTGAAAGTGAAACAATATCTGGAACATTATCAACTAACTCTTCTATAAGTCTCATTACTAAATCAATTACACCTCTTTCTCTGAGAATATTTTGTCTGCTCTTGAATGGAATACCTTCTCTCTTGAGTGGATCCTCTTCATCAGAGTCAGTCAAAAAACAAACCAATTGTGCAAGGGCAGGCAAGAGTGTTTGAAGTAACACTTTGAAATCGTCTGGTCTCTTGATAGATCTGGATTGAACTCTCCTCATAAAACTTTCAATTAATGGATAAATACTTTGAACAAGAAGTAAGTCTTCGAGCTCCTGTTGAGGAACCTTGTAAACGGAGAATACATCCTGTTCATATAATACATTGGTAGCATAGAGTCTGAATTTCTTACGAGAGGACTTCTTTTCTGGTTTAATCATTCCAGCATTGGCAGCATTGTTTTGAGTGAGAGCTTGTTTTCTAAGATTGAGAGTTGGTTTGTTGGTGGTTGTACTACTTGGAGTTGATGGAGTTGTTTCATTCTTTCCCTTGAGTGGCGTATCATCTGCCTTCATAAGACTTGAACCAATACCAGAATCACTACTCACACCATGAACCCAAGTCTGACTGTGGGCATGTTTCAAACGGAAATAGCTTTGCAAAGGTATTGGAGCAGTATTATGATGATTATCATGTCTCGATTGTACATCATGTTGACAAATAATGAAAGTGGTATCATCACTTCCCAATCCATCTTTTACAGCCAATTCAAGAGAGACACCAATTTGCTCCTTCTTTACAGCAGCCAATAGCTTTCGCTTCAACAATTTCCAATATTGATCTGTTGCTGAATTACCTGGAGATGATGTTGTTGATGAAAGTGAAATACTACTCTCATTGAATACTGAAATATTGACTTGGGATGCACTGGCAACAGATGATCTATCAAAGTCTTCAGTGTTGGCTGTAGTTCTTCTGGAAAGTTTAGAGAAGAAGGAATTTGTAATTCCAAATTCATCATCTGAATCACTGGAGAAATCATCAAAAATATCTTCATTCTCCTCTACAAAATGACTATCCTTTGAGGCATACAGATATTTTCCACTGGAAACATGTTTAAATCTATACTTCTTATTCCACATCAAGGCACCACCTCTAGTAGGGTCAACCATTTCTACTTCCCACAAACTATCTGTGAATGCGTACATTTTATCATTCTTTGATTGGCTCGTATCGTCATCTGTTGACTTTTTGTTGGATTTGATTGGGAGAAGAGCCTTATCGGCTGTTGAGGAAGAGGTCTTGTTGGCACTGCCAACACATTCTACTCTACCAGTTTTAGAGTTGACCGATAAAAAACTATTCAATTCTGTATGGAAAAGCCTAATAACATCACCAGCCTTTAACATGTTACCTGAATGAATACTTAAATAGGGAGAAAATAGACGAATTCTCCAATTGGTATATGAAAAAGATGAGGTAAATGTTGTACCTGGTATCATGTTGATTTCTCTTCTGTCATCTTCATCAAGGGAAACCTGAGTTGATGTTGAGATGAGTTGATTATTCGAGGACAAAACCGTTGAGTAAGTAAATTGACCCAAATGAAGGAAGGTGTTACTCTTCCTGTTAAAAAATCTGACTTGATCACTCAATTTTACAGCATCACCCTCCGATCTGAATTTGTAATAAGGTAATACAATAACATGAGATGTCGAATCTATAGCTTCTTCTGAAACAAGTGTTAGCTTGAGACAATCTTTTTGCTTTTCTGCTTTTTCTCTTGGATTTACACACAAGTATTTCTTAGTTTTCAAATGCATGAGTTGGATTGGTTGACCATATAATATTTCTTTACCAATATTTCTTTCATATTCAATATTGTTTTGTTGTTTTTCTCTTTCCATTTTTCTTTCCAATTCTTCAATTTGAGCTCTTTGTTCCTCAGTCAAATCTAGAAAATGATATTGATGAGATTTGATGAAAGTTTTTACAGAAGGAGCTTGAACATATTGTGTTCGAGTGGCTGCACTTGTGGAAACAGCTCCTTCTTCGTTATTTACGGCTAATTGTCCACTACTGGTATTCATGTCATTGGTGCTTTTTGATGTTAAAATTCCACTCATGTTTGCACTTGATGATATTGTCATGGCAATAGAGCTGTTGGCAAGATTGACCGTGGTAGTAGAAGCATTGGCAGCATTTGTTGTGCTAACGGCAGCTGTTGCAGTTTTTGTAACTTTGGCCGACTGATTCATGGTCCTCAATTTTACATTTAATTGTTCCAATTTTTTGTAGAATTCTTTGTGGGCATTATAGGAAAATGCTTGTTGAACAACAAATACACATGACTTGAAATTGGATGGCAGATTCTCATCGGAAATACTTTCTAATCCACATCTAGCATTAGCAGTAAATCTATTATTTTACATGATCACAACATAAAACAATTAAATACAATGTTCAAAAACTCTGAGAGATGAATATTTAAAACCTACCCTTTCACACTCATGAATCCAATTTCCTCACCATTTTCATCAGTTGCCTGTTCATCATCATTTTGATAATAGACCGAAATTAAATCACCCACACAAAGCGACCTCTGATTGAGTTGAGGTTGTTGCAACAGAAGGCTCTGAGAGGGAAGCGCTGATGATGTTCCGTTGTTTTTATTTGTTGTGTTTCCTGCCGAAACTGAGAAGAGAGAACGAAGTGATTTTTTAGAGTGATTGGATGGTGGTAACATCCCGAGATGAGAAAGATGATGCTATGGGTTGTTATGAGGTTGTTGTGAGTTTACGTTGTTTTCTGAAACTTGTCCAAGTGGCAGTGATGAATTTTTTTTTTAAATCTGTTCTTGACGTTTGACTGTGGATGGCTTTATGATTAGACAATCCTTCTGGTTAGTTGAAACTTGTTATCATTTTGTTAGTATTGAATTTTAAAATAAAGAAATTAAAGATTTGGTTATTTGAATGCGATAATTCATGTTAAAGAATAAATTGATTAACATAGTGTTATCAAAGGTTTGATTATTTGGATTTATTTGACTGCTGTCTCCAAAAACTGGCGCCAAAATCTTCCGTTAAATCAATAAATTCACTCAAAAAAAACAACAAAAAACACAAACAGGTAGGCGCTGCCTGCAATCGCTACAATTTCATCAAGAATATTCACAACAATTTAAACAAACAACAATATAGTACTAAGAGGCGAGCAATATGAACCTATCCAACAAATTATATGTTGGAAAGGAAAATCTAACACCCAGCCATATGAATATTCTTTCTCCCCAAACAATTCCCTCATCAAGAACATCAGCAACACAACAACCATTTAGCAAATCGATATCATCATCTAGTCTCTCGAAACCAACTATTGGAACTTATTCGAGAAGCAAGGCACTCATTCAAATTCCAAGTTTTGAAGAATTAAAAAGCAATCAACAACCATTCCATACATTGTCCGAACTCTTCTCCAAGCTTGATACATTTCCAAATCTGCACAATGATCAGAAAATTGAATTTATCAAATTATGTATTACTTGTATTGATAAGAGTTTTCTTAAAGTTCACGAGAGGGATATCTACATGTTTTGGATAATATTGGCCATTCAATTTGTTGGTAATAAGGATATTCCTAACTGGGATGAGGAAGTTAGAAAACGACTCGCCGAACATTTTGAATTCTTATCAAACTATAATCATCCTGTTAAAGATGAGGAAAATTTCTACATTTTGAACGCCTTATTCGAGTGGAAAACCAATGAACAACCTGACAAAATATTCAGAAGTATTTCTAAGGTACAACAGGGTATTAACCGATTGGGTGAAACTCCAATTTTGGCTGAAATCAAAGGTTCTCTTTTACAGAAATCAATATTTCCACAAGTTGAAATTTCTTACAAACCAACCACAATGATTCCATCTTTTCAAAATTTACAAGTACCATCTAGCACACCAACAACTAAATCTACCTCTCCTCAAGATGTTAGTAATTCAGGTGCAGGATTATTTACTGGAAATAGAAGAAGAAGATCAAATTCAAATAATGACTTCCAACTCATACAACAAAATTCAACAAGGCAGTCAAGTCGTTCCAATCTCTTTGCCGGTAGTAAGCAATCATCGATCAATATTAATGCTGAAATGCCAAGCATTTCCTCTAGTCCATTTATTTCCTCTACTTCCCTTTCTTCCAACTCGGTTAGTGCAACACCAACTACTGCACTTTCCATCAAAACTACTAGTGTGCCCCCAACACAAAGCACACCTCAACCACTCCCAACACTCACTTTTCCAACTCCTACTTCCATTAACACAGAGAATGTAAATAAGAGACCTAGAGAAGAAGTTGTCTCTACACCATCTGCAACTCCAAATACCAGTACTGCACCAAACAGTACTTCAACATCTGCTGTCTCTGAGGATGGCAGTGCCAAAAGGTCTAAGCCTACAGTATTTGTACCAATTAACAATAGAGAATACCAAGTATTAAAAAGGATTGGATCAGGTGGAAGTTGCACTGTTTACAAGTGTGTTGATACCAATACCAAAGAAGAGGTTGCTATAAAACATATCAAGATTGACAGGACTAAAAACGATAAAACTGTCCTTGATGGGTTTCTAGCTGAAGCTACTCTTTTAGAACAATTAAGAGCTGATGATATTGGAGAGAATATTATTAAATTAATTGATTACGAATATAGACCTCATAACAAGAGGGATGAAATCCTTCTTGTTATGGAGCTAGGTACCACTGATTTTAATAATATTATCAAGAAGAAGAGTGCCAACCAATCATTTACTACAGATGAATTGAGAGTTTACTGGAGACAAATGCTTGAAGCAGTTTCCTTTATCCATTCGAAAAAGATTGTCCACACAGACATTAAGCCTGCCAACTTTTTACTTGTCAATGGTAAATTGAAACTTATCGACTTTGGTATTGCTAAAGTTCCAGATCATGAACAAACTCTAAGCATTTGTAGAAATTCTATTGTTGGTACTCTTAACTTTATGCCACCTGAGAGTTTTATTAATCACAATGCCAATGATCCAAAATATAAGTTTGGTCCTCCTGGAGATATTTGGAGTCTTGGAATTATCTTTTATCAGACAATTTACCAAAAGACACCATTCTCTGATTTTGAAGATCACCTCACCAAGATTGCACAAATTACAGATAGGAATAAGGAACCATATTTCCCACCATGTGAAGAGCAATACCAAGAGGCAGTTGACTTGCTGAAAACCATCTTGGTTAAAGATCCAAGTCAAAGACCTTCTATCCGAACAATTTTAGAACATCCATTTTTTGCTCAACCTTTACAACTTTCTATTAATACCAACGAAGAACAAGAAGCATTTTGTAAGAATGTGTTGAAAACTTTTGAATTCTTACTTGAAAACCTTCCATCTCAATCCGTTCCTCCCCAAAAAGCAGCTTTTAGATTATTAAAGCTTTGTCACGATAATAAGAATGGCGAAGAAATGTCAGAAGATGACATTACTAATTGCCTTTCACAATAAATCTTATTAATTTATTACTACTAGGAAATTTATTCACCAATCCCATCACAAAATCAACTTTATTCCCGCCCATTTATCTTGTTTTAAATATTTAAAAAAATTAAAAAAAATGAATCCACTGGCCGAAAAGCACAAAAACGAAGGAAACGAATTTTTCAAGAAGAAGGACTTTGATAGTGCTGCCACATGTTATCAAAAGGCAATCGATTTGGATCCTAACAATGCAATTTACCACTCTAATTTAGCTGCTTGCAGTCTTGCCGTTAATGACTATGAAGATGCCATCGAACACTCCGAGAGGGCTGTTAAACTCTCACCACAATATGAAAAGGCACATTTTAGATTGATTCAAGCCTATTCAGAATATTATAATATAAACAAGGCTTTAGAAGCACTGAGGAATTGTCATCAAATGTTGGTGGAAAAATATAACAATTCAATTCCTGCTGATATGCAAAAAATTATGGAACAAAGAAGTATGGAAGTTAGGAAACGAATTATTGAGAATAACAACTCAAAGAAGGTTAAGAAAATTATTTTACGTGATGGTAAATTCAATGCAGATAATGTAGAATCAATTGCTCAATTGATTGACAGGGCTGCTCTCAAAATGAATAGTAAAACTCTGAACATGGAGGAAATATTTGATTTGATTTCTGATTTTGAATTGGAAGATTTGACTGAAGTTGACTCATATTGTACTGCAAAAGAAATTGTGACAGCTTGTTTGAAACCTGGAAAGCAAAATGACACAAATATTGGTTTGGAAAGAGTTGTGGATGACAAGTATATTAAGAAGGGGCTTATATGGCATTTATTATATGTTCCTACACATGGTACGTATCTTTAATATTCATAATATTTATTAGAAATGAAACCTTTTCCATAATTATCATATTATAACCTTTAGGAGTTAGAGATGCTTCAGATTGTAAAAAGCTAAAATATTGTCCAAGTCCAGAACTCAGAGATTATGCTATTCATGTTTATGAAGTATTTGATTCATGTAGTCCAATTGTAATTGAACGAGCCACCTACAAACAGAAACATGAAAAGTTTGGATTCGGTCTTGAACTTTTACGTGGATTATGTGTGGCCATTATCCAGGCAAAATCCAACACTACTCCACAAAGACCACAATTTTTACCTGACAAGCTAATGATTTATGGTGTGGATTACTTCCGTAGTAAGGCCGAAGCTGTTTTAAACTATGGATTGATAACTAAATTACCTGCTTTTAACAATGTCATGCTTCTCTCCAGAGATGAGATTCCTGGAATGATTACCATGAGTTTAGAGTTAGCTAATTCAATGGCTTCACCAGAACATCCATTTATCAAGTCCCCAGGATTGAGATCTGCTCTCATCTCAAGAGGTGAAAACTTTTCATTGGAATTTGGAAGAAATTTGTTTGAAGCTATGGCTGAATTAGCATCACTGGAACCATGGAAATACATTTCCATCATTTATCCACTTCATGTTTCAATTACTCATTCAAAATTCTCTAATAATATGGAAGTAAATCCAAGTGAAACCTTGAAACGTTTGTTAAAGAACGACGATTTAAGTTTAGAAGGTTTAGAGTATATGAATGGAAAGGAGAGAGTAGTGTGTGTGATGGGTTGTACAGATCCGAATGCAACAGGATTCTCCATTCTCAAGAATATGAGTGAATTTTCAAAGTTTGTAAGAAATCCAAATTTGATTTCTGAAATTCCATCCGTACAGTATGGTCCAATTACAAATATCAGTTTCCAAGATTTGGATGATATTAAGGCTTATTCTTGGCCTATTCATAAGGGAAGAACCTATAGCTATTATCCATTTGTTGTTACAATTCTGAAGAATTTCTTCATTACTATGGATAGAACTCTTTTGAGAAGAACAGAGTTGAAGGACTTGAAATGGATTGAAGCATTCTGTAGAGGTTTATCACAATTTATTAGAAAATGTGTCAAGCATCCACCTCTCAGTGGTTTGGAAGACAAAACCAACTTTTTGGTTACTGATGAATTTTCAAAAACTGGAATCAAAATCCAAACAACTGATGGAGAAGCTTTTGTAAAAATTATTGTTGGAAGAGATAAGGATGATGTGGTAAAGAAGTATCAATTCCATGCTGAGGATGAAGAAGAAGCAGAACAAAAGATGGTTGAAATTACCAAAGAATGGAAGAGGGAAGCTGAAAATGAAAAACCAAAAGTATGTGCTGTTTGTGGAGCTACCCAGGCTGAAGGTTCAAAGAAACTCCTCGTTTGTGGCAAATGCAAGAAGGTTCACTATTGTTCACGTGAATGTCAAGAGAAGGATTGGAAAACTCACAAGAAGGAATGTCAAAAGTAATGAATTCAATAAACCAGATCAAATTCAATATTCTTCTTGGTTGGCTTTACATTGAAAAATAGCTCATAAAAAGAAACCATAGTTGTTTTGAAGTTTTGTATTTTTTATGGAGCTTTTTTAGTTTTTTCTTGTAAGTTTAATCAACCTTTAGTATCTAGTCTTTTTACGATCATCCTCAAAATCATCCTCCGAATAGTAATCATCATATTCACATCTATTTCTTTTACCATAAAATGAACTATCCAAGAGGAATAGTGGACATTCTTCTTCAGCATCAGAATCTTCATCTTCTGTTTCATCTTCACTGCTACTTTCACAGCTATAATCAGCATCGGAATCTTCTTCCGAGATGAATTGCTCATCAAATTCAAGACCCTTTCTAATGACTTCATAGATCTTATCATCTGAGCAGCAGTCATTGAAAGTTTGCTTTGCTAACATTGACTCACAATTCATCAAAGCAGTCAATGGAGAAAAGGCTTCACCATCATTGGTCGTACGAACACAATTACTAGTATCAATAATTCTTCCATCATCGACTTCATCAACCATAATAAGAGTCAACATGTTGGCGATATATATTGTTAGATAAAAACTTACCCAAAATTTTAACATTGAAAATTATCATCTTCAGATTTAAAATTAATTAAATTAATTTCATCTGATAAATTTGTTTCATCAATATGTTCTCTAAAATTTTCATTTGTTGTAAAAATTAAAAATGAATTTGAATTATGAATTATATCTTCTCCTAATTCATCTGAAATTTCACTAATTCTAATTATTTGTAAATTTTTAATTATTGAATATAATCTTCCAAAATTAATACAAATTGGTGAATGTTTACAATTTGATTTAATTATAAATGTATCATTATCTTTTAAATAATAAAATTAGGTAGGGTTGCGCGTAGGTCTCATAATCCTAAGGTCGTGAGTTCGATCCTCACTGACCCCAACTTTTTATCTTGTTGCAGTTATTTCAATTTACATTGTAAAACTTAAAATTTTAAATTAAAAAATGCCTGAAATTGCACTTCAGGAGGAGGTGGTTATTATTTATGATTCTGGATTCAGAAATTATTCAAATATTCAAAATGATGCCTCAACTGATCTTTCTCCCATCAATCTTCCAAGAGAAATAATTTCATCAATTTTTGAATATTTAGACGAAACAACACTAATGCACTCAATCCGATTAGTTTCTACGGGTTGGAATGCCATACTCGAAGATGATCTCATGATCGGACCAGTTTCTTTATTTTCCAACCATCAAATTATTCAACATCAACAATTGACTGATCTTTCGAATAGAAACACATGTATTGATCATCAAATAATTTCAATATTCAAGAACTTCGTTAGATATCACAAATCATACATTTTGGAATTTAAAAAATTCACTCTAGATTCGTATTTGACTTTCACAATTGACCGAAAACAACGTGAAAAGTTTTTTTCTGTAAAATCGACTCCAGATGTGGAATGGCACAATTTGGATTTCACAGACGATACCAATGATTCAGATTATTTAAAATCATTAGTTTTGGAAAATATTGGAAATTGTAATTCGAATGACAAGATTAATTGGTTTACCATATTTAGAAATGCCAAGAATGATTGTATTTCTTTCCATACTTTTTTGGAAAAGAGAAAACAATCAATGGATAGAACGAATTTATTATATAGAAAATTGTACTTTCCATTAATGATATTTTTATTTATTATTTTTGGAATTTTACTTTTATGTAATTTTAACTATTTCCAAAAAGGGGAATTTAATTATTTTCTACTAATTTGCTTTTCTCCCTTATTCATGATACTAGTTCTATTAACTAATATTCCATTCACTTTAATTGGAATATTAATTAAGGATTACAATGTACTTCAAAAAGAATTACAAAAGAGAGATTTCTATTTTAGGACATCTCCTTCCAGTGAAACTTACAAAGAATTAAGAATTAGAATACTCACTCGATTATTTTCCAAAATTGCGATTCAAATTTCCTTATTCTCACTCTTACTTTCCATTTTAGCATTTGCCATTTTACAATGCTTTGCACTGGTATTTCCATTAAAAATCGAACCATACGAATATGCAAGCATTTACAATTTTAGAGCTTTACTTTCACATGGAATATTCGTAACTGCTCCGTTTTTCATAGCCTCACCAATTACCTCCCTATTCTTTGTGGCAACAGATTCGGTTTTCATTCAATACGTTATTCTAAACAAACACTATATTACTTTGTTAGTGGATTATGTTGTACATCTGGGAGCAGGTTTGCTTCCAGTTGGAATTCTCATTACTGACATTTATGTAACAGGGTATTTGATTTCTTTCGTATTGTTGAGTTGTTTCTTTGGAGCAATGGACATGTTTCTTTTTGTTGGGCTTGTGGATTATTTCAAAAGGAAGAGATTAAGTTTATTGACATTTATTAGATCTGAATATTTGCTTTTATTGGATAGATTATGCTTGATGGTTGCTTTCTTAATACTAATTGGATTTCCAATTGGTTGTTTTGTAATGGCATTTGACGTCTATCAAAATGGAGTGATTTATGCAAGCTTTTTGATTGGTGGCATGTCAATACTGTTATGTTACATTGGATTCTCATTTTGCTTGAAAGAATCAGTTTACCTAATGGCCAAACCTACAGCATTACTTTAATTTATTTTGTAATCGAAAACTTATTTTTTCGTCAAATAATCCCGTACAAGGTATAACAGTGTTATAGATCTATTTCCATTGTGATTATTATTTCCATAATGTTGATAAAGTTCACATTCAATGATTTGATTCCAACATTATTTTGAAGACAAACATCTTTACATTTTCTTGTTTCAAGGATTGTTTTTAGTTTGGGTATTCTCTTGTTGATGATTGTGAATAATGTGTTTATGTTGGCTTTTGAACTCTTTGATTCAGCAAAGTATTTGGTTGGATATGTCTGTGCAGGTATGTTCTGATCCTTTGAAGAGAGGTTTGACAATGAAGTGAGTCTCTAGCCTTCTTTGTTCGAGCAAAGACATAATCTATGGAGAGAGTAGATAGTCCACTTGTGTTGAATTGGAAATGGAAAGAAATTAGCCATTTCTCTTCGGCTCCAAGAATCTAGGTCGTGAAGTGGCCACACAGAAAATCAACAAGAAAAAAAAAATGGATGAAGTTACAACTCTCTACCCTCATGTTGAAAAGTGGCTGAAATCAATAGTGCACAATTTCCAAGATTTCAAAGAGGCCATGTCGGCACTAACCACTATTAAAAGTATTTGTCAAAATATAATTTTACAACCTTCAGATGAAAAAGTTAAAAAGATACGATTGACCAATCCACGCTTTGTTGCGAGTGTAGGAAAATTGCCAGGTGCCATCAATCTTCTTTGTTTAATAGGATTTGATAAAGTTATACAAGACAAGGAAGAATATTTAATATTTGGTTCAAATGATTTGACACCCCTCAAGACCATGCAATCAGTAATTTCTGCCATAATCAAAAGTAACGATCTCAACACTGAATCTACCAATCCAATTATTGAGCAAGTGTTAACCATGGCAAACAAGAGTATCGAAGAGCAAAAATTATTCTTACTGAAACGTACAGTAACTGATCGTTGCAATATGACAGGAATGTTTTTTCTTGGGTATGCTTCTGGGTGTTTTGCTGATGGTAGAAATCTAGAATGGAAGAAAGAAGTTATACGAATTGCCATCAACTGTTTCAAATTTGATTGGTTGCAACCAGTTATGAAAGATATCGAGTTCTTTCCGTGCTTGTCTTCTGAATTGGAGAAGAGTAAATATTTGGTGACATGGCTCTGTATTGGTAGACTATTCGAATGCTATGAGTCTGTAGTGGTAAGGATACAACAGCTGCACAGTATTGCTGGAAGCATGGCAATGTTTTTGAAAAATAGGAATGATGAATATTTTTCTTCTTGGGGTCCTAAATGGATAGATCATTTATTGGAATGCATTGATGATGCTGGCATTTGTAAAAACTTTTTATTGACACTCACATGTTTGATTGAGGATTTCAATGTCATTGACAACTTCTTGCATGGTACTAAGAAAGTTTTTGTTAGAACAGAAGAAATAGGGACAAATATCT